TACTATAAACGGGTATATTAGTAACGCTAAGAGTAATTATAGGCCTACTTATACCTATATAGCGGTAGTTAATAGAGATTTAATAAGATAAAGTCGAGCCTACTACTAGTAAAGTTTTACTAAGACTTAGTATTAGAATATCGCCGTCGCGGCTACACTAACGACTACGTAATTAAAATACACTACTTTTTCGAGAAAATTATATTATATTTTGCGTTATAGTAGTCGCTTTTAAAGGAAAAAAAAAGCGGTTCGAACGAGCGAGTAGGTATTATTATATATCGTACTTAAGATTCGTAGCTATATTCGCCTTTTAATACCTAGCTTATATAGCTTAGCGCTCGGGTTAGGCTCGGTAGGCTTTAGTATACTTCGGAGCCGTATCTTAGTATTAAATTTTAGGTTAGTAGTATAACCTCCTACTAATACCCCCCTTCTATAATACTATATTACCGTTATTAAATTCTAGTAAATTATAGGTTAATAGTATAGATATAGTAGAGACTCCTATAACTCCTAGAATTATTATACGATAGTTATATATAGAATAAAAATTACGCAAAGTCGAGCTTTATAGCGCCCTCCCTTCCTTTATATATCGCTTATAATAACGTCTAAACCGCTCCTATTAACCCTCTCGGAAGCTATATTCCTTCTACTTCTAAAAGGATATATCTAATACCGTCTTTAACGGATAGTCTAAGGTAAGAAACTTCTCTTTAATAGCTTTAATATCGTAGATACGAAGTTACTAATAGTCCTTTAGCGATATCTAGACGAAGAGACTCCTTATTACTCTCTATAAGTCGATATAGTCTAGTTATAAAGAGCCTAGCGGTTAATATAGTAAACTTAATATTATATTAGGCGGCGATTCGTAGCTTATAGAGCCTAAGCCGTTATTAGTACTAATATAGCTACTACCGTTATTATAGAAGTTCTATATAATAGGTACCTATTAGCTAGCGGCGGCACCGCCTTTAGCTCGACTAAAGGGGTTATAAAAGTAATTACCGCTAGTCTTAACTTTATACTTCTATATTCGACTAACTAAGGTAGTACTAGGATTCTCTACTACCCTTAGATTTAATAATATTACCTTTATCTACTCTATAGCTACCTTTTTAAAGATTAGAACGTAATTCTTAGGGATGTCCGCCCCTTTAAAGAAGTAGTATTACTAATACTACCGGTATCTTAGATTCTTATAAGGCTACCTCTTCTTTATAGCTTTACAAAGGTTACCGCCTTCGGCTTTATTAAGTAGGCGTTAATCGTCGTCTTCGTTAATTAGAGATAAGCCGCCGCCGGTACCGTTATTCGACTTGTATTATTAGCGCTTACGCCGCCGGCGGCGAAGCTCTTCGAGTTATTATAAAGTAGTAGTATTACGCGGCTATAAGCCTTATAAGCTACCTTATCGACTAGTAGGTAGGTTAGTAGGTATAGTTAGCGGTAGGCGAATATCCTACACCTTATATATTAACTCTATTACTAGGCTACGCTTACTACGGTCGTAGTAGTCGTTAAGATACTCTAACGCTATTTTAAACGACTCGATCTCGTTACCTTCGTTAATAAATAGCTTAAAGTTATTCCTCTACGGCTAGCTATCGAAGGAGATAATATACTCGATACTAACGACTCTATATATATCTTTACTAATGTCGTCCTTCTAACCCTATATCTAGATAACGAACTCGTTCTACGGCTAGCTCTCGAGACTACGTTAAAAGCGTAGATAGGTATTATAGCTAAGATCTCTCTTATTATAGACGATTCCCGATTATAAGTAGTAGTAATAGTCCGGCCGCTCTTACTACTACTCGTCGTTCTTATTATTATTCTCTTAATCTACCTATTACTCGTCGTCTATAGCCGGACGGCTACCTATTAATTAATCTAATAACTTAATATCTATATCTCTCGAATCGTCCGACTACTCTTACTTTTACTCTTACGGCCGCGCTTTCGCTTTCTCCCTACTTTTAGTAGTTTTCGACTTCTTTATAGGCTTCTTCTACTTTATAGTAGTTTTACGTTTAGCGGCGGTAGGGGTAGTAGCAGCGGTGGCGGCGGTAGTAGCCCTATTATCTCTAACCTTCGAAGACTCTCGTACGGTACGACGACTCCTAGAAGGCCTAGATATAGGCGTAGGTTAAAGCTAGCCTACTATTAAGTCGCTACTAACTATAAATAATACTATAAGTTAAGACGAAGAATATAAGTAGGATATAATACATTCAATCCCGATATTCTATATAAAAACGCGTGTGAAGCTGGGAACGCGCCTTGCGGCTCCTGCCGCGGGGTTGGCATGCTTTATTTGCTGCGGTAATATCTGCAGATCTCAACTACGATAACACAAGACACACTCGTGGTACCAGTTCTCGACCACTCGTCACAAAGCACCGCCGTGCACTGATCGAGCTCTACTACGTTCCGAGCGGAGTCGTGGAGAAGACCTTCAACATAAGCGAACGCCTATGAGAAGTCCAGCTTTACATGATGCGTTGACAGGCTGACATTGACATATGGTCGCTCTCTAATACTTTCGTCTCATACAGAGTGAAGCCTCCTTCGACATACTGGTCGCCATGCTCGGTCCACCGTGCTCAGTCCACAACTCCGTAAAACAAGCTTTGGACGGACGGACGTCCAGCACAACCGTGCAAGACAAGCTCACTGTATCCATATCTCGACTCCTCGAGACTAGGCGCGGACTTACACTCATCTGGCTCGACTACATAGCGAGCGGCGTTGGGGAGAAGACCTTCAACGTGAGCGAACGCCTAGGAGAAGTCCAAGCGCTATCAGGTATGAGCATTGCTCGCTGTCATGACCCTGGCACGCAGAAACCCCATCCGCATTTCCAGAACACGCCGCCTCCTCCATCAAACGACCGCACGCACACAACGTCGTCCATGAACTTGCGCGCCAGCTCCGCCTCGCCGACTGCTCGTTCCACGCCAGCCGCGGTTCTTGACGTTGATATGTGCCGGCGGCCGACTCTCCCTCTTGAAGCTCGTCGGTGCCACCGTCGACTCCCTCCTTTTCCACGATGCTGGAGATTGAAAGGAGGAGGAAGGATTGAAAACTTTTTATGTGGCTGCTGGGCTTCTTGGACTCGGCTTAGTGGAGGGTTTGCTTGCTGCTGAAATGCATATGCTTTCAGATGGTTTGGAGATGTTTGCGGAGGCGAGGCTGTACATGTTCAGCTGCTTGTTCTTTGTTGCTGCCTGGAGAATGCGGTATTCAGCTGTTAGTATGGTGAACATTCCTAAAGCATGTGAATCCAGTCCTGTAGTAGCCGATCCTATACGTACATCCAAAGAGCACATGCACGCACAAGCCTGCATCTGAAGCGCACATGTAATCATCTGCCCCCTTTCCTCCCTAAACCCACCTCTATCCGCCCTAATCCGCCTCAATCCGCCCCCCCCCCCCCCCCCCCATTCAGCAGAAAACCCGTAGCAAACACCCCCCTTCACCGCCCATCCCGTCCGGCGCGGCCCGCACATATCTCCCTATATCTCAGCCTCTTCCTCCCCTCCAGCTTCCTCCCCTCCAGTCCAGTTTCTGTTCAACCACAGCAGGATGGCGGGCGCTCGCAACCTCAGCGTTTGACCGTCCCTGCTAACACGACATTGGTGGCGCCAACACCACCGCCCTTGCTAACATGGGGGCGGGTGGCGTCCGTTACGGTCGGTGGGGAGTTTTTGTGGAATAGGGGAGGTGAGGTTTGGGGGGAGGTTGGCGCTTTGGGGGCGCTTTGCGCGAGCGATAGGACATGGGAGGGAGGTGAATGTAAAGATAGTTTTCTTTTGTGTCATAGCGCTTTAGAGTGAACGGAAATCAAGGTGAGTGTGATGTGAGTTCGATTCTGGTGCTCAAGCGTACCACGAAGCGACCACAGATAAGCGGCTAAGTGAACCAACTTTACTCAAGTAAGCCTCGCCTGCCTCTTCCTAGACACAGTCTCTCCTAGCGCTTCGCTCCCAGAAGCCAACCCCTGAGCGGAGTAAGCCTCAGGTATTGCTTCGTAGATGATGGGGATGCTCGGCATCGTGCTCTACGCAATCTGCATAGCAAAGGCGGAGACCATCTTCGCTGAAGCATTGCCGTCGGCCTGCTCTACTTGATACATTACTAACAACGATGTTGAAGGTTGGCGTAGACTTCGGCGCAGGGCTCTGCTGCGAGGCAGTCGTCGCAATGAGCATTCAATTCAAGGGTGCAGGGTGCCTGGGCGTGCTCGTTGCATTTGGTGTAGAGTTCCGAAGGCTTTCGTGCAGACTGTCGCCACGAAAGTATGGCGATCGATTCGGCCTCCTGTGTCAGTCGCGGAGAAGTAGCTCAGCTGCAAGATGTTGCGTGCAGCCATCTGGGAAGAATTATACCTGTGGTCTGCGTGTCAGCGTGTGCGTCTGCGGAGCTCGATAACATAGTACTTGCCGAGCCAAGGGCGTAGAGACCTTGTCGTCCCATCTTCCCCTCCGTAGAGAAAGAGAACAGCGTCTGCGCTAAAATGAATGACCTCCAATGACGCCTCAACCTCCTATGTCGTTTCATGTTGCCGACGTTACTCAGTCGCGGATTTGTGTTCTTTGCCTAGCCCGGGCTTCATTGTAGCCAGCTTGGTCGTCGAGTCCCTTGCAGACCACCGTCAGTGCAAGCTTGACCTCGAGTGGGTAGTCTACCACGGGGAAAACCTTCCTCGTGTCGCACAAGCGTGTTGGATCTGTGTCGACGCTGGTCTGGGTAATGGGTTCACAATCCTTCCATTTGGCAGTACTGGATAGTTTGTGTGGCAAAACGGGCTCAGCTTCAGCAGAACCTCAGCCAGGGGATGTATTGTTATGGCCGTAGTCTGCTTGAGCAGAGCGCTTGGAACATAGGCGAGAGGTCCCTCATGCTATGCTTCCTTGCAAGTCCTTGCTTCACGACAGTCTCACGAATGAGTTCTGCATGTCCGGTAGGAAACAGATGAGGCCGTGCTTTACACTTTGTGCGACGGAGCCCCTGAGGATTCGAGGAGGGTAGTAAACCCGAAGGACTGTCAGAGCCATGGTCTTCTTGCTCAGTCTCAGTGGAGGACTTTGCAAATATCAAGGTCTTGATTGGCGCCGTTTTCGCTTTCGTATCTCTGGACGACGTCGGAACGCAGGATGGTTTGTCCTAAATTCGTGATGGCACAGCTTGGGCCGATTTACTTGTACCTTTTTACGAGCATTACATCTTCATAGGGCGGCTTCAGATGTCTTGGTGGTGTTCCAGATGGCCAGGCGGCTTGATATTCATGCTTCTTGTGCAGTCTGAAGAGGACATGGGAGCAGTACATGTTGAGCACGTTCGGCGAGCCCGGAATCGAGCCTACATCCGGTTAGCGTGCAGTTGAAGAGAGGCTTCTCAGAACCGTTCGCTGTTGAGAAGATAATTGGAGGGACCCTACCAGGTAGAGGACTGCTCAGTCTTTGCTTGCCTTCACAGCTGTTTCCAAAGTAACCCCATGGCGGCCGTAGTCTTCTTCGATGTCTTCTTCGATGTCCGACTCGGCTTCTCGCCCATCTTGCTTGTGTTTTAGAACCACCAGGGCGTGCTCTAGCACAACGCCCAGACTCAGACCCATCCATTGTTGTCCTGCATGTGCTACTCTCGCCTGCCACAACCTTTAGATTCGTCTTCCCGTGCGATCTTCTCTTTCAGGGTGGCTTGCCTCCAGTGGCGTTGGCACTGTCGTCCCAACTTCCCAAATTTCTCGTTCTGGTGCTCGATAGCTGCATCGCCTCAAGATACAGGTGGAAGTGCTTTTGGTATGGAGGTCTGGACGTTCAGTCTTCTCACAGCATTGTAAAGTTTGGTGAAGCCAGCACTCCGTTCTCAGTCGCCGCAGCATCACCTTCAGCGGAACGAGTGTAGCCAGCCACGATGACGAGAGCAGGTACTCTTCTCATGCTCGACTTTTTTAAGTCGTGTTGCGGCGCCGTGCCCAAGTTCACAGTCGGTGCAGATCTCAGGTCACCTGAAGCAGTCCACATCAATCTCAGTGGACTTCGTTGCTGCTGCAGATCTCTGCGAATCCCGTGTCCCCACTTCAGATGTCTCCAGCGGTGGGAGAACAGTCCCGCGTATAGCCATTCAGGCGTAGGGCATTCGACGTCAAGTTCGAACACGCCGATGGGTTGCTGGCAACCGGCCAAATATTGACGCCTCCGGTTCTCCCTGCTCTTCGGTGGAGAAAGGCCCTCGCCCCAAGACGTCATCCGCACTACCAAACCCAACAGGTCCCCGAACTCCTGATATGTGAAAACGCGGCACTGGAGGTCGTTGAGATCGCAGCAATGTCCCGATTCCTCCCCGCTGCCTGTCAGGCATCTTGTGCTGCAAAGCGTCCTCTTCCATGTGCACTTGTACTTGATCGATGCGCGCTTCTTCCTGTCGACGTAGTACTACGTCGTATCGACTGTTGGATCCTCTGCCGACGGCGTGGGCTAGAACTCCTCCAGCACTGCGTCGGGTCAGTCTTGTCCTTTTCCCGTGCAATTCAGACAGGCACGCTGAGCATCAAAGCAACTGTTTCAGGACCGGTAGCCAATCTTATGCGCCGTCTAGTCACAGGCGCTGGTGCGTGCCTCAGCGTAAGCGCACTGGTACGAGCTCTTGATGTATGGCACAACGTCAGCCAGGCTGTTGAGGCGTGATGTCTCGCGCTTCCGTTGGGAGAGATCTTTCACCACTTCCAGGACCTTCTTCTCATCGCGGCTCGCAGTTCCGCGGAGAGGCGCCTGCCACCTTCCGTGGGTGGCATCAAGTGGTGGAGATCGACAAGTTCTGCCGGTCCTGGGGATGCGTTTTCGGAGGAGCCGGCGCCCAGATGACGACTCGTCCTCTTCGAAGGCGCTGGGAAGAGTCTTGTCTTGTACTCGAATGGACGGCATAAAGCCGGTATTGATCGTGGGATGGAGCGAATCTGAGCTCGTGTAGATGACGTTGCTTATCTCCTCAGGAATGAGGTTGGGAGAGCGAAGCCTATATTTCGCAGGAGCTGGAGCTCGTCAGCAATGCGCTCGTGTGAAGATCCAGACTGTCCCTGAAGGCAGTACTGCCTGATGATGCTGTGCGAGGACTTATTTGTTCCCTTCCTTCGAGTTCTTAGAGAAGCGCGACCAAACGCGCGACGACTGACTGCTCCTTTGCGTGCGACGATGCGGGTTGCGCGTTTGTCGCGTGGACTGTGACGTGAAGCGGTCGCAATCTGCTGGTATGAGGGCAGTACCGGCGAGGGACGACAAGAGGTCTTGAAGGCGTCTTGGCCAGATGGCGAGTGATGAGGATGAAGACGTGAACGATAGATGAAAAGCAGTCATTGAGAGTTGTATTTGCTACCCGTACCTACCTGCAAGCACCTAACAATCACGACAAGCCTCCAGCCCGCCGCCGCAACCAGCAACAGAACCGATGGCCTGCACAACAAAAATTAGCCGCCGGGTCTTTGTGGACGACCCGGTCACCCCATCAATACAAACCAGTCACCGAGAGGGTGACAGACCAAAGATCCAAGATGAAGAGTAGATGAAGAGTCCAAGGTCAGTTGACCTATCAGGTCGGATGACCTCTGGAGCGCATTGCCAATGCCAATGTCGATGATGCTGCCGGTTAGACGGAGAAGGGGGGTGGGGAGTACTTACCGCGTGTCGAGCCCGCTGAGGGGCTCGGGGGCCGAGTTCTCATTGCCCATGTTGTTGACGCGAGGAGGAAAGGAGTGAGAGTTGAGAGGAGAAGCACGAAAAGAAATAGCTGTTGTTTTGCGCTAACGTTAGCGCGTTTCAGGGGGCGCGTGAAGCAGGGCGCGTGCCGCGTGAATCTTTAGTTGAGAATTGATTAATCCATCAAAAACCGCGCGGTCTCCCGCATGGCGCTATTGCGACTACATTGCCGAAGACAGTACTGGTATGATGGTGCATGATCCAACGACGGAGAGCATATCAATAAATTGAGCAAGCCAGCGAGCGGAGAAGGGCGACAGGGGAGCAGCGATGTTGGAAGGCTGCCTTCACACGAACGATAGACAGCAGAGAGCGACTGACAAATGAGAGAGACGATGAGATGAAGACGGGCATGCACAATACTTCTCAAGACGACAGTACATATGATTCCTCAACGCAATCAAGAACCGCAACCAGCCACCAGGTCTCCTCTGGTCATGTGCAGCACCATCAAGCGCCAGCATCAAACCACTTGCTCTGACATCAAACCACTCGTATCCATCTTCGTCGGTATCCAACACCTCCCACCCACCCCAGTATCTCATTCATCAATCATCTCTCCGTACCAGGCCCACCCGCCATCAACACTCTTGCTTCGGCTTGTCGGACTTGCTGGCGAGGAGGAATGGGGTCTTTTTCTTCTCCGGCGATCGTGGAGGCAGGACGGTGAGAGCTGGTGCTGCTGCTGTTGATGGCATGGCTGGATCGGCGGGGAGGCAGCGCGGTGAAAGCTGGCGCTGCTGTTGCTCAGGTCATGGCGGAGTTGGCTGGAAGGCGGGACGATGAAAGCTGGCGCTGCTGCAGCCGATACTGATGGCTGAATCGGCTTGGTGGTATTCGATTCGGAGGGCTTCTTCTTGAGCAACGGCAGAGCCGCGCCGGGTAGGGCGATGGCATCTTCGTGCCACTGCAACGGCACCGGCGATGGGCACGCCGGCGGGGCAGGCCATCGCCAACCCGCTAGCCTCCTCCTGTACCCGCCGCCGCCGTTGGCTGGCCCCATTGTATGGGTCAGGAGCGGACCAGCCCTGAGAGTGGTGTCAGTTCATGAAGGAAGGCGAGGGTGAATGGTGTAGCGTACCTGGCGACGGCAGCGGGCAGCACGCCGTAGGCTCAACCCAGCCGACGGCAGCAGCATGCGACCGCCATAGCCTGCGTTCGATGTCAGCGTTGTCGTCGGCATGAAGTGGTGATGAATATGGCGGTGGAGGGGATCTGAGGTGTACGCGTTGATCGAGTGTGGAATGGGGTGCGAGAGGACGAGGTGGAGGCGATGATGGAGTCAGGAACGCGTCGCCGTCGACGTGGTGCATGTCAAGGGATGGAATACTCACCGCCACCGCCGACTGGTAAGGAGTCTGTTGGGGACAACGCCCCGACAGAAACGCGAAGGCCTGTTGTTGTTGCTGTCGCTGTTGTTGGTGGAAGAAGAAGAGGAGGAAGCGGGCTGGCGAAAGCAGATTTTGTGCTGGGGAAGCGTGGCACGGACCAACGCGCAAGCTTGCCCAGGCGGCAGTAATGGCGAGCCTGAGGTGTCGATTGGACGGTGGGTGAAGGTGGAGGGTACGAGGAGGGAGTCTTTTCGTGCCGGCCTAATATCTCGGGCCAGGCGGTCGATATGAGCTTGTATGACGTCTGCATTTGTATGGCGACGAAGTCGATTCCAATCGTCCAAGGTACGGTATCTGCTCGAAACGAGCCTTTGTCATGTCTTCGTTTCTCCGTCCAGCGTGAAGGCAACGTATGAGAAAACCCTGTTTTACGTTCCAACCTCGCACGAGCTGGCTCTCGCAACGAAGTCCGCATGACTGCCATTTCCTCGTACCCTCGCCATCACCTTGTCTCGTGCCGATATCTTTTCGCACGATTGACCTTAAACGTGTGCTCGAGAATGGATGCTGACATCTCATGATGCACAACAAGCCACATCAACTGAGAGTTCGAGATCTCGATGCTACAGGAAGAGCAGCAGTGTGGCTTGTTCCATGTTCAGTTCAACGACAAGGAGACTGTCATACTATACTACATAAGATCCAACGCGGGGGTGTCAACCCCAACGTTTCGGGAGGGAAGGGTGATGGCGTTGAAGAGCGGCGACACTCTTGCAGCCAGCCGGCGTTGTTCTCAGCACAAACAGAAGGTGCAATATGCATGGCTATGCTTCTTTGCGCAAACCAAACGTTCAGCGCACTGTACGGTTCAGGATAGTCTGGTCTACGCGTTCAGATACCAACACAGCAGGATTCGAGACGTTTGAGCCACCCGCCCACCGGCCACCCTCATGAACTGCGATCATGGGCCATGCTGGAGACGCACTGCGGCCTGGCTGCGCAGAGGCAGATGGATGGAATACTCTCCGATGCATGAAAACTTATTCTGGCAGCGCATGCAGCAGCCGCGATCGAATCCATTGATTCGGTGTGCTCAGTGCAGGTCTCCTCGCCTACCTCAATTGCAGTCAGTCGTGAGGGAACACGGCATGGTGTGCATGCTGGAAGAAGGTACTTCTGGTGATATTCAGACTACAGCAGAACTCATGCATCGAATCAAGCACGAGCTGACACTGTACGGACGCTGAGTGAACGAGCGCTGGTACTGGCCCGGCCATGGAGCCCCTCGCGCATCAAGCCGCTGTGGTTCCTCGTACGAAGTCGTCGTAGTCCATTGGCAGCACAGGGCTACCCGAGCTCCGGAATTCAGGCTTATGTTTGCCTGAGGCTGGGACGAAGCACCCGTCGCTGCGCTTCTTCTCCTCCTCGTCTGGCTCTCACCAGCCCTTTGATCCTACGTCCTGAACTCGAAGCTCATGCCGTGCCTGACTTTCGAATCAAAATCGCAACCAAGCCGCACTACCTTGCCGTCGATCTGGTCAGAGGAGTCCTCAATGCGCTTCCTTTCCTCCCCCTTCTGCTCAATGCGCTTGTTCTCCTCCTCTTCCTCGATGCGCTTCTTCTCCTCCTCCTCGATGCGCTTCTTTTCCTCCTCGCTAGGAGCTGGCAATTCGGGAGCTTCGGCGCACCATCGACCGATCCTGATGTCCTCGAATGGATTTGAGTAAGATTATAGCTGTTGAATCCCGAAGAACAGTGTTGTTCATCGTCCTGGCCCTGGTCGGAAGAGGGCAACAGACGTTATCATCAAACTTGCTGAACATGGAGGAGATTGAAGGAAGAAGCTGGCTGCCCACGAGTTGATCATCAAGCTGGTTGAAGCTGGAAAGACATGGCAGAGACTCACTGGGAGATGTCGCCCGAGTATCTGCACGCCCTCTCCCGAAGTGCACTTGGCATCCACACTCGTGGGCGTTTGAAGCTGCCAAAACGCGCGGACATGCTGCAAGCAAGTCACAGTCTCGAATCGATCGCCTAATCTGTGTTGGTTCCTCGAATTGCGCTCGTCGAGGCTGTATAGTGTATACAGTATGAATGTCGATGAATGGGTATCCCTGAACTTGCTGCATCCATTTTGCGCCGACTCGCAACAGTTTCTGCACCAGCTCTTCTTCGACAATGATGGGCTGGAAACGATAAATGGAGGCCTTCGTTACCAGAGATCAGGGCCCCCGTTCTTCTGGCTGGATTGCACAGTTCCATGTACTGGCAGTCGTGTGGTCTGGCCCAAGCGCAACAGCGCCGTTGTTGAGAGTGTCTGCCCACCATGTCTTCTCTGTACACAGCCTGAGGAACGGCTTTCGCACATGCTTCCAATCACTGACGCGACGTGCGCGCGGCTGTTTATGTCCAAGGCTTATGGGCTGTTTAGTCTCCTCAGCACGGCCGGTGCTTGCTTCAGCTCCTGTGCGTGCACGTGCACATGCAAAAGGCTGTGGTGCAGCCATATGGCAGTTTTCATTGTACCATCTAACTCGCCGTAGTCTCTTAGCTCTTTGTGACCTTTCCATTGTCATGCCGTTCTTTCCTGTTTCCGCGCAGCATCGACCTGTGAGGTCTACTCAAGCTTTCTTGGTAGGTTTGCAGGTACCAAAGTCTTTCTGTACTCCCTCAAACGACACTTGCTGACTGCCACGTCTTACTCCTTGTGTCCTCGAGATGGGTTCGATTGGCGCTTGTCAATATAGACGGATGGGGAAGAGGCGCGCAACGGTCTCGCGCTCGTGCGATCGTGATGAAGGGCGTATGCGCCGAGACTGAGAGCGATGGAGGCCGTGTAAGTTGCGTCTAGGATCCAGTATAGCTGGACTTGCGCAAATTGGGAGGCATCGAACTGTCTTGATGGGTCGTGGTTCGTGTCGTCGTGGGGGTAGGCACGACGGAGAGGAGTATTGCGCGCGATGCTAATACCAACCTGCTGCAGGTCTTGTTCGCGAGCCGCCTTGACCAGCTTACCGGAGTGAGGCCCATCGTCGTGGCTCTTTGTCCACCCTGGATGCAGCTGTGCGAAGCTGGTGTTCGCGGCTCTTTGTATTCGCGTTCGCTGTCTCCACTCGATCTGCCGGTTGTCGCGTCGCGCCTCGAGAATCGAAGGGGTGCCAGCATCATACGGTTGTTTTCGTTTGCAGTCAAGGTGAGGAGTAGATATCGCGGCGTGATGTTGGTGGCGTGTGGTCGCGCGGGCGACTTGGCTGGATCGAGGCCCGCGAATATGAGAGGTTGAGAGGTCGTTCGTATAAGAGGTTGCTGTAGATTTGGCTTGGCGCTGAACACGTGATATTGAGGAGGCACAGGCGGGCCATAGCATTGATGGAGGTGGTGTTGCATCGTGGTGGAGTTGGCACGACTGTGGTGGATGCTGGTGCGAGATGCTGGTGGAAGCGGACTTTCGAAGGATATGACCAACGTCCAAAAAGGTAAAACCATCAACCACACTCTTCATAACGATGATGTAGATGTAAAAGACCTACAGACAGTCTGATAGATGTATGATCTAACCCTCAATCGATCAAACCATTCAAAAAATCGATATGTAGCCATAGCACCCGCCAAACATCCCTCCAGCCATCAAAAAGAAATCCCCCACCCGCCCTCCACCGCCAGGAATCGAACCCTCGACCAGACAAAAGAAAATCCCCCGAAGGGTACAAAGAAACCCGAAGATTTACTTTCTATCTACTGCCGCCTGCCCCACCACCGCCGCCGCACCGCCAGAATAAAGGAAATTTTGACTCACCTGTTTACCCCGAAGGGTGAAGGACCTATCTCCAAATAACCTATATTACTTAGACTGGACCGCCGATCTACCGCCGACGCTCGGAGTTTGTGAACGGGACTGCCCTGCCGGCATTGCTCTGTACTAGCATCACCAGCACGCCAGTTCGCATTCCACATGCTCTCCTCGTCCTACATTCATACTAGTCCCGCATCGACCCCTTCATGAACAGAATGCACACAATGTTACACATTCCTTCCGCGTCGACAGACGACCGCAGCGATACGAGTCTACAGTACCCTGCGAGCAGCCTTCTGCGCCCACTCCATATCAGAAGAAAATCGGGTCATCTGCATTGCAGAACCCCCGTGTCGGCGACATCCATCGAACACACGCACATCATACCTGGCGCCTCACCAAATTCCCCGAGTACAGGCGAAAGCATGAGCGGAGACAGTACAAACCATCGTTCCCTGCCCAGAACGTCGTCACCTCCTCGAGCCCAGCGCAAGTCGTAGGACAGTTTTCCTGCTAGCGGAAGTCTCCCTGGTCTTCAACCTCGTCGATCGATGAGCAGTCCAAGAGCGAGAAGAGCATTGGACATGATCACAAGATCTGGGGATTTGAACGACCAGGATCGGTGAGCAGAAGCAGAAGCATGCAGGCCGTTGACTTTGGGCGATTCAACCTGCTGAGCCTTACTCTTGCTGGCACCTGCAGATGCTTACTGGCGAACAGTACCAAAGGGAGCCCACGGCACAGGCGTCCTGAACTGGCTTGTGGCACAAGATGACGGAGATTGGAGATCTCCAAGGCAGCAAGTCCGCACACGGTCCAAGAGGGCCTCGAGTCACATGTATAATTTTGGCAAACACACTGGCAAGGCTTCCCTGAACACTCTCGGTCGATACATCTGGGCAATCAAATTCGTACTGGCTCTGTTCTTCGGAAGCCTGTCGACTTGGGCAAGAACCTAAAGACCAACAAGGTTGTGCCTCATCTCCACCGAATAATGCATTTGTCTACCCTTAGTTACGAGATTCTTCGATATGGCCGCGGCCACATCATCATCGACCTCTTCTTTGCCTTCAAAGACCAGCCAAGCGCAGCCTTTGGACCTTGTGCGCTGTCACGGATACACATACGGCAGATGGCATACCGTTCAACCCAACAAGACTGACCGCAGAACGCTATTGGAGCTGTTATCACTTGGCGCAACCTTGAGTGGGTCGGAGATCGACATCGTGCATGATCCGGCTAACGACGTCTCTGGCCTATCACTCTATCTCAACCTCATGCGGGGCTCGAGCAACGCACAAAATATCTCGCAGATACGAGGGACTGCATCTCTTCTGCCACCTCCTTCTTCACAACATCAGTCAACATGCAAGAAACGGAGAAGGGCCCCTGGACGAACGTCGACCCATCCTCTCCTGCCAGCGATATCGCCGTCGGACAAGTCGAAGAGCAGAGCAAGGTCAAGGGCATGATCCAGCGTCTCAAAGGACCGAAGATCGATCCAGATGAGCTTGGTCGACAGCTTTTCGAAGAGTCTCAGCAGTACGATGAGGCTCAACTGGAACGAGATGCGGTCAAAGTAAGAAGAAAGTTAGACTTCTTACTGCTCCCGATGGTACCATATCACCAACCCCAACCCCAACCCTACTTCCATCGACGCCTATTGACGCCCTACACGCAGATGTGTGGCACATATTGCATTTCCTTCTTAGAAAAACAGACCTTGAATTACAGCAACAGCTATGGTTTACAAGCGGATGCCAACATGACAGGCAATGACTACGCCTGGGTGGCGTCGGCGTTGAACTTTGGCTGGCTGTTGGCTGCGTATCCTTGGAATTTGGCCCTGCAAAGATTCCCAATAGGTCGGCTGATTGGAGTAATGCTCTTCGTCTGGGGCAGTGTGTGCATGCTGCAAGCAGCAGTCTTCGACTTTGGCGGCTTTTTCACTGTGCGCTTCTTCATGGGTGCATTGGAGGCAGTCGTCAGCCCGGCGTTCATTCTGCTCACGTCCATGTTCTGGGAGAAAGAAGAACAGAGTCTGCGATCGAGCTTCTGGCTGGCATGCAACGGTTTCTCTTCGATCATTGGGGCTTTGCTGGCGTATGGGTCGGGACATGCGGAGGGCTTGATCATTCCGAATTGGAAGCTGATCTACCTCATTGTTGGCTGCATGTCATTTCTTTGGGGTATCGTGGTAAGCCAAACTACTTCATTGTCGAGGTTAATACTCACTCTAGATGACAGATCGTCGTCTACCTCCCCGACGGCCCACACAACGCCAAGATGCTCACCCACTACGAGAAAGTCGTCTGCGTCTGGCGAGTCTCGCGCAACCGCATCGGCCTGAAATCCAACGGATTCAAACCCACTCAGATCCGCGAAGCCCTCCTCGACCCCAAATCCTGGCTCCTCTGGCTCATGGCCGCAGCCGTCGGCATTCTCAACGGCGGCGTCGCGAACTTCGCCTCTGCCTTGATCAAAGGCTTCGGCTACGACGCCCTGCTCACGAGCTTAATGCAAACCCCAGGAGGAGCTTTCGAGATAGTGGGCTGCATCATGTTCGGATACCTCTCCAAGTCCAACGGCTGGCTGTGTCCTGCTATCCTCCTCTCCTGCCTTCCTGGCATGGCCGGCTTGATCGGCATCCTTACCATCCCCATCGAACATCGCCTCGCTCTGACCGCCATGGCCTGGCTCCAAAACGTCCTAGGCGCACCGATCATCCTCTGCTGGACCCTCCCTGGCGTACACACAGCCGGCCACACGAAACGCGCCGCCGTATTAGGGATCTTCTTCGCAATGTACTGTGCCGGCAACATCGCCGGCCCTCACCTCTTCCTCGACTCCGAAGTACCGCGGTATCCTACCGCCATCAAAGGTCTACTGGGCGCTTACGCGGCTATGATCGTGTTCACGGCGGCGTATTGGGCGATTTGTGCGGCGAGCAATAAGACGAGAGATCGGAGGGGTGAGAGGGCGGATCTTGTGCAGGAGGGTTTGGAGGGGTTTGATGATTTGACGGATGGGGAGAATCATCATTTTAGGTATCGGCTTTGATGAGGGAATATGAGGAAATGTCGTGGGGTCTGAAGGGAATAGTGCAGTGTGGTATGGAAGCCTGGCTTCACCTGCGCTGGGTTCAGGTATAAGAGTTTAGAGATGGGTTGAGATGCATAGACGATAAACTAATGATACATGAACATACTACTGCAGCCCTCCGCGAACATCAGCATTAAAACCGTCTCTCGGCGAAATGCTTACCGATGTTGCTATCTCACCTTCTCACCCGAACCTCTCCTATCAAACCCTTGACCTATACGATGCCGTGCGTCGTGCCAGCACTCGCGGAAGGCCAGACGCCCTGAGAAGATCTCACTTCTCTTCCAAACCACGGCGCCAGAGCTGACGAAGATTTCAGAATATCGGTTATGATCTATCAAATAGAAAGTTCAACTCTTTTTGTCGACATAAAGCAAGACCGTTCTCTTGCTATAACTTCAAGCCTGATCGAAATAAGGCGGAAAGCCAAGAGACCGGCGAAATCGTCACTTCGGCGTGAAACATGGGCGCCTTACGTTGTCTGCTGTTGATACATGCTCTCATTCTGCTGCAATGTACCAATTTCAAAATCTCACTACCTACCAGCAACCTCATTGCTGTTCGCTAAGAAGACATCCCTGAGAATCTCCAGGATGGTGGAAGATCTTTGACCCTCGCCGCGAACCTCTCAAGGACTTGTCACAGCAGCGGCATGCTTTGAGGCAGCAAAGAACCAATCCGTGAACAGAATGAAGATATCCTACTCCAATACCGTCTCAACATCTTCAGAACCACCATCCGCCAACCCCCTGAGCACCAACTCCCAATATCCCGAGTCGTAACCTTCATCTCACCTCCCAACCACAGCCAGGACATCGATCACCCGCGCGCTGTCCATGGCTTGCTCGACTTGATGTGTCCAGCGGCGACAAAGTCGAAGAGCTTCCCTTGCAGAGATTGTGGTTTGTTGCAGTCGCACGCAGGTGTGTCGACGTTTCTGGGAGACCTCGAACGGAAACCTCATCAATGATCGAGGAAGACTGGGCGCTATGCTGATAAGCTGGTGCTGTGGTATATCCGAAAAGTGTATGGTCTTCAGCTGACTTCTCGCCCATAGCCAAGACATCGATGACACCCTCCCTGCTCATGGGTCCTTTGACTTCGTGCGTTTAGTGGCGAGATAGTCGAAGAACTTGCTCTGAAGAGGATCTTGTTGCAGTTGCGCGGAAGTGTTGGCCTGTATCGAAAGCTGCGAAGTAGGTATGTCCCGGGCGGTGATCGTCGAAGACGAGGCCATTCCCCATGCGGAGGCATGTGGGGAAGCCGCCATCAGCCAACGACGTCCAGCCGTCAGCGAAGTCCATCGCCGATTACACTGACATCCTCAAGCGGCAGCTTCAACTCTCCCTGACGGCCGTGCAGTACACCATCATCTTCCTCACCTTGCCTATGCTCATGAGATCATCGCCTCTGAAGTATCTTGTGCGGCGTCGTTCATAAGAAGGGCAGCAGGAACTTGACGCGGCCAAGGAAGGATTGACGCAGCAGGAGGATCATCTTCGATGAGGGGACGATGGTCTTCGATGGGATTACCGTGGCGAGATTGACCGTGCCGCTGATGTGCTCCTTGCGGTGATCCTGCGGGCGGCGTTGCGAATGGCTCGTCGGAAGAGATGGGCGGACGTCAGAGTCGAGGCTCAGATTGCGACAGGTGAGCAGCGGCAGCGGAGGAGGTGAAGGCGTGACGAAACCTCGGTGGGGTGGGTTGCGTCAAGGGCGACGACGAGGTTGTGAGCGGGGAGTTGAAGTCACATGAAACCGAACTGTGTTTATAAAAACGTATCTTCGACGACCACACCATTCCACATCACCTGAAGTCAGACCGCCATGGCAACTTGCACAAGTCCAACCCAACCCTTTCCTCCATCAACAAATACCCCATCAACCTCGTCAAGAGGGGAGAGAATCGAACTTTTCATGTCTTCCGTCACGAGTTAGGCTCACGCGTGAGGATGAGCTGACGAAGCTGGCAGGATACGTCGGCTCGTTTGTGTGAAGGAAGTGGTTGGTGATATCTGCTTGTGCATGTCCAAAAGAATCGTCGGCAAGGATGCTGGCGTAATGGTGGGCAGCGGCAAGTCTTGAAACACTGACTTTTGCTTGTTGATGTGGCGGCTGATCTTCTCATCAGGTGGCTTGTCCTTCGATGGTCGGTGGAGTGGGTAGCAGTTGGAGTCGGTGGCAGTTGGAGTCGGTGGCAGTTGGAGTCGGTGGCAGTCGGCCGTCGTTATACTTCAGGCTTGTGTGTCTGGTGAGCCCCATAGCTGGCTTTGGGACTTTTTGACGCTGAGTCGCGCTGCCAGACTCCGAGCCACCCTGCATGGTGCTGGGAGTGGTCGTCGTCCGGCTGCGGGTGCTCTCTGACCCAGCGTCACCGCGAAAACCCATCGACGTGTTCCATCGTGGTGGCGGCTCGTTTGAATCATCACCCTTCTTCTTGCCCTTCTTGGTCGAGCTCTTCGCCTCGGTGATGCCGAATGGGCGGCGTGAGAAGATGCTCTTCTTCGATGGAGACCGGCCGAGGAGCTTCCATTTGCTGCTGCTCCCCGGCCTTCCATGTAGCGGACCATCTCGTTGTCCTTCTCTCGCTGGTAGTCTTCTGTAATCTCCCAGCTGCCCCGAAGGACTGGCGCTCAGGGTCACGGCCAGCCCAACGAAGCAGCGGGCGATGCATCCAGTTGACTGTGTTGTTGCTTGGAAGACGAGGAGGACTGGCACTGAGGGAAATGGCCAGCTCTCCCCGGACGATCGGTCGAGATACGATCATCGCCTTCGTGCAAAGGCCGGAGAGGACGTCGTGGATGGTGTAAAGTGCGTGCAAACGTGCCTGAGGGCCGGCACCCAGCGTCATGGCCAGCCCCCAACCTTCTCTCCTCACTTGACCGCCTGCCGTCACGAGCCGTCAGTCAATGGTCGTCAGATCTGCGAGTGGTGTGGTGAAGCTCACCGAGATGATTTTGATTGAGACCAACTCTTGGAGTTGGCAGTATCGGTCCAGGCGCTGTCGTCGACGGCATCTCCAGCGGTCGAGCCAGCAATCACGCCATGGACCGACCATGGCACACAGAGGGCCACCATGGTCGGACGGCAGGCCGGTCGGCAGTGAGAGCCGGGTCGCTTTGTGAAATGTCAACGGATGTAACTACAGATGAATGGCGACGTGCATGGTCCGCATGGAGAGCCATGACGGGGGTGTCAGTCGAGGAATGATGATGTACTCACACATGGACATGCCGCCGCTGTTCTTGCTTGCGGTGCCGATCCAAGCACTGTCTTCGGCGACGCACCCTGCCGCCGAGCTCGCAACGACGCCATGGCTCGACCGTGGCACACAAAGGGCCACCACGGTGAGAGAGGTTGCCGGCTGCCGAAGCTCACTCACTGAGATGAAAATTAGCCAATGGTCAGGTGAAGTCGATGAAAGGCCAGACGGCGCGCGTCGAGGCGCCCGTGGATGTTGGAGGAGGCACTTACACAGGCGAGGGACACGTCGCGTCGTTGCACGCTTCCACCTTGGTGACATTCCTCGCCGCTGAACCAGAGCCCACGCCATGGACCAGCCAGGCACACAGAGGGCCACCTGGGCTGGAATGTGACGGGCCGGCGGTGGGGTGGATTTACTGCGAGACGTGTCAGTTGAGGTTGAAGAGTGGGAGAACGGTGAAGCTGCAAGTGACGAAATGTCGGCTGGAGGATAAGGAGGTATTTACGCAGCAAGAAAGAGGTCACCGCCGGTCGCGAAAAGACTGCCGCGGAGATTGGGCGGTGTTGTTGGTGGTGGTGGAGGTTGTGGTGTGGATGAAGTTGAAGCGGAGGAAGGAATTTGGTGGAGGCAGAAGCTTGGGCCACGTCGCAGAGTCAGGTGATCGCGCTCGTTCTCGCGTCATACGCATCGACGACGGGCTTGGAGGGGGCGGGGATACGCTTGAATAACATTGACGGTGCTGGCCTCGATGGAGGGATACGTTTTGTACCACCTAGACTTCCTCCTAGAGCTATTGTTCTTGCGAGATGCAGTCCAGGGGTGTTATTCTTCCAAGTCGATATCGAATTCGTACTGCTCTCACTCCATCTGCACCTGCTTGTGGTCCTCGCTACTGCCTGGTAAAGTGAGGAAGTCGGCGTGCTGGGACGTTCCCTGGCTTCTTCTCCGGCTTCGCTTCTTCCTCTCTCTACCAACAACACAACCACGACCGTGCAACACTCCAACCCGTCATCATCGCGGCGTGGACAGTTCAAGTCGTCGAAGGAGCCATACACACGTCGAGTAGCGTCTTTCCACGCATTTGGCGGCACCCCTGGGTGAGCACAGTGACTCTGTACAGCGACTCTCTACAGGCAAGATGCTGACCAGTTCACAAACAGGTATCGGTATCGACCACATCAAGAACTGCTGACGGCACAGCAACGTCTTCTGCATGCCAGATAATCCAAGATCCGGGCACCCACAATGCACTTCGTGCAGAGCAGCGAAAAAAACCGCGCCACGAAGCCCACGACATCTACATCTTTCCGGCTCTTCTCCACCCTCCACGAACACTGCAATCGCAAACGTCAAGCGATGGACGCCGTCAGCATCACAGCTCAAGCAGCTTGGAGCCTTGATCAACCTTTCCCCAGCAGGACATCCATGAACGCCGACCGCGCGTGTTGAGGTCAGCATATCGACTGCATCGGCGCTCTTCTTCCTCCTCAGGCTGAGCAGTCCACCAACAGGCGTCGACTTCGGCGATAGTCCGCAACGACGGCAGCGTGACGTCTACGTCGCAGATGCTTGCGACGAGAAAGCCCAAGAGCAGTGCAAAACAGATCCCTGGTTTCCACTTCACCACGCATACCATGGAGCAGAAGTCACGTGCCAGCACGCAAGAGCGACTATCCAAAGGTACAAGGTCACATGCCTCATCATCTCCCAGACTCAGCGCTGACTTCATCTTCGGGAGCAGAAGTACGAGCCTGCCCTTCTAAGCACCAGTCGCCTTCCATGATGCCTCACGGTCGTCTACTTCGACGGCAGCAGACATTCCCTCCCCACTACCGCCCACTCTTATCCTCCTGGCGCGTCGCCGCCTACCTTGGCAGAACCTCAGCAGTCGTCATCGAATCTTCGCGAAGTACTTTGCATCGAGATTGACGCACACAAGCCCAACGAGCGTACGAACCCAACACCCATACGAACAGCACCCTGCATCGCCTGCCTTGCAAGGGAGGATGTCACCATGAAGAACAGTCGATACTCATGGCTGGATAAAAGAGATGGATTGAGGACATCAACCACATCAAGCGAACGGCAGGGCGACTCGTGAAGCCAGGAGATCATGCTCACGCAAAGACAATCTGTCATGGAGAAGAAGCCATTCCACAGTCAACAAGTAGATGCCACAGAGGACGACCCGTACCCAAGTACCGTCAAGTCGACTTCATCTCGCAAGCACCACCATCGGCATTGAGGTCACACGCAAAGGATCCTTCGCTCAGTTTCCTGTTCAGCTATTTCACAGCTTTGATGAGCTCGCCAGGCACCACTGTGATCTCGACGTCTCGCAAAGCATACTGCGAGTCATGGGACTTTCTCAAACACTTCCGTGTTCGCCAGCTCCAAAACCATTGTCCATCGACAGCGTCGCAGCTCAGCGCGGCATCGCTGGCGACAGGATCTTATCGAGCTTCTCGACAACGAATACGAAACCAAGACCGCAACATCGTGAAGATGAGACATCTTTGGCGGCATCACATGAGAAGGACACCAGCTTTTCCAGCCGGAAAGCAGCCGTCCAGTGCGATGATTCGAGACAAAAGCAGTCGGCCGCGGACAGAACACCTTCAGTTGCCCGCACACGAATGCCACTGAGCATGGCCTGAACTAAAGCAATGACAACACAACCGCCCTCTCACCACGACAGCCATCTCACCACAAGCATCATCCTCGGCATTGACCTCACCCACAGGCGATGCTCAGCTCAACGTTCCAGTCAGAGCATTTCACAGATGCCTCGAGCTCGAACGGCACCTTTGCACTCTCAATGGCGCAACAAAGCCTTCAGCACTGCACCCAAGCGTTTCCGCCCATTCCCATCTTCCACACGATCACTTGTTTTCTCCATCATCGACTCGCCAGCACAGCGCAGCATCATTCACAACAGCACCTCATCCAACCTCTTGCCATCGCTACGGTCCTGGGTAGGACCTTAAACTGCCCGCTGCTGTCGATCATCGCTCGCCGTGCCGTGGCTGGGAGGAGGAAGAAAAGACAATTCCGGGGACTCAACCGGCTCTTCTCAGCCAGGATCGACAGCGACCGACATGCAGAGGCATTTTGAGAGCAAGCTGGTCATTGTTGGTGTCAGCACTCGCTGGACGTCGGCATCTCGCCAACCACCGCGCCTGGATTTACCTGATAACCGGGCGTCCTCCCCTGCGATTGCAGGAGGGGGTAGAGGGTGGTTGGCTGCAATTTGTTCGATACACCGACAACGAGCAGAGTGAGATCGATGCTCGTCGCGGTGGCCCCCAGGCTGCGCTCGCCAACGTTCAGCGAGGGCGTGGCACCGGCCGCCCTCGCAAGCAACTCTACGTCGTGAGCTTCAAATACTGTCGCGTGGATCTCTTCTATCTCCTGGACAACGCTGGCCTGCACATTCGCGAGCGCGATATGGCCATCGTCGAAGCCGACCGCGGCCAGGACCTGAGCACCGTGCAACAGGCCAAGGTGACGCCGGACGCCGCGCGTCTCCTCAAGAAGAAGTATTCGGAGGAGCAATACAAGTGGCTGATGATGTACTCTCGTAACAATGATGGCGGATTCAACCCAAACGCGCAATTCCGTTGCGAGAGCGAGCTTCAAGTGCTCTCGCGTGGACGTCTTCTACCTCCTCGACAACACCAGAGGTGGCGCGGCGGTTGGGGAACCTTCCGCTTCCCACCCCAGCCGTCGCGCCAGAAATTTTATTTTGTCGGGTCGGGTGGTGGTGATGGGGATGGTGGTCGTTACCGCCTTGGGCGGAAAGGAGGAGGCTTGGCTACTCGACTGCTTACATGCTTTGTCGCCTTTGCGCTTGAATGCAAGCACAAGTACAGGTTGTATTGATTCTTTTTCATTTACTCACGCCTTCTCACCTCATGAAGATCCCAACATCAACGTCGCCCTCGTGACCCACCGAATCGAGTCTGATGCTGCACTTGTCTTCCCCCTCGCTGCCCAGGCACTCTGCACGACGTCTCACCGCCCAACGCTCGGGGCTCTGTATTTCAGTTCACACTTCCCATCTTCAGTACGCACCCAGTTCTGCAACCGAAGCGTCCAATATCATTGACTCTGCGCAACGTTTCGATCATCACGCCCATCGGCATACTGCATGACCTCTGAGCTGTTCCCACTCGCAAGTCTGCACGCAGGCCTTCGTGCACGACTTACTGGAGCGTGCGAGCAGCTCCTGAAAACATAGGCGAACGCCCCGCTCACTGGGATGTCTAATTGCAGCGGCCCAGCCCTGTACGTTTTGGCGCTGAAGATTGGGGCTTGGAGAGATTGGGACATTCAGGTAGGCAGAACGTTGTTCACGAATCGTGCTCGAGCCTCATGACAGTCTCAGCGGGTTCAGCAGGTCGAGCACATGGGTGTTTTGGCTGAGGCTTTGACTCAGCTGCAGTCGGCATCCAGTGAGTGAGCCAGCGCTCTCGTTTCTGCGTAGATCTCTCCTTGGAGTCTCCTGCACCTCATTGCCCTGGTCCTTTTTCTCTACCTTCTTCTCTATCTCCTTGATTGGTCGTTCTCCCGTGGTTGGCAACATAGGAGCGTTTCCTTGCCTGCCCCTCGTTTTACTGTCTTCCCCAGCCGAGAAATGGCCAAACTTCTCGATTGTACCGTCACATCAACGGCTCGGGCCATTTCGAGACCACGTTGAGATTCCCTTTGGTTGTTGTACAGCGAAGTCTGCTTGCTGGTGTTGATTCACAGCCGCCTAAATCCATGTCACGAACTCCTTGTTGCTCTTGCTATCCTTGCCATCCTTCTTACTGCCGCTTCCGGGCGCTCTACCCGCGTACGCTTCATTGATCCTCCTCCATGTCCAAATCCATCGTTCCACTGTCCAGCTGCTCAAGACCTGCTGTACGTCTCACTGCCAGCTGCTTCCCGAGTCTTGATCTCCGTGTGCTTCTGCCCTTCGCGACTCACAATGCTTTTCCGCCTTGTCCTAGAGACTGTTCCAAGTACATTTGCCCAGCTTCGCAAGTCCGCAGTCCCTCGAAGGCTCCCAGTGGCCGCTGTTCTTTAATCTGGTCGCTCCGGTCATGTCTGATATGCCCTTCTCACGTATGCTACCTTCGACTGCCTCTTCTGCTGCACGTCGCCGCCTTGCCAGTCTGCTCGATAGTTCTCCGACTCTTGCCTTCTTACAGGGCGTATATCCGTGGTCTCACAGTCTCCCGTCTCCTCGAGACCGCTCTCTCTCAACGCCTGCCTGGTTGCATGGTCGTAATCCTCCTGTTAATGTAGCTGATCGGCCGCTTCGGTCCTCCAGGCTCTCGGGCATGATAGCGCCTGGTCTGGACGTCGGACGGCGTTTGGTGTGAGCAGAGTAGGGCGCACTAATGTACCGGACTTGGATCTTGCGTCTCTCGGTAGGTTCGTCGGGACGTTTTCTTTGTTCACGAGAAGCGAAGGTCCTGACGAGTTCGTCCAAGTCCCTTTGTTCGATGTTCGACTCAGCCTTTGTTCTCACGTCCGGCTTTTAGTCTTTGAACCCCGAGGGCGTTGTCGATATTGTTCTTGCTTGCGAACTGTGTACAGCAGACTCTCGCCTGGTGCAGCGTCGCGCAGGAGGCTATGCTGCCAAAAGTGCTCGGTTACATGCGAGGCTGCTGACCTGGTTATGGAGGGACATGATGCCAAAGTACGCGTACCTCGAATTGAACATACACAGAGTGTACTGGCAGAATTGCGGCCTGTTTGAGATGCACGCTGGCACTGGCGAAGACTCTATGATAGACTAAAGACTGTGCGACATTTGTGAGAATGGGGCTCGTTCGTCAAGACCGTACTCACAGTCATGAAGAAATAACTCCACGCAGTTGCCGAGCGTAAAGCCCATATAGCGAGAAGATTGGCGTGAAGTTCGGAAGATGTCGTCGTCGCCGCAACCAAATGCCAAGCCCGGCCACTTGGGCTTGTTTTTGCCTCCGGCTTGCCGTCCACAACAACATGCCCGCCCACTCATCACCCGCACCAACACCTCATCGTTCAGTCCCCCTCGTACATCATTTTTGCATCTTCTCACCATCCTGCTGAAGCACCTGCAACACGCCGCTGACATTCCGGGTGAGCCGCCACGCCCCCTGAGACTGTTCTGCAGCAAACGCGTCCGTCTCGTCCGACCGCCAGACCAAGGTGAGAGTATCAAGATATCATCCAATGCACCTGAATAGAGCTGACCATAGCTACAGTCTTGAGGCAACGACAGGTCAGTATCTGCTATGCTGTACTCCAGGCTAGCGCCGTGTCTTCATCACTCGCGCGCCTGAAGGACCCGACCAGCAACACCACCAGCATCTTCAAGAAGGCATTGATCTTCCACGACCGGCCCGTCATCTAGCTATGGGCAGCCTACTGGTGGACGTCAACAGCTTGTCTTGCTCGACAACATTCACCCACCTCGAGGCTCGCACCAGTCGGTCGCGCTTCCCGACGGATGCGCCCCAAGAACAACATCGTAGGACCCACCAACATCAAGACCCACCAACACCAAACTACTCGGCCACCCGCTAACTTGCCAAAGAGATCACTCGAGACCCACAACAGGTTGTACCAGCGCCATCGATGCTACAGCCACCTCGCGAACGCAAGCTGGACCAGGTGCAAATGCGCCCGGCAGGCCGAACTGTAAGTTCATCTCTCTTTCTCTCTCCTTCTTCAATGATGAAGTCCCCTTGATCTTCGCCGTGCCCGAAGCTCAATCCGACGAACCAGCCTGCTCGGCGCTCTGCATTTCCTACTCACAAGGCGGACCAGCGGGGCGTCTCCTTTGGCACCAGTCTGGGGAATCTGACTGTCTATTTTGTTGTAGTATCACAATCAGTATGACCGCGAGGTCATATAAAATGCAGTGAAGAGCGGCACTCCGTGAGAGAAAGTTTGCACAAGTGACTCTGACGAGCTACAAAGCTGCTCATCCTCGCAAGTTTCTTGTCCTGATCATGAAGAACTGACATCTTACAGGCTACCATATCCGGCGCTCCCCAAACGGCTCCGTACCCATCGAGATGAATGGAGACATCAAGAACCGTAAGGTAAGCAAATGCTTCCTTCCCCATCCATGACCCACCACCACCCAGCAACATGATGAGAGAAGCCTGCCACGACAAAAGCAGCATTGCCCGTTGCGGATACAGCAGGAGGAGAGGACTGCGATCGAGGGCCGCGAAGTACGACGAGTCCACGACGAACAAAGCATTGCAAGGGTGTCCGAAGTACTATATGTATGAAAGGGATCAAGAGGAGCCGTATCCGAAGGGCTGCTGCTGCGGATGAGTGTCTTGGACCTCGCCAAGATACTTCCTTCTGAAACCACCCCATCTTGCCAATCGAACCGAGGAAACCCTGAGATTAGGATCTTGCTGACACTGAGCGAATAGATCCGTGAACACGCCCCGACACTCCGCTGCTTCAGCTCCAACATCTCAAAGGTAAGACGACATCCCACAAATTCAAACACCGTCCAAGAGACTACCAGGAGGCATGTCGTCCTGAACGCATGCAAACAGTCGCTGACATGGTGAACAGGGTACTTGACATGTCGCCATCTCAAACGAAGCTTCAATGGCCGGCTCTACGTCCTGCTCATGGTAAGTCTTCGCAGTGTTTTCTTTTTATCTACCGATGATGAGCATTCAAAACACGTCCGAGCAGCAGCATTGCCCGGGGCGAGCACTCTCAGGATCTGTCGATTGGTCACGACCCGCTGGCACTGCCCGCGGCGTGAAAAGGAGACGCAGACGCGATAACGAGCGTGCAAATCACACTAATAGAAGGCTGCGGCCTGTGGAGCGGGTGCTCGAAGGGCTGCTGCTCAACATGAGGATGTCCCGGCGTTCTTGAAGATCCGACGCCTTCTTTTTCTGATTTCCACAATGGCCACTTCCTCGACTACCATACTTTGAGCAAGACATTTCGCTGATATGTGGCGTAGCACTCTCGGGCATCAAGATCCACCGGAATCGCCATTCTCGGGCATCACCGTCCACCCAAATCGCGATCCATCCGCACTGCGACCCCTTCAACATCTTGCGTCCTCGCGTCCTCGGCGTCCGACGCAATGGCGGTAAGTACAAGACTCTCATCCCAACTCCTTCACAATGATGATATCGACCACCACCCCTGAGCAGCGGCATTGCCCGGCGCGACCCTTCAAGAGATGGAGACACCAAGTGGGGTTCAGGAGTGTGTAACATTCCAGAAGAAATCAGATACCGGCGTCTGCTCGGGGTTTGCCCCCTGTGAAGAAGTATGAAGGGCTCGAAGGGCTGCTGCTGCGAGCATGCTGTGGGGCTGCACGGTCTCGCGGCTCCGGTCAATTTCTGAGACGACAAGACTGCTTCTTCTGCTCTTGATGTTACAGCATGGAATTTGGCTGACACTCCCACAGCAAGTCTCATGACGGAACGCAAGGATGGATCTCCGCGCCTGCACACCCCTCAAACCCGGCATTGCCGTCAATCAAGGAAGAGGCCAAAGGTACGTTGCTTCATCCCCCTTCCCCTCCATCTCCCCTATACAATGATGATTCATGCACCCGTACTCCGCCAACCGTAGTCTGAGGACTGCGGTAACAAGGGGTACATGCGAAATAAAAGCAGTATTGCCCGTCACTGGAAGCGCGGCAGCTCCTAAAGGAGGCTCCACAGGGCTGCTGCTATTGTCGACAGCACGTTCAACACATGTCTGAGCTTTTGGACATTGTCATCGAGATCCTCTGATACTTCGTGGCGTGGAAAGAAGCTGACTCGATATTTGCCCGCAGGATCTTCCGCCGGGTCGACCTGCGTCTTGCAGTAATGCTGCACCGCCTTCCCAAAGCTACCGCCAGGGACTTGTGAGTACACAGCGCTCCTTACCTCCCCGACATCCAATGATGAATCGTGACGATCAAGAGCAAATGCCGTAAAAGAGGTGGTGTTTTAGCCCGTCACCGGGCAACAAACTGGAGTACACATGCAGCTCGCAGGGCCGCCACCGTCAGACGAGAAACGTTGCATGATCCACTATGTGGATAGTGATTGCTTCTACTGAGAGATCCAATCATTCCCACCGTAATCCCCAAAACAATGGTTTGATACCTGCTGACGATTGTTTTGTTGCCAGTACTCCCCATCCGACCACTTCAAACCCCAAGTCAGCAACGGCTTGGACCAGCAGCACCACAAGGCAAGTCATCCCCCTCTCTCCCAGCACCTACTCTCAAATGATGAAACCTGCTTCATCGATCGTCCGCTCGAGAAGCTTTCTGTGGCTCGGGTATGGTATAAGGTCTGAGCGATCGTTGAGGCCATCGTCGCGAGGAGGTATCGCCCGTCAACGAGCCCTTCATGGACTCGCAGGGCTGCCACCGTTGATGAAGACGAGAGCTGCGCGTTTTAGCAAAGCCTTGTGTCTGAAACTCACAATTCCTCCTCCCTGCTCGACCGCCAGCTTTCAACGATCTCCTGCTGACAGCTTTCGGTACAGGACTGATCGACCATTATCCACCACGACCCTGAAGGCAGGTCTCTCCTTTCCTCTCCCCCTTCCTTTCATGACGACAACTGCTCCACCCAACACCCGCTCGAGTGTGCCAGCGCCGAGCAACAGAAAGGGCCAAGGGTGGAACGCTCAGAGTTGGCGACATGCTCGTCACCGAAGAACTTATACGTACGTTGGCTTCGCAGGGCTGCCGCTTGTGAGGAAACTGCGAGCTGTGCACTGCAGCACGGCCTTGTGTCTTATCCAGAACGACATTCTCCCTCGCAGTACTTCTTGATCCATCAAGGACTTTCGCTGACATATACACTCTCAGGTTCCAACGACCGCAGAGCTCATCACGACCAAAAACTCAAGGCAAGTCTACCTCTTCCTCTCCAACCCCACTCCCAGCATGATGACAAATGCTCTGCCGAGTGTATGCTCGAGTTCGTCGAACCCGGGTGCACAGAAAGAAACAGAGATGGAGCTTCGTGAATAAGCGATATCCGCCTTTCACCGGAGAAAGTCCAAGAAAACATGCTCCGCAGGGCTGCCGCTTTTGTGGAAAAAGAGCGCCGCGCGTTTTGGCACGGCCTTGAGTCTGATTACGACGATGGCCATCTTCATCACCCCCAACTTATCAAGTTTGGTCGCTGACAGCTGCACTTTCAGAACTTCCAACCACCATTGCGATCCTTGCGATCCTCGAAGTTCCCACAACCTTCAGGCAAGTCGCCCCAATCTACACCCTTCCCCCCTTCACATGATGATACACACCCACGAACGTTGGGGACAACGGTCCAGACCGCCCGACAGGCTTCGTGCCTTGTATCGTGGGTCACGTTAAATGCACTTGCATGCCCGTCACCGACACAATTAGGGAGCCAAAGATCCGCAGGGCTGCAGTTCTTGTCGAAAGCGAGAGTCCTGCATTTTAGCACGGCCTTGAGTCTGATCAAGACAAACACCTTCATCGTCACCGCATTCGATTGGGAGGAGGATGCTGACAGATCGACTTTTAGGAGTCGAGAGAACACCATCGGGCTCTTACGACCAACCTATCGCACAAGGCAAGTCTTCTTCAACGGTCCCCAGATCCCTCCGAATGATGAAAGATGCCCGCGAAGAACGCAGACTGGTCGACGTAGTCCAGTGGCATGCTCGTCACCGAGAGGCGTGCAACTACTCCTCCTCGCAGGGCTGCTACTGCTTGACGAGAACATGGGCAGCTTTACTCACGACGAATCACTGATCAGGATCACGACCAACCGTCTTCACTCCTACGCATCTTTGCAGGACATCTGGCTGACATATCCAAACGCAAAACACAGAACGAGCTCGACTCTTTGACCTCACGATCCCCTACGGTAAGCCTCTCACCCCGTTTCCTTCGCCCTTCACATGATGATACACCCCCACAAAGCACACATACAGAACAGATTGGCACATAAATGGCTGGCAGCGGAATGGGGATATCTCTGAAGTCAGCGGCGTGCCTGTCACCGACATTTTGTAAGTGGTCCTCCCAGGGCTGCCGCTGGAGAGGAACAAGAGAGCTGCGCCTTTTTGGCCCGGCCAAAGTGCCTGATATCTCGACTGCACCTTCACATCGACGGACTGTACTTTGAGAATAGACGCTAACGCCTCAACCCTTTAGATTCGACATACGACTCCCGCCCATCGACATTGCCTGGCGGGTCATGTACTACCATCAGCAAGCTGGACTACAGCAGGCAACCTACCCAAGGCAAGTACCTCCTCCCCAGCACTTCCTGCACCCACAACACATGATGACGATCCATCGTGACTTTCTGCCACGGTGCTTCACGAAGAGTGGTTTGCTCGTGACCAGCTGTACATTCGATCGTTAGCTGCGAGGGCGGCTGCTGGTGGTGAAAAGGAGAGCCATACCGTTCTAGGTTGGCCTTGTGTCTGATTCTTCCAACTTCATCAGAAGCCGCGCTATCACCCCGAAAACGCAAAGCTGATCACAAGTCGCAGAAACCACCAAAATGAGTGAAGACATCGTTCTCCGGGCAAAATCCTCCAGTGGTTGGTTGCGCACTCAGGCACCCCAAACCATCCAAGGCAAGTCTCTCTTCTTTCTCCCTTCTCATCCCACCGGAATGATGATACCCAAGATCCCAGATGAGATCAAAGACCACGACTTTGTTTCGTGGCGGCTGGAGAATAGTGGTATGCTCGTCACCAGGTAGAGTTTTGTCAGTTGTCCTGCAGGGCTGCCACTCCTGACGAAGACCACACTGGGCATGAACCCCGTGCGCAATCTGATCATCTTGAAATCAACACTTCACCTTCACCGGAATCCTCAACGAGCTTCAAGTTGACATAGCCGTGAACAGATCAATCGACCATTCGCCCAGCGTGCGACGCAGCCATACCTCACCAAGCAAAAGGCACAACAAGACCACTCGAATATCACCCAGGTACGTACTATCACTTCTCTTTGAAGCACCTCCTTCCATGATGATACCACGAACAACTGGGTTTGGCAGCCCAAAAGTCGATATGCGTGTATGCCCGTCACCGAGCGTCCCCAGAACAAAATGGCATTGGCGGTGTTGGAGGACTCGCAGGGCTGCATCTTTGGCGAGAAGCCTTCTAAGGCAACAGATCTGAGAACTCAAAACACTCTGCCATCGCGACGAGAACTTGCGGGTTGGGACAGTTGCTGACAGACGCACAGGGATATTTTGGAATCTCGAATCAACGCCGACTGCTTTTTGAGCGTCTCCCTGGAGAGCAAAGGTACGCATATTATATTCTCACTTCTTCTTCCCCTCCCCCTCTTATGATGATCCAACCCTATGGGCTTGGCGGCCCAGAATGCCAAACAGCGTGCAAGCCCGTCACCGAGAACACGTTGGCAGCGGCCTCGGAGGGCTGCATCTTTGGCGACAAGCCTCGAAAGGCACCAGATCTGACGTCTTTTCTCCCTTCACGATGAAACATTGCCCATCAAGCGTGGAGAAATTACTGCTGACGCGGTAGCATGCAGATCTCAACCCACCTTCGCCGAACATGCAGCCAGCCTTTTCACAAAGGTACGTTGGACCCCCGTCTCTCACCCACACCCCCAAATGATGATTCATCGACTCCAATCGGATTGGAATGGAATGTTGCGCACCTTTTGAGAACTGCGGTCTTCAGAACGGCCAAGTGCGTATTGCCCGTCACCGAGAGGCCGCTCGAGCAGCCATCGTCCCTAGGAGAAAATCGCAGTCTGGGTCTGAACTCGCAGGGCTGCCCACTTTTGATGAGAGCTGTCAACACACGCAGTGGAGCTGTACATCTGTACATCTGATCGATACTCCCCTCCATCTCCTCGATGTTTGCAAGTCAAAGTTCAGAGCAGATGCTGACGACTTGACAGGTACCATGTCCACGGTCAACGACAAGAACTGCACGATCTGCGGTAAGTCCATCCAAGTCTTCCTTCGTCCATTATACCCCAACACCAAAATGATGATCAATACGTGTGGATCTGGGGGGTCATAACATTATGTCTAAAAAGTCGTATCGCCCGTCACCGAGGGTCCGCTTCGATTTGGTCCGGTTCAGTTTGCTCGAATGCGGTCGGCCTGGAAGATTTTAAGTGCTCGGTCTCCAGGTCCTCGCCGCGCAGGGCTACGACTATTGATGAAAGGCCCTCTACTTTGGCAAGGCGGAAGATCTGATTACTTTTGCTTCCTCGACTTTGCTATGCGGACTTCAGTTCAGGACAGATGTTGACAAAATCGCAGATATCATGTCCATCATCGGCGTCAAGCACAGCCAGACCACCACTGCGGTAAGTTGCCTTTGCGATCACTTCCCTTCCTTTCTTCCATGATAATCCTCCGGCGGGTTGCGCGAGCAAAATGACAGCGAGCAAGGTGCATCGCCTGTCACCGAGGGGCTACAGTTATAACGCCACTCACGCTGGGGTTAACAACGTGCTCGGCCTGAAAGCCAAATCTTTGAACCTTCCCTCCCTTTCCCCCTTTTCTCAGGTCCCCGCCTCGCAGGGCTGCTTCCTTTCGATGAGAAGTTGACTCCGCCGGCAAGACAGACATTCTGATGACGTTCGATTGCTGAAATTCATTCTGTCTACGCTGGCTTTCGAACCTTGCGCTGACCACGTTGCAGGGATAAGTATCTACAACAATTGCATCAGCCCCATGGACAGTAAAGCAGCGGTAAGTTCTGCCCGCCTACATTCCCTCCCATACACTCGATGATGATCCCTTTGTGGGGCGCGGACGAAGCATCATGGACAAGGCGCATTGCCCGTCACCGAGGGGCTACGACTAGAGACAGTCCCACTGTACTCGAAAGTGGTCGGCTTGGAGGGGTCTCATGGTCTCTACCCTCCTTGTCTTTCCTCGCAGGGCTGTGCCTCTTGACGAGAAACACCTTGCGTAAGCAGGGTCAACAATCTGAACAAGACCTCTTCCTCCACTTTGACTACTCAGCTCGGAGATCAAAACTGCAGCTAACCAAACGACAGGTATCACCACTCTCGACGACAGCATTCCGAGCAACACCCACCATAAGGCAAGTTCTCCCCACGTCTTCTTTCTCCGCCACATTTCATGATGACCATCTTGGGGTCCCTTGAAGACGTAATTATCTTCGTAACAAGGCGCATCGCCCGTGACCGTGGGGCTGCGGCAAACGCGGGAGTGTTCTTGTTTTCTCTCCCCTTGTCCATCCTCACGGAGGGCTGCGCCCCTGACGACACGCCTTCTGCTTCGGCTGGGCGACAGATCTGATCTTATCCATATCCACGCACTTCATGCTACGACTTTGGCTTTGAGAGTCGATGCTGACTACATCTCAGGGATCTAGTCTACGACACCACACCCGCTACCGAGTAACAGCCCGGTGAGTACTTCCTGCCTGTTCTTCTCTTCTCTTCACCACATATGATGATCGTCAATTCTGTGGGCTTGAAGGGACTCTGGGGACAACATCATCGCAACAAGAACGTATCGCCCATCACCGAGGGTCCGCCTGAGGATGGCTGGTTCGAACGGGCACGAACAGTTGACCCTGGAGGATACGTTGCAAGTTCTCCAGGCCCCTCGCAGGTCTGCGTCTTTTGATGAGAACCCTCTGCTTCGGTGGAGGACTTCGATCTGATGTTTCGAAATCCTACGACTCTCACCGCACGACTACCTGTGGAGCAGCAGCTGACAACATGGCAGAAAACGACCTCGAAGACCGCACTGGAGATCGCTGCGAACATGTTACACGGCAAGTAAACTTCCCTTTCCTCTCTTTCAAATACTTCATGATGATCACCATTAGCTGGGGAAGGCCATCATGGGCGCCGAAAACAACATCATCTTCAAGAACAAGTCGCATCGCCCGTGACCGAGGAGGCTACGATGCCATTTTTGGGGGTGGACTACATCGTGGTCGGCCTTTTATCTGACTGGGGTCCAAGTCTTCGCAGGGCTGCGTCTTTTGATGACAAATTCTCGCTTCCAAAGAGGACTTCAATCTGAACTACCGTCACCATCTATCTCTTCATCTTGAGTTTCCAGGTTTGACCAGATGCTGATACAATCACAGGTTCCAGCCAGTATCAGCGACGTCAACCTCAAAGAACTTCCATGGTAAGTCCCTTCAACACTTCTCCCATCACAATATGTTATGATGATCACCACGAGGGCATGGAACGGGCACAGGGGGAATCACTCAAAACCAAGCCGTATCGCCCGTCACCGAAGATGCGATATCGAGTTTTTTGGGTTGGCTCGGACGGACGTACTCGACGCTCTCACACACGGGGCTTCGTCCCCGCAGCGTCCTCGCAGGGCTGCGGCTTTTGACGAAGGCCTTTTGCTGGAGCAAGAGGCATTGCATCTGATCTTTTCGACCATCGCTCCCTTCGTATTACACCAACGTCTGGGAATTGATGCTAACTCGATTGCAGGTACCTACGTCAACCACAGCGACACCTGACAACCTCTCCAGTAAGTTTGCACCATTTCTCTCTCTTCCATCTTCGCTATGATGACCACCCCTTGGCAATGAGCGTATGCGCGACGCCCGCCACGACACAAGAACAAGTCGTATCGCCCGTGACCGAGGACATTACGTCGAGATTTTGGCGATTTGCTCGGCTCTCGTCCTCGCAGGGCTGCGACTTTTGATGAAAGAGCTTTTGCTGAAGCAGGAAATGCCTTATGTTCTTTGCAGTGTGGATCTTTGTTTCGAACAGGTGCTGACAATCTTCGTGCAGGTATTCTTGGTGCAAACTACCCGGTGGAGCCATCCTCTACGCCGACCTTTCTCAGCCACGCCAACCCGTCGATGATCTGTGCGTTGCAATACGGTCGACAAATCCTCAAGCTTCCACCCAAGTACCCCTTGAAAGCCTCAGGTAAGTTCCACCAGCCTTCCCCTCCTCCCCAATCCCAATGATGATCTACTTGCACGGCAATCATCAAGGCGGCCTCGAAGCCGTCTGTTCGCTGCCGAGCTTAGAACAAGTGTGCAATGCCCGTCACGGACCACCGTCATGGGGTAAGTGCGGTCCTTTGAGGCCGCGGATCGTAGGGCCTGCCACTTTGTTGAAAGCCTCCCGCTTCCAGCTTGACGACCTGAAATATCATCTGAACCTTGGGAGTTCCACTTTCTTCAGCACTTGAGATTGGCGATTATTGCGGATGCTGACGTCTCTGGTACAGATCCTTCACTCTCAACACCGACACCAACGACAACTCCCCAAAAGACTCCTGCACGATCCCCAGCGTAAGTCTCCCTCGTCTCCCTCCCAACTTCCAATGATGATTTCCACCGCACTGCTACCGGGCCAGCCCAACCCAAGCAGTGCCCGGAGAGTGTGCATGCCCTTCACCGAGCACGCGAACCTGGGTAAAAAGTGTAGTATCTTGCTTGTCAGGGCTGCACCTTCGTGACGACAACGGCCAGCTTGCAGCGTTAAAGCATGGGGCCGGGTGAAATCTGAGGACTATTTGACTCGCACTGAGATTTGACAAAGACTCCGAGAAGCCATGGCTAATACACTCCCAGAACGCAAGACCGACAGCGAACGGTACATCATACATCATCTGCCAGGGTAAGTCCTCGACCTTCATTTCTCCATCTGCCCCAATGATGATCTCACCCGCACTGTTCAGGGCAAGCCCGAACCCGGACAGAGACAGTGCACAGAAACTGTGTGTGCCCTTGACCGAGCACGCGTTGCAAGGGCATGCTTTGGATGCTTGCTGGGCCTACTTTTTTGACGATGATGACCCACTTGCAGCGAGAAAGCATGGGGTCGATTGAGATCTGAGGAGGTTGAGATTCGCGTGGCGAGATGTGGAAGCAATGTTCGGGGATGGATGCTGACTTGATTCTTAGCAGGTCTGGTCTACTATTGATGAACGGCAGTCCTGCGGGTTCTATCAAAGCCGCCGTTGATAACGGCCTTGCCCAACCATCAGGTACGTCGATTCTTCAACTTTCTCATCCTTAACGGGCCCAAGGCTCCTTCTCATGAGTCTTGGACATTCCCATATACCATGTACGATATATATATCAAACTATATACTCTGCCACATACTCGCACACCAGTCCCCATTTCTCTTCACGTCGTATACATCCAGCCCCAGCCATATACTCTCCCCCACGTTCTCTAGGCCAAGGCAAGATGTCAACGACGACGTACCAACACCAATCTTTCGAGAGCACCAGGCGGTTCCAGCATGGTGCCGACCACCCCTGAAGCAGCATAGATATACTCCTGGAAGAACAGCAACATTCTCATGAAGCAGCAACATCAGCCACCGTACCCAGAGCCTATCTGCCACCCCAATCAAGACGAAGGAACGATCGTTCAAAGACATGTCCTGTGCCCTGCCAAGTTCCTGCTGCCGAAGAGCTGCATATCAGGCCTCAGCCTTCGGCTTCCCGGAGGAGACATCTTCGAGCTGAGAGTCAACACAGACATGGACCGCTTCTTCAAGGACTCCAGAGTGAAGCTCGTAGACAATCTCGACCTATCCATTTCTACCAACGACGCCAAGCCTATCTACCGGGAAGACGAATTCATCTCCGTGGAAGATTTGAAGTCTCCCTCCGCTGCCAACTTCCTAGACACAAGATCCGTCCGCTGGAAGATGCCTCGAGGAGAAGCGTGAAGGTACATGCGGTTACAAGGCGTCGCAACAGGGGCAGTGGAGGATTCTCACCGTCTTCTAGGATACGGAAGGACATTAAATGACCAACGAATGATGAACTCCAGGCAACGCAGAGCCTTATCTGCCAGGAACGTCAATCAGCCCGTCCATCCAAGGCGGCGTCTCCATCAAACTCTCGGTAGCAGGGAAAGAATCATGACATCCATCAGCCAGCAATCCTCGCATCATACTCTCGAGCCATGGGCATGGTCAATTACTGGCAACATGGACCCCTGAAGGTTGAGAGGCCGCTCGCTGGACGAGCAGTGCACGCTCACCAATACCGACAAGGCAGATCTTTGTGTACCAAGATCAGGATATGGGTATCTGGCGCTCAACACGATCTCATCGACCTTTACTGCGATCATCGAGCTCGCCATGCAATACTTTGGTCAAACGACCAGCTGATCTCTGTCTTCGTGTCGAAGTAGCATCATGCAGCTCAAGTCCTGTCAATCTCTCTCCAAGAGCAGACGACTTTATCGTGAGACGATGTCCAGCTGGAGAGAAACTAGAGCGTTCTTGAGAAGAAGGCAGCAACGATCCTGAATCTCCAGTGCATTCACTCAAACACCCACAGGAGCATTCAGGACACTGAACCGAAGGAACATGACGCCAGACTCGATCAACAATGGGCAGGGAGAAGCACATTTTTGGAATCTTGTTCGTTCAGCCGATCTGCACCATCAACAGCAAGCTTCCAACCCCGACAACTTCCCAGAAACAGAGCATGCTCCGCCTATCTTGCTGAAGTCCAACCATCCAGTCTTTCTGTGGCATATCTCCAAGGCCAAAGCAGCTCCAACACCAAAACACTCGAATCCGGCGGCGATGAGTATTGAGATCTTCACACGACAAGATGGCCGCATGCTCAACGATCTCCGCCATCCTCTCCGACCATCCGAGGCCAACATCCTCCCCAGCCATCCAAGATCCTTCAGCATGCCAGCAAATGACAGGCAGATCTTGACCAGGAGCCATTGCGACATTCCCATGTCCAGTCACACCGCCACTGTCATCTAGCATCACAACTCCAACAACGTTGAAGCACCAGCAGCTCACGCGTAGCATTCAGATCCTCTCGAACGTGTATCCTCAAGCTCATTGCGGGCGAGTCTCGAAAGATGATAAAGAAGGTTCGGCGAAGTCGATGGTGACTTTCGCGAGGAAGATGCTTTCGAAAGGCGACCAAGGCAGATCGTATACTCATCAAGTGTCGAGGATGTCGAGGATGTGATTGGCGAAGTGTCGCAGAGTACGAAGGATGGAGAACGATGATCGTTTCTGGCTCTGCCTGCATGCTGGCAGGCTCCAAAGTCGTCAAGGGGCTCTTAGCGGCGAGGTTCTTTGGGCTTCGTGGATGGAAGCAGTCGTCAATCTCGAGGTGGCTCCGTTGGCGGTGACGCTGATCTGGGCGGCGAGGGTTTGCTTCGCGAGGACGAGAGCAGCGCGATCCCTCTCCACCGGCATTCTGGAGCCCAGCGGAGCCCGAAGAAAACCAGACAACGATTGTGACACCGTGCGACGAAGATCTGCCATTGCAAGGAGGACCGGGGCAGGGAGTCGAAACGGGAGCGAGTCCAAGCCGCATTACAACAGCATCGGGTTTGACACCGAGAATCTGGAGTCAGACTTGGAGATCGTCGAGGGTAGTTCGGCAGCAGGACGTTTCTCGTTGGAGGTCGATGTTCCTCTGGGCGGCGAGACGGCGCCTTCTTTGGGAGAGAGCAAGGACTTGGACTGCAGCCAGTTCGTGCAAGTCAGCCGGCAGGCTGGAGTCGAGACGATGATGGTGCTTCCGCTGGATGAGATTTCGACCAAGGACTTCCATTGCGATACCACGACTGCCAACTCGACCACCATCGACCAGATCCAAATCAACCAACACCCATCTCAACCACTCGGCCATCCTGCATCCCATCAGCCTCATCCAGCTCCAACTCCCCCTCGCGCCAACACCACCAACCCAGAAGCAAGAAAGTCCAAAACAACAACGACCCAGATCTCTCAGCACCAGTTTCAACGCCAGCGAGGCATATCGCCTGAACCACCCTCCTCACGGAGAGTGATGGGACCAAAAGGTGCGCTGCCGAACATCCCTCCCACCAAACGCATCGACAACAGAAAAGAAAGACAGAACCCCAATCACCCACGATCAAGAGTCTACCACGAGCAGTCTGCAAGAATCGTGAGAAGTGAAGTCTGCCAACGAGAAGTTTGCGACTTAATCGGGCTGGTCGCTCACCGTGCGCAAGAAAAGCAACGCAAAGAAGACGACGGTACGAAAACCGGGCTGGTCGCTCACCGGCGTGAAGGGAACGCAAGGACAAAATAAAACCGGGCTGGTCGCTCACCGGCATGAAGGAAAAGAAAACAGCAACTCAAAGTACGAAAAAAGCCCCCAAGGATCCCCACACAATACGCAAGATATTGTCCCGCCACCACCCGGCATGCACGCAGAGGCCGTCTTGCAGTTTGAAAAAGCCCCCAGAAATCCCCACCATCCAGCATGGCATCATGCGTCTACCACGAGTAGTCGTCAAGCGCTGCTTTCTGAATGCGATCTGACCTCGTCCGGCGAGTGATCAAGAGACAGCCGCGAGCTGTACTGTCAAGATATCGCTTTTCGAGATGCGGAAAGCATGAATGCAATGCGTCACCACCTTCAAGAGATAGCCGAGAGCTATACTGCAAGGCTCGCCTTCGAGAGATGCCGCAAAGCATGAAGTGCCCCATGAAGCTGTTGAAGCGAAAGGATGCCACGGCACGCCAGACGCCAACGCTGTCCCGACCAAGTCCGAACAAGAGTTGAGAGTCGACTCGCCGCCGTCGGCAGAACCTCATCGGTTCAAGATCCTCGGGCGTCCAGATCGACTCGAAGACCAAACAAGATGTGCGAATGGATCTGTCGTCGTCGGCAGAACCTCAACGGTTCAAAGTCCTCGGACGACAGATCGATTCAGAGCCCCCAGAGTCCCCACGGTGAAGAAAGGAAATGTGCGACTTAGCCGGGCTGGTCGCTCACCGTGCGCACGGAGAAAGGAAATACGAGAAGGGTCACCTCAGCATGCGTCTACCAGGGTAGTCGGCAAGTTCGGAGCTGCGCCTTACCGGGCTGGTCGCTCACCGTGCGCAGGGGGAGACAAGTGCCAACACCTCAGCATGCGTCTACCAGGAGTAGTCGGCAAGTTCGGTGGCGGGACTTACATCGACGCAAGGCCGAATGCCCGTGGGGAGGAGGAAGGGGAAAGAAACACCTCTGCAGTCGTCTACCAGGAGTAGGCGGAAAGTTCGGTGGCGGGACTTACATCGACACAAGGCCGAATGCCCATGATGATGAGGAGGGGTGGCGATGAGCTGTGGGTGACAATGTTCATTCTTTGACTATGTGTCAACAAGTCAGCCCGATGCTTGCCATGGTATGGAGGAAGCCTGGACCGACCTATGGTATTGGAGAGCTGGCGATGGCTGCCTGTCAGCAGAAGGTCCGCGGCTTCTGCAGACGCCATCGCCCTGGCGAGGATGTGGTATGTGTCCAACCTTGGAGGTGTTTTGTACGATCTGAGACGATATCTTCTTGCCCTGGACTTGAAGAGTGGTTCTTGAGATGTTGTGGCGAAGAAACGACGTTGTGTTCGTTGGATTCTGTCGGCAACAAGTCTCGGCCATGCGAGCGGCGACAACGATATGTCTGGATTGCAAGCACACTCTGCTCCTCCTCTTATCCTCCTGCTGAGGTCTGATGACTGCCATATCCTCCTTTTGCTTTCTTCTTCGAGCGAAGGTTGATCGGTACCGGCGGAGATGGGCGGCGTTGATGTGGAGAGGGGAAGCTTGGCGACCGAAGATTTTGCCGATCCAGAAAGCCAAACTCGACGTCAGCTATTGTCTCGATGAGCCTGCGGTGAGATATCTGTCAGCGATGCTTTTGAGATGAGTTCTCGCATGGAGATGTCGTACCTGAAAGCGGCGGCTATCTCTCGCCGTCGATGCATTACCATGCCGGCAGTGAGATGCATAGTCGCGTAATGAGAGAATAAGCCGGAGAGATGGTCAGTATCTGTGATATCCCTGGCTTGGATCGACATCTCTTGAGCGGCGTTGCGGTCAGCCGGCCTGGATATCGATGTCAGCAATCTTCGCCGCGGCGGTGAGGTGTGATATGGACTGAGAGGCGTGTGATCAATATCAGAAGGGACTTACCAAGCTCTTTGGAGTGATATGCTCGTCGTCGCTGTCGCCAGTGCGGTGTGATGAGGTATGGGGGTGGTTTCTGCGGCGAAGCTCGGCAGTGGACGATATCACTGGTCTCCCCGGCGGTTGTGTACCTCATGGCGGCGGTGATATGCCAGAAAGTGGTAGCGGGGTTTCTGAAGATGCTGACGAACCTCGTCGAGATCCTTTTGATGCCAAATGAGGTGTTGTTGGCGTGGTCTTGGTGTCTGAAGCTCAAGTCAGCGATATCGCGACCGAAGCCTCCTTTGCGTCAGCGGCGTCAATGAGGCCGATATCATGAGTTGGGCATCAATATTACCTTGGTGGAGCTTCTGACGAAGATGAAGAGGCTCCTCGAGCATGTCAGAATGTGATATCGAGGCTCTGTGGTGTTGTTGTCGCCGTCGGAGGTTGGAAGGAGCTGAGAAGCCGATTTCGATGAGTGGGCTTTCAAGTGCCGCTGTTGCCTCTGAGCCGCCTGCACGTCGCGATATCATCAGCAGAGCATCAAGATAACCTCACGGAGCTTCTGAAGATGGTTGAGAAGCCCCTCGAGATGATTTGCTGATGATTTGAGGTGTTGTGGTGGTGTTGTAGGTGGTGGAGGGTGGAAGCCGCCGCAAAGCCGCCGCGGCTGGCTGACTGCGCCGTTCGCCTCGGAGGCCTCACCAGCGCCTATATCATCAATTCGGGGTCAACTTACCTTCGCGGACCTTCTCAGCCATGTGAAGAAGCTCCGCCAATGTATTGCGAAGCAATATGAAGGTGTGGTGGTGGTGTTGTGAGTGGTGGAGGCTGGAAGTCGCTGGCCAGCTCAAAACGCCGCTGCCGCTCGGCGGAGTCACAGCTGCCTCGGTGGTCTCATGACGGCGGTATGGGGTCAGCGAGGCCTCGGAATAGCTCTGCGGACGTCGAGGATGGTGTTATGAGCCTCCGCCAACGTTTCGCGAGATGGTATGCGTGTGTGGTCGTGGTGTGGGAGATGGCGGAGCAAAGAAAGAAGTCGCTCAAAGCTGCCACAAAGCTTTGGCCTCCGCACTCGCTTCTCCGGCCGTTTGCTGCGTCAAAGACGGCAATCACGAGGCAAGAGGTCTTTGACGAGTCACTCAGGTCGGTCGAGATGCTCAGGACAAGAAGCAGAAGGTGATATGGGGCGCTACTACTGTGCTGCAGGCCAAAGAGGCAAGAAAGGGGCAGAAGCATGGACAGAACGGCTCGAAGCAGCGACTACTTCGTCAACAACAACACCTTTACTGCTGGCAGTGCCGGGGCAAGAAGCCTCCGCGACGACTCGCATAGCCGCTTAGATACTCGCAATACGCAGCAGAGGACGAGAAAAGGCACTGCGCATCCAGTGGAGCTCATGGAGGGAATGAAGAGGCAGATACACAGAGAGAACGGTCAAAGCGGCCATTGCTCCGCCTATCTCCAGAGCCTCAGGGCCAAGGAGGAGGCAGCCACGAGTCGGAGAGGAATACGAAGCTCTGCAGCACGTTGGGTCTCAATATCATACGGACAACGAAGTGATCATTAGCCTTAAACGTTAGCCGTGGCCGAGGCAGGGACAAAACCGGCACCAGATAAGACCCGTGGATGTTCTTCTTCGTCATGAGCTGCAGACGCTGCTACAAGGCCTGCCATATCGCAGAAGAGCTTTGCGAATGTTCGCAATGCACTGCACATCCTCTTAATAAGTACATTCAGCCACAACGAGTTTCTCAGGGCGGCCAGTAACCTTCTGCAGCCAGACTGGTAGAGAGAAACGGCACTGCCAGAGTCCTCCACATCATAAATCGTGATGTGTTTGCCGCAATGACAAAGACATTGACATGGACGCGCGACCTTCGCGAGAGCTCTGAAGTCGCTCGACGAAAGTGTGATCTGTACCGTTACGTGCCGTGAGATCTCAATGCTGCCCAGTACCACGAAGATTGCAAGCCAACAGCTGAACTCAGCGTCTGCTTCTTCGAGGGTACCATATGGATCAATCCTCCATGAAGAACGAGCAACTCTTACGCACGTTGAGAACGGCATTGCTACAGCTACGATTAAAGTGCGAGGGCTATCTTCCCAAAGAGGCCGTGTCGCTCTCTGCTCAACTACTCCTCGATAGTGAGATCGTTCCCTTCCTGGCCCAATGCTGGTCGGGTATGTCTCTCTTCCAAAAGACTTGTATGTGCACTGCCAAAGGAGTCGGCCCTGAGCGAGCGTAGAAACACATTTCGTGATGCCGCAGATGCCTGTAATTCAGAAACCTGGTTGTTGCGAGATCTGATGACTCTGCGGCGTTGTATACGAGCCGCCTAAAGCCAGCAAAGGCCTCTCGCAGATCTCCACCAGAGCGGTCTTCGTGTGCGAGCAAGACGCCATCGTTGCTGCGAGCCATCATCTCTGATGGCCCCAAGTATCGCAGTCTGCTCCTTGTACGCAGTTTCTGCTCCGAAGCAGTGTATTAAATCCTTCTCTTGCTCCTGCCTCGAAAGTACGACTGCCCTCCACCCCCAGACCCTGCCTGATGCCCGGCATGCCCCTTCAATGCGTCCTCGAAAAGCTCTTCTAGCCCACGCCGCTGCGCCGCTCTCCTCTCCAAGTCCTAAATGGTGCCATGTGGTCGTCTGGGATGAAGATCGGACCGACTGCTGGATGTTTGTTGCTGCTGGAAGCTCAGAAGCTGCCGGATTCTTCTGCGAAAGTGGCTTTGCCAGACTAGCAAACACCACCCGCACTCTCCAAAAACCGTTCGCTGACCGTGGCATTGGCAATCTGAACATGATTTTTGTGGTCTCGATGCCGGGGAGATGATATGGTGGTTGTGAGAAGGGGTGAGGGCAAAGCCAGCCAGCGCAAGCAGCTACGCCAAGACAATGCCAAGCCCAGGTCGATTTCCCTCCGCCGCCCATACCGACGGCGATATCACTATGGGGGGCTGTATAAGGCCTGGCAATCGCTGCTATGGGTATATGAAGCCTCATCAAGAGTTTTAAAAGGTATATCAACTTGTCTCAGGGGCAGCGCAGCTCAACGGGGCAGATACCGCGGCGTTGGCGCCCAAAATCCCAAGCGGAATCCACCTCCCTTTGGTGCATCCCCAAACTATTCCCATCTCTCTCACCGATACCCTCGTACCACATCATCGTCCAGCACCATAGCCCCCAACGAACCCACGGAGAAGAACCCGCGAAAATGACCGCAATGAGCTCCACCACCGTCCTCATCTGCGACATCCTCTTCCTCCTCTTCACCGCTGCGCTCGGCGCTCTAGCTGCATTTTCCTCGCGCCGACGAGGCTCTCCTCCTCCAGCGCCTCGCACCTGGCGCATATCCTCCACAACCGGCGCAGATGAGCCGATGGCTGGGCATAAGATATGTTTGGGGAAGGGGATACCCATGGGGAAGAGAAGGTGTCCGTGTGGGAGGGAGGTGAAGACATCGCCGAGGAGGATGAGGAGGAAAAGAGCTCCCAACATGTGGCTGGACTGGTCAGCGGCGATGTGAGATACCGCGTGCTGTTTGTGGAAAGAGCGTACGTTGGGCAGTTTGCCAGGACCATAAGAGAGGCTCATAGGCCTCGAGCAACATACAGCAAGAAGGCAATTGGGCAAAGCATACTCGCCCCTGCGCCGCCAGAAGGGTATATATGAGCCCGTCCAGCGCCATATCTGTGCTCTCTTCATCCACATACCCGAACACACTGCAACCACATCGTCAGCCTCGACACCACAGTCATCCTCCACAAGCTCGAAAGCACAGCCACCGCACTCTTCGCACACCACACTTCCGACAAAGCTTTCTCCTCGACGCAGTCATGTTTGGCAAGAAGAACGAGAACAAGGGCTCAGGCGAGGCCGGGTCCTCTTCCCAGGGCAGCAATCCCAATAACCCAGCACCACTGCAGCGTTAACCAACCCTCGAACTACCAAAGCTAAGCCGTGAGACCACACCAGCACACCAGCAAGGTAGCACCTCTCAGAATGCCCAGTTCAGTCCCAGCGCACCTCTCAGACAAGCCACCGACGATTCCATCTCTTCGGAGCCGGGCAAACTGGGTGTTCCACGCCGGAATACGCAACCCAAAGCGACTTCGAATGCAGAGCAACAGAATGAGGAGGCACCGTATGGTGATCTCATCTTTGCCACGGGCGCGATGAGAGGTCTTGGCGTGAGCAAGGAGGCGACTGCAGCGAAGGACTATCCGGGTTATCTGAACCGGCAGCCCAAGGACAAAGATGATGGCGACGATGGGAATGCGAAGCCATAGAATCCATGCGTGTGCAGCTTCAAGCATGCTGATGCGGGTGTTACGACGGTCTTGGGCTTTCATTGCTGGTGGCGGGTGCGATTTGGGCGAGCAGATTCTTCTCGCGGTCGTTGCTGCGTTCCTGCTTTCTTTCTGACTGCTGTCGCTTGGGCGGCTCTGCTGGTGCGCTTCGGATGGGTGCAATTGCCCGCAGCGTTTTGCTTTACCCCATGTCAGACTCGTATGGAGCGTCTTGCCTGGCATGACTTTGTCTCTTCGACAGACGTTTGAGTGAGCAGCATTTGGGCGTATCTTCTCCTTGCCGAGCTTGATCTGCATTCACTCCATCTGAAGCTGAGAAAACGACTTCATCTCATGCAATGAAAACCCCACCAATGCACGAGCTTGGCGAAATGGCGAGAGTGACATGGAGCACTTTTGAGCGTCTTCGGGATCATTTGCGCCCTCCCAATCATCGACCTTCTTCTTGCTGGCTTCACTCTTGGAAGGCTTCACGAACGCGAGCGCTTGTCAAGTGACTCGGACGTCCGAGGATAGACCATCCGTTACTGGCTGACGGCACATCTGTACGGCTGACGCTAAGCATCGATCCCAAGCGGAATTTGAGGCCATATTCTCCCACTACAGGCTTGCCATTGGTCACCGGGAAGAGAGGCGATTGTGGCAGTCTCGCGATGAAAGAAAGCACTGGCGGCATGAATCACGACGCACAAGCAAACGACCTCTTTGGGAACGCCACCTGTGAATGGGTTTGCTAACATCACGGACTGCCATCATTCTCAATTTGAGCAAGCATATAGTTGCGTAGCTCGCCGCCACTACCGCTTTGCGAGGCTCTGAACCGCAACGTGACGCCTCAAGCAGGCACCAGAAGGGTGGTCGCCAGGACCGCACAAACAATTCTCCTTCTCGACGCAAACCTTGCTCAATGTTTCAAATCATGTACAGCCATGCCCATAGTCACAGGTCATAGAATGGATGCGGCCTTCACTGCTGCCTCTTTAAGCTATTTATACAGCCTCTACAGGGAAAAATCTCGTCCTTCACTTCCTCTACTTCTCTGAGAAGCTCAGAGACATCTCTATCCACATTCAAGCCGTTCCCAACGACACACGCCGAAGCCACCGCCGAAGAAGTGTCATCCCACAACTGCTCCAAACCCCATTCCAGCGGTTTTCTCCACTCTTCGACTCGTTCAAAACCTCAAATATGCCCAGTCAAGGCAGCAGAGACCATGGGTTGGGCGAGGCCTCCTCGTTACGGCAGGGTGGAACTTCTGGAAGTGCTCCTCGAGACCAAATTCAAGCACGCAGTGTTTCGCTCCAACCTGCCCAGCCCTTCCCACCAGAAGATCGAAGTTATCCTGCAGAACCGTACGTCCCAAGCCTTCGCCACCAGCCTATAGTCCCTCCGAGCCCGAACCGCGGAAGAAACTCAACAATCGGCCTTGAAGCCCTCACCGCAGTAGTAGAAGTCGCTCAGACAAACCCTGCCAGCCTTGATGCGCTCACGGCAGTAGCAGCTCCTCGGGACGATACTGCTGGCCTTGACGCAGTATCCAAAGCAGCTGCAGTTTATCAAAACCCAATCGCCTCAAACCAAGAAGAGATCGCTGCCCTAGCTGCTGTTCGAGCGGCGAGGAGAGAGCTCGTCAGTCATCGTGTCATACCTGAGCCTCAGGAGAGAGCTCAGCCTTCCCGAGCGATGCGGCAGGACGCAGCGTCTATGCCACCATCACCTGCACCGGCTGCGGCTCCAAGCACCCGCAATCCTCGTGCTCCCAGGAGTCAGGCTACATTTGGGCGAATGACTACCGATGGGGAGTATACCGGGCTGGATGAGCAGCGGGGCACAGATGCCAGTTCTCACGCGGAGGACAGCTACAGTTAGCGGAGACCGAAATGAGTGGCAGCTGAAGCTCAGGGTCATTCATTTGAGGAACCAAAATGGTCTGGTAGACACGTCTCCGTCAAGCGGCGACTGCTTTGTGTCCTTGTCTTTTGGGAGGGTTCTTGCTTTCGGCCTTTCGTTCTGCTACCGCATCTAAGCTATCAAAGCTGGATATCTTTTTCAATGAGCTATTTGATTAAGGATCGACCAACTTTCACCATGACTTATTGCCACCATCCACATCTGCTACTTCGCTGAGTGGGCGTTCACCGGGCTTGGGGTGTCATTCCCAGTGGTAGCTCGTGGATTGAAACAAACAGATCAGAGCACGCTTTACTCGCCGCTCACGGGAGGCTGGATGCTTGCCCCTATCACGTACTCTTGCTCACTATCGCAGGCAAGCGAGTAATGACTCTAGTCATTACCCCAAGTGAAGGGTATTTAAGAGCCTCGAAAGACTGCAAATTTAGGGAATCCGAGCCACCATACGACTCATCGGCATTGATTGCCAACTGCTCCAACTACAGCGAAACCCGCGTATCAGACAAGACCTCGTCGCTGCTATGTCTCGCCGAGGAAACTGACCTCAAGGCTCAGGCCGGGGCTCGAGCTCACGGAATCCTGACCAGGACGAAGATTCCCCACCCAATACCGCACCGTACATGATGCAACCTAGGTGGACAGGAGGCCCACAGAATTTACCCGGCTCGGCACCTACTAGGCAGCCGAACTACCCCGACCCAAGTCCATTTCAGTACCCCTCACTCACTCAGAATCCGCCTTTCCAGCAGTACCAGCCCCGCCCAGAACAACGACCACCGTATCTGCGTCCAAACCAGACAGACCCGCTGTAAGGATCAACAGCTGGCCAGCAGCCACCCCCAGCAGGAAATTTCGACCGGATTGCTTCAGTACCCTCAGGGCAGGCTAACAGCGCAGCACGCCCAAGCCGAAGACGGTCTGAAAACTACTACCCCATGCAGGCGGCCCCAAGCGCTCAACCTTCAGGATATCAACAGGCTCCTCCGCCTAACACAAATGCGTCAAATGCTGGTATCAATAATCCTATGCCGGTCCACAGTCCCGCACTCGGCTCAGGGGCTGGAAACAGGATCGAAGTAGCGGAATCATACCGAGTCCCAGGAGGTGTACCTACATTCGATGCGACGCCTTTCGTTCCTCCACCACCCGATCAACGTACTAGAGTTATAGGAACATTATCGCCGCGGCAGCGTGGACCGCCTCCTCGACCTCATCCACCTCTCTCAAGTCCTTTCGGCGTGCTATCGAGCTTTGATGGCCAATACGTGAACACTGGAATCGTTCGAGATGCGGATGGAGGAACATACCCCGGAGACACTCCACCAAGTCACACAAGTGGATACATGCGGAGGCGAAGAGACTCCCACGATGACGATGATGATGATGAGTAGATCGCGAGTCCTGTCTTAGCCGGAAGCTATGTTCGCACAGTACATGCTCACGGCGTTCTTGATTTCGATTCACTGTTTCTTTCGTGATGCTAAAGTTCTGCCTTGAAATCGCCATTGCCTACTGATAGCGTAACATCGATACATATCACAAGCCTTGAACCAGACTACCACATCATGAGTCAAACATGTGTGCGCGGATCGAGCATGTGACTTAGATTGCACATGATGGAAGCAATCAAAGGGAGTGGAAACCTCCACTAATCAACTAAGCTTGACAAAGGACCTTCCTCGACACTGCACGCTTATATCAAGTGACATCCAAACACCTTGTTTACTGCTGTTTCGAAAGACGCTTTATATATAGGCAGTCCGCAGCAGCAGACATTCTTCACTGTCGTATCGGCCACACATCGCAGCTTCTACGTTCCCCCCAAGCGTTGGACCACAGACATGTGCGACGCCGTCCGCGATGATCAGCAACAGCAAGTTCGGGCAGACTCATCTTCCCAGGCTGGCAGTTCAACCCAGCCGTCTCGATCCGCCGAACAACCCAGAGCCGCTAGTGGGAGTTCCCAGATTACACAAGGGTCAAACCCATCTAGAACACTTGAGCCTGATCCGCGCATTGGCCCAAGTAAACATCCTCTCGATTCAAACGTCCAGCAGAACCAAAGCAAGCTCCACTCGCAGCGTTGTGGGATAGGGGATTCTCAGACGACCCTTCTCCAGGGGACGATTTCTTTCGACGAGGCCTTCCTGTGGCTCAACCACACGTAACGACACCTGTTATCAACGAAATACCTCCAACTCCAATTTGCTCTCCTCCTAGCGTGCAACACAGCCTCAACAACCCGAACACGAGTCAAGGACTTCCAACCAGTCCACGGCCAAACCGATCCCCCCCCCGTTCGCAGCGATCGTAGGTTTGGGCGAGGAGGCTCGTGCGCTTCTGTTACTTCGGCATTTGCGTTAGTTTCACGTCGATTCTTCGATCAGATCGTATGTAACTTCCTTGGCCTGGTGTGGTCTCCTTCACTCTCCTCTTCTTGTTTTTCAAGCCGAGATCGATATACCAGCAGTCGTCAAGTTAGGAGACTGCTCGCTTGCTTTCTTCCGCGACCCTGTGATTGCTCTGGCATCTTGCGGTGATGCCACGCTCTTATTGCTACGTGCATGTGTCATCTTCAGCATCCGACTGATAAACTTGGAAAGTCACAGGAGTCCGTGGCAAGACTCGTCAAGTTCGTCACCCGGCAGCCGCCCACTGGCAAGCCGCGATCAGAACCCCTACAAGCTGTTTTGGAGGCAGACTTCCACACCGTGTCCGAGTGCCAGTTCTGTACAAACACATCGTTCACGGTTGTATTTGCAGAGTATTTAAATACAGCCTGGTCGGCCAACACAGCCTTGTTCTTCACCACATCACCTTCACCGCCTCCCTCAACGCCAAAACGCCCATGTCCGACCAACGCAGCAACTACCCAAATCAGGGTCAATCCTCCTCGGCTTCCCAAGATGGCAACGCAAGAAGGCCACCCATTGGTCTTCCCGGAGAACCAATCCAGCCTTACTGGGCCCAGGGCCAGCGACCTCCCGCTATCGAGCCCAGCATGAATCCGGGCCCAATACAACCACCCATGAGAGCTTCGACTTGGGAGCAAAACCGTCCCCCACCCCCATATCAATCAGGTTATCTTCAGAGACCCCCAGATCCCCGACAGTACCAACCAAACCCACAACCGTACGGATCGAACCCGCAGCCGCATCAGCAAATGCAACAGCAGCGTCAGCTCAACCCCCAACAGTATCAGCAAATGCAACCACATTATCAGCCAAGCCCCCGACAGTACCATCCAAATCCGAGGCAGTATCCACCACCTCCGCCACGCCGGCAAACAGCTCCCATCGAAGTGATAAACCGTATTCCAGGCCAGGGCCCGGGCTCCAGCCTGCCGCCCGAATACCATTTCAGAAAAGGAGTGAGAAGAGCTGCCGGCATGGAGGGAGAGACCATCCTTGTGCCAGATGCAAGAGACTCCACAGGTCTCGCCAACTTCCCAGCTCGATCTGTTGATCACACGAAGTTGCATGAAGACAACAGCAACGCGGTGCCGGTCACTAGAGGCGAGTATGGGACAATCGATGCAACGGGTCTCTATAGTGAGCTTGAAATGGAGAAGGCGACTGACGAGAACGAAGAAAAGGGGAAGGAGGGCAAGGGCAAGGAGGGTAAGGGGAAGGGGAAGGGTAGGGGAAAGTGAGTATCGCATCTGTTGCAGTACGGAGATGGTTGTGGAACGGTCGAAGCAGTTCGGCGCCGGGTGCCAGTTTATACGTGTACTGTCTTTAGTTTTCTCCCTAGGGTCGTGCTGTATATTGCGCATTTGCTCCCATTGGGCATTGAGCCAAAGCGAGTTGTGAGTAGTCTACCTCATTTTAGATCCTAAATTGATTCCTGTCACCATAGGTCTCGTTCACTGAAGTCGACGCTCCAGACTAGTGTCATGTGTCTCAAATGAGGCTAAGGTGACAGGAGATTGGTTTACGAAACCCCTTGTCCCGACGTATGAAGCTGTAGCACGCTGACTGATCAGCGCGAGGCTGAGGATCTGTCGTTCACTGTTGACGTACATGAACTCTCTCTTCACGATCGCCGCAATACAAACACTTTATTAACGGTCGTCCCCAAGGCTATATATAAGTCGACGAAGGCATCAACGCCTCATACCCCACGGGATCAGCCTCGCTGCCACAACTTCACAAAGTCAAACCACCATCCTGAACTCCGCCCATCAACGTTGCTGCTAAGGCTCTTTTACTACCACAGTCTGACGTAGCAGCCTCAACGCCTACCTTCCAGTGCCCCTCACATAACGCAAGTCGTGAGCGTCAATCATGCCCGCCCAGAGCAAGGATCAAAATGGCATTTCAAGTCCGCCACCTTCAACACCACAATTCACAAATTCCAACGACATCCAACACGTTTCTGCAGTTGTGCCTTCACTCACCGCTACTGCTGGGCCAGCGCAAAACAACAGTGGCGGCGCCAATGGTGTAGAACCGCAATGGAAGGGAGGCTTCGTTGCTGGTGTTCTTGAAAAGTGTGATCCGAAGCTGCAGAAGTAGGCATGTTTGCTGGGAAGGTCAACAACTGCCTGCTGGGTCTCTCGCCGATATGAGTGTCAATTGAGGTTTGTGGTGCAGACTTTTGGAGGTCGTTTGATAGAATGTTCTGTACTTCGCAATGCGTTCAGGGGTCGAGCTTCGGGCGGTGACTATCTGCCATTTGCAGCGTTTGCGATTCTTATTGGCACTGTGGCCAGCATACAGACTCGCGTATACACTCGAAGCTGACTTTCATATTGGCTACACATTCACACGTTCCCCACATAGCCATCCATGGCTTCCCAAGCGAACGTACCTCCGCGTTCAAGCGGCCGACGACGTATACTCCCAGTCTTAGCACCCAAGGGCTTCATTCCCGCGCTCGAACCTCCCACACCAGCGCCGCAACCACCAGGAGCGAGAGAACTCTTAACGTCTGAAGCCTGCCAGCTTCTTCACCCACGGCAGCGGTACCCTCAGTACGAGCGCCTCCCAGACGACTGGCTCCCTCCCATCCGCCTGCCCCAACAACAAGCAGCACTGCAAGTTCCGGGTGAATACCCTCTCCCGTCTGCCCAAGATGGCAAACCCACCCAAGTCCGACCAAGAGCAAAACCCGCGACTATCCCCGTGCATATCTTCCAGGCCAGGGCAGCGAACGCCAGTGCTACCCCCGCGTCCACCGTCGCTGCCATGGGATTTGGGAGGATCGATCTTGAGGGAGGGTACTCTGGTCTTGCGCAGAGGCAGGCGGTAGCTACGGGAAAGACGGCGGAGGATATCTCACTGCAGAAGGCGGAGGAGAAGCATTGAACGATGCGGGAGAAGACGGGGCAATTGCCCATGCGAGCTTGGGAGGTTTGCTGGAGACACGGTGTGTCCTGGGATAGTGACTACAGGCAAACAGTTGGCAAACTGCAGTCTTCACTGCTGCACATGCAGCTTTCGCTAATGACTCTGATGGGTATATATACAGCTCATACCAGGACTCGAACTTCACAACATCATCCACCTTCCTCAACAATATTCAATCTCCCAACCCAAGCCGCACAAAACCCTGCACATCAGTGAACCCCCCCTCAGAGCCACTTCATAACTTCACAAAGCCTTAAAAAACCTGTTGCATAACCTTGGGTATCTTCAGTAAAGACAAGAAAAAGGGCTCCAAGCGAGGGTCCGCGTCTTCACAGGCCAACGACAACAGCCAGCAGCCTGGCTCCCCTTCACGTCCACCGGTACGCTCGCCTACTCAGCCAACCCCAAGCAGCCCTACATCATCTCAAGCCGGCAGCATGGCATATCCTAATACCCCTTCTCGCGGCCCACGACCTCAGCAACAACCACCATACATTCAACCAGGCCCTGCACCCCAGCCAAATGTGCCGGCTCCAGATTACTCTTCCAATGACCCCGGCCGACCAATACGTGAGGCCTTGCGAGGCAAATCCCCCGTACGAGATGAGTTCGGGCAAGTCATAAGCCTTCAGCGTGATTAATTTGGCACTCTACCACAGCCATGGATCGACCCATCTGCGCCGCCTTATCCACCTCCCCGTAAAATGGCTCCGCTGAAAAAGACTAGCCAGTCCCGTAAAGATCCGCCAGCACTGGCACCGAGGCCGGTCCAACCGGGGCAAAGCCGCAGTGGGCTTGAGGTCTATCGTCGGGGAAGCGAGGCCCTCGCCGAAGCACAAGCAAGAGCTAATGCTGATCTCCTGGCTCAACAACAGTCTCTTCCTCCGCAAACGTACGGTCGTATTCTCCCCCAAACAGGTCGCGGCGAGGCTGAGCGAGGCATGTACGCGACTGCCGATCCTAGGGCGTACCAGGCTCAGGATGAGAACCTATACCATGTCAGTGATGATGAAGGACACTCGAGCGATGCCGAACGGCGGCGGAGGAGGCGTTGAGGGTGTGCTGTGACTCGATGGCTCGTGGATGTGAATGGAGCTTGTTGGTGAAACTGGATCTTGGTGGCGTTTCAGCTTTGCATGACTTCTGTATTTGCCAGCTTGGAGATGAGGGTTTCAGTAGGGTGATTCCCGTTTCTGGCGTTCGCTCAGTAGTTTGCTTGCTTGCATGCCTCGTGTTGCGGTCTTGGGAATTGGTACGAATGAAACATCAGTTTGCTCAGAGCAGCTCGTGTATCTCCAGTGTGACTTCAATTTTGCAATCTGCCCAATCTCACTGCGGTATTTGCACGCTTTGCCCTCAGGACATGCGAGTGTATAGGCAGCCTTTCTTGGACTCTAGCCTCCTTCTTCGAACATCATCCTCCAACCGCGTCAAGTCCCTTAAGCTCAACGAGTATTCCACGACACACCTCACCCCACGAACCCGTTGCACTCAACATCTGCAAGGTCTCTTCAGGTCGACCATGCCTCCTATCCAGCAGAAGAAGAAGAAAAGCTCTGGCCAAGGCCAATCAGGGTACCCAAAAACACAACCGGGCTCCTCCTTCACAGGCCAGAGCTCGAGCCAGCAGCCCGCCCCGTCGAACCAGAATATCCCTCCTGGCGGCGTCAGTGGCAATCCAGCACAGCCTCCTCTGCCACGTCTAAAAATACGCCCTCAAAAAGCGATCAAAGTGTACGAATGCGAAGGAGAAGACGACGCTGTGACGAAGGTAACAACATACGACTACTCGAAACGCAAAGAAAGCATTCAGACGCAGAAGTTCGAACCGACTTCCCAGGGAAACGACCCTTCGCTCACGGTCACGGTGACCACGGAGGACGATGCTGTCCAAGAAGAGCATTACTACCCGAAGGGCCGCCCAAGGCAGAAGTTGGAGCCTGTCGATGTGACAGGAAGGCCTATCCCTCGACCACGTCGTAATCCTAAGCGAGTGATTGAGGACAATCTGAAGGAAGGTACTAGAAAGCAGACCCCGTATTGGCAGGGTCAGCCAGTGCCGAAGGACACAGATGAAGAACAAGGGGAGTCAAGCTTTGGAGTCCGACGTGGAGTCCCACAGACACGGGTCGATGTGGGGGAGCCGGAGGATTATGATCCTGACCCTGGTTTCTATGGCGATGATAGCTGGGATTACCAGCAGCTGCGTCGTTGATATGGGTTGTTGACGGTGGAGATTCTGCCGTGGGAATCTTCTCAGCGGACATCGTCCACTGGTCTTCGTGTTTAGGACTTCCTACTTCGCGGTGCTAGCGTTTGGGTTGTGTTGCTAGTTGTTGCGTCTTCGGAGTTTGCTGATAGTCTTCTTTCTTGATCTTTATTCTTCCGAGCTGAGACTTTGTGCTTTGGCGTTGGGTTTTAAATACGTAGTTGCTCGCTATATACACGTTGAATGCTTCTGGCTTTGTGCTTTGTCACCATGATCAGCCACCGTTCAGGGTCGAGCATCGTGGCTGAGAGCACGAGACGTCTCGCTGCGTTGAATTCATGTAGTCTTGTGTATTACTCCCTGCCGGATAAGACGACGGTGTCATTCCTGCTCTGAAGCTGTACCTAGTCTGTCCATACTAGGTCGAGTTTGGATCGGCGAAATACTCACCCAATGATCTGGCCTTGGCATACTGAGTTCAAGGCCAGCGTGTAATATTCGATGGAGCTGAACAGACATTGAAGCAAGAGGTCAGTGTTTGATTCATATGGTCGAGGACTTTGGAATTAGCAAGCCCCTTAGTAACATTTGTGCTCACACCAGGTCTTGATGGCACTTGCCCGCTATTCGCCTCTCCTGATGCTCTGAGGCTCGCATGCAATGAAACTACCCCTGACAAACATGAAAAACCAAGCAAACATCCTTCCGCCTAAGCATAGCACTGCTATGATACCAGAGTTTCTTCGCAGCTCCGTCCCTTTGAAACCGTGCCTTGCTGCCTTCACATGATTTCGATTCTTGCTCACAACTCTGGGCTTGACATGCGATCGTCTCCCTTCTCGCCGTCTGCCAGGTCCTCCTCCTCATCGTCAGAATCTGGCAGGTACACCACTCTCTTGTGACTCTGAGGTCCTGGCGTGTGATAGGGCCGGCTGGATGGCGGAGGCGAAGACCCAAAAGACTGAGTCGACTTGCAGCCAGGTGTGTCAGCAGGAGCTATCGCCATCTCAACGTCCTTCGACAGCTGATCAAGCAAGTCGCGCTCCTCCTCCTCGTCACCTCCCATCTCTTGGGGGTTCTTCTCCTTCTCAAGCTGCTCCTCGTCATCATCGTCTTGAAGCACAAGTACCTCTTGTGCCGGCCCATTCTCAAACTGCCACCGAGAATCCGCAAACTTCAGCGTGTACTGCCAACCCTCCAAGCTCTTCTCCACATCTTCCCACTTGCCCCCTTTATCGCGCTGCACGCTCAAGAAGAGGCCGACAATCTGATGCAGGTTCTTCCACTCGCTCGCCCCGTGTCCGATGTCGCTGCTGGTGAGAGCTGGGACTTTGCCCTCGTGGAAGAGGCGCAGCCAGGTGTTGAGGTTAGACCAATGGGGGTCGTAGGGGACATCGAGGGTGATGGCGCCGAGGGGCAGAACGGTGGTCGACCAAGGCTTGGTACGGCGGAGGTGGAAGTGATAGAAGGCCAGAGCTTCGTAGCTGAGCTCATCCTTCATGGAGCTGAAGCGAGTGTCGTCGAGGTCCTTCATCCTCGGGTCCGCCATCAACATGCTCTTCTTCTCAACCTCCTGACGCTCGAGGTCTTGCTCGTAGAGGACGTCTTCCAATGGGTAGAAGTCCGCATCGAGGAAGTTGTTTGTCTTGTGGTCCGCCATCACGATCGAGTTCTCCTCGACTTCCTTGCGCACGGCGCTGACGTGCGTCCACCATGGCAGGATTGCAGCCGCATTGAACTTCTCGATGCGAATGACGAAGGAGTTGACCGACCAGAACATGCCAAGAGCCAGCTTGTGCAGGCGATGGTTGACGGAGAGAAGGGCGATGTTGTTCTTGCGAATGAAGGCGCGGGACATGGGTAGGTCGATCGGCTCGTCTTGGATTAGGTCGGTGAAAATGAAGATGCGGGCGAAGATGGAGTCGGGGAGGGATTGCAGCTGATGAACGGACTGCATCCGCTGGTTATGGAGGTGCTGGGAGTTGTTAGTCTTGGTTGTTTGTGGGATTAAGGCACTTACTGATAGCAGGGGGCTTTGGAGGCTGGAGTTGAGGTGGTCATTCTGCTGCAAGTATGTGCGACGGGTCATCTCCTCGGTTTGGAGGCGCTGGCGCTTCTGCTGCTGAGCGCTGGCAGTGTCCGCCTCGACCTTGCGCTTGGTTCCGGCGAGGTTGAAGAACATCATGTTCTGTATCCCGGGAGTGTTGGTATGGATTGTGGTACTGATGCAGGATGCGAGATGTTTTGTTGGGATGGAAGGTGATGGAGAAAGCAGGACAAGGTGAGAAGTTTGGTTGGCTGTTGCCCCTTTGGGAAGCGCGAGTGAAGGCGGGCTTAGTCACTAGCGCCCTTTCACCGGGCGAGGTGAATATGTCGAATTTAGTCAACAGCGCCTCCATCCCCAGCGCACATACAGCAATCAAGACGTCCATCTCTGTATCAAGCCCTTTCTATACTCAAACCCATCGGAGATGCATCAACAAAACGATCAAGATGAGCTCCCCTCCCCCAGCAAAGCGCGCCCGTCTCGCCTCTGAGGCCGAAGTCCTCCCTCTCCTCTTCCCAGCGGCCCTACCAGGCGCCCTCATCAACGCGCACATCCACAGCGCCAATCGGCTCCACATCCTCGGCCTCATCCCAGAACTGCGCAACCGCATCATGGAGATGGCCCTCTCCTCTCCCGACGACATCGCGCTCAGCGCCACCAGCCCCCAGCAACCTCCCATCTTGAGGACTTGCAGCCAGCTTCGCGCGCAGTACACGCGGGTTTATTACACCATCAACAGCTTGGTCCTTTCTCTCGAAGCCTACAACGGCGCCGCGACCGTCCCTGCCGTCAAGGCGTTCGTCAAGCATGTTGAGAGTCCGATGGATTTGGAGATAATCGAGTTTTTAAGAGTGGAGAAGTGGTGGGTGAACTTGCTGGAGTGGATGCGCCTGGTGCACGCTGGCGAGATGCCCAATTTCGTGGAGGGGGCGGAGCAGCGGTCAGGAGAGCTTCTTGTCATCGCGCAGATGTTTGGGGTTGTGGAGGAGATGAAGGGTGTGGATTGGGAGATTACGAGGAAGGTTTTGGAGCGGTTTCGGGTGCTGTTGGGGGAGCATGATGTGGACTGGCATGGTGACCCTCTCGAAGACTAGAGGTCATGCCGCAACAATGGTGCAAGTGCACATTTCAGACGACCCATTTGGCTATTCCCTCTCCGTCCCGATGTCGGCCACCAAGGCGTCAAGTCCCTTTGACACGCTTGGTCTATTCATGATCACGAGGGAAACCAAACGGTTTGGCACCCTAAGATGCTTGTCATAATTGACTGACCTTGTCATCCACAATAGAAGTTGTCGGGAGTCAAGAGCCGAACGGGGTATCATTTCCAGTCTTACGTCTATAGAGGGGTTTGGCACGTTTGTTGTGGCTGGGCTTCTGACCTTAGTGCTTTGTCTGCGTAAGTAAGATATCATCTCCAGTATCGCGTCTCTTAAGGGTTTTCGAGCGGCGGTCATGGCTAGACCTTTCCGCCCGCCGCCGTACCTGATCAGGGAAATGGTCACTGCTCCTTCTCCTCTGGACCTTGCACCACCTTCGACTTGTCCGTGAGAAACCTTTGATTCGCCTCTATAAGCGTCAGATTGTTCATGTAACCTGACTCAACACATCATTCGAGACACCATCATTTGTCCACTGCACTGGAAGTCAGACTGTAGCAAACGGGCCACATTAGGTATTTAGTATCTCTCGTTGAATGTTTCCGCGAGAATGCCCACCGTAGTATAGAACCTAATGAGAACAACCAACAGCAGTATATACCGCGTGAGCAAGCCGTGTGGGATGACGTGACGTTCGGGTCGCCCTGCCAAGCTTCAGGAGCCGACCTTTTCAGCTTTTCAACCCAGAAATGCAAGCAGCTTCTCGACAACACGAACATAAGCCAACTATTCGCACTTTATTGCATTGCCGCGTACAAGTGCAAGCGATTCCGAGACGTCGACAGGATGTCTTCACAGCGACAGGAGGTGGACTCGGCCGCTGTTACGCTCGCTGCCTTGATGAGCGACTTTTCTCTCGAGGTGCAGGAGTGCGTCGCAAATGTACGTCTGTCTGGGGGCGCTATTTGGACCTCATTGCTGATTGATCTCGAGTCCCTCATCAACGGAGTCCATGCCAAGAAGAAGAATCACTTGCTGGGCTTACCAGCTGAGCTTCGGAACGCCATCTACGGGTATGCGCTCGTCAAGCAAGAACCGGTCAAGGTGTATGCCCGCACCACCCAGCAGCCGGCGCTGCTTCAAGTCTCCCGTCAGATGCGCGATGAAGCCAGCAGCATCTACTACCAGGACAATGAGTTCGAACTCGTGGTTATGGACTACAACGGCGCCGCCTTCGCGCCGTTCTACAGCATCATCAAGCGCCGCGAATATAAAGTTACGCAGGCTGTCTCCAGCCATCGTCCAGACTGGAAGAATCTTGTCGCCTGGATGAGCGCTGCGTACCACGACAGGGCGTGGGGTGTTGAGCAAAATGTCGCTGGGGGTTGTGCGTATCCCACGATGCCCAGAGACTACCTTGCTGCCGCCGCCATCTTCACCGCTCAGTTTCGGGTCATGATGCATCTCCCATGGGCACAAGTGGAGACCATCATCCAGGCAATGCGTCCTGTGCTGATCCTTCTGGACTGGCGTTGGGAGCTGGACGACTAGGCTAGGGTGGAAGTCTTGGAGTCAGTGGCAGTGTATCAAAGGAAGCTGGCAAGGTATGTCCGCATACCATGATCGAGAAGACTCAGCAATTGGAACCTCGCTAACCACCTCAAGCTGCCCAAATGTCTTTCAGATCCTCTTGCTATTCCCGTTTACAGTCCCGGTCCATATCGTGAGCATTGAAGCATCGACGTTGCAAGGCTCGAGGAAGGAGGGCGCCATATGCGCATGGTGCGAAGGAGCCGGGGAAGAAATTGGGTCGCTTTGTTGCTCAATGCGAGGGTTCTTTGATCGGCTACCAACCCGTCCGCTGGTTTCTTTGTTCTGGATAACGTATCGTTGAGCACATTGCAATCGCTTACTCTCAACCCCCAAGCCTGCGAACGTCTGCAGTGAAATGAGTTATCTGACTCAGGAATTGGATCGCAGTGCTGAGAATAGACATGCTTCTTGTAACATCAGTACAATCGGCCTGCCGCGTCATCGAGGGGATTTGGCTCGAAAAAGTCGTAGGGAACGGCAGGATCTATTGGAGAAGTTGTCGAAAGTACCATCAGGTACGAGTATTGGCGAGGTCTGCCCACAAGCAACACGGCGCATTGCAAAGTCCCGCACACAACAGTGAGTTGTCGCGAGCGGCGTGCCTCATCGTGCTCATCATGCTCGTCTAGAAGAGCAGCGGTGATTCAACCGTCACCGCCCTTGCCGTTTGGCGTCTCTGTATTTCATCTTGGTCGCTACAGTTGATCTGGACGCTCACGGCTGCCCGGCGTTCGACCTGCATAGTAAATCAAGAGAACCGTGAACTGCAAACGTATGTGGAGTCTGCCGTGAAAGGCCAATTCACGTGGGCGTCGCGCCGCTTGCCAAGATTCAGCAGACTTTTCAGCTCTGCAACTCCGAATTCCGACAAGACACCCGCACACCATGTTCGGATTCGACGTCGCACTCCCCCATATTAAACCTGAGAAAGTTGCAGCACCGACAACATGACTTCGCAACGAGAGAAGATCGAGTGGGCAGCATGCGCCAATGCCGCCCTTCCCCTTGCGCTTCAGTAGTGCGCTGTCAATGTAAGTCTGTAAGATGCCGCGCCCTCGACTGTACAGCTGACATCCTCTTAGTCGGCAATGAACACCATCGTCCACGCGAATGCTCGAGCGCACCTCCTCGGCTTCCCCGCTGAGATCCGTAATCGCATTTACGAGTACGCGCTGATTGAGCACAACAACATCAACGTCCCTCCCACCGGCATGGCGCAACCAGGCGTTCTACGCGCGTGTCGCAGCATCCGCAGCGAGGCGACCAAGCTGTACTACGCCAACAACAAGTTCAACCTCGCAATCCAGGACTACAACGGCGCGGCATACGTAGGCTTCTACAAGACCATCCAGCTGTACGATTCGTCCGACACTCTCGCCTCCAACATCGAGATGGTATTCAGCGGCGGGCCCAACTGGCAAAACCTGTTGCGCTGGTTCGAGGCCGCTCACGCGCGCGAGATCTGGAGTCCACTGTTCGATTGGGACTTGAACGATGCTACCAAGGAACTCGCTGCCGTCGCCACCCTCTTCCGGACGCAGGTTCATACGATGGGCTACCTGCTATGGAGGTAGGTGTAGTAGACCATGACCGCGTTGCGGCTCATGCTGGTGCTTCTCGATCCTGTGTGGATTATGGATTGACGGCGCTGTGAGCGCGCTGACGGATGCATGGCGGTGACAGCAGGTGACATGCACTTGACAATTGCAGGCCTGAGGAAGCTTGCTGACGAAAGTGGACAGTCACAGCCAGACACAAGCGAAATCCGTGTAGAGGAGAAAGTGGCGATACGATTATGGACAACGAGACGTGGCAACAGAACCCGGAGGAGGTGATTGACGTAGTCGATAGGGAAGGTGTCAAGCGGAGGAAAGGCCAGGTCGAGATGTAGTTTCCAGCAAAGACTTCGACACCTCGTCGAAAATCCATCTCTCAGTGCAGCTTCTCAAAATACAGCTTGTTTGTCTTAGGCAGGAACTTGAACATGGCCGCAGCCTTTGTTCTCCTCCGTGTGCCCCTCCTTGATATGCTCCAGGACAGTGTCCACACCCGTGACGGGCACGAACCTATAGCCCTGATGTTGCCTCAGGCAACCCCCCTTGCCGCTGGGCACGACTTCGAACTTCCAACCCCAAACCGACGACAACACCACCACAGGCAAACAACAAACCGCAACGAAGCGCAGGATGGAAGGTGGCACCGTGTCAGGCCGAACCATGTACGACTGAATTTCCATATCTGTGCACGGTGCCTAAGAGCTGACACGAGCCAGGGATGTGACGGGCATGGTCGCACTACGGCTTCAGGGTAAAGCCCAATGCATACCGGTGGGAATCCAGATGCCGTATGAGGCCGGCCTCAAAGAGCTAAATGCGCGCGCAGAAGGAGTTGCGCCTTCAGGCGATTCGCAACCTACCACGACTATACTTGAGCCTGTAAGCGGTCGAGTGATGCTATTTGTGTCGTGTTGCTGTCCTCGTAGACCAGCAAGCGTGGTGTGCCGTCCGCGCCTGCGCTGAAACCCCGATCTTGCTCCATGTTATGAAATTCGAGCTGGCAATCATCAGTTCGTAGCCTCCAGGCCCGGCCTTCTGTCCACGTTGGCTGGGAGTTCAATCAATATGTTACCCGAAGCGGTGGAAGCATCGAGCGCTTGGTCAAGCTGATGGTTCTGATTTTCGTGCTGGTAGCTTCTCAAACGGCCATTGCGAGTGCGTGGTGTGCTAGCGATTCTTGCCAGCCCCATGAAGCGTCTGACGAGATTGATCGCAGTGTGTACTCATCGAAAGTGCCTGACGAGTCCACGATGCTGATCTGGCGGCCACCGTACGTGGCCTGGTCTCCAGCGAGGATTGGATTGGGTGCTTTTTGAGTCGTACCGCGTGGCTGTTCGTGCCGTACTCTGAAATGCTCGAACATCCCGCACGGCGTTCGCAGCCAGATCAACCATTGTCATCGTCACTTCCATCGCGAAGCGTGACCGGATCCATGAAATGATTGGTGCTGCTCTGCTGCGTGGATAGTGTCCTTTCGTCCACCTGCCGAAGGCCGCAATATAAAGCCCCTCAAGCACCAATCATGTATATCCTGCTGTTGGTGAAGCTTTTGCCCATGTCGAGAAAGTAGACTGCAGCACTTCATATTGAGGGCACGACATGCAGATAGGATTCGCCATAGCATGTCCCTATCTTCCGCCTTCTTCTCCGCCTTCTCGCTGCGTCTGTGAGTCCATGGTGGCGAAGCAGAGAGTGCCGTGATTACGTTGTGGCGGAGTTGGTCTGTTCATCTCGTCTGTTCGTATTTCGAGGGCAAAGCGCCATGGACACCTCTACTTCGAAGCTTCGTCTTCTCCGGCCTGTTCGTTGCCTAGCCCCTGACGCCTGACTACGGGATGGTTCGAGGTAGGCACGAACGTTGCGAGTAGTGATCTGGCATCGCTTCATTTCGCTGAACGAGAGGTTCATCTGCTCGATACTCGTGCCCCCACTCATGGCTGCACGGAAGCTGCGGCGCTGACCCAGAGTTGGATTAGCGATTCCTGCGTTGACGGCTCGTCAAGAGCGCGACGTCTTGCATGCAGATCTGTCAGTAAAGACTCGCGTTTGATGGAGTCCATATCTGGAACTGGTGGTGGTGGTTGAGTTTCCATATCTCGAAGGAGTTGCTGTTTTTGACTGAAGTCCGGCTTCAACTGCATCTTCAGGATAGCCTCCAAGCGCAGTCGACATGGTGAGCCACCGCATCCCTTGAAGGGGTTGATTGTGTCATCGATGCGGATGATGAAGCACTCAGAGTATCAAACGTAGCTGGGCTTGGGCGTCATGCCGTGCTGCTCGCAAGCTATCCGTTTCATCGGGTTGACCAATTGCCTGTTTCTGGTCTTGCGTAAGTTGTGTGAGGAGCTGATGCCGAAGACAGTGCCGTAGCCGTCTGACTTGGAGACCGAGACGGTCGGGTGTCGGCATACCTTGCCCTAGATGAAAAGGTTGGCGGCATACTGCGCCCTTGAGGTGCGAAGGAAGAACTGGGTTCGGCATCGTCTGGTCATGTTCCGTACCGTATGCCTGCAATTGTCCAGCCTTGCCCAAGAACTTTTGATCATAGCCGCCGCCACATGTCACGAAGTGGCGCGACACAAGCAGCAACATCCACTGGCTGGTCACATACCGCTGCTGAGTGGCTCCATACTCGTTTGAGTAACTGCACGAAGTGAACTCGCACTCCTTCGACACTCCTGGTGGGCATTCTGGTATATTTGCTTTCTCTCTGCTTTTCACGCGTGCGGAGCGTCAAACTGGGCGTGACCAGATGAGGATGACGATGTCTCGGGATACCGCGCCATCGTGCCTGCCTTCGTCCTTGCTGTTTACCGCCCAGGTTGTCCCTACTCGCGGAAGCGCGTCCAACTACCGCCATGATCCCTGGTAATCTCTTTCTGGTACGTCCTGAAGTCTGCGTGCTTGTACCCTTCCCAGTGTATGAAACCGCCCAGCCAAACGGTCGTGCAATGTCCAAGGTCGTGCAATGTCCAAGGTCGTGGGCGGATGAAGATGAAGTCGAGGGAATCACCGTGGGATTAGAGATCCTTCGGGTGCCACTCATGTCGTCTTGATGAGATCCATTCGATTCGAGACAAACGGGGACAGAGGCGACGGGTTCCACGACGCATGGAGTCTCTGGGTAGGAGTTTTCGCTGCTGCCGGACGCATGTCGCCCTTGTTTCGCGTCGGAAGCCACGTCCGCCGTCACGATATCCATGTTTCGTTTCTTGCTGGTGATCCAAGCTGTCCATGGATGTGACGACGTGGACGGATGGCATTCGACAGCAGAAGTCTCGCTTTCATCAGTGGCGCATTCGTACGCCCGGAGTCTGAGGATGAGGTTGATATCGCGTGTGTGCTGCCGCTTGACGAGAATGGCGACGGCGCGACCGCTCAGCTATGGACGTGATTCTGGCATGTAACGAGGATATGTTAGCCCGCCTGTTGTTGGTCCTCATGTCGGTGGAAAGGCGACTTCGAGGATGTCTTCCAGCAGCGAATGCCTGCGCTTCTCATCCTTCATGATCTTGGTATTGCCGACCCTGAGGCGCTGTTAGTTGAGTCCTCCTCGGTGATGGTGTTCTATAAGCCAGACCTCCTTGATGATGCGCCATTCAATGCGGCTTCTTGGACTCGACCCTGACCAAGCGCCGTCGCCAAGCCCAACTTGGCCGCCCTCGTTCCCAATGAATAAAGTGCCTTCAAGCACAAAAATCAACAACATCACAACATGACATTTTGAAGCCACAGAAACTTGATGATGTTGTTGCGATAGACGTACTCTAACAGCACAATCGATTTTGCTCGTAAAAATACGCGGTGGTTGGTGGACAGGATCGATCAAGGCAAAAGGCCACCCGAATGGCCTCCCACCCCCACCAAAAAAAACCTCCACCAAGAAGACAAAACTTGAAGGACTGTATGGAACAGTCCCAAGATTAACTTTGGATCTCACACTAATTCAGGGTAGCCAGCCCGTAGTGCTTAAGAGATCAAGTTTTTGTGTCGCCCAAATGCCGCCGTAATGCCATTGTCGTTGCCGCCGCCGCCGCCGCCGTTCGAACATGTCACTTTCACGATTTGGACGTACCTTTACCGCGCTTTGTGCGCTAACCCTCGTGCCACCGCGCCTCAACTGAGCTCGACTCAGAAGAGACAAGGGGCATAGATTCGGCGGACGTATAACACTTAAACGCGTCTCCTCCTCGCATAGGCCCGCGGTGACTTCACCCTCGCCAGCGTGTGAGAAGAGTAATACGTCTATGTCCATTCGTCACATATCGTCGCCGTGCATGCGCTCTCTCTTGCGCATTCGACCTCGTCGTCGCCACCTTCACGCCATCTTTATACAGCCCGCCAAAAATTTTTTACGGCCACAGTGAGGACCTGATTCCTATCCCAATCATCAACTGCCTATCCATCACGCACCTCTGGCAACTACCACCAGCTCACAATGCCGCAGCACTCCACCTGAAGGACCCTCCGCCGTCCTGAGGTCTAAAGATACCACTACCACCACCACCACCGCCAGGCATCATTCCCGTCTAGACAGAGAATGACTGCGGCGCGTCGTTACTGCAACACCAATTTCAATGCCTGCCGCAGCATTCGTTTGCGAGCGGCAGCCTCTCATCCCTACCACTGTGTCACCCACACCACCGACTCTCCTCCGCCCGCGCTCAGCAACATCGGCGCTTGAGCAGCACCTTCCCCGGCTACAGGCGTCCATCCTTCTCCTACCCGAGCATGGCGAGGCTAGGTGGATTCAATCGAGACATGCGAAACATCCTCTACTCGCCGCCAACTCTAAGATCTGGAATTGGCAGGCCTGCTGATCATCTCGCCGAAGAGGCTGTCTTCCCGGTATCCTGGACCTACAACACTTGGAGGCAGCACGGACTGTGGTTCGGCGCCGTGTTGGCGAATGGCAGCGGCCTGCTCTCTCTGTTGCGAGCTTACAGGTTTGACAATGCTGGATTTATACCACAACTTGATACGAATGGACGAGATTGAGTTCGGTTCAAACGCGTTGCGTGGCCTTGCATCACTCAGACGCGTACACTACAGTGCGAAGAAAAGGAGAATACTCAATGGCTCGCGCGGGTCACACCCGTCCGCGCGAAAGCTGTCTGTCTCGCCACTCGTCGCTTTGGCGGACCCGCCCACACTCAGAATGATGTGCCTCTGAGAAGGAGAGTGAGCCGATTGGACTGCGGAGGTGATGTACCGCGCAGTGAACAATACACAAAGACTTGAGGAAATCCAAAACGTACACCAGACACAGGAGAGACCGCTCTTCCATCATCGTGATTTTCCAACACCTTTAATCCCTTCGCGAAGACTCGGGTTGCGGGACACTCTGATCGAGCAACAACACGCGCAATATCAAGTCACAGCAAAGATCGAAGTACAGCACTGTCGAGAGCGGACCGCCGGAAGCCCAAAGGCGTGCGTCACAGAGAGGCGAATGCCAGAGTGCTGGGAACAAACGTACACGCAGATGATCGACGTTGTTCTGAAGTCCATTCTAGGTGCGCGCATGAAGGAAAGAGAATACTCAATAAGCGACACAGCACCAGGAAGAACGCCACGCTCTTGAGTTTGATCATTGAAGACGTGTAGTACCCAGGAGATCGCACACCATGTCGCCCCAATGGCGATCACTGGTCCACTGTTTGAGCAGCGACAGTTCCTATCCCTCCTCATGGACCACTCCTGCACCGAAAGTACCTATTGGACTTCGCGCGGTACTACTCGAGTAATCTAGGCTATTGAAGCTGAGTCTGGCTCGCGCTTGCTCTGCGAAGATGTAGATGTATGCCTGAAAGCTGCCCATTACTCCGAGGATGGCATGCTCTTTGAAGTCTGGAAGGACCTTGCTCAAAGCGAGACGGCGACGGACACATATCATCCTGCGCTCGAAAGGCAGAAAGCTCAACGACTCATTTGGCACCGAATGGAGCGTGAGAAAAAGCCATGTCTGCCTTGTACGGCCGCTCAACAATAGTCTCGACTTCCTGCATGCTTCAGCCAGCGCGACCACTCCTAGTTGGTCAACATCCACCACCTTCAACTTTCAGCTTTGCCGCCGATCAAGCGAGAATGAGACTCGCATCGATCCGCAGCGCTCACATGTAGATGGCACACAGGAGAGGTTAAAAGCAAGGGGAGAAGCAAGAGTGAAGCGTCAACTCCGCGTGACCACCTGTCGTTTCACGCGTGGCTACGTTCATCTCTTGATCTTAAAGCACTCGTGATCAACCTTTCGAGACGAAGACCTGAGTCGCCAGCATACCAAAACTACGGGCACAAGAAGCCACCGCCCAGAAGATTGCGGTCACACGCCATTGAATCAGCTCGGAACATTGGATCCCCACTCCAGCCCAGCAATCGACCGTCTCCACATCATCGACAAGCTCACAGCAAAAGCTCTATTCCGCAGGCGGTGAGGATACTGACCGCTTTCCACATCCACGGCAGGTCCATCACCAACTCCCCGGACACTGCTATCGAGGTATCCTTGCCAAATCAGCCACGATCCATCGAGCGTAAGCCACGCGAGAGCCTGCTCCACTGCAAGATCAATGCACCCACTACGCAGGCGTCTCTGGCACAGCACCAGTTCGTGCCGAGCACCACGCGGCATGCTGTCCTGGAATTACTTTTGGCAGAGACCAAGAGCACCCGAAACGCCTTGACCTTCCCGATAGTCATCCCAATGCTGATTTTCATTCTCAGTCGATTCCAGAGGTACCGCTTTTCGGCTTCCACAAACATCTGACTTTGACGATTGCAAAACGACTGTCGTCTTTAAGACCTCGGGCTCCAGTACCACTTGACCGTCTCAAGACCACCAAAGATGCAGTCGAGCGACGTGTGCAACCAGGCGTTTGCCGGTGGATTGAATCAAACTTTTGAAGGTTTTGCGTCAAGTGTCGAATTGCGGACTCCACGGCCGTAGCATCCAGTTTGAAGGGCAACCGTAGGAGCGACGATGAAGCAGGCATGTGGTCTGGACGGGTTGGGCGTATGCGTGCAGGGAACAGAGAGAGTACCCGGGGCCATACCGGTTCATCCCGCGAAAGGACGTAGCCAGAGGAGGTAGGAGGGCTTGAGCATGTTAACGGTGTCGCAATGGTTGCACTTCTTGCACCCTAACAGCCATGGGTAGGCCGCTTCTTGCCTCTCGACCTTGTAGGTTCGATACAGGTTCGGGTGAAAAAGTGCATGCTTGACATGGTGGCTGCTGCTGGCCATATTCACAACTGGCAGTTTTTGAAGCTAAGTTCTCGTCACACGCGGCATCTGTTAAACTACCACCACGACTGAATCACGCCGAAAGCAAAGACATATCCAGCGGCACATCTACAATCGTGAAACCAGTTGTGATTGGCAACTTTCTTTGACATGAAGATCAGAAGCAGAAAAGGCACGATGCACCCATGAACAAAAGACCTCAATTGTACCATTCGCAGCATAAACATTTAGCATCTATCCACGTCAAAAGCGAGCGTGCTGCCCTCACAGTCCATCCGCGCGTTCGAGTGTCTAATCAACCATCTCCCTCCTCCCCATCCGCATCCCACCGCCCAAACGCTCGTTTCTCCCCCTCGCCTCCTTATTCTCATTCACACTTCTCTCAGCTTCTGGCTGATGGTTCTCGTTGTTGGACTCTCTCATGTCTGTTGTCTCCATTTTTCCATTTCCCTGCTCTTGATTCTGTTGGTGATTGTTGGCGACGAACATCTTGCCGTTGTTCTTGGTTTCGTAGGTGGTGTTGTTCTTGCTGTGTAGGACTTCGCGGGCGATGTCGTCTTTGGCGAAGACAGGGTCGGAGGTGAGCATCATTTTGGATTGTGCTGAGTTGCGTGTGTTGCGGTGGGTGTCGTTCTGTGTTGTATGTGCTGTGGTGTCGTGTATGTTCGGATTGGTGGTGTTGTGGCGAAGGTGCGGAGGTATGTCCAGTCCCAGGGGTGATGTCAACAAAGAAAGTCGTTGTAGAGGTCGAGGTATCTTTGACGGGTGCGAGGTGCCGAGGTGGTGTGCCCTGCACAAAGACTCCTCGGCCTGTTCCCACGATGATGTCCTTTCGATCACGCCTCCATCTCTTCCGGCCCTGAAGTCTGACCTTCTGCTCGCTGCAGAGCCCAAGCTTTCCACTTTGTTGCCAATTTCGAGACAAACACTACTGCCTGGAGAACCGTCACCACGATGTGCAGCACTGCCTGCTGCACTTGATTCCGAGCTATCAGGAGACGGCTCCAAGCGATCTCCATCTGATGCGCCCGGATCCTCCTCCAGTTATCACGGTTGATGACAGCATAGAGCATGGACAGCACCGCGATTCCCAGTTGATTCGGGCGGAACTGGGCGTGTATCAACCTCTTGCTGGACGTCGGATCTTGGATGAGGACGGAGATGCGGTCGGGAGTCGAGGAGAGCATGGTGGAGCCGTCGGGCAGGTAGGATGTGTTGCCTGTATCGGGAGCGATCTGTGTAGCTGTTAGCAGGTGTTGCAGAGGTTCGTAATGTAGAGAGCTTACTGCGAGCTTCCTCATCACGGCTGTCCTGTCGCCGGCCACGTCTCATATTTGCACATTTTCTGCGCGGCGACGAAGCCATGGCACGGCTCGCCAGGTCAGGATCTTCCAGTACGCTTTCGAGAGGATGGCATTCGTTGAGGCCCAATTGCTGAAGCGTACGTCGTCGAACTGCAGGAACACGGCGACCTGCTCAGTTGAGGGGGAGGTTGGACTTTGACTCTCGTAGGCGTTGACAAGCTGCCCAAGGATCGCCTCGAGCACGACTGTGGGCTTGAGGAGCTGTTTGATGAACGACGGATTGTCACCGCTCCGGAGGGTGACCCACATCGTGAGGGTGGACGCGCCACGAGCTACCAGGCCAGAAGTGTCTTGAACCCGGGTGAACGCAGGCGTGGACAGGCTTTTGCCCATTTCCACGACGATTTCGACATGATGGTGGGTGAGGGTGGTTGCGGAGAGGATGCCCTTGAACTCTCGGCGGTACTGGCTGTTTGTCTCGAGAAATCCCGCTGCATCTCCCCCAAAACGTGTCAGGGCTGAGCCGCTCTGGAGATGAAGACGACCTTGTCGATTGAATACGTATGGGGGATTTCGGACGTGCATCCCAGTCGTCAGGTACTCGTAGATGAGGTCGCGCAGCTCGCCGTGGAGTCTTGCTATCGGGTCGGCCTGCAGTGGCGTGAGGGCTATCGCTTCACCAGGCCCTGTGTCCCGTCCCGCCTTCTTCTCCGTCATCCACATGCGCATCCTACGCTCATATCAGTACCGTATCTCCACAGAGTTCTTACCATCCAGGCCATTGTTTACCGCTCTCGCAACATTGCCATCGTCTTTGTCTTGGGGATGCTGGCTTGAGAATTAGTATACTTTCAATGCCTTGATACTTCGAAGGGAGGCGGGAGGGTCTCTTACTGCGCTGTGTGGTGTGGGTGTTATGGGTGCGCGAAGTTCAACTCGGCCGTCCGAACGTCAAAGTCTCCCTCACCCGCACCTTCCTATCCCGGCTGCAGACTTCATTCTCCACTGCGAATCTTCCAGACCGGCGGCATCTTCCACTAGCGTGTTATGGACAACATAAAAGTCCGCCGATTCTCGTCCAACCTCCAACTCTTCTTCTCCACACAACACAGTCCGTTTTCATTTCCAAGGGGTGGTGCCTTTTGGCCCCCCCGACCCGCCACCACGTGCGGTCGCCGTTTTGGCGACCAGGTATGTATCATCCCCTTCCCCTCGTGCATCGTGACTCCTCCTCCCCTGGCTCCGGCATTGGCGCTGGCATTGGCTTCGACAATCTGGCTTCGACATTGGCATCGACAATTGGCATACGGCATTTTGGCATATACACTCAAGAGGTCATCCGACCTGACAGGTCAACCGACCTTGGCTCTATACTACGCCCGGCGCGGCGGGTTTGTATTGATGGGGTGACTGGGCCGTCCCCAAAGGCCCAGCTGGCTAACATCCTCCGCAGGCCATCAGTTTGACTGTCGTTGACGGCGGGCTGGAGGCCACTCATCTTCATCATCATTGGCATTCGTCGTCGTTGTGTATCGTAGATAGCTGCTTGTATTCATCTCCATCTTATCGAAGTTCCTTGTGTGCATCTCCTCGTCGTCGTTCTCTGTAAGGGTCTCGCGTGGTGCTTGTATCTCAAGCTTGATGTGGGCGTCAGATTGCGACCGTGTAGGTGCGCGTTCGCAGAATTTTTCATCCACCAAGTCCTCGAAATGATCGCCATCATTATTCGATTTCATCTACCTCATGATGGAGAGAAGGCCACTCGTCAGCATCTACAGCGGTGTCCATCACGCGTTTCGTTGCTTCGTGGCCGTGGGAGGGACAGACGTCGTCCTCGCACGACCTTGAGACCAAAAAGCAGCACAACCACGCTACCATGAGAAGACTTCAATCACGCACCACCTTGTCTAACACCTACGTCGGGGTGGAATGGGCAACAAACAACAGCTCGGAAGGCCAGCGTGGACGAACGAACCTTCATCTCCCACATCTTCGCCTTCACCCTCACCGACGGCAAGCTGACGGTCAATGGATGCAGGCCCTTCCCTGACCACAAACTGGATCCCGCGCCAGTGGCGCAGTCCTAGACTTTTCAGCAAGAGTGGGCAAGAGCTAACTCCCCAGAACGTACACCGTGGAAGACAGAGGCCCCCGACGCAGCGCGAAACACTTGGAGCGGCAAGCCAAAGTCATGAGTCTCTTCTATCATCTTCGAGGAGGCTGTGGCCAATGTGAAAGAGGAGGGCGACGCCGTTGAGGAGAGCCAGGCGAAGGGGGCATCGGAGAAAGAGGCTGGAGACCACAGACATGCAGAGGTACCATGGGCCTGACGAGGATAGCCATCGGTGCCGGGTTCACAGGCATTGAGTGCGTGAATATGTGGAAAACAATACAACTCGAAAACGGCACATGAGCAGGCACGTTTGCGTCGTGGAGCCACGGACGTGGGCAGGAGGTCCACGGGAAGGAACCGGATCAGTGGGACTCGACAGGTGCGCTCGACACGCTACTCGACAAGTCTGTAGGGAGGCCAGGAGAAGAAGGAGAAGGAGAAAGAGAGCATGTCAGATCAACCACGGTGATTCGAGGTGCCCTCAGATCCACATCGGACGATGGCTGTTCAAAACACCAGTATAATCACTACCCATGGCGCGGTATTGCCAAGCGACGCCCGCTCGGCGCATCTGCGTGAAAGAGTCTGGAACACAAAGACCAGTGCAGAACTGTATAATACTTGGGATCATTGGCCTACTCGGCTGGGCAGCCTCCGACTCCAACGGCATGGCTGCATCCAAGGCGAACACTTGGCCAGACCATTCTGACCCTGCAAGCCCCCTCCTGCAGCGGCGTCATTCGATGCAACTTCGCCGACGCTTGGCGCCATGTTCAGCAAATGCTCTGCTGTAGACCAGAGTCATCTATCCATAGCGGCTACCTCCTGGCGAGAAGAAGAAGCGGACTGGCGGGCTCGATCAAGTGCTTTCCCTCGGCGAACCTTCGCACAAGTCTGGTGTCGTACTGCCTGGGCATGCTGTATTGACACGGCTACTTGGCTCCAAGCTCCCACCTGCAGGATTGACAGAACGAACGTCTACCAGGAGACCAGCGACAAGTCGGTTTATACAGCCCACGCCGCTCAGGCATAGCCACGCTTCTTTGCTCGTCGCGCATGCGGCCACGAACTTCAGCGAAACAAACATGCTTGTCGTCCAGATTTGTGTATGGAAGACCCGAGAGCCTCGTCACACCCGTAAGACGAATGCCGTAGCGAAAGGGAATCAGGTTGGTGTGCCTCAGAAATGCGATCGTCGCGGTCCTGGTTCAAGGCTGTTCCCCTGACTCACAGCAGACCGACATCAATCCAACCGCTGCCGTGAGATCGGCCTCCAACCGCGCTTGCCGAAACTAGCAGAAGCAACCAGAAGTGCCGTATGTGAGCGATTCGAGGTCAAGGGTAAAGGCAAGCGTGGCGAACAGAGCCATCCCTCCACCGCTTATCGTCAGACCTTCAAACCCCTCTTGAAAGACAGCCTCAACTGTGGAGACCTGTATGCCCTGGGTTGATGTTGAATGTCTGGCGGCCACCTTGTGGGAGAGAAGTGCTTCAAGCCTACCTTCAGAAGACCCAACATAGCACAGAGAAACTCCCCCCGCAGAACGTCCACTTGAGCACCTTCGCTGGTCGCTTTACTCTGTGCTGTGTTGGGTCTTCTGAAACCCCAATTTGCATCGCGGAGCTTCAAACTTTTTTGCAGTGGACTGTTGCCCTGTACTTGTTCCTATGCAGTAAGATCAACACCTGCGAACTCCTTGACCCGGCAGACAGCAGCAAATCCAGCAGCCACATCTCGCTGCTTCTACTTTGCTGGCGACGCTATTCTTTCTCAGCAACCGTCCGCCTGAAACGAGGACCGCTGCCAGTCAACACACCATGAGCGTCATGCCGAATGTCCCAAGTCTCATGGCTTTTCGTTCGACCGTGGACGAAAGCTTGCCTGTTGGCACTCAGTATCTACTATCCATCCCAAGCAGAAGCCAGCTCAACACTACAAAAGACATCGCCTACACGAACGTCCAGCGCGAGCACTATCTAGACGAAGTTGGCGATGAGATTCGCTGGAATTGCCAAGATTTGCCAGCCAGCGTGCATTCGCTGCACTTCAGCAAAATGATGGAAAGCAACCCAAATCAGCGGGATCGAGGCTCGCGTCGTCTGCCAGCCGGAGCTGAGTACCGTCGGACAGGGACTCATGCTCGTCGCCTCGCCAATGTGGCTTGAATGAGCAACTCGTCGATCTGCTGAGGAGCTCGGGATTTCCTCGACTGAGCAGAATGCGAGATGGAGTTGCAGCACCTCGGCGAGCAGTGGAAGTGCTAGGGCAAAGAATCACTCATTGCCGTAGACTTTGCAGCGACACATCCACCAAGACATCAATAATGCATCTAGGATCAGGGTGTGGAAAGAATCGTCACATGCGGATCAACTACTGCAGAACGTCCAGCCCTATCCACATCCGTTGGAGCGACCTTAGGCGGCAATAAACAGCGGCCGGGTACTGCCCTAGCAAGCTCCCCTCACCTCGGATCAGTTCTAGGGCTGGCGGGTACCGATTATTCTGAGCTTAGTCCGATGAATAATCTCAAAAGGTACCTGAGCATAGCTCTGAGATCGGCGGCAGCATTCATCCACAGTGAAGGTAAAAGACGAGCTCAGCTTCCGCCTCACGACTCAAAGTGGCAACAACCGCAAGCACACTTTTGTCACTTCTCATCATGGCGTCTGCTCAAGTCGAAACCCATTCCAACCTCAATGGCCACGCTATCCAGACCAAGGAGTCTTCGAGAAGCTCGCCAACTTCAATTGCATCACAGGCGAGGGAGATCCTGATGAAATCTTTGATCGAGAATGAGGCCTTGAAAATACCCAGGGCGGTGAAAAAGCTCGCCTCATCTGTCTCCTTCACGCCGGAAGTTGAGCCCTTCTTGCCGACTTCATTGAAAATGTCTGAATCCGCATCCGCTTTGTGGGCGACCATCGGCCTGTTTGCGAACGCCATGTGCGAGGAGCGGTACAACACTGCGACGCCGAAGAAAATTGTCGTTGACGCATACTCCGCCACTCTGATGCTGGCTTCGGTCTTCCTATTCGAGGTTGATGGGAAACACTTTATCGAGAGCAAAGTCGTCCCAAGAGCCATACATCTCGACAAGGGCAGCATGCGGGAGACATACAGAACACACCTGTCGAACATGTATGCTCACCGATAGAGACATTGAACGATATACTGCTAACACCTCATAGCTACAAGGCCGCGGACGGGAAGTTCTACCACTTGCACGGAAGCCTCAACGCCGACCCAACGCTGACCATGCTCGGCCTGCCACTCCATCGTCCTGATCTTCAGGGCAACATCGAGGGCACTAAAGACGTTTACAGAGCTGCCGTAGCCGCAAGGGACAGTCTGTCGCTCGAGATTGAAGCGAATGACCGATGGCGCCAACCAGGCGTGACATGTCTCACCGCCGATGAGTTCGCCGAAACACCCCATGGGAAAGTAAATATACAAGACCCTCTTTACAAGATCTCAACCGCCAACGAACACCTTCCGCCAGTTGCATGGCCCAAGGTCAAGACGACCGATCGTCCGTTGGCAGGCATCAAAGTCCTCGACCTGACGAAAGTCATCGCCGGTCCGACGATCACCCGAGTCCTCGCGCTCATGGGTGCGGAAGTCCTGCGTGTATCCGCAGAAGCTCAACCAGAAGCATTGATCTTCATCTCAGACGGCCAGATCGGCAAGCGCGACACCGACATCAACATCAAGACCGCCGAAGGAAGGTCTCAGCTCAACAAGCTGCTCGAAGAAGCCGATGTTGTGGTGTGCAGCTACAGACCTGGGACGTTTGAGAAGTTTGGGCTGGGAAGGAACTGGGCTCATGAGGTTGCTAGAAGGCGTGGCAAGGGGCTTGTGTATTGCAGGGAGAACTGCTATGGCTGGAATGGGGAGTGGAGTCATCGGGCTGGGTATCAGCAGATCAGTGATTGCGTGAGTTGCAAACATACCTTGTGCAGAAGGTCGAGACTGACAGAAGTTTAGGTCACAGGGGCATCGTGGGAGCAGGGCAAGTTCTTAGGCCTCGACGAGCCAGTCATGCCACTTCTCCCCAACTCAGACTCACAGTAGGCGTTCGAGACATTGCAGCCTATGACCTATGATCTGACACAGCGTTTTCTAGAACCGGCTTAACAGGCGCCATCTCCATCATGCACGCCCTCCTCCTCCGCTCCTCAACCGGCGGCTCCTACAACATCGACATCTCCCTCAACCAATTCAACAACTGGTTCCTGCGCAACGTCGGCCTACACACCCCCTCCGTGCAAGCCTCCCTCCACGCCCTCCACCCCGACTTCAAACTCCGCCACGACACGGGCATCTTCGAAATGGCACCCATGGTCATGGCTGCGACGAGGAAGTCGAATGGCGCTGGGGACGGGGAGTTGTGGGATAAGAGGCGGTTTACGAAGGGGGTGATGCGGTGGGGTGTGGAGGGCGAGGAGGCGGTTTATTTGGATTGGAGGAGGATTTTGAGGGTTGAGGGGGAGGGTGGCGTGGAGAGTGTTAGGTTTGAGTTTGAGTATGGGAGTTGTCGGCCGGGGAGTGATGAGCCGCGTTGGCTTTGAGACTGTGGAGCATGGGAGGTCTGTTTGAGCTGCTATACGCGGAGGGCAGACGCAAAGCGAATGGTCGTTGATATCGCTGCCCAATCACAAGTCTTGCGCGGATTCTTGTCCGCTATGCAGCTATTATTACGATCTTTGTGACAACGAGGAGCTTCCACGGTGATCTCTAGGCAGATGACTCTACGTGATAGTCCTGAATAGTCTTGCTCGCTGTGCAGTGCCGATGCCGGATCGCCTGTACTTTATCGCCATTAAAGTGGAGGCCCTGGCAATGGCGACGATAGCGTCGGCGTCCGTACGCTTGTGACGGGACTTTGGTTCGATTTCATATCCAGGATCCTCATCGAATGACAACTGCTTGATGCTTTAGTTCAACAAGTCCGCTCCCAAACGCGAATGATCACGCCTGACCTTCTCGACCTGCAGCCTCAACATCCCCTCCGCCGAACCGCCCAAGCCAGCAATTCTGCATGGCGATCGCCTGCAGCGAACTAAAAACTACCGACCGCAGCCTCGCGGCTCGAATCGAAGCAGCACATGGCCTTGTGACGACGATATCATCGTCTTAACCACCCCAAGCCACACGCCGTCCAACAAAAGATGCCAACGCCTGCAGTGCTGAGGTCTCACTCCTCATTCGTGCCCATCGCCACTAAGCCTACCTGTTGAGCTTTGCCAGGGCCTCGGCGGGGTCAACTCTTTGCGATGGTGCGCTGGAGGGAAAGAGTCCACCTTGGCGGCTTGCGCTGACACCACCGACGGACTGGCCTAGGGGTTGAGTAGTTGGTATACCGAAGAGACGAGCTGCTGGGACACCGGGCGAAGGTTGTGGCTTGTTGTCACTCGCCGTGTTGTTCGTGCTTAAAAGACCGAAGCAGTTGTTCGCGATCTGGTCAGGCATGGCAGCAAACAGAGGCGTGCTAGGCTCAGCATCCTCCTCATTGCTGTACCCAGCCGAGCTGTTCGTCTTACGTGCAGGAGGCATCGTCACGAGGCCAGGGATGGATGGGTGTGTTCGAGTTCCTGGGCGGGCGTTTTCGGTTGGGATCGATCTGTTTGGAACGGATGGGAATTTGAGTATGTTTCTGTTTGTGCATGTGTGAGTGGATAGCACTAGATTCTTCTGATCGAGTCGGGCAGATGGCGAGCAATCTGTAGATGTCTGTTCTTTGTTCTCAGAGGTATATAGACCAAGGCCGCGCCCTCAGAGTGTGGGCCTGTATCAACATGGTGAATCTCTCCGTTCAGGTATAACATCTTCTTCGCGTTATAATTCTTTTGTATATACGCAGTTTCGATGGGAGCGGCGAGGCGGATGGCGCATCGAACATTCACTTGCCAAATGCAGGCCGTGACGTCAAGGCCTTGGCACGCTGGGTCTCAGTGCAGCGAAGCCCGCCACACTTCCAATTCTTCTGCACAATACCACCGCTCGACACGCCGCATCTCTGCAACATCGTGCCAACCTCTCACATACCAACCACTCGTCTATCTCCACCGTCACAGATCCTGCCATGGCACCAAACACCATGGACCGCATTCAGTCGGCCTACGAGGAGATGGAGACAGAAGCAAACGAGATGGATGCAGCGCTGGAGGAGGCGGCAAAGACCCGCGAAGAGAAGCTGAAGGAATATCGCGTCGCATTTGAGAGGCATCGCGAGGTCGAGAAGCAGAACGCACAGGGCAAGGAGCAGATCCAATTGCGCAGAGAAGTACATCACCCCTTTCATTCTCTGTTTTGATCATGCCCTTGCTAATCAGTCCTGCAGAAGCTTTACGCGTACATCTCGGGAACGCTCAAGCTCGATGAGGGTAGCCCTGAACTGGAAGAGCTGCTTGGTCTCGAAAAGTCCGAGTCGGGATACGGCGACGACGGGAGCAACGATGAGGATGACGAGTCCGAGGAGCAGGATTCTGACGAGGACTACGCATCTCCAGCCCCGAGTCGGCGCAAGTCTTCGGCCATCGGCTCTCGGAGGAAGGGGAACACTTGTGCAGAGTATCTCCAAGAAGACGACGACCAGGACGACGAGGAAACCTTGCCATTCATGAAAGAGGAGCCTGTTGTCAAGACTGAACAACCCGTTGTCAAGAAGCAGCCCAGCAGCACGCCTCCGCCACCCAGACAGCCGATCATCCGCAATCAGCAAACACTCGTCAAGGAAGAACGGGCCTCGAATTCTCCTGCAGATCTCCCGCAGTTCGTTGCACCACCAACTGCAGCTGGAAGCGGTTCCACCCCGCCCCAGCCTTCTCCTGGAGCAATGCTTGATGCTGCAGACTCTGAAGTTGACAACATGCCTCCCCGAAAGAAGAAGAAGAAGGCCGCTCGCAAGTTCCAGCAGCGAGCCACGAAGCTCACCGCTGACGAGTTCTTGGCTCAGGCAGAGGCATGGGACTACTTGCCGTCGAGTTCTACGATCGTGAAGAACGCCAATGGCACCTGGGTCGAGCTGCGTTGCCCAGAGTGCGGAGGCAACGTATCTCACGACCACGGCAAACTCTTGAAGGGCATCAAGGGCTTCTTGACGCACATCAAGAAGTACCACGGCTACTCAGGCAAGTCGACACTGGACGAAGCGGCCGGCTTCTGCACTCATCGCGAGGTTCCGATGGACGAGGTCAAGAAGATCCTCAACGGCGGCGACAAAGGCATGCCATACGTGCAGATGGTGGTGCTGGAGAATGAGACGAGCGCAGAGGAAAAGGTCGAAAAGGACCAAGAGCAGCAATTCCCTGACTGGTCGCTCTGCAAAAAGACCGGTAACTTCCTCGCCAGATGCTCCTGCGTTCGGCGCCATCCCGACGGCAACTGGGTCGAGATCGCCTGCGTGGTTTGCGGAGGCAACTTCAACCCGTCAAAGGGCCAGTTTCAAAAGGACGGGCTGAAGGGGTTCGTTGATCACATCGCTCACGTACACGATCCCTGGCATTGGCGCATGCCTGGAAGCGTGCGGGAGATCATCGATGTTCTGAAGGTGCGCGATCTGTCTGATGAGGAGGTGGACAGCATCAAGAAGAGAAAGATGGCTGTGACCTCAAAGCCATGCTTCTCGACCGTACCGTATGGTAAGAAGGCTAAGCCCAGGAAGCGCTCTCGAGATGAGATGGAGGATGGGATTGACGAGGTTGAGGGGGATGAGGATGGCAAGGAGACAATGAAGTCGTACCTTGACCGGTTGGAGAAGGCGAAGGACGAGGCGGCGGAGAAAGCCACAGCTGAAGCTATGCCCGACCAGGAAGACGAAGACGAGGTTATGGAAGATGCGTCAGGGGCTGCTTAGGCTTGGATCGTCGGTTCGTCTCCCCACCGGAATACTTCTCAGTTGCCTTTTGTTTTCATTTCCCGTCTTGGTTACCACGCAACGCGCTACTTCTTTTAGATTGTTTTGCCACCCCTGTGGTATCTCAGGAACCGAAAGGCGAGATATAACAGGACTGTGCTCCTTCTACCTTCTCGCATTGCTGCCTTACACTATAAAATCCTACGCTCTCCAGACATGGCTATTTCTTTCAATATATGACCATCAATCTTTAATAATACCTGAGCTTCATGAGCCTGCCGCGTACTCCCGGTCAGTGCTCACCTTGGTGTGCACTAAGTCCATCATACGCTTCAGCGCCAGTCACGAAGTGTGCGCTCTACGACTCCACCCTCTCACGATGCCACATGAAGCGAGAAGCGTCTTGATACTGATGTGCCCACAGACTTTCCACAAGTATGGATACGCCAACCACAGACGCCAGCCACTCGTGTTCGTGTCAACTTGTTGTCGTCTGCATAGACTCAAACGCGATGCATGCTGAGGCCACCCGCAAGAGCATGCGTGATGAGATATGTGCTATATCGAAAACGGACCCGAACGCGATGCAAGGGATGCTTTGCAGCGTCATATGGACGCAAAAACACATCGAGGACCCGGTTATACGGAGAATGAACAAGCCAAAGGAGTGCTGGGTCATCCAGACTAACGATACGGAATTCAACAACGGAGGAGTCTCGCCCACCGTCGTGTGGTCGTAAACATGTGCTCTGTTGTTGGTGGATGGATGTGCATGATATTCCATTGGTTTTCTCCGTTTCATTGAATGAGATCATGCCAACGGAGAGATCGCGGGGTTTTGGTATGTATAGAAGTAGTCAAGAGCGGTTGCGGTTATGCGAAGAGATATAAGTTATCAAGGGGCGCTCTGGTCGGCGACGGGATTGGGATGTCAAGAGGCTGAGTAGAGTGAGGTGGGCTTCAACTGTTATTCATCTCCGTGCAGATTGCAGATACCATGACGCTGGAAAGGCTATAGTGGTGTTTGAACCGTGTGTATCTGGTGGAGATGATTGTGGTTCTGGTAGAAGTGATATTACACGTTACCCCTGGAGACGGCTTTCACGCCCGAATAGGCAGGAACCAGAGCTACAGGTGGGATCACGCACACCCCTGAAACGTTCAGATATCCCCGTGGTAGTGCACCTATCCACGAGACTGATTGAATGACGGGGACAATTGATGCAATAGGAGCCGGAGAGATATCTGAGTGAATGAAATGTAAATGTGAGGTTTCGATAGCCCTTGACGCAGCGAATTAGACTTTCACTAGCGCGCGCTGCAGCGAGCACGTCTAGGGCGTTTGCAACGCTCTTCTCACTTTCACAATAACAATCCCAACAACAGCAGCAGCAACATCAATAGCAACAACAACAACAGCAGCAGCAGCATGGAGAGTTCTGGTGTTTTGGAGGTGTGGACGGATGGCTCGCTTCTCGAAAGCGGACAAGGAGGCGCGGCCTTCACGTTCGAGCAGTCTCCTGGTCTTTGGGTGGGCCAGTGGGACGTCATTCGCGGCGCAGGTGAAGACGCGCAACCACTCGAACTCATCGCCATCCGAGAAGCTGTTCGCTTCCTGGTTGACTCTGTCCGTGCGACGCAGGCAAAGACTGGCGACTTTCTGGGTCTACCAGAGACGAGGACAGTAACCATCGTGACGGACTGCATGGATGCCCTGTGCGAGATGGCGCTCTTTCGGTCCCCAGCAAACCCAGCGATGAGTTCAAAGCGGGTGACTCAGGTCATCAACGTGGGTCTCGTGTCGGAGATCGAAAGGCTCATCAACGAAGGGCGTTGGCTGAACTTGCTCGTCCTGACTCGATGGCAAAAGCGTGACACGTCAGATGGCAACCGGGTCGCGGATTGCAAGGCCTATCGGGCGGCGAGACTGGGCATGAGACAGGTTGGGTCGGGCATACGAACAGAGAGAGGAGTCTTCGCGGACGAATCTTTCAACAAGGCCGCCAGTCGCGATTGATGGGGTGGACGGAATACCAGGGTCCGATCCCCTGTGACCACACCACTGCTTCCGGGTGTTTGGGGAAAGGTGACACCAGCTTCCGTCTATGGTTGCTGGCCATGAACCCGGTACCACACTCTGAGAACGGGCCACCCAGTCCACACCTTCACAAAATCTCATTTATGAGTGCCTTCGGGCGGAGGCGAAAGCCTACTTCATACCTCCCCACGGTCGTCTCCGGGCAATGCCTGCTGCCGGCGCGCAGCAGGTAGCTAAGTGAAGAGGTCATGGTCACCACAGGCCATGTCAAGAGGATCCCAAGAACATCATCAGCATCCCTACCATCCACATCGATATCGACATCAACGTCAACACTCTTTCTCCGGAGAACAACGAGGACAAGAAGGTCAATCTTCGAGCTGTCAACATCGCACGAGAGCAACATATCGATCAGTCCTCAAGGTGGTCGCCAGCGCTGCAGTCAGTCGAAATGCTTTGAAGCGTCTTGCAAACAACAACGCTTTCGACGTATGGGATACATCGATCAGCAAACACACACAAGCGCCTTTCTCAATGGTCTTCCAACACACTGGATCCTGAAAGGCAAAGCTTGATTCCATCCATCTCCATTGGGAACGATCAACAAAGCTCCATCAAGCACAACAAAAGATTTCAGCGATATTTCAAACTTCATCTACTGTTTGAAATCTCGGAACACCACAACTCATCTCGCCGACCTCCCAACAACGGCGCAAGACACTGCTTCATCATCTGCAATATATCGGAACTCATGAAGACTACATATACACGCTTCATCTTCACGTCAACATCTTGACGATGAGATTTCCACCACCATCTGGACTAGATTTGGAACTTGATGTGGAAGACATACCATCAGACATGAAATCCACTCCACTGCTTACGACGTTGCTGTTGCTGTTGCTGCTGCTGCTGCTGCAAATCATTATTACCTGGACTGGACCATACCTGCCTTGAGAGCTGACAGGACCCTGGATACGCTGAGGCTTTGAGAGTACTTGGCAATGACAAGCATTGAGCGAGGCTGTTTCGTCGACCAATGCCTTACGACGAGCCTCACAACCATCGCAGTCGGCGAAGTCGAACAATGCCATTGTACAGAAAAATAAATGGCGATTCTCATTCACTGGCGACTAGATGGTTGGCTTTGTCCAGTCACAAGGCCTTGTTTGAGGACGACACATACCACTACCCAATCTGCTGAGTATTTATACCTCGTCGACTCTTATTCGCTTCTCAACTGCAAAAACTCTTCAACCGCGAACACCTACCATACCCAGTCGCCTGCCCATCCCGAATCTTCGCCAAAGCACGCACGGACCAACCACACTCAACTTCACCCGCCACCCGACAGCTCCAACACCATGGCGAACAACCACCGCGACCACATACACACCCGTCCCCGACGCGCCAACTCTTTCGTCGATTACTTTGCCAACACCTCTCTCGACGAGTCCGACACGACTTTTGCTCCTCCAGAGCTCGGTCAGGGTCGCGACGACATTGGCAACTCCACCTTTCCTCCACGCCCTCCACCTCCCACCAACATCGACGACTTCGAGGCCCGTCATCGCCGTCGATTGCACGCTCTGTAGACTTCGCACGAGCAGCAAAACATGGATCACCTTGCGCGGCACCGCGAGTATGCCAACGCCTTGACGGCGAAATACCACGCTGCGACAGCGGACTGGCAAGTCACTCACCCCGAGGCCGCGAACCGCTTCCAAGAGTTCACGAAGCTCTGCATGGCGGCCTCAGCTACCCCAGTGCTTGCTATCGACCTCATGTTGCTGCTCGCCAAGGCTCCCACGGCTGTGTTGAAGGCGCTCCAGAACCTGAGCAAGCACTTCCACATCGAGGCCCACCTCAAGAATGAGCTGCACGTGTCTGACGGCGGCGAGGACGCCGCCATTTCCATCATGCTTCCTCAGGAGATTCACGCGGCTCGTGAGACCGAGATCGCCATTCAATATGGTCCCGACCATGCGCCGCACGTCAAGGTTGAGCAGATGACTCGATTCGGCGGCATCGGAGACACAGACGCGATCCAGCACCTGCCAGACTACGACAAGCACTACACTCACCTCGGCCGTCGCCAACAAGTTCTGCACATCCAGTGCAACTTTCTCATCCGCCAGCAGGTCCTCGTCGACATCAAGCGAGACCGCTTTCCCATCACGGCGTTCGAGAAGTCGTACGACTACTTCGTCATGGAGTGGGTGCTCTCAGCTTACGACTTCTTGACATCTCGCCACGCCGTCTTCAACAAGGCAGACAGGAAGCTCTACAACAAGGTCACGAAGCAGCTCCACAACTACGCCAAGACGCGCAAGTGGTTTGAGATCGAGGCCATGCGCGATGAGGTCGAGCAGTACGAGAAGGAGTTGAAGGAGCAGAGAGCGCGGAAGGAGCTTGGGGGCTACGACAAGCACGCGAAGGCTGAGTTGGACCTCAACCAGCAGCTCGACAACTGTGAGACGGACTTCGAGGGATTCGAGGCCATCCGTGGCTTGGTCTTGGGCAGTCGTTGGGCTACTCTCGCGGATAGTCGCAAGGATGGGAACACTGTGATGGATGACGGATGGTAGACTGGACAAGATTGAATGCTAAATTGTGGGATGAAAACATGAACAAGACTGCAATGGGGGGAAGAGAACCAAAATGTGTTATGCGAATGAGTCGGGAGGGCGCCCATGTACAGAAGAGTCTGGGGATACATGGACATCATCCATGATGGACTTCATCACGGGAAACGGAGCATTGTAACAGTAGCATCAGGAAATCACGCGCGTCTGCTTTCAATATCGAGTTTGACACTTTCATATCTTCTTTTTCACTTGACAGAATATCGACGATCATTCTGCTTCCCTCGCCCCTCAAAACTAACCCTCCCTGACAGCACAGCTCCATACTCGAAGTTTTTGTGATGTCTCCAGCAAGTCAGGCTCCCAGCTTGAATCGTATTGGCAATCTCGCATCTTCTTTCTGCCCGCTCACAGCTTCGGTAAGCCCATTTACGCTGCAGCGAGAGCATCAAGTCGAAGTGCGACTGATGATTGAGAGGACTCGACCGTGAGTAGGGACGGTAGGAAGCAGGAATCAGGGACTACGGCAAGATCGAGACGATGGATGTAGAATTATCATACGATGTATTTCTGATGCACACAGTAGATGTGTTTGAAAGAATCGGAGCCTTTGATGATTCGCACCATTTCGCCAGCCTACTCAGCTCCTCCAACGCATATTTTACTCATGTCAAGCTTCGCCCAGTCCCTCTGCCGTCTTCTTCCTTCCTGCTGGTGGCTTCAAACGTGCGAGCCCATGTTGTAAAGTGTAGCTGACAGAGAGCCCTGAGTCCGAAGCACACGGCAGTCGGCTGCCATGAACCTCCATCCTCTCTTTCGACGGAGAACGCCAGGGTGCTTAGATGTGTGCTGTCGGTCTGGCATAGCTTGTCCTCCACGATAGTTGGTTCCATGGTCGTCATTGGCCTTCAGAGGACTTTGGGAGCTGCTGTTGGCATTGAAGACCTAACGCTCTGCTTGAACCTGCATACTGTGAATCGCCCGGTGTAAGTTGATGCGAGCATTTCAACAGCATGCTCAGGATGGCGATAGTGGAGGAGCTTCTGGCCATGACTTCTTTGTTGCGAGGATTGCAGCCCGGGGATCATCGAACTCGGCACAAAGAGTCATTGTGGGATTGCAAGGCGTCAAATAAATGCTGTGTTGTGGAGGGCTTTGTGCCACGTTCTGTCCGTGATCTGCGACCTTCGAAAGACTCTATTGTTGCCGTTACTCATCCTTCTCTTCGTGTGTGGTTTCCTGCTTGATGCTCGTCGGCTTCTCGATCGCTGCTCAGAGGAAAACACCTGCCACAACCAGAGATAGCAAGGAAGCTATGGTCATCAATACCGCAAGCAGGATGAAGGTGGCTTGGTCGTCTCTGCCGTCGCTCGTCAAGGTTCCTGAAAGCCGTCAGTAGGATGCAACATGAAGCTCTACCAGATCAAACGTACCCGCCGAGTCCATCTTAGGGTCCCGAATGTACAGCTGTTGACCTCCCATTCCCTCAGCCGCGATCCTCATTGCTTCCGGGTCCTCGACCACTCTCCTCCGCCGGTACACCCGCGTCAAGCCCAAGCTGCCCATCACATTCATCTCGAACCACACCTCATGGACCACACAGTCCTCTCTGTCTCCTGCAGATGCCAAATCCAGGAGCAATCTGTTCATCATGACCTGGTAATTCTTGACATTCCCGCCCAACAAGCTCCTCTTCACCCCGAACATTGGCAATATCATTCTCGCACCAGCGCCGCCCCATCTCTCATGAAGCGCGACCAACGCGAAGAGTCGCAGCCCTCTGACCAGCTCAATCGCGGTCTCGATGGCGTCGAACGCGTCTACAGTCGCGTGGTAATCCTGGGTGATGGGAATACGTGCGGGGTGCAGGCGGTAGGTGATGAAGGCTTGGAGGAAGTCGGCGAGGCGGTGGACGATTCGGGCGAGGTTGGCGCGGTTGTCTGGTGTAGCGCTGTTGAGGGAGGCCGGGAGTCCGCGGACGCCATATACACGGGGACGTGTGATGAAGGCGTCTGCGCGCCGCTCTTCGTCGTTCATGGTGCCTTTGTGTGAGGTTTTCGCAAGTATTCTTCTGAAAATACGGCGTTTGTCGATGCTATGGTGTCGTGGGGCGTGTAGGGGTGAAAAAGGGTCCGAGCGGATTTTGACTTTTTCCGCGCCGATGCCGCCGCCAGCGCATGAATCTTGGCGTCCTGACGCAAGTTACTTTCCACACTGTCATCCAAAATCCCATCCCATCTCCAACAACACCATCCACCACCAACTTGTCCATAGTCGTATCAACACCATGGACGGCCTCGTCGTTATCGAGATACTTAGAGGCTGCCTCATTAAGGCCAGCCACTGGATGAGTCCCGCGCCGACGCCCGCTTCGTGTACGCCGCCACACACCTTCAGCCGCGCCGTGACAATGCGCTCATCCTGTATCGCCCTCCACGCGTCGGCCTCCCAGCCGAACTGGTGGAGATCATCCTGATCGAACTCGCACACGCCCGCCCGCTGTTTCTCCTCTCGAGCGCCGCCCGCGTGGACCGCGACTTCCACGATATCGTCAACTCCTCCAAGATCATCAAGACCATCATTCAAGAGCACATCGACAGCACCCTCACGCGTGCCACGCCCACCGAGGATGTGGTCATCGGTACCCCAAACCCATTGCTGAAGAGATTCGACGTCGGACTTGTGATGCGCGACTGCCCTACTATGGGAGAAGATTACCCAAGCAAAACATTCAACCTCAACGGCAACGTCTTGGCTTTCTCGTACTGGTTCCGCACTGGCCCCTGGGTGGAGATCCAGCTCCATAATGACGACAAGAAAGCAGTTCCGCCCTCCTGCGGCGAGATGCGTATTCTCGATCCGCCCCAGACGGTCGAGCTTCACGTCCGATACGCGGCTGAGGTGGGAGTCTCGGAGTACTACCGCGAGAAGTCCCAAGACCCTATCTTCGAGGAAGGCAAGAGCGTTATCCTCGTTCCGATGCTCGCCGTGGCTGAAACCCAAGCCGCGACTGTCCAAGAGCTCCTCGACGTCGCCAAGGAGCTGAAGAAGTCCCATCCAAAGGATTGGGCCGAGCGCCGCAGCGGTCCGTGGGGATCATTCGCCAGTGTCGACTTCAGTCAGCCGCAGAACTCTGCGCAGAAGACGGTGGTCTCCAAGGCGCAGTACGAGGAGTTGAGTCGTTTCGATCACCCAATCGGCTACTCGAAGATCGTCAACTCTTGACTTGGCTTGTGAGTGAAACACTTTTTTGCGACTTACGTGGGACCGGCACTGACAATTGCAGACTCGAAGTGATTGAAAGTGGATGCTAGAAGGCACTCTGTACAGTTGATGCAAAAGGCCAGTCCAGGCCAAGACGCCTCTGTCTGGCGGGCTTGCACGGTACGATTGTCAGGAGAGATTGAGATGACGATGGCAAGTTCTTTTGCACAAACGAGAGAAAGTGCGAATAGCAGAAGAACAGGAGTCTTCAGACTTGGCTTCAATGGCTCGCACTTTAGTTTCGTTGTTCAATCATAAATGCTGGTATTCAGTCCATACCTTGCCCTTTCTTGCTTCATCCCTCGCAACATCTTCATTCATTGCCATGCTCCCCTGTTCCCAGCGTCATGCATGCAAGGTCGTCCGCTGCAAGAATGAATTGTATGGAACTTGCTGTACTTTCATCCGTCATGCCTCGCCTTCAGATCATTATGACCAGACCGAGACGATGAGTAGATGTCCCCAGTCTTGACAGCTCGATATCCAAACCCCGGCCTGAACCAAGACGTAGCTATCCAGCTAATTGTGCATTCACGGTGCACGTTGCAGTAGATCAAAGAGCCTTGTCGAGTATAGCGACCCACTGTTGCACGACGCTCTCCGAGGCTCATTCCACAGCCTGATAGACTCAACAAAGCTGCTTGCGACCTGGCCAATACCACCAGCCAATCTCGCCGTGCTCCTCGCGTAGAAAACGACAGCGTTCGGTCCATTTCTGTGGGTGGTTGTGGCACCCATGGAACGTCCATGCGAAGGAACGGGAACGTCGGAGACTAGCGTACTGATCGAATGCTGAATCGAATTGCCGTCATTTGCCACAAAGATGGATGTGAAGGACAGAATCTTAGGAAAGGATCAGATCTCGGCAGTCAGACGTATCTTTGCCTACGGCCCGGTTCCCCGGCCAAGACTTCCCGGCGTAGATTGAGAGGACGGGACTTGGAGGGTATCAAGGAGTGAATCCATGCAGGACATCCCGGGGCGCTGCTTCCCCTGGTTAAGCAGGGAAATGGTGTGGCGACGGGCAGATCGCTCGTCAGCTGACGCCTTGAGTCTGGGTCTGGAGACGGCGAGAGAGCAGGCAAGGTGATTGACCAGTGCTGTATCTCTGACGCTATACGATGGCTCTCGTGATGATGTGCGCGACGTGTTCTTGCAAACAGTGGCCCTAGGGCAGAAGAGACGAATGAATATAGAGACTGGATTGCAATTTTGACCATTGATGCGCTTCAGATCCTCTGTGCTGTCACGAGCAGCTTATTCCATTTCATTCTCGTGCTTATCCATCAAAGGCTATCTTCCCTCTTTCCATCACAGGCAGATTGGCCTCCTCTCATGCTCGATCCATTCGTGTCCGCTTACTCTCGCGTGCTCATCTGTGCCATCCCGAACAGCTCTCCATCATCGACTCCTGTTCCGTCTTCTCCTTATCCTTGACATTGTAGTTTCGAATCTTGCTGGGTTCCGACGTGCCGTCCACTCTTCATGCTCATCTCCATCATCAACCATAGCCATCTCCATCTCTGAGGGGAATATCGCGCCATCCACCGAAATCTGGACCGCCCACTCTCCACTGGTGTCCATTCCCTGACTCTCCCAACGCAGCATGTTGACAACATCTCTCGTTCGTACTCCTTCGGGGTTCATGACTTGCTGCACGCCCCACAATTCTTCTCCTCCCGCACGCTTGTTGTTCAGCTGGTAGTGGACCTTGACGCTTGGTGTGTACTCGTAGAACAGGAACATGTCGCGGTAGATCGAGTCCTTGTCCAGCTCGGCGGGGAAGAATCTCGTACGGATGTCAACCCGGTCGATTCCAGGCAAGCATATCATTCTGAATTCAGGATCTTGCCAGCATTCGCGCTCTTGCCAGGGCGTGTGGCTCCGGGCTCGATCGTGGGCGGCGTCGAGGGCGATGAGGAGTGTTTGCCACTCTGGCTGGTTGATATTATTCCACCTCCCGAGCTCACTGTAGTACTCTGGCTCGTGTGTCCGCCTCAATACCGTTGGGTTCGGCGTCTTGATGGTGAAGTATGAGTCCCACGGCGAATTATACCAGCGAGTTGGGGGCTTCTGCACAGTCCATCTCCTGTGGGTGCCATGATGGCCGCGGTGAAAGTACCGCCAGACGAACGATGGAGAATTGTGGGCGGAGAGGAGGAGTTTGTGCCTCAAGGCGGGCGCGCCGAGAGCGGCATTGCGGAAGCGGTAGTGCGCGCGACGGGCGGCGACCAGGCTCTGGGGATCCAAGTTCTCCAAGATCATCTCCACCGCCTCAGTGGTAGCCAAGAGCCGAGCGAGAGCCATGGTGGTGTGGATGGTGTTGTTGCAGGAGGGATGGGAGCGGGATTTGAGCGAATATGCTTGGCGCGTTGCGTTTGCAGCTGTTGCTGCCTGAGGCCGAAACTTTCAGGGGCGTCAGGGGCTGAAATTCGACTTAACATGTACATGATATCCCCGATCCCCTTCCCCTCACAAGTATATAAGTACTATACATCGCCCCTTGGACAGACTTAAGGTTCCAGAGAAAGTTCTGGTAAGCTTTTGTTCCGTTTTTGCCTTCCTCTCGTAACATGTGAATGCTCCAACCCTCAGTTAGAACCTCATTGTGGCCGCCTTCTAGCCTCAGTTGGGTCGTCACATGCCTAGATATCTCTCCTCGCTTCTCTGAGTCACTGAACCATTAGTGCAATCCACCTTGCCCAAGTCCTACACAAACATGCGTGGATTCTACGAAGAATAGACCTGGATTTCCGTTACAACATCGCACATCTGCTGGGACAGAGGTCCGCTCGAAGCCTCTGCTTCTCCTTCGAGGATGGCCTAGGCATGGAACAACTCTCCCAGAGTACTCTCTGATTACCAGTATGTCAACAACGTACATTCTTCCTGCGACGAACAAAGATCTTCGGGGAAGGATCGTCATACTTCCGTGTCAACTCCTACAGTAACCCCGCCAGACATGTCTCTGAGGTTCGCATTGTAATTTCGATGCCCAAATTCTCTCCCGATAGCGATTCTTATCGCGTACCAAGGCGACAATTCTATACATACCACAGACAGGACCAGCCACGGACGAGAAGACGCAGGGACATTAGATGGATTGTGTAAGCACTTCCGTCTGAAACTGGTTCGTTCCTCTTGTCCAGGTGGAGGTCAAGCCTTGGTAAGGGAATTCCAGCTGCAACAGTTACAACCACAGTCCAGCGGATAGACGCTATGTGGCCAGTCTTCGACCCAGTAACAGATACGAGGGCATCGCGGAGAGGGAGACTGCACGTCGGCTCGGAAATAATACATTTACGACTTCACAAGACCTCATAGCAGGTTCCACTTCACCCACGTCTTCGTAAGATTTCTGCAGATGACTAGTATTCCCCTATGGTGTATCGTATCAGGGACGGAGAAAAAGGCGCAGGAATAATGGAGGGCCGAAACCAGCACTTGATGACACAGTTCATACCTTTGACTTGCCACACACGCCTGCGGGCTCTAGTCATGCACTGTTCGCCATTTCCAGATCTTCCTCGAGTCCCCACGCTCGCTGGTACTCCACTCCGATGTATCGTGGCGAAGGCGTATTGCGGCGAGGATAGAGACGAAGGGACGATGCCCTTCCCACGAGTGGATGATGCATTCGAGAAGGACTGTTCTGTTTGGACACGTGCAAATTCCATGGCGGAACCAGGCATCAAAGCTAGCTTCTCCTGTACTCGCCTTGTTCTTTCCAGGAATTTCTTCAGAACTTTGAGATGAGTAGATTGCACCGGTGGTTTCAACAGGCTTCCGTGCCGCCAACAGACAATGCTGTGTTGTTTGTAGGTTGATCCCTTGGGAGTATTTGGTCAAACGAATGGAGATGTGTACGGAAAGTAGAACGAGGGATCAAGCCAGAGATCTTTATACTCAATTGTTCCTGGAGTATGCTTGAGTGGCTGTGGATCAGCATGCTGTATTCTGCGTGGGCCAGAAGGAAGGGAGTGACCAGGACTTGAGAACAGATGAGACCACGTCAACTATCGTCTCGTCCAGATCCAAGCACAAAGCTGACTATCATTCCCAGAATTGCACGTCCTACTCGTGCTCTGCTACCGAGCACGATAGTGTCGCCCAGCTGATAGGCCCAGAGGTGTGCTCCGACCATGCCTCCTGTCTAGCTCTCCAAGTCTCCTGGGCCAAGCTGGAATCGAGTGCGAATGTGAATGCTGTTATGGGTGTTGGTGGTAAGATGTTAGTGGTAGACTTGCCTGGGATATATACAGGTGTCGTACAGGACGCCTCATTATTGAAGAACTGGAGCCGACGGGTGATTATAGTATCAAAGCGTTGCTTGGATTTCCTGGGGAAAGGTACGAGGATCATGGAAGTCGGAGATGACAGGAATGGGCAGTCGCAGAAGGAGTCATACCGGAGAGACAAGAGCAGTTGAAAGCATTTGGGAAACCCAACGAGGGTCGGCACACACTCGTATCAAAGACAGTGTTGTAGAGGTTTGACCCATTGGTTGGCCCATTCACGACCAACCGTTTCATACGATTGCTTGTAGCACGCTGTAGCCAAGTCTTCCTCGCCGAAAACCAGCCATCTGATCAATCCCATCGCTGTTGTATGGTGTCTTCGTGTCTCCTTCTATCCATGTGTGTGTCCTTTTGCACACAATTCATCTCTGTCCGCAGCCCATGGCTGCGTTGCTTTCCAGTCTCTGGAGTATCCTGTCCGTCCTCTACCTCTCATCCATTCAATGCTGTCGCCACTTCATTCCATGTCTGTCCGCCTTCGCTCATGATGGCACTCGCTCCCGGGCCAGAACTGCCTCCCTCAATCTCTCACTCATTGGTCGAACTCCAGCTGCGACCTCTTCGATGACTCGCTCTCTGGCGGCATCACGACGCTCATAGGTCCGGCGGATCCGACGATTGGCACGACGACGATGGTTCTCTTCGCGGTTCGCATGAAAGACCTTGTACTTGGCTTTGAGTTCATCGTATTTTGCATCAATGGCGGCGGCGAGCTCCGAATATGGCGAGTAGGTATCGATCAATGCTTCTTCTTCTTGCTCCTCGAATTTGCCGTGGATGAGATCCCAGACGTATTGGTGGATCATGCTGTGCCAAAGCTTCGATTGGTCCTTGTCTTTGCTGTCTTTGAACATTATGGTGCAGTCATATGTCGCGCGCATGATTTCAGGTGTTGTCTTGGCGTGGGAGATGACCCATGCGAGGTTGTTGCCGACGGCCTTCAGAGCATCCTTAGGCCGAATGTCCAGGAGTTGGCAGGCGTTCCAGACGGCAAGCTTCTGCGGGATCGTGAGATCCTTGAGGTTGATGTATAGCCCTTGGCGGCCCCTGTGGGCCTTGATTATGCCGAATACATGCTGGAGGGCGGAGGGGGAGCCTTCTGGGAGGACGATCTCGCGCTGGGACTCGTCGTCGACCGGCCAGGACTCGAGGAAGGCCGCGAACTCGGCGCTATGCTCCAGGAGCTTGTCGCGGGGGAGGCTGCTGATGAGACGCTTTTCAGCGTCGAGGCCGGGGCGCTGGAGGTACACCCGCACGGTGCGCTTCGGATTGACCATCTTTCTCCGAGAACAAGCGGGCGAGAACGGGGGCGGCGATGGTGTCGTTGGGGTGGTTGGGATGGTTGCAATGGAGAAGGCGGGGAGACAGAAGCAAGATCTCGGCGCAATGTTGGCTTAAGATAGCTTTCGACGCGGCAAGCCGGTGGCGTTTGCTGCACGTGAAAAGGGGTGAATTCACCTGCAAATGGCGGGCCACCCCGACACTAAGCGAGCAGACACGGGATCGAACATCGAACAGGAAGCATGGTACCCTAGGGATCCACGGAGATATATACATGTGAGCTCTGATTGCTCTCAAACGACGGACACCTGCAGCCTGCCGCTAGGATGCCCGATTCCGCTAGCGCAGCAAGGGTTAAGAAGCTTGTTTCCACCGCACTCCACGTTAGAATTCCCAGCAGGCTTCTCCTTGGGGCTTCTCGTTTCCTATATACGAGTATATCCGCGTCTCTCCTCGGCAGACTCGCCGACCATGCTAGGTAGCTGGCTCCAAAGGCTAGTGACAGTGTTTTTCCATGGGACATTCGCTCTGCTACAAGAGACAGTTCGCTGTCACTACGCTCGAAAAGGCTTATTGCTGGGAGCTCTTGCCAACAACAAACTCCAAAGGAGCTTTATCCCTATCACAGGACTCGGCGTAAGGCTACGAGATTTGGGCGCCAATCATACGAGACAAGAAACATCACGAGCCAGGAGCAATACGCTACAAAGTTTGATATTTAGAAGACGCGCATGGATGCCGTCGCCAGCCGAAGGGAAGCACAAGGACACACCACAGGCATCAAGCCAGATCAGACGCTATATGATGCTACTCATTAGGTTTTACACTATGTTCGTGATTGGACGGTACGAAAAGAGGTACTTAAGATGTGCTTGCCGATGGTTTCTGGGATGTGGTCTACATACGAGCGCATATTGCACGGCCCCCATTCAGGCCCTCTCCTCCTCTACTAACAAATTCTGCATCCCCGATACGACTATGACATTCTCAAGGGGACTGTTAGATCGGGGCCTGGTGCTCCAATATCCACATACTACGATCCGTGGTGACCTCAGCCATGATTGCCTCCCAAAGCGATTCTCCCTCCAAGTACTCTGCGTACAATGGCATCCTCTCCAAATCAGTCTTCTCTCGCAGAATGGCGAAAGCTGTTGTAGCCAACTCTACCTTTTCCCGGAGCTGGTTGATGTGTCGATCTTTCACTGCAAGGGACTGGAAGGCTTGCTGGAGATAGTTGGCATGCACAGAGGCCTCGCCGGTCTTGAGGGTTAGCTGTTCCTGGAGAGCTTTTACCTTTCGCTTGAGTCTCTTGTTCTCGGCCTCGAGCTTACTGTGGTGGTCTGGGGGATGAGGGTTGATTGGGGGCGGTGGGCCGACCAGCGGAGCGGATGGGCATGGGAAGCTGCCTTAACCACGCAGCGGCGATTGGAGCTGGGCATGATTGTTACTGATGGGGAGGTCGGTGGGTTGATTGTACTGACCAAGTGTTTGAACGTGGAGGGTGCTGGGTCGTACTTCTAGGGAAGCGAGCAAGGGTTGGGTGTCTGGTATGACATTTCTGCCCTAGATCAGCAACATTTATAGCATCGCATGCCCATTCATGCATTGAAGGCTCGTTGCTGGAGGGTACTATGGCATTGTTAGCTTATGAACGCCTCGCTATCGCTATGAGCTTCATTGTCTACGGGGTTCGGCTTTGACATCAAACAATTCCTCGTTCATGGCGAAATCAACAATTCTATATCTTCACAGACCCCGTGAAGGCGCTCAATATCATTGCCAGCACTAGCGAGCGTGTGTTGTGATGAAGATCCTTTCGCGAGACGAGCAATAACTCGAAGGCATTGTACCAGTTTGTTCGGTTCTCGTGTGGTCTGCCTTATGGCCCGTGAACAGTTACGTCAACCAACGAGGGTAAGTGTCGTGCGTTATACGAGTCTTTGGGATCCGCTATTATAGTGCTACTCCCGACATGAAGCCTTCGCAGCCAAGAGCTACGGCTAGAGAGCAATTGATCAACACACAAAACTTTAACGTATTAGTCAAAAGCCCGAATCAAACGCAACAGCATGTCTCAATCAACCACCAACCCAACCACACTGGAGGAGGCGATGACGGAGATACACGAGCTGAAATTCCACAACATGCAGCTGAAGCATCATCTCGAGCTAACCCGAAAGCAGACCGAAACCGCCATCCAACGCTCCAACGAAGCCTCCATGGAACTGTACGCGGCCAACCACAAGAAGGCCGAGCAGGACGTTACGATCGCCGAACTCCAACAGTCTTCGGACAATGCTCGTCGAGCTTACGTTGAGCTGCAGTACAAAATCGACATGGAGAAGATGCCCCTTTACGCTGTGACGATGGAGGGCGATGAAGTCGATGAGGCGATCGATCGGGAGTTGAATGGGGGTTCGTAGATGAAGTTGTGAAAATGATGAAGACGAGGGTGGGAAGGAGGTGGGCGTAGATAGCATACGCAGTGCCGAGTGAGTATTGTATCATTTTCTTCCTCCCTTGATTCTTCTAGGGCTAGAGCTGTAGCCTTCTATACATGTAGGTCGTCTAGACATCTTTACTTACGATCAGCACCTTCGCTTTGTGCGTGAGCTCGAAGAGATGACGATCTTGTGTGTCCCACTGTTAGCGAGACGACGAAGATGTTACATTGTCGAAATTGAGTTCGTATGCCGAGAAGCCATCTACGCTGTTGCGTGGAAACCTGCTTGATTGGGGTGATCCTCCAAACACAGGGTCACCTTCAAGCTACAAGTGCCGGTGCCACTATCATATTGCGCACTTTCTCATCTTCACAAAGCGTAGATCCAGCCCATAGTACCGCCACTACGGAGACACGAACGGACGCAGTGCATCGATCAGCTCCGTCTTCCCATACCTGACCTCGCCCGCGCCCTGCTCAACATCCACAACACCGGCCTCGTTCTGAGCGTAATTGGCTTTGACTAAAAGCGTGGCCAAACTCGGACTCGCACCTCGCTCTATCGCCGTCTGCCACTCCGAGCGAGGAAGAGCAACAGCCTTGATGGGTCGCCCAGAAAGGTCGCTGAGTGCAGCTGCCACGTCGTTGGCGCTGTATCGGCGAGGTCCTTCGGCGTGGACGATATCATATTTCTCGCCCGCAGCATCTCGCAGCAAGACCTCCGCCGCTATTTTGCCAAGGTCTGGCGCCGAGATCGTAGGGAATGGTGTATCAAGCGGATCATGAAGGCTGACAAATGTTCCAGATTCCATCGCTGCCGGAATCGCCCTCGCCCAGTTCTGCATATGCTCTGCCGTTCGGAGAATGATCTTGTTCCCCGGCAGATTGCGAAGCCGCTCCTCAAGTCCACGAAAAACCGTCGGCATGCCAATGTCGCGGGCGACGTGTGAGCCGTAGTCGGAGATGGCCAGGATCCTGTTTGGTTTCTCCTGTTCAAGAGCGGCGATGATACTGGTGATGATGTCTCGCATGTCTTGAGCTCCGTCCTTGTGTTGTGGCGACGGCGGGATGATGACATGCACAGCTTCTGCGTTGCGGATTGCGCTTGCCAGCTCAGATGTGTTGTGCACGTCTGCGACAGCGATCTCGCAGCCAATCTCTCGGAGTGGTGTTGCCTTTGCTGCATCTCGCAGAATCGCTCGAACTGGTACGTTGGCTTGCCGCAGCACTTGGGCTGTTGCGTATCCGACCTTTCCGGCTGCTCCTATGATGGCGTACATGTTGCAGTATTCTTAAACCTGTGCTAAGCAATGGCTGAATCTGTATATGGGTGGCCCTTCCTGCCTCGGAGAATGTAGGTTTTTGTCTCGCTCTTATAGCATCTCAGCCGGAGGGCAGCGGATGACAGCGCGGCGACGGTTGAGACGAGATTCGGTAGGGCGTCGATGTGACGCACTCGATCGAGACGGCTCAGAAAGTAGACTATCCGAAGAGTAACGCATCCCGCTGAAGGTATGTCTATGATTCCAGACCTTCGCCTCGTGACGATCAATTCCCAGAATAGGCGACAGGTCAAACGCCAAGAACGAAAAAAGTCGCCGAGACCAGCTGCTTTGTCCTGAAGTCGAGAACGGCAAGACATCACAGCATACGAGCAAGACCATACTTCGGAGGGGTGAGACAGCCCTACTATACCCTCGTTGGCGTGCCTACTTTTCGTACTCCTCACTATCTACTTTCGTCATCACGGCCTGCACTTTCAACCCACTTATACTATTCCCCGACAAACATATATAGACGGCGGCAGCCTCAACAAAAAGCTACATCCCGACTTGTCTCGAAACTCGCAGTAGCTACCTCTATATTTGATGCAGCTCTACGCGGCGAGCGACAGCACGATGGACTTCACCGCTCTCCCCACGCCAGGGACGACCACGCACTTTCTGGACTTCGAACCCCCCAAAGACAGACAATGCTTTCGCCCAGACGCACAAAGGCAGGCACGGCAGACTCTTTTGTCCAGCTCATACCGACGACACCCAATGTGTTTCTGCGCCTGCAGTTACACCACCATTGGCATGACTTTGCTATGGGGCTCGCTCCAATGCTATCTGTCGTCTTATCACCTCAAAGCCCCGAGCATGACATGGTGTGAGCGAGGACGGACAATGAGTATCGAACAAAGCATTGTTGTGCATGTCAGGATCAACGAATGGAATGGCAATGGACCTTGCACTAGGAGTGTTGTGTTATGTGTTGAGCGGCGCAGTTTGGACGGTCGATGGCTCAACGCTGAACTATAAATCGACTGCCCTTTTCGCTGCAACGTCTTCCTCCAATTCCTCACCACACACCACCACCGCTCCGACACTCCCAAAATGGAACCCGAACGTCTCAATACACAGCAACTTCTGCCACACTTCAGCCTCCACAGAAGTTCCTCAGATCCAGAAGTCCGGCCTACACACCTCCACTCCTCTCCGCAACCAAACAACAACACCTACCTCACCAAACCGTTCAACATGCCTTCGAACCACAAGCAGACCCCAGTCCGCCTTTACGTCAAGGATGGCAAGGACCTCCACTTCATCACGAACGTCAACCGCCGCATCGCAAACTACCTCTCGCCAGCCATTCGAGAGCAACTCAAGGCTGGCGGAGGACCTGTGACAAGGATGGAGTGGTCTTCGAGGCTCCCTTCGTCAATCGTGAGTCTGCGCGGACCATCGCCGACTGGATGAATGGATACGATACCCACGGCGAATATGAGACTCAGCAACTCACTCTCGAGCACGTTGGCTCTGACAACTTCAGCCAACTTCTTCACGTCTACCTTGCTGGGTACCATCTCGGCATCGCTCGCTCCATTCGCGGTGATGTTCTCTACAACATCATCACCAACCACGTTTCCTCGGCACAGCTGAGTGCTAACGAGTTCAAGCTCGTGCACCAGCTGACTGGGTTCTCTCCGAGCGTCTTCACGAAGTTGCTTCACCACTACGTTGCGACGAAGATTAGCGGCACCCCATTCCCGCAGCACGAACAGATCGAGCAGTACTGCGATGAGGCTGGCCTTCGCCGTCGCCTGAACGGTATCGAGCGACACATCCTAAAGGGCAACTAGGATGTCGTTGCTGCCCACACTACACTTGCTGCGACCTTCAACTCGCAACACCCCTGCACCTTCTACCCCCTCCGACATTAACTGCTTCACCCACGAACACCTTTGACCCCCGGCACCTTTGACCCCAGCACCTTCGACCCACATTTTCTTTGAGTACTTTGGTTTTGGGATGGCGTTTGGGACTGATTTTGGGACATGGGAACACTTAGACTGACTATCACATAGGTTTTGGGATAGGGGACATGGAGGACAAGAGAACTATGTACATTAAAGCGCTACGGATGAGCCTGTTGATGCTCAGTAGCCGAAACACCAAAAAAACCCTGACAAAGTTCCACCTTTTCTTATATCTCTTGATTATATTCGTTCGAACAGCAACAACATTTGAAACTGCAGGTAGACCAGATGCTTGGAACGCAGGGCAGATCTCATAAGAGACTACATGTCCCGCCTAGAGTATCTCATTGAGTCTTACTCTGTTACTCATGCCCGAAACATGCATCGCAGAACAGAAAATCCGTTGTCTCGTTGCGAGACCCTGATTCAGAATCGTAAGTCGAAGAGGCGGAAGGGTACATAAACCTGGTGCTGCGTTCGATACCATGCTTGTTTCCATAATCAATTGAGCTATATTGCTGTGACTTCCCTGTTATACACTTTACTTGTGCTCTATCGTTAACTTATTGTACCTACTCTATATGCGTCGCTTCGTGATCACCCGAAAGCGACGCAGGACGTCCTCGCCAAAAGCAAAATCATTGAACCCACCTCCACGAAAACAACTCCAGTTCAACACAGCCGTCAACGTGTCCATTCGCCCAAGCGCATCCAACAGGGGTCTTCGAAACAGCACCTCCAGCAGATCCAACCTCCTCAGCACAACCTACAACAACCTCCACACCAGCCAACATGCCATCCTTCAACAAGAACGCTAAGATCAACGTCTACATCAAGGAGGGCTAGACGGTTACTTTCGTTGCTCGCATCGATCGCCGCAAGGGCGTCATGCTGTCTCGCGCCATTCGCGAGCAGCTCGATGCCGGAGGCTGTGTCGAAATCACTGACCGCGAGGGTGTTTTCTTCCCTCAGCACGATGTCGATCGCAAGTCCATTGGTGTCCTCATCGAGTACATCAACTCCTACGACACCAGCATGGAAGATCGCTCTGCTCAAGTGCTGTCGCCAGCTCACGTTGGGTCCGACAACCTGGAGAGCATGCTTCGTGCCTACGCTACGGCTCATCACTTCAAGCTTGCTATGACTACGCGTGGTGACGGCCTTCGTGAGGCCATCGTCAAGAAGCTCGGCAGCGAGCCGGCCACGCTCCAGCAGCTCCAGCAGGTGCATAAGTTCGGCTCATTCGACTACGGACTCATGTCTTCTGCTCTCCATGCATTCGTCGAGGCGAAGCTGAGCAGCAACGGCGCAAAGGACGAGGCAGAAGTTGAGGCCTTCATCCACCGCATCGGCTTCGGCAACAAGTTGGAGGGAATTGAGTACTTTGTTCGTGCTCAGACTGAGAAGAAGGGATCTGGCTCGAAGATGGCTGTTGTCTAGGTGGCAAGGCGGTGGACTTGGTGACTGGTCGGTGTTGATTTCTCATCAGCAGACTAAACTACTACGGCTTTTATGTTGCTGCACAGCAAGGCATTTGGACTTTTGGGTTTTTGGGATAGGATCAGGATATGGATTTGCGGAGAGTCAGGGGCACTTCAACTTCTAGCACTGTTGTACTATAGCTACCGAGGGGACTGATGATCCTCCCAAATCGGCGAAGCAGTTTCACATTCGGCATGATACTTTTCTTTCCCAGCTGATTCTCCCGTGAGTGAATGATCCTTAGCGCCCGAAGTAACGTGTTCTGCGCCCGTGCGTCGCGCTAGTGAAGATTCGCCTCCGACCTCTTGAAAGCCACCGCTGCTCTTCCTCTTGCAACCTAACACCACACCACCACTCCGGCCTCGATTACAAGACCAACTTCACACTCACCTTCGACCAATCCCGCTCCCATCCCCATCAAACAACTACCGACCTCGCCACCAACAACCCTCCTCGACCTCCTCTCCCCCTCGACATCTCCGAGATCAAGATGTCTTCCTACGATGACCGCACCATCACGGTCTACCTCAAGTCGGGCAGCGTGACCCACAACCTCGGCCGCATGAAGTACCGTACGGCCATGCGCATGTCGCCCGTCGTGCGTGACCAGATCACCAACGGCGGCTGCAAGGAGATGAGCGATCCCGTCGGCGTCGTCTTTCACTCCCCGTACGTCGACGCCACCTCGATGCGTGCGGTCATGCGCTGGATGGATGGCTACAACACGTACGCTAAGCCAGAGGGCCAGGAGATCACCCAGGCTCACGTCGGGTCTGAGGAGTTCCCTGCCGTGATTCGGGTCTACGCCGCTGCTCGTGAGATGGGTATCGCTGCTGGCATCCGTGGGAATGCGATCCGCGATGATATCCTGCACTACATCCGCATGTCGCCTCTCACGCTCAACGAGTTCATCATGATCCACGAGTGTGCCGCCTTCGACCAGTACATCCTCTCCTCGGCCATGAACTGCCTCATCAACTTCAACATGGGTCGAAACAAGCCGCCAGACATGGGGCAGATCATGCAGTATTGCCGGTGGGCTAAAATCCATGGGAAGATGGCGGACGTTAAGGCCCATATTGTCGCCAAGCGTCAAGAGAGGCGGGAGAGGGAGGTAGCGAAGGGTATGGAGGGAATCTGAACAACGTACGGGTAGACATCCACGTCCATTGGTATTCGTAGCTGACTCGCCGTACAGGCCACCATCATACCTCGCCATCTCCAGCTCAGCGTCGACGGTATTCACTGTTCAATGCGAGAACGTCGCCCACTCCAAGAACACACCGACCGCAACACCCCGCCGACCACTTCATCACAATGAAGGACTTCACGACCTCACCACCAGCGCACATCAACGATCACTACTCTCCGACTGGGCATTCATGCATGGTACTGAGTTTTGGGGTTGGCTTCTTGGGTTTACTTTCTATGCATTGCGAAAGAGCGGGAAAAAGCGACTGGGTTATGACATTGCATGGAAATGTGGCGTTTTCTTGTTTCAATGGACCATATGAAGAGGCAAGAAGGTCATGGTCTGAGATTCAAGTCAGACTCCCAAAACGGCAAGCAACCAGCCTGATAATGCTACAGCAACGACAATCAAGATCTTCATCGCGGCATCTTCAAAATTCTTTCCTTTCCCCAACTTCTACCTCACCCCAGTCACTCTCATCCAGGTCCACCTCTTCCCTTTCAAAATTCCCACCCACCCGGAACCACCAACTTCTCGCTCACCCTCGCTCACCCTGGACCTCCCCCTTCTCACCTACAAGCAAAACTTGCAAACCCAAGCACATCATTTTCTCCGTCTCCAAACTCCGTCCACCGCTGATGTAACACCACCCCGGCTCCGATAATCTTTCGCTTCCAAAGAGAGGAGACTTCTCGTCTTTGTGACATCCGCAGCCAAACAAGGGAATGTGGCAGGAAGTTTTGCCGGAAGTCTGGCAAATGGTGGAGGATGTACGTTTCCTGGGACGGAAGTGTCAGAATTCGTGAGGGCGAAGTCCGAGTCGGCTATTAGGTCTGGGGTGAAGAGATCGTAGGCGGTGAGGGTTACCTTCCCTGTTGGAGAAATTTGGCGGCGCAGGTTGAAGTATGAATTGGTGAAGGACCGAAGGTCGGTTTGGGAGATGAAGTCGTTCTTGTTGGGGCGGTGACTGGAGGGTAGGGGTCAGAGGCCGAGGAAGGCGAGAGGGCAAGGAAGGCGAGGAGGATTGGGATTTTCGTGGTCGTGAGACTTCTGCAGAGTGGACGATTAATGTAAGCAGGAGAATGTAGAAGGATGAGAAGCTGTACAAAGGATACGGGAGATGGACGTTCGAGAAAGTCGACCCAGGTTGAGAAGAAGACGAACGCACCCAGCCGTGGACATTGGCTGGCGTCCAACCACGGCAGGTAGAAATCCATTCCGGTCATTGCCCGTGCACAATGTCGATCACTTAGCTTCGGGGAAAGAGAAACGGAAGGACAGCAGTAAACCCTTAGAGAATCAATATAAGCCAAAGCGAATGTACCCAGAAGCAGAACGCTCCCGCACCCCTGCAGTTGTGGGAGGAAGTGTTAGATCTATCAAGCCAGGGGTGCAACCTCTCAATGTGTTGTTTGCGCGATGGAAGTTGGTGATCCCCTTCGCAGCGACGGTGAGCATAGTCTGCAGTCCGTCGGTTTGATTTAGGAATAGTGACCCTCCTGTTGCGAATGCGTGCTTCGCGATGAGGTGATAACAGCCTCCTCGTCGACCGGCAATCTGTTTGCAGTTTGAAGATGCGTCCGCAGCATGTCTCCTGTGGATTCTCTTTTTCCAAAGGCGTCCATACGTCGTTGGCTTCTCTCTCCGTATTGGTGATAAGTTCTCGACAGTGTTTTGGTCGACATCGTCGAACTGATCTTGTTCTGCCTCGTTGACAGCGACGACCCCGTCCCACATCTTGTCATTGCCAGCAGCCGGTAGCAAGGAATCATCGTCATCTGGGTTGATATCGTTGCATCCACTCTCACGAATAGAGTCGACGAGACGTGTAACCTCCTCAGTATCGCGATGCACGAGCTGTGCGTTTACAGAGTACTTGCCGGATTGATAGGCGGTAGGCGGTAGGCGGGTACCAGGTCGGCGCCGCTCCGTTGTCATCGTGAGCGTTTGGAGCATGGAAGTGATCGACCATGATGTTGATCTCGTCGACGAGGTCGTCAGGCAAGTCATCGAACAAACGCTGCAGCCGCTCGTTGTTCGTGATGGACTGCATCCCGGATTCATGGCGGTTGTTGTATATCGCGGTGACTGAATCAACGCTTGCATCGAACTCGAAAGCCTTCTCCAGCGGTAGGTGGGTCTTGAGATGGATCCGGCAATGGAAGCTCTCGATGACGCCCGTGGAGGCGGCGCAGCAGCTGAACGCGCGGTACTCTGGGGTTGTTGATAATTGGAGAAGGCTGGTCTACGTGTCTCGTAGCCACGTGTTCGCGGCGTTGTAGATGTTGGCCACCCACGGCCGGTCCACGCGTTCTGGACGGAATGTGCTTGCCGATCTAAAACGCTTTTTCAACAATTGGATGCAGTTGAAGATGGGCCTCCAGTATCTAGCCTTCGCACGGAGACGACAACCAGTTATTCCAGCTCAATACTGTATCTCGGGGGTATATTGGACATCTTCATGTGGCCTCTCCCACAGCCGGTCATTCGTAACTTCCCCCTCCTTCACGCCCGATGCTGTCCCTTTTACCATGGGCCAATCAGCTTGTAGCTTTCCCATCTCTTGCGACTTATGCGTGCATTCCAGCAGCCGAGCAAGCCCGAAGTACATGGCGAGATGTCAGAGAATACGCCAGGTTCATACCTGGACCACACGAACCCATCGCCCCTTCTGCTCGATCAATCTTGGCACTGTTCCAATTGTAACGCCATCATTGCCAGCCAAACCGAGCGCTTGCTTGTGCTCATGGTCCGTGAAACACATCTCCATCGTGACATCGCTCTGCCAATCCAACCCAACCACGTCTTCTTTGATCCTGGTCAGGACATTGCCCAACTTCACAGCATCGATTGCAGTCGTTTTGCCAGGCTAGAAGTCCACTTGAATGCGAAGCGCAGTCGCGTTGTGGAACTCTTGTGCTAGGGAGTTTATGTTAAGTGCGGTCGAGCCGTTGATGCGCGCGAAGTCAATTCCGAGGTTTTCTTCGTCGGCGGCGACATCCCCAGTGAAGATGAGGTGGAATCTTGTGGCGTTGTTGGCTGTGCTGGCGATTCGTGTCCAGCCGTTGATGCCGTTGTGGCCGAGGGCCCAGATGCTCCAGGCTTGGGTGTGAGTCTGAGAGAGTTAGCTACGCGTTGGAGATAGTGGGAGACTGCACTTACGGCCATCTTGCGAAGCAGGGCCAAGTAGTGGAGCTTGCACGCGGAGAAGTGTATGGTGCAGGCGAAGGTGCGAAAAGGCTTAGGAGCGAGGTTGTGTATAGAGAGAGTGTGTGTGAGTATACGTCGAGTCGAGGAGTATATAAGGAGAAACGGTTTGATCTTCAGATCCAGTATTAACCCACAATACGAAGTCAGCTGTCGAAATGGCGCTCTTATGAGCAGCTGAATAGGCTGTTTGCTGATTGTTTGCGACAATAGTATCAGCTGCTTGGTGAATGGGTGTGTTCAATCACTTGCTGCAGGCGGCTTTTAGAAGCACAAGCAAAGCGTCTGAATGGAATAGAGCGGAGCAGAGTGCTGTTGAAGCCAATGCAGAGAACAATGAAGAGACTTATACCGTTTCAGATCAGTGCGTAGAGATATAGGCAGTCTCGAACGGAGGACCGGCATGAAAGGCTGTGAGGAGATCCGGAAGTAATTCCAGGAAGTAGTCATCATCCAGGAGGGAGATTAAGTCGCATTTGGCATTGAGGAGAACGTGCGGCGTATACGTGCGGCGTGTACCATACGCGAGTACGATCTCGGTTTGGAGGTTCGCTTCGATCTTGCATTTTGGATGGGAGGTGGACGTGCCAAAGAGATGTAGCCTCGTGCTACCAATGGATTGTTTTTGTGTGCCCTTGGTGCTGGACGTCCTTGCGTCGAAATATCTCTCTCTGCCACGACAAGAGGGCAGCTGTGGCTACTAGGACTTGCTAGCTGACGTCACACGGCTGTCTGAAGATCTGGATGGGCAGGACTCGGAAACCAGATGTTTTCGGGGATTTCAGCGGCTGCAGCTTCTGGAAAGCTGCTTTTCGATGGTGGCTTCAATTCCTGGCGCATAGATGGGGCGCTGATCGTGCCAACTTCCCCGACGTTGGAAGGGGACATCATGTGGAGAAATGCGTTGCCGGCACAACGGTCGTTGGTTGCCATAAACAGTTGGGTCACGAGCTGACTTTCAGAGCTGGTGTTGTGGATCGAGTACTGGATTGCGTATCGGTAGTGTTGGGAGATACCATGCGTCTTCCGCGGCAGTCCTGCCAGTACGGCGCCAGTTCGATGGGGGGTTGGAATCTTGAAGTCGGATATGTCTCTGCTCTTGCCTGCCTCCTTCTCTCCTTCGGCCTCTCTTGTGTGTTGCCGGAGTTTTGGCGTACTCTCGGCGGATGAACAGCACTCGTCGGTAACTTAGCGGGAAGAGCAGGTTGGTCGTGGAGACTCAATGCATCTCCTGAAGTCGGCGCGCAGAGGTGGGATGATTCACTTGCGCGCGAGCAAACGACGGGTCGCGTAGAATTTGCGCATGGTAGAACGCCCGAGACTTGCAGACCTGACGGACACAATCGATTCTTGGAGAGAAGTTCTGCTGTATTCTGGATGTGTATCTCTTCTTATGTCTGCGCGATGTAGGTGCAAGCATCAGACTCCGCGTATCGAGCACCCGGCGTCGATGGAGACTTCATCACATAACCCTTGAGTTAGCGGATTATCTTCTCCTTCACTCCGACCATCATTTGTCCTCCAGGCGGCTCATTACCTGTCCCTCAGTCGGTACATCACTCATCCCCTCAGTTAGTATATTGTCTTTCCTTTACGTGGAACATTACTTATCTCTCCGTTAGGTATTACTTTTCCCTTCAGTGGGCACATTACTTCTCCGTTCAGTCCGCACATTAAGTGCCCCTTTAGTAGTACGTTACCTTATCCATCACGTAGGTCCTCACTTTTCCATCACGTGGGACATCATTTGTCCTTCAGTTAGGACATAACTTATCCCTTCAGTCGGGACATCGTCTTCTCCTTGAGTCCGGAGATCACTTGTCCTTCAGTTACGACATAACTTATCCCTTCAGTCAGGACATCATATTCTCCTTTACTCCCGACATCAGCTTCTCCTGTACTCCGAGCATCACCTTCTCCTTCACTTAGCACATCACATTCCCCTTTAGTTGGCAGATCACTTATCCCTTGAGTTAGTATATCACTTTGTCCTTCAGTCGGGACATCATCTGCTCCTTGAGTTGAGCGTCATGTCAAGACCAACACCATGATACAAGATGCCCAGCATTGCATGTTAATCGTGACTGATATTCTATCTCCCCCTGAGATATCGCACGAAGTATCCCGTCCTTCCCCGATTCGTCATCGCCCCGAGAACCTCCTGCGCATCTCCCGAACCCACCGCGCCAACGTCACGGTCCGCGGCACTCCCTAGACCCTGACGGAACTTCCCTTCGCCGTCGCCGTCTCCCTGCAAGCCTCAGGCATCCACGCTAGCGTGCGCACGGACGAATTCTGTCTATAAGTATTTTCCAAATCCCCTTCTCAACCTGCTTCTTTTCTCTCCAGACTGCACGGTGCAATCGCTTCCGCCCCTTGGATTGGGCTCTGCCCCCCAGGGGCACCACGGTACGTACTCTCTCCTCTCCCCTCTCCGCTAATTGGCTTCGGCACTGGCAGGGCATTGGCACAATGGCACATTGGCATATTGGCAGGGCGTGAATTGGCACGCGCCCTGGCCATCTGGACCGCCGGCGGTGTTCTGACGACGCTCACAATCCGCAACTGAGTGTGTACTTGACTGGCCTCGACACTATTCGTCTCACTCAGTATGGTAAGTTTCTTGTGGTGTTTACTGACTGCCACACTTCGGCCTGCACCTTCGCGTGGTGTGTGGTGTCAGTAGCCTTCGTTGAAGGTGAAGCCAAGACAGGTCAGTAGATAGTTCAATCAATGGTGTTGTGTTCATCTTCATCTTCATCGTCGTCTTCACCGTCATCGTCAGTGTCTCTCACCTCACCCTCGCTCTCATCGTCGTGACGCGTGTCTTCAGTCTTGATGAAGCTGATGGCGATGGTGAGCGGCGGCTTCAGATTGCGCCCGTAGACGAGCCTCCATTAGCACGTCCTGTTCTACGTCCGTATTCGTCACTTTGCGTACTGCCGAGACGCGCACACGGTGTGAGAGTTGAGGTATTTGCTACTATCCAATGTCCTTCGCACACGAGGCAAAGATGGCCGACGGCGGAGACCTGTACGTTCCATCTTCCCAGGCCGGCGACAGACAGACCACATCCTCCTTGAACTGGGAGTATTCCTCCTCACCTTCGAGATCATTTGCTGACCGCGAGATAGGCCATATCCACGGAAACGACTTCAGCACAGCACTCCTCAGAGGATAGTCACGATCTCCTCAACCTCCACCCCCAACGACATTCCGACCACTCTTCCAATCGCTTTCACCCTCAACCCAAACGCGGCAGCCACCTGTCTATGCGCCTAGTCGCGACGGCCTTCTCAAGACTGATGGTGCCATTCGAGCGTCTTCAGGAGGTTGAAGGAGAAAGAGGTGGACGATGATTACGATGAGGCTGTGTCTGACGGACGGCAGGCCGGTGCACACGATCCAAGTCAGGCCAGGTGTGATGGCATCACCTTTCCCATCGACAGCAGCGCGGGAGGCGAGCTGCTCATAACCGTCACACGAAGACTGGAAAGCCACCCGGAAGGCAGCTTGGAAGATAAGAGGAGGAGATGACGCGTGGTGCCTGTGCTATACTGCTGATTTCTGTGACCTTCGCCGGTCAGCACCACTCTCATCTCTGGCGATGACACCCCATGCTCCAGGAAGATGCTCCATCCCTGCGCCGAACATACCAATCGGCCAGGTGGCAGAGCCGCAGTCTGCAGCAACGACGCCGGGAGCTCGAGGGCCATCCGGTCCAGCATCAGCATCCTACCTACTCCCCAAGCCTCGAGGACTCCCCCGGATGCGTTCCCACGAAACAAGAAGGTCGGGTGCTCATGCCCGACAGTTGCGCAACAGCATGCTTGGCACGAGCAGGATGGTAAGGGCATGACTTGTCGCTCACGGTGAGACGCGCAACTGCTCCAGATCTTGCTTCTGCTCGACTATGATCAAACTCAGCTGATAAAATCATATAGGCAGCTAACAGCATCTCTTGAAAAGCGCGAGAGACGCGGCAAGCATCCGCCAAGTTCGACATCTCACTAACCGGCACTGCAGATGATCGGCGAGGTAGCCAGCAAGAGATGCATACAACGGCTGGGAAAGGACGGCGGGCACCGGCGTTGGGATCACGCTTTTTACCAGACTCCATCACGTCTCATCGCTCGCGTTCATCTCACTAGGACAGCCCAAACAGCACGACCATCACCCTGTTGGCTGTGGATGCATCTCTAACATCCGTTCACGTATGTGGAGACCCAGTTTTCGCCAAGCCGTCGTTCCTACGATCCCTCCCTCGATGCAGCACCTTCCCTTCCAGCTTCAACGAGCACCTGCCATCACCTGTCCGAGTACGACTCACGGCACGGGGCAGAGCCGTGAAGAGGCGAAGATAGGAGACAATACCAGCGCATGCCAGTACGATGAGGTAGGCATGGAAGGAAGGACGCTCCTTGCCCACAGGTAATACGAGCACTCGACCTGATTGCGCTTTCGCACATTCACAGGCACATCCAATAACGTCTGCGTGAAGCGCACGAGAAGGAGCAGAGACTCGGGAAGCGATCAGGAGAGACCAACAGGCGGAGACGAATGGGGATTCAAGAAACGTGAAGAACAATGCGGACGGCATGCACCTACCGAACACAACTCCTCTACCGCATCGCCCCAAACCTAGACACGCCCATCAACGACAGCAAGCAACATGTCCTACAGCTCGCCCACGCACACTTCCAAGCAGGCCTGGCACCATCAAGTGGCCGAGCACGGAGGTCAAGGACAAAGTAGCTCCCTGGTACCTGCCTCGCAACGAGCGGACGGCGAGATTTACGCCGGCGGCGACAAGTTCATCCTGGGTCTGCAGTTCGCTGGCATGAAAGGGTTTCTTTCTTTGGGCTATGTAGCTGCCACATAACAAGCCCTCAAGGCAGCCTGAAGATCAGTCGTTGCTGTAGCGCCAGGACCAAGAACTGAAGTATAGGAAGATGCCGGGTCTCAGGAGCATTTTCGGCCACGGAGCCAGCTGTCGCTGGCCTCTGGAACAAACAGAATCTCGAACACGTTCGACTCCACCTTCTCGCAGGACTACTCAAGCGCTTCCGTCCACACAGCGTCATCTATCGACGTCCCACACGACTTGGTGACTCTGAGGTTGACAGCAGGCAGATGCGGCCACCCAGCTCCTGTGGCTTCTGCCGTATCATAGGCCGAGCAGGTCCAACTCAAAGAACGCGAGCGACTCGTGCTGAAGTGGCTTCAAGAGATAGGCGCCGCGCTCTGCTGCATTACCTGTCGGCGGATCGTTGTTAGCTTCATCTACTCATCGGCGAAATGGTATTCGTTACCAGGGACTTCGTTCTCGACGGCGCGGCGTGCACAGCTTCATCTTTGGAATGTCGGCCATGGAAGGGGCGAAGCTCGACTGCCACTCGGCTTAGCGGATGCGGATTACTCCCTGATAGAGTTCTATTGCCCGTTTCTCAAGGTCGCCAAGGCACCTACCATAATGGCCAAGATCCACTGGTCTTTCAAAGCCTTGGACCCTGGCGGACCCCCCCGAAAACAAAGCACCCGGCTCTTTTCTTTCCCCAAGACGTCACCCGATTCGCCTTTGCCAACTCAATCACAAGCAATTGCCACTCAGGTCCACGTCAAGAGGGAAGAGGATTTGCAGAAGAGACGGAGGATAATCTGGAGAGGATTTGAGGACGAAGGCGACGGCGGCGGCGGCGAGAAGTGAAGTGGGAGCACACATCGAGGCTCCGCGCAGACGATACAGGGATTACGTCAGGTCAAGGTTCACAACTTTGGAAATTGGAATCAGGACCAGTCCCAGGCCGTCAGCATACCGAGGAACACCACAGCGACAGATGTCAAAGGGTTGGCTGAGGCCCGATATGACCTTCCATCGCCCCAGCAAGCTGTCTCTCGGCAGCCAACAAATACTGTAGAACGTCTTCAGGACCATGTTTCGGGCAAGGGGGAAGATGATCGTCATGCAAGGAGTGTGTTATGGTAAGGAGAGGCAAGAGAGCCGGTATGGCCGAGGATGGGAACTTCTCGGTCGAAAGCTACTTCTGAGATACGCGACGAGCTATGATATGCTGCCGAAAGCAGCAAACCCTACTTCCGGTTGAATGCTTGACGGGCGTCGAGCAATCGCCATGCCGTCTGCCACTGGGTCGTCATCCTGGCTGAATGTTCAACATTGAAATGATAGCAAAAGCATTTGCAAGGTCTTCAAGTTGATGTAGATGGACTGACTCTTTGGAGAGATAGACGTCTACTCCGTGAGCTTTGGATTTTGTGCGTGTGAGCACTGCTGAACGATTCGTTGAGGCTGCTGGTCCGGCAGTGCTTGATCTGCCGGTCGCGTCCTCTGTTTGTGCCAATAACGCTGTAGTAGTCTGGGAGAGCCTGTTCGCGGTATTTGTTGTCGAGGACGCTTTCAGTAAGCGGGCTGCTCTTCGCGTGCTGATGTTGTGCATTGCGTGCCAATGCCAGACTCTTGGCTTCTCTCCCTCTCTTCAAACCCTCGAAACGGGTGTCTGGATGAGCATGAGATGAAGATGAGCGGATAGACTACGCCTGAACGGTGTGGCAACAAACCATAGCGCCAGGTACCTTTAGGATAGAGCCAGAAACGCACGATGGATCATACCTAAAACCCTCCTGCTCCTCCACGCTCCCTCCCACACAGATTCGCAACGCTGACCTCCTCGCGCGCAAGCCTATGACGTCGCCATCAAGCGCAGCAATTTTACTAATATAACCCCTCTGAACGCTTCCCCCTCAATAATTCAGAACAAGCCCCACCTTTGGGTGAGATGGCGCAGCGGTTACCGCACTTTACCTCACTAGAGGCTCAGGTATGTTGTGTAAACGTGATATTCGTCTTCGGCAATGGCATATAGCACGGAAGCCCTCCCTGGCACGGAGGCACTGGACGGAAGACCTCCCTGGCACGGAGGCACCTTTTTCTTGTTGCTTTTTTCTCCGCAGGTGATGTTTTTGGTCGACTTCGGCGTGTGCTGAGGGCGTGAGTTCGAATCGTGCTTGATGACTTTGATATGCGCCATCTAGCGCGAGGGATGTGGAATCAATTGGATCGATTCAGCAAATTGCGTTTTCAGTTTGCTTCGATATATACACATACGAAGCAGAATATCAATCGATTAGCTGAAACACACGATCGATCATGGAATTGATATCTTTTTGGCCTCTCAAATATTGTCACGCCTAGCTCCATCCCCGCCCTGGCAGCGCGAACGTTTTCGCGCTTGGCATTGGCGGTCGCGGCAACCCTACAACAAGACACTCGCGCACCTTACTGAGACGGGCTCAAGACGCGTCAAAAGATTGCATCGAACACGGAAAAGATAGCGACGACGCGGAGTCGACGAGGAGCCAGACCAAGCGAAAGACCAAGGACGAGGAGACGGCCTGCTGGTGTCCGAGAAGCCGCCACGAGAAGAAAACTTCGTGATGGATGACAGCAACAGAAAAAGACATACCACCTCAATCAAAGAGCGAGCCGCTTCACATGAATCGAAATAAACGTCTGCATAAAAAGGCCGTCATCAGAGCGGTGCTCTCGTGCCTCGCCCGCAAAGCGTCTTCGCCGCCTCAGCGCAAACACGAAATGGACTCCAGTTCCAGTGAATTACATACCAGCCACCGCAGCACGTACACTGTTCGAGCTTCCTTATACAACAAAAGGGCAAAGGTATCACAGCGAGAGATAGAGCACGAGATAAGGGCGAGACGGAGGGCGGCATTGGATCGAGCAGCAGCTCAGAGATAACTGGGCGTTCAAGCTGTTCGCTTCGACACCCAGTTCGCGGGACATTGGCACCGCAATGTATTTGTGGAAGCAGTACCTGGAGTTTTGCAGTTGTCTGAACGTTCGGCAACAAGAGACCTCCTAGCGCCACCGCGTTTTGCACCGACTTAATCAACAAGAACGCGGAGAAGGGTGCGGTTCTGAGACTGGAACACGATGAAGGGATGCGCCTTGGATGAGAAGGGCGACCAAGAAAATACAAGAGCAGCCCTCCAGACGTGGGAAATTGTGCCATGCATCTAGATCCCTCAGTGCTCTCTGACTACCAGTCCAACTCGACGTGAGATTATGACGGGATTATCAAGCCACCGATACAGCAGGGCAAACAGCTACCTGGAGGACAGGAAATCAGTGCCACGAACTGCATCTTCCACTAGAGGATTGGTGCCCAGGGGCAACGCCCGCGGGCAACCATCGACCCTGAACGGCGCTCTGCGTCCTCTCCACCAAGCTGCGAGGGCAATGGTAAAAGGTAAGCTGTCGCTCTAGTAGCAATCAGCCCAAGTACCTAATTATGCTACTTCATGATCTTGTTGGAACTGGTTACAGATTGGTGAAGATCTGGAACAGCTTCAACATTCACTTCACAGTGGGTCCGGCTTCCCGCAGCCGCCCAAATCTTGGCTTTGGAAACCCGCTCCAGAGTCTTCCACCAACCGACCACAAAACACCCGAGCAAACTTGTCGCAACCTCAAAAGACCGTCGCACGCGCACGCCTTGCACGCATCACGCCTGCAATACACTTGATACCACACCTATACATGAGAGTTGTCATTACCAGTGCCGACATGTCTGGTCATCGCTGGATGCTCGATGAGCGCCTCTGCCTCGACATCCTCCACACCGAATTCGAGAACACAAAAGCCGACAACCACACTCTTTTTGGTCGCATCTTCGGTCAGCGCTGGGAGGACGCCGATCGCAGCCCGTACACCGCTCAACGCCTGTACGAAGAAGTAAGCTCTAGCAACTCGTCGTCCACATTGCAGTAGCACTAACATATCACAGCACCGCTGGCGATGGAACCCAGCGAAGAGCAAGGACTGGGATCGCATCTGCATCCCTCCTACACTTCGAACTGGTCAGCAACAAGCTGAGCGAGACCAGATGCTCCAGCGCATCGTCGCCGCCGCCGCTCAAAGCGGCACCAATAACTTCTTCACCGATGAAGTCGACGCGCCAATTACCCTCAACGCTCCTGCTGTGGTGTACGTCGAGACTGGCCGTCCAAGAGGCAAGAAGCGGAATTCCAGCACGAGCGGATCATCCCAAACTGCGCCAAAGAGGCCCGCTGCGGCTGCCGCGCCCCAGCTACCAACAGCAAACCACCATTCTCTCCTGTGGCAACCTCTTCTCACCCGAATCCCATACCATCGACAAGCCACCCAAAACAACGCGGAAGACGGGAAGTGGCTGGACCTTCTCGAACCACCAGCAGCCGACCACAGAAGAAATCATCTCCTACAAAGCGCGCCACTGTTAGGGCCGGTCCGGATGCAGATCACCCGACTCACCCTTCTCGCTTCCCAAAAAAGTCAAATGCGCCTCCTGACCCTGTCGTCACCAATCCCACAGCTAGCACGACCCCAGCAGAGACCTCGCCAACCCTTCAGATGGTCCACACCTGCCTCGTGGACCTGGCGGTCTTCCCACCCACCTACACGCAACGGAACGTAAGCCGCTTCATTCCCAGGGAAAGCAGGCTCTACAAGTATGGCGGCCACGTAAAGCGTGTCGTCGAAGGCAACAAGACCTTGGACGTGATGATTTGCACGAAGTCGGTGTGCCTGTTGCGCCAGAACTACCACCGCGATGCCAGCGTGAGCGAGCACAACGCCAAGGCCTTGGCAGCCCGCGCTGAGAACGCCGACCTCATGATCCCGGGAGATTCTCCACTGGGCGGTCTTCCCTTCGTGCATGTCTGGCGTGACTGCGATCGAGATGCAGAGCCGAACCAAGGCGAGAGGTACACCTTTTCGCCAATCCCTCCGAAGCCAACGATTGCGTCAGAGTTGCAGACTTGGATCTCGGAGATCGCGTTCGACGACTCACAGAACGGAACCGAGGAGGGAGATGGGTGTGCTGGCTATCGTCGGGCAGGGCTGTGCGACCCTTTCCACTGTGATGTCTGTCGGATCAGCGATGAGCGAGCTGCTGAGCTTCTCTCCGGCCAAGGTCCATCAGCACCTGCCTGAAGAAAGTCTCGGCATACAAGGTTTCGCTAACCAGTAGGAGTCAGGAAGGGTATGGTATATATTCGAGCATGATGAGAATGAGAATACGCATTAGGTCGAAGGGGGTGGTGGCCTGCAGGAGGAGAAAAGAAGATGTCGGCTCAGCGCAGGTCTTCCTGCGTAGCTCGTCAGCTAGTCGTGATGCTCGACTTTGCTACATCAATACAAAGCAAGATCTCCTTTCAACAACGGTGACCTCACGGAGCACGCCCGTGCTTTTCACCTGTCGCTCTCGCAATCAGTTTGATCACGACGTCCTTTGTTCATGTATAGAATCTCCATCCATCTCATCTCCCTTTGTCTCGAATTGCCGCAAGCAGTAATTCTCAGCTAGACATGTTCACGTCTCGCCTCTCCTTGTGCATTGTCGAGCACATTGGACTTCCTAGTTACGAGGACTTGCGGATTGAGGGAAGATTGATTCGACCTCGAAGACTTCAACCGAAAGACACAGGGCGTCCAGGCTTTCGAGCAAGTCGTGAAAAGACCTGGAGTGGCAACGACTTCTACTTCCACGCTATGAAGGCGGGAGTGTCTCAAAAAGCACTGAGAAGCATGGAGAGAGGAAATGATGTTAAGAGACTTGGACCATGAAGCAGACGGTGTTCCGTGGCGCGAGGCATGCTTGCGAGCCTCGGTATTTTCTAAGATGACTACGAGCATGTCGATCGCAGAAGGCCAAGATCTGATCTACGGAATGTGCCTACCTCGCCTGAAACACATGAAACCACCATGATCAAGAAGAACGCACTTTGCACAGTTTGTGGGGATGGCTCCATTTGTTGATTTCAGCATTGATACAACTAGCTGCGTTTCTCGTTGCTGTCCAACAACCATTCGTAAAGCATGCTCTTCGTGACTGGATGCAGCACAACCTCCCACCTTTTCCGGTCCCGAAAGCTCATGCCCGTTTCGCTCCTCTGAGCTTCCCAAAATCTTCGAACCCATTGATGCCTTAACTTTCGCAAAATACTATTGAGACAGCCCCAATCCGAGCTTCGTCCTCCATGACAACGACTGGACCAGACGCAGCAAGAGGAAGCACCTGAACTCACTCACTCGGAACCACCGTGCGAGCCAGGATCTGATCACCAAACGCTCGAGCTTTGGCGATTCGGGCAGCTTGGGCAGCAGCTTGGCGAAGAATAGCAGCCACCTGAGCGTCTGGCTGCACAGGTGGTTGCTGTACTTCAGCAGGCGCTTGCTCTGCCTCCTTGGCAGACGCTTGCTGTGCCTGCGCAGACTGCTCCTGCTCCCACTTCTTGTCCAAGAGAGCCAGAAGGCGAGAGTTCGGCTCGAATTGGTGGCGGGCCATGAACAAGTACTTCTCAGGAAATCCTGGCCGGGCGTTGCGGGCCTCGTCGTCTTCGCGAGTCGTCTGCCGCGTGGCCCGTCTCTTCTTTGCTGGGCGTCCGTTCGTCGAGGATGTCTTGTTCTTCTTGGGGCCTTCCTGCGCCGGAGTGGTACTTGGTGGTGGAGGAACTTGGACATGCCCAGAGGGACTCGTGGGGACCTGTGCGTGCTCGGGTTCCTCCTCGTCCGCGTCTGAGTCGGAAGGCTCGGTCTGGCCCTCCTTGACTGCTTCACTCTCTTCTTCATCTTCGCGCTTTCGCTTGGACGAACTTGGGCCAGCAGAGTTGCTGGCGGCACCTGAGGATACCTGCGAAGCTGGAAGGGGCCCTGCGATTGGTGATGCCTTTGGTATGTCAGTATGAGTGTATACAGCGGAGAAAGTATGGTCACTTACTGGCGGAGAGGACAGGACGCTTGAGTCGTCGGAATCCTCGTCTCGCTTCTGCTTTGATCCGCTTGGGCTGGCAGTCGTGTCGGCAGCGCCTGACGATCCCTGCACAGTTGGAGAGAGCGGTGCCAGTGGCGAGGCCTCGGACTTGTCAGTATGATTGCGTGTAGCGGGGACAGAATGAGAACTTACAGGAGGTGAGGAGAGGATGCTGGAGTCGTCGCTATCGTCATCGGCGGCGTTGGTTGGGTTGGCGTTGGCGTGCGTTTGGGCAGCACGAGACTCAGCGCCAGCACCAGCAGAGGCAGTACCTGCGCGCGGATTGAGTGTGATACCCAATGCCTGCGCCGCGACTTGTATCATTTGTCGCGCCTGCGCACGTTCCGCCCCTTGCTGCGCAGTGTATGTGGTCCTCTCAATTTCCCGCTCCCACATCTTGGACCGGCCTCCTCCATTTCGCGTGGCGTATTCGTCGCGAATGCGCTCTGCATCTGGTGGGACAGCGAAGTTGGCGGCAAAGTGGTAGTTGAACAAGCGAGCGCACTCTGCGCTCGTCTGCTCATACTCTGTGAGTTCTATAAAGACCATGTGGCGCTCGAGGGTGTTCCAGAGGTGGACTCGGCGCTTCGGCGTTTGAGTGGATGCCATAGTGATCTTTGATGTGGAAGGTGTTCGAAATTGTGGAGGGCGGTGGAACGAGTACTAGTTCAAGCGAATGAAGTCGCGTCGTGTTGGATGTTGAAGAAACCGAGGGATGCAGCGGTATTTTCTCGTGTGCAAAGACCGTTCGAGTGTATGATCGAGTTTGGACGCTTGCGACGAGGTGATCAAGAAAAGTGTCGGCAGCGGGAGTTAAGGGTCGCGCAGAGCAACAGCGGAAACTAACTTTCGGCTACTCCCGAAACCTTAAACTCGCAAGTGAATGTTCGCAGACTTCACCGCTCTGGACTTTATACTGCATATTCTGACCAGGATATACATGATTATTGGGAACAAATTTTGCAAGTAGGAGACTACCTTGTGCCTCTCGGTATTCGTTTCGTATACATTGATCTATAGCAGGCGGGCAGGCGAGCGCAAACACCGATGCTGTCTTACACGCTTGAAACAACTGCTCCTTCATCCATAGTTGCTTTGAAGAGACATCGTGCTGCAGGACTCAGTTGACTCCGGCGATATCACGGACTTGCAAAGAGCGATTGCTGCACCCTGCACAGGAGGAAGCATGCTGAGAGGTTAAACTTGGCTGAGTAGCTTCGATGGGAGCTCGGTGATGAGCGCATAAACCTGGTCGCCTTGCAAAGCAATCAAAGCCAATTCATTCTCTTTCTCTCTCTTCGGCAGACAGACCCAAAGTACGTCCGCAGCTTGCTTGAATACCTGGTCTGATTCCTCCCGCTGAGTCTGATTCGCCTGCACGTACGTAGCTCAATCGATACGCCCTTGGACGAGTGTTCATGGTTCGATGCGGCTTTAGGCTTTCGATCAATCTCGGTGGCGTAGTCTTAGTCCTTCAAGTGACCACGAAGGGCTTTGCTGATGCAGGCACTCTTTCGAAATCCAGATTTCTACGTGCTTGATGGAGACTTTGTGGAGGAAGGGATTGGGTCGAGCTGCTGTCCGATGGATCGTCTTCATACCAGAGATTGAAGGTGGAGCCAGAGGGATAATGGATCCTATAGCATGAATCTGTCAAAGGATCAACGAGAAAAGACGAGGATTCACTTCGTCTGTGTCCACCGAAGGTCGATATTCCTTCGTCGAGATCAGCTGGCGCGAAGCATCCAAGCCCATATGTACTGCTCTACCTCGAGTTTCTGATATTAAGATCTTAATTTGTTTCTTCAGGATCAATGAATCGGTTTCTCTTTTGCCATCTTCGATATAGTCGTGCATGCCTCGACTATGGTTTGCATGATGTCTTGACAGACGGGAGTGTGAAGGTGCGGTCCTGTGTTCATCAACAGGGTAAGGGGTCAAGGCAGTTAGGTCTGACCGTTGCTCACGATCGATGAGCCAAGATCTCGTTAACGTAGCCATTGGCCGGTTTGGACAGTCCTCGCCGCCAGCACCAGTCAATCCATGAGACGTGAGAGCGAGATCTGTCTTATAAGTATTGAATCATCCATAGGTATTTCGAAGGCAAGGTATGAGAGTACTCTGTCCATCTATGCATCTCTGTTTTCTCGTCCCTGATGTACGCAGCTAAAGCTACCTGTACCATGTCTCGCTTTACTGTGTGAGTTTCCTGTGCCTTCCTATGATGGACAACATCGACAGTCTCGTGTTCTAGCCCCTTTCGATTTGACGCTGGCCTCAGGTAGTCTTCTGACAAATGCCTGCCCTAACTCTCGCGAGGTACAGGCCCATGTCATAGCTCAAGGAGAGGAGCTGCCCACCATTCTCTTCCTGCTAGGCGTCAGCCTTGTCTACCATCTCGTAGCCCTCGCTCTTTTCATCCTCCGTGTTTTTCTCTTTCTCCTCCTGTGCCCTCTCCTGCTTGTTGACATCTCGCCGACCCGAGCGGATTACCTCCATGCACTCCCTCCACACCGCATCAGACTCCTGCTCCCACGTTCTGGCCATGTCGAACTTGGTATTGAATTTAGCTTGCGGCTGGATGTGGTTGCGCACAATCTCGAGGTGAAATGCCTTGCTCTCCCGTGCTGACATGATCCTCTCCCGCTCCGGCACCTTTGCTTCTCGCAGTGCCACATCTGCTTCCCGCTCCTGGATCTTCGACAGCTTGTCATGCCTCATCTCATGGGATCGTATCGTGACAGGCGTGTCCCTGCCGTAGCGAGGAGCACGGTCGACCTCGGTAGTATGGAGATAGTTGCGAGATTCCTGGCGGAAAGCCCTCAGAGCTTTCCACGTACCGGCTTCGGAGAATGCAGACTTCTTCTCATCATCGCGTTGAGCGAATTGACCAGAAAGAGGCGAGGACAGAGTGCGCTTACGGCGACCAGAGCTGCGGATGAGGCCTTGGAAGGGCGTCTCTTGTTCTTTGGGGGCCATGGTGTGGGTATAGTCCTTCTCGATCTCCGGTGCCTGGGCCGGCATCCACTCTTTCTCTTGCTTGACCTTGCTATTGACGTGACATGGGCCGCACCAATTGTCGAAGCCGTGAATAGGTGGCTTCAAGGAGATGGTGGCAGAAGACGAAGGCGGGCGCTGAGCGTCGAGCTTCGGAGTTGGCGAGGAGAGCGAACGAGGTCGAGTGGTAGTCTCTGTGGATGCAGGGTCGAAACCCATGTCGTCGAGGCTTGATGATCTCATACCGCTGGATGAGCGAATTGCAGTGGGGTTGCTGTTCGAGGTCGTTGGCAACGGGATGGGCGCGGGAGTCGAAGGGGCGAATGTCGAGGGCCGGAACGGAGAGTTGTCGCTCGTCGAGTCCTCATCAACTGGAAGCACACTTCTCAAAACCATCGCGCCGTCGAGTAATGGAGTGCTTGTTCGCGAGAAAGTGATAGTATGTTGAGGGGCGGTAGTGTCAGAGGCAGGGATGCACTTTTTAAGCTCAATGTGTCGAAGAAAGTCATATGCCGATGACTTATCACAATGTGCAAGCTTAGCCACCGGGGTAGAGCAGTTTTTAACACGGGTTAAACAGGCGAATCTCTGCTAATGCCCTTGGATCTTTTTAGAGCAAATGAGGGCCAGAGGACTACTAGTGAATGGATCAGCTACTCGGGCGCTGTACTTGAAAGACTTGTAGAAGTATCGCTTGCAACATTCAAATCTCCATACCGTCAGGGGTATACTTCCACGGTATCTGCCCTGCCCTCTCCTCTATTTACTCGAATTGCACACAGTGATACAACGGAAGTTACGGACTGATCAACAACTTTCTTGTGTTGTCTGATTCGAGCTGTCACTTTCACGTTCTCGTGTGGTGAGGGAGAACATTCCGACGGGAAAACGTCAGCTACCCCCCAGCAACCGAGGCCACCACTCCAGCGATCCCTCTGCCAAACTTGTACTCGCAGAGCGAACTGCTTGCTCCTGGTCAATCAACCTCTCCCGAACGCTCTCGCATCCACCGCGTCCAGAGTCGTTTCAATACCCACGGCGGTCTACTCTTCCAGTCTACGTCCTCCTCGCTCGTTCCTGAAAAGCATAAATATCGGAGTTGATGTGTTGAGATACTTTCTTCGATCTCGATATCATGCGTCCCAGGCTCTCCTGCGAGAAGAGAAGTCTCCAGTGTCGATCACTTTCGACACCAAGCTCGTCGTGCCACGGTGTGGGCTCGCAGCCTAATATCTTGTAGTTGAACTTGGCAATTCGACGGCGGGTGAAGCGTCGGGTGGTAAAGTCAGCGCACTCATGGAGTCTCTTTGCAATCCTGAAGATGTCTCCCAGTTTACAACTCCTGATGATCACTTGCGCCTTGACCCAAACAAACGCCCTTAGAGCTGCAGTCGGAGGCCTATGCTGTAGCCATTCCAGCGGATTCGCTTTGTTCAAGATCGTCAACCTGATGTCCTTAGGTTGGGAGCCGAGTAACATGTGAAGTTCAATAGCATCAGTCTTTAGGGCCTTGACAATCTCATCATAGCAATTGATTTGAAGCTCGATCAAGGGATCCTAGGCTGCGTAGCGAATTTCCATCGTTGGAACGGTGCCGACACCAGCCCAACTCCACTCCACAGATTCGAATCCGAGTGGATCGCAGACGCAGGCACCACGAATCCATGTGTGATTGCATAGTATGTGTTCACGGAATAGGAATGGATTGTGCTGGAAGCCGTTCCCCGCCGCGTCATGGTTCAGGCAGAACCCCCTACTTAAGCTCGACGAGCCTCTGACAGTCGCTTCGAAGGGTCCACCTGCGACAATGCAGTTGCGAAGATACCGATCGCCTAGGTATTCCATGATCATGAGGCACAGCTCCGGAAGTCCGAGTGTTCTCGCACAGGCATTTCGATGCGTCGCCTTGTCCGCTGGATTCGAAGCCAGAGTCTTGACAACGCCATCAGCCATGGCCTGCGTTCCTCGTTTTCTCGTACGGTTACGAGAACTTGCGAGCCGTCTATCAGCTCCTCGTCGTTTCGAACCACGCAAGTCCTCAGTAGGGCGAGAAACCATAACGAAGGAATCTCTCCGCACGACTTTACGCATTTCCAATGGTTTCCCGCGTCTGGTGTCCACAGGCACGGTGCGCCTCAAAGGTCTCGGGTTCCTGAGCGACCTGATAACGGTGGACGCGAAGGATGTTCGGCCAGGATGGTGCGTTCTCTTCTTCGCTGGCCTGGAAAGTGAGGACCACGGCTTGGGTTTGCGCTTCGGCGGACTGGCCTTACGGCGATTATATCTGTGCACACCAGTGTCGGTTTGGGCCGGGTATCTGCTAGGCGCGGTCATCCTGCATTATTCGATATAGTGGTGATCTTGTGCAGAGGTCAGTATTTTGGGAAGAGTGCAAGCAGACGAGTTCCTTCTCTTCGTAACTTAAGTACAGGCAGCATGGCCCACTCTTTTCTAACCGGCCATAGTCGATGGAGTTCTTTTGATTTGCGTCGCCGATGTATTGAATGGGCGACCCAAAGATGGGTACGTGTCAGCGAAATTCAGAGCCGTAAGACTAGATTTTAAAGTGAAAGTCAAACCCTGGATCAGGCCGTGGTCCGCGTGAAAGCTTAAGTCGACTTCACTTTTCACGAGTTACGTTAACGAAGCCGTGATCGCAATTCTCAATCAGCGATATAGAGGCCACTCTACTACACGCCGATGAATATCGTGCCTCGAGTAGTGGGGGTTGAATTGAGTATGAAAGGAAACTCCTTTTTCGCTCCTATAGACTACTTTGCTGGATTGATGAGACAGTAAAAGACTGGCTGCTAATATGGCAATACTCCTGCATTTAACCTTCGTCTCCACGCTATTCGCAATCTCTTTTTCCGGTGTGTATCCTCGATGGCCTCAATGCTGCAGAAGAGCCTGGAGCCGACGAAGCTCTCGCAGCTCGTGTCTTGTACCAGGTCACATCCGTCGCATCCGGCAAGATGATAAGCTCCGCCTAGGGCATGATGATCGCAGGGAACGTACTCGCCATGAACTCCCGAGCTTCAGCGTACGTCGCCCCCACCCAACGATCAGCAGCGTCGCCCTTCCAGAACCAGCAATACTTTGGCCCGTCGTCACCAACCACAGCCTTCAGATGCGATGCATTGAAGAACGTCTTCCAGCCAGCATCTTCCACGGTGCCGGTCTCTTCGTCGATGATCGTGGCTTCGCCTGTGAATGTCTTGGCGTCGATGGTGTTGGCACATTCGAGGAGGTTCTTCGCAATGCGGATGAGGGAGTACATGCGCAAATTTGTGATGTCGATGGTGATCTCTGCCATGTGCCACTCGATTGGAGAGGGGGGAGCTTGCCACTCCTTGACCCAGGTCATGGTCTCGGGGTTCTGGATCACGATCTTGACGTGCTTAGCCGGAGATCCCAGGCGCATGGCGAGAAGCAGACTGCCAGAGTTGAGCGTGGTGGTCAGCGACTCGGCCTCCAGGAAGCGAAGCTCAATCGGTTCGGCGCCTTCGGTAGCTGTGTGGTGGGTGAGGTCGATCTCCATCTTGGGAAGTGGCTCTCCGCCTTTGTCATCTGCGAACCTAGGCATTGACTCCCACATGTCGCAGCCACATCCACTGCGACGCTTGTGTCCGCAGAAGACACTGTGCCAAAAGAAGAAGGGGTTGAAGGTGAAGTGTGTGCTTGAGATCAGGGAGACGTCGGGGTCGTAGTCGAGGAGCATCTCCTTGCGAAGATGTGGGAAGGCACGAATGGTGTCAAGGAAGGGACCGCCAGCCACTGCGGCATTGCAGAGGTCGTAGTCCCAGAGGTGGTCGAGCACGGCAGCACACAGCTCGGGTGTCTGGAGGACTTGGTCACGAATAGCACGTGGTTCGGCGTATCCGAGGAGGTTCAAAGCCATGGCGCCGAGATCTTGGAAAGTCGAGGAGATGGTTGTGACTTCAGCGTCTTCGTTGGCGGGAACGGTGTCGTTGGTGGTAGCGGGCGTGGAAGTAATCTCGTCTGCGAGGACTTTGCCTGTCGTATCATTAGCTAGGATTCTGATATCAATAGGCTAAGACTTACAATTAGCCGGAACAGTCGGTGGACCGTCACGAGAGACGACACTCAGCTCGTCGGCGGATGGCAGCGTCGGTGGGATGCCTTCGAGATGCTGTTGTTGGTCGGACATCGTGGAGTTGGTGTGAGGACGATGAGAGGCGAGTATCGAGTGCTGAAGACGAATATCGAAGAGTGGTGGGCGACGAAATTCGATGCGTGTGTGTAGTTGCAGCGTAGCGGAAGCCGAGTGGTGTTTTAGCTGCCAAGCTGCGGAATTTGTGCACGGGCTCGCACGAGCCAACAGCTGCACGTGCGTCTTGGCACGGAAGTAACATCCTTTGTATTGTATGTCTTTTCACATGTGGTAAACGTATAGCGGCATACCGAAAGACCTACTAACAGATGCAGAAAAGCGATCGACTCGGTGATAACAGGAGCGTGAACATTGGTCATGTGGCTACAATCAGGCCGTCGACGCAGACCTATTTTACGGCACGCTGCCAACATTGGCAGCTTCCTATCTTGAACAGGAAGTACAAGTATCATACAGAGAGTGCTGTAGCACGGAGGAAGTGTAGAGAGCTATCAAGGAGTCGAGACGCAGGCGCCATGTTCGATTCTTCTACGTGCTGATGTTCAGTCGCTAGAATTCGCTCCGAAGCTGTGAAGTATACCTTCCAGTACCATGGTCCTCCTCGCTTCGAATGACTGATATCTGGATCTTAGAATGACGCATGCAAAAGACTTCCCTTGATGACAGGCCCTCAACCCTACCTCCCGCGACATCAACCAACGACGACCAACAGTGGCTTGACAGTATCCCAGGTCTATGCCCTGTCATCGCTGAATTAAGCGCCATGGGTCTTGCTCCAGAACACCCGTGACACATCTCCAGATCTTGTAGGTGGTAGACCTCTCATCGTGTAGCTCAGTGACGTGCGGGTGGTGCTACTCGTCCGGCACTAGCGAAGGGGTCGGCAGTTGCCTGTTGCCGTTGCGGAGGGCAAAAAAGTCACAAGCCTGGGCGTACGACGCTCCATGCCACAACGGACGCAGTTCCTCTCTCGACGAGAACCAGTAGTACTTTGGCGCGTCCGACACCACTGCCTTCAAATCCGATTTTTTGAAGAAAGCCCCCCAACTCGGATCGGAAACCGTGCCCGTCTCCTCGTCCCAGTCGGAAGCTTCTCCTTTCTGCATCTTCTCATCTATGAAGCTCGCGCATTTGTACAGGGCAATGGCGATGCGGTAGATGGAATACATGCGAAGGTTCTTGTTGTCGATGACGATCTCGGCAGTGGTCCACTGCAGAGCGCAGGGAGGCGCCTGCCAATCATGCAGTCCGTTCGGGTGCCCAGAGTTCTCGATGACAATCTTGACCTGGCTGGGTCTGGAAGCAAGACGCATGTCCAGGAACACGCCGCGAGAGTGCAGGCCCTCGAGCAGGTCTTTCGCGTCGAAAAAGCGAACCTCAAACGGCATCTTCTGGCCGGTCATGTTCAAAACCATCGGCGGAACTCAGTAAGCGTTGTTTCGGTCGATGAAGTCCACTGATGCAAGGTATGAGCAGTCGCAGTGGTAGTTGCGGATGTGGCCACAATTCATTGTGTCCCAGAACATGATGCCTAGGCCTGGGTAGTTGGCTACATCTTTGCACTCAAAGCCCAACATCTTGCCAAGGGTTGACGAGCCCTTCACCGTCGCCAGGAATGGACCGGCGGCCTGCACTGTATCGTGCAGATCGTACTCATCGTCGTGGCACTCAAGGATCGATGCACAGAGCTCCGGAATATTCAGTACTCGTTGATGAAGCTTCTCAATTCGAGCGAGTTTGAGTTGGTGCTCCGTCTCAGCAAGACGGTGGAGGCGGTCAACCATGTCGCATAGCTCTCCAAAAGCGACAGAGATACTTGAAAGGGAGGACAGAGGCGAGGAGAATGTGGTGGTGGAAGCAGTTGAAGAGGTTGATGAGGACGCAATAGTCGAAGATGTTGCTGTCGGTGTGGGAGAAGACATCGTCATCAGTTCCGACGGTGCAGTTGAAGAGAAGCGTATCGTGGATAGGGGCAATGCGGTCGGTGGGTTCGGCGTCGTGGAGGCGAGAATCGCAGATGTGGACGATGGCAAGAGTGATGACGCCGCAAGACTCGAAGAGGATGGTGAAGGGGTTGCGGCGTTGGGTTCGATGGCTGCGGCAGCGGTCTCGATCTGCCCGGCCGGGGAGTCGCCTTTCTCACAGTTAGCAAGAGGTCTGCTGCAGATACGCCGCCATCTACCCTCGGCCAAGACATCTTGTGGGTTATCGGGGATAGAAGAAAGTCGCTCCACGGCGAAAGGCTTCACGAGCAGTCGCATGTTGACGCTCTTAGATGGAGACGATTGGAATGCAGCGGCAGGTATCAAGTGCTTCGGCCTCCTTTGCAGCGATGTGTAATAAGAGAAACCGATGTTTGTCGGTGGGGGAAGGTTTGTCGAGTTGGCGTGGCAATTGTGTAGCGAAGTGGTACTATCTGGGTATAGACTACCTCTGTACGGACCTTCAAAACCCCAGCGCTGCACTTGCTTCTTTGCACATGCCTGCATCTTGTGTGTTTTCACGCATGAGACAGACGCGGGTAAAAGTGTGTAGGGTTGATGAACATGTGCATGAGTGCAGTCTATACGTCATTAGATGTCTTTTGAAAGAGCGGTATGGACTATATAGGCGATGGCGTAGAACGTACGACTTCCCTACAACGTAAGGTTATAGAACAGTACTAAGGGAATATAGAAAGAAGACATCAGAACTAAGCGTTTTTCCTGGTGATATGTGCCTACTAGCGCCCTAGGAAGAAATCCTGTATAAGTGCAACTAGTAGGACCTTCAAGACATGCACATGCTTTGTCACACATCTCCTAAAAGAGGCTGAAGATTCCAAAAAGTACGCACAGAACTCCAGCGGTCGAAATGCCTCAGTCTCAGCCGAGTGGGACGTCACGCAAAAGGGGAGATCCTAGTAAGTGGAAGTCGCCGAGAAATTTTCGGCGAGGAAGTGATTGACTTACAGCTAGGTGGAGAACATACAGTTGGAAAGCATGTCGTGAGATCAGGGAAGTGAAAATTGGGATTGCAATATGTGGAGTCTGAAAGAAATGCTTACACTCTAGATACCATATCAATCTTAGAGCCAAATCAACACTCGCCGCAAGCCAACTAATTCCTCTCTCGGTCGCCAAAATCCTCCGTCCTTGGAATCCTACTCGAGTCTGATGTACCCCTTCAGTGCGTTCCTCATATCGCGAACCTCTTCCTTCATGTTGTGGAATGCTTTGCGCAACTTGGACCGCTTGCACGGCTTCATGGAGCCTTCCACTTGGTCAGCGCCACCGGTTGAAGAAGTGCTCGTTTCGCACTCTCCGAGAAGTGGCATCTCCTCGTCCGACGAGTCGCTGTCGTATTGGTTCTCGTACTCCGAAGACGCGAACTTGATCGCTGGAAGTCGCCTTTGAGTCGCGGGCTTGATCTGTGCCTGAAGCTGGACTGGCACACACTGGAGGTTGACGGTGATTGATCTGCCCTGGCTGATGATGTGGACGGCGACGTCTCGCTCAAACACCTGTCCGGCACCAAGAGCATGCTGGATCTTGTCATTGAGCTCGTCAAGCACAGAGCCGAGGAAGCCCAGAAGCTTGTGGGTGTTGTAGTTCTCCCAGTTCTTGTTCAGGTGGATGTCAAAGTCGTAGTGCTGACCTTTGAGGCGGACTTGGACGCACGATGTCAGCTGAGACGCAAGCTCATGAAGATACGTTGGTACCACGATGTCGAACTCGAGGAGCATGGACTGGGCCGTGTGCAGAACGTCAGTAGGCCGACATTAAGTAGGGAGACCGCCGCTTGAAGGCCTCGAACAGGGACTTGCCGGTGCTAAATGTTATGGTGAAGACTTCATCTTTGAGAATGTCGATCTGTGACATGCTGTAGATGGTCTGGCGGATGTCGATGGGCAGTTTGAAGAATGGATGTCGGGAGTTGCAGAGCTCGGCGAATCGACGGTGGGAGAAGCCCATATTGGCGATGTCGTGGGGCTTGTTTACAGGGGGTAGTCAAATGTTATGGTGAGCGATGTTTATCCCGAGAGCTGGAGGTAGAGATGCAAGGGATAATGGGGCGAGAAAGAAGGGCCACAGTGTCGACAACTTAAACCAGCAGCAGTGGTGTCAGCAGTGCGTGTCGTGGGCGTTATTACAATCCCATTGTGATGTCTCGTCTTGGCAGTGGTCCTTTCACACTCGCCCGACGAAGAGAATTGTCCAGACAAAGAAATACATTCGCGCCATTCGATGTGCACACCGGCGCATGTTGTGAAGATGTGTTCTAATTTTTTGAGCATTTCCATAGCGACATGGACTGGTGGAGTTAAAGCCACACTCTTCCCCATTTCCTCTATTAGCTTCCGTCCACTGACCCAGCAATCTCGCTGATTCTGATCACATGGTAGCCGTAATCAGCAGCAAATTCTTCAGCTCTTAACGTGTTGGCATGATGGTAAATGGCGCTTCGACTGGGCGTTTCACTGAAGTCTTTACTCAATTTTGCCAGATAGTCATACGTGGAAGAGCGCAGCATGACAATTCCCTGGTGCATGATCTGCTCGCACTTCCAACGTTCGCTCTCCTTGACAGTCTTGAAGATGACGTGCGAGAAAGCATCACAAGGTGTTCGACCAATCCACTCTTCCCTGGTGCTGGCTCTTGTGCACAAGTGAGCACAGGCGAGCCGCAAAATGACATCTTGATGAGCAGCTGTCAGGATCCACCCATCAACAAATGTTATGCTCATGGCCAGTACGATTATAGCGTCGAAGAGACTTTGGTCCCACCCTGAGTATGGGTAGGAGGCCGCTTTTCGCAAAGCTTGGAAGACCAGATCCTTGAGCTTTCGAATGTCATAACTCTGGACAGCAGGCCTGCGGAATAGCCACTCGTCCACCGATTGCTGTCCCCGACCCCACGGCTGTATGGTCGCAAACAGCCATCCACTCAGTTGTACACAGTCCAGAATGTCATGAAGCTTGGCCGAGATGGAAACGTAGTCGTCAAAGACGGCATGAGCAACCTGGACCTGGCATTGCTCAACACTCTCGGTAGCGGGGGAGTATTGTCTTTCTGCCGCTGCTTTGCAGGCCTGACTTGTTTGGTGGCCCTTCAAGGACCTGTGTCGCACCTGTTGTCCACATATGTCGCATGTTGCCATGTTGTTCGTGAGATCATGCATGGTAGCTACATGACGTACGAGTATGTCCTTTCGTGTGCATAGTACCTGACACTGAGAGCATCCGAAAAGCTTGCCCCGAAACTGTGCGATAGCCGTGTTGATATGGCGATGGAGGGTTTTCCTTAGTTGAAAATGTTGTCTGCAGAGGGGACATTCGAGCTCGGGCATGCTCCTGGCCTGGAGTAATGCAACCACTTGGTCTTGTGACTGCGCCGAGCATTTTGCCGCCTGAGTCGAGGTTGGGAAGGGTTGCGAGGGCCTTGGGCGAGAGCTTGCTGGGCCTTGTTGAGCGCCAGAATGGCCAACACCGCCAGTATAGTCTCCAGGACCCATCGTCGGTTGGGAACACAGGTCAGAAGAGAGCGTGACTGTGAAAAAGAGCCCTGCTGGTGAACTTCACAATGTACAAACGACATGCTCCAGACGTCCAGGCGTGTGAAGCAATCCAGAACCCAAAAGCCGCAATGTGGCTCTGTGAGCGACCGCACAATGCTGTGCCACCTCCGTGATTAACATGGATCAGTCCACATAGACTATTCTGTTCTGATCTGTGCACGGATTAGAATACATCCTAGGTATTGGTCGATCCAACGCTCCTGTCCGACCCGTTGTATTTATAGCTTAGGTAAGAACCTCTTAGATGATCTGAATCCTTCACAGTCTAATTTCCGGGTATACCAACGACTGAAACGGTCTCAACAGCTGCCCCTTGACCTCAAGGGAACGCCTGAAATAGTGATCCTGGCGTAGTCAAAGCAGTTAGTGGGTAGTCCAGTTTTACTAGATAAGAGAGTCTCGGACTGGAGTATTTGTCGTTCAGTTGAAAATAGCATTTGGCCTGTCTGCTCTGATCCATATTAATTACTTTGCCGCCTCAGTGCTAACCCATTAAGAAGCCCAACATGCTGTAGGTGCCCTTGCAGCGTTGCCTCGTTGCCTTTCTGCAAGCGGATGAGCCAGAACGGTTGTGCAGAACTCAATGTCCCAAAGGCGCTAAGGATGAGATGTTGATTCGCTTATACCGAGGCTTGCATCGGGAAGGATTGCATGTGCATGTGCTCTGCAGACAGGTGGTCTCGATCGGGCAGGTTGCCCGCGTACCTGGGACGGCCTCTTCAGCCAGGTGTTGGGGCAAGACGTATGCTCGCGCCCGCGCAATCTGGCATTTATCTCGCGAAGAGAGTATCTGAGAGAGTAGAGCGGAGACACATGTCAGACAACGACTTGTGATTTGGTTTGGTGACCACTGGCGATGAAAATATAATAACATAAAACTGCCGGCCCCACCTAAAACTCACGCTTCTTATCTCGAGTAGCAAGTGACATTGCCTTTCGACTACACCGTAAACTAACATCGTTACTACACCGTGGCCTGCTAAAACACAGAGATCGGGCTTCCACCTACTAGTGCATCGAAACGGCAGTGTTGGCTATCTCAATGATGTCGCTCCCATAACCCTGAAAGAACGCCATCGTTGTAAACGATCTCGTGTGTGCTTTGATGGCAGCATCCTCCAGTGGCTTGCTGAAGTCCTCCGTCAACCGTGACACAGAATCCCAAGTCGCCTTGCGCATGACGCCTAGGATGAGTTTGACAATATTGACACACTTCGGTCGATCATTCTCGGGTACTGTCTGATTGAGTACGCTGTCCCAAGCTTGAGACCGTTGACTGTTGATGAATGCGTCTTTTGTCAGAGACAATCGTCTGATCTGAATCTCCGCCAGTCTCTTGTATGCATCCGAATGCGGGTTCGAATACTTCCATCCCTCAGTCATCGTTGTGATTACTTTGATAATAGCGATTGCGTCCAGCAAGTGGCCGTTCCAAGAGATATCTGGGGCTTCAACGGCTGTCTTCAGTGTCTTCAAGAATAGGCATTTCAGCTTTTCCACTTCGTACGAGCGCGGCGGCTGTGCTTGAACGAACCAGAGAGCTGGGGTCATCTCGCCGGGGCCCCATGGTTTGACTGTGGTAAAGAGCCAGGCGGTGAGTAGGACACAGTCGAGAATGTCGTGGAGGTAAGAATGCAAGGAGTAGAATGCCTCCTTGGAGTCGTCCGATTGACTCGCTGTTGGTACCACTTGATCAGACGACGTCGCGGCCGAAGGTCGTGCGTTAGCACATGCTTGGGTGGCTTGGTGGCCTTTCAGAGATCTCGGTCGAACCTCCTGACTGCAGACGGGGCACTGCACCAGTGTACGACCTGCACTATGTTGAGATTTCATGTGCCTCGAGAGTATGTCTTTGCGTTTGAATCGCAAGCCGCAATCAAAAATGCTGCAGACGAAAGGTGATCCCTCCAGATTGGCGATGGAGTCTTTGGCGTGTCGGATCAAAGTCTTCTTCAACTGGAATGTCTGGGCGCAAAGCGGACAGGAGAAGGGTGGTCCGGTCCTGGCGATGACTGATCGTTGGAATTGCAACTTCTGGTCAATTGATTGAAGAGAACAGTTTCTTGATGATGCTGTGGGCTCTGGGATGTGGTCCGCTTGAATTGTCGCTTCCGAATCGGTGCTGTCGCGCTGTCCTACATTGGTGCCTTGACTCGCGGTGATCTCGTTGATATCCATGGCTTATCCAGTTATAAGCTGAACGGCTGGTCAGAATCCAAAGAGTGTTGCCGTCCACGATCTTGCTGCTCGGGAGCAAGAGTTGAATGCGAGTGGCAAGGCATGATATACTTTGTGATATATAACCTGCCGGTTTTCCTTCGCGAGAACCACGTAAAAAGGCTTCAAGGTGGCCCAGTCAGGGCCAGAAGGCGTAGTACTGCTGTACCATGCATTGCCGAATTCGGAAGCTTGCGGTGCCCAGGCCCAGAAAGCCTTTGTAGAGATGAAATAGATCGAAGTCCAGGCACGCCGACCCTGTTTGAATCGATCGATGGACGATCCATGTCGACGTCGAAAATGAGGCTCAAAATCTGTTCATGCTTGTTTTCGGGCGTGATCCGAAATCTGTAGGGTTCACCGTGGTCTCGAGCGCCCGATCTGGTTGCCTCGTGGCCTCGCGGCTCCGGAAGGATTTGTGGCTGCAAGATAGCGCTTGCTGGGTGGCTGTCATTCGTCGCACAGCATACGCACGACGGACACTCCGGCATGCCCTTTGACGCAGGCTTCTCAATTGAGACTCATCTGGACGATCCAGGTCGCCCTTCTGTCGGCCCCCAAAGTCCGTTCATTGTTCTCCGGGTCCGTGCCACTGGTTTTGCAATATGTGGAATTGCAATGCAGATACCTGAGGACGCTTTTTTGTGGGTTTTCGATCCAGGCTGGCGAGCAGTCCTCATATGACGTATGGTGGAGCTGTTGTTCTGGAGCTTGGTGTATGCATCGCTGAAGCTCGTTGACGTGGGAGCCGCCATGCTTCGTCGGAGAGTTGTGGTACCTCGTCTCTATTAGGACGGGTGAAAAGATAGAGCCACCCCGCCGCCCCCCGGCACGAGTCTCGTGCGAGGGTCTGGTCGAGGATGTCGTATCAGCCTTCCACGGAGGACGGGCCCGTGAAGTTCAGACAAGCTTAGCGTGTCGGCCCGTGATACGAGCACAAATCGTTTAGCGACTTCACTTCACCTGGCTTCACTTCATTTCACTTAAATCAAATACCCATTTCACCGTCGCTTGCAGCTTCCAAAATACACCAATGATATGCAGCACACTCCATCGGGCAAGCCCCGTGAGACAAGGGAGAGAGATTTGAAGGGAAGAGGAGGGAAGCCTCGGGGGTTAGGTCCAAGTCTCGCACCGAGTGCGCTTGCACGGCTGCTGACGGATAATATTACCCTCATTTCCCTTCGCATAATTGACTCAATGTCTGTTTCGGTAGATTCAGCGACCAAGCAGTCGCACCGAGCCAGAATACATTTCCAGCAGGATCGGAACAAGACCCGTGCCATCGCGAGCACCTCGAGAGGAGACGTGCGGAAATATCGACATTGGCTAGCTTCTACGGCCGTGTCCGGGGTACCGACGACTCTTGACCCATCGATCGCACTCCCAAAGTACAATCACAACGAGCATGCGCTCGTCGTCGTCGCGTAAGTTACGGCAATCGTACATAAGGTCCACCTACTCGCCCACCGTGAACTTCGCGTTAAACACCGACTTTATCATCTTGTTGAAGCTCGAATCGAACCAAAGAGAGACCGAAAGACGAAAACAAGATACTGACGAACAATGCCATCAATAACGATCTGCGTATCTGTTCTTGTGGCTTCACTCGCCGCAGCCCAGACTCCAGATGGCTTCTCAATCAAATCACAGCTGCCCCTTCGAATCACGCTGAATCCTTTAAGGACACCCGTTGTCCCAGGCATGCTGGACCCAATCAACGAGACTGTTGCTGCTCCAACGCTTTACGTGCCTGACTTGACTGCGAGCAACACAACAACGAGCTACACAGCGATGATGATCGATGAAGCAGTTCCGCTTTTCCACTGGCTCCAGATCGAACTCGTCGAAGCCAGCTGCAGCAACAAGACCCTGAAGCCAGCCGCCAACTCTTCAAATAACGGCATTATCACTCCATTCGTCTGCCCTCAACCGCTGCGAGGGCAGGGGCCACATGGCTACGTGGTGCTCCTGTTCAGGCAGCCCGAGAGCTGGTCCATGCGGTCGAAGTACAGCAATATCGTTGATCCGAAGACGCCGACCGGGTCGTGAGTTTCAATGTCACGGACTTCGTGAGTGCCAGTGGGCTTTGGGGACGGTTGGTAGGGGCGACTTACCTCAGGGAAGACGATACCACATTGCTGAGCAGCACGCCTATCTCGACGGTGAGCTCAAGAACGACTGCGACTGCATCGGCCACTCCGACTATGTACACTGGAGGTGCAGAAACCCTGGACTTTCCGACCAAGTTCACAGGCACCGTGGGTGCTGTGGCAAATTTGGCTTTGTTTGTGTGATGAGGCGGTGGACGCACCATATCAATGCGGCAGCTATCCTCGATAACCTGAAGGTACAGACGTATGATATCTCTGCTCGATGGATTGGAGAACTTCAAGGTAACGGAGAAGAACATACAGAAAAGAAGTTGCTATAGATATTGAAACTAGCCTCTATCTCAAAATCCTCCTCCTCACACCTTCAAACTGCCCGTGGTCGCAGCGTGTATGTAGTCCTACCAAATTATATAGTCCTGGTCACCCATACATCCCTCTACTCTCCAAGCACCTATCTCCTCCTCCCCCTCTCCTAAAATTAACATCTATATACGCCCCTGAATCTCCTTCCTCTAACAAATGAACACGCCTGTCGGCAGTACCCGCTGACATTCACACTAGACTGGATGGTCTATTCGAAAAGGTAACAAACCTCTTTTCTTTGTTCTTGGTGGCGGCAGGCAGCAGTAGCAGGCAGCAAGCGGCAATTCGACATCGACAAGGAGCTAGTTCGAAATGGGGTGTTGCCCTCATCTTTTTTCTGCGTTTTTTCTTAATAGGGGTTTCTTTCAGCAATAGGTGCGTTTAGATACTTGCAGAGTAGAAAGGTATATTGGTAACTGCTCGAAATTTTGAACTTTTGCTGTAGATGTATTACCTCGGTCTGAAGGTATGTTAGTTGGACATCTACTACATAAAAGAAGGCTTTAGAGCAGTTTCTAGTAGCAAATCGATACATACTACTCTTTGTACTTTCCAACCTAAAAGAAGGATATCAACCTCAAGATCTCTCGTATTGGCAAGCCCGCGTCACTAGAAAGACGCCCTTTTAACTTGACGCTGGATTTGTCGTCCACACAGCCACATATGAGCTCGCTTCGGTGAAGTCCTTCTCCTCGTGTTGTATTGTCCCCTCGCCGTCTATTGCACGCTAGTACACTACTCCTCTCATGTAGAATGCAAGGCGAGTTTTCTTCCTCCTGCTCTTATCCCGAAATCCTACTCCGGATCACCCATCCCCTTCCAAGCCCCATTCCTCTCCGCAAACTCCAAAATCGCCCCAAAACTCCTACACTGATGCGTAACCCCATACCCATCCACGGCCTGCACCCTCACCCCATCAACAACCTTCGCCGGCTCCAGCGTCATGTCCCCCGCGCAGAGGATCGCCTGCCGCAGGTAATCGAAGCAGTGGTGGTTGTGCATGACGTCGATCTTGACGGGGTGATGGATTGTTTGGTTGAGAAGATCGAAGGTCTGTTGGCGCAGGGCTGTGAGGCAGTGGAGTTGGTGGAACATGGAGATGGAGTAGCCTTCTGTGTTTGTGGTGTTGGGGATGGTGAAGCCGCCGGAGAGGCCGTATTTGGAGGGGTTGGGGATTCGGATGAAGCCTTCGTCGCCTGGAAGGAAGTTGTTAGTTGGCTCGAGTGTGGTGATGAGGGGGTACTCACTGGGCTGCATCTTGTCCTCCCAGGTTGTCTTCCAGCTCTTCGTGCCAACACCATACACAAATTCAGGATGCCATTCGAAGACACGCGGGGTGTTGAATGGAAAGTCTGGTACAAACGACTGCGCATTTCGCCGATCGAAGTACCTCAGTCCAAGAAGAATCAGAACGCCAGCAACGACAGCACCTGCAAATCCAGCGGCCAGCACAGCTTCAATTCGATACACCTTCGGAAAGCGGTGAGGGTTCTTCGACTTGCTCGGCGTTCCCACTGGAAGTCCTTCATCCTGATCCAAGGATTGGTACGGCCTCGTGAAGATCGTGCCGATGTTGAGAGGCATGTTGGACGTGTTCGCCAAGGAGCCAAGGGACGGGATGTCTTGTATCGATGATGGACGGTTGCCGCTCTAGAAATGTTGAGTGGGTCCTTTGTGGATGTTCTAGCCTGGTGATGCTGCCATTGACGTGCCTCCAAACAATGAAAGTGGTTGCCGGAGGGGAACTTTTTGGGGCAGCACAAAGACCCAGGATGTGGTATTGAGGCCAGGATTAGGAATCTCCACCCCACGCCAGCATGTGTTAGACTTTGCCAACGATGCACGGATTCGAGCCTTCTTCCTGAGTCGTATTGCGAGGGCAACTTGGAAGATATGGAGACGTCGTATATTTGCGTGCGTTTGGGTAATTCGCAGCTCAGGCATGCGAAAAACGCCCCTGTTTCAATAGGAAGATTGTTTTGCTGGGTTTCGTAAACCAATGTTGTTCCAGATTCGGGTTATACCTTCCGGTACTAATGAGTTTTGTTTCGTACAGCAAACAATGTGGTAGCAGGCACTATACTAACTACGGGCTATATATGCCCAGCTCCTAGATGTATATTCAATGAAGCATCTAGGTTCACATGTATATAGTACTTGCCCTAGATAGTAGCTATCTCGTAAGAGGAGAACGTGGAGATATATTCTATCACGAGGTGAAATATGCTGCTTCTGAATCCGTGAAGCAAACGGGCCAAGCCTCACATGTACTTGCCCGGCCTTCGGCTTAGCCCGTGCACTACCAGGACTTGGCACGCGCGCTGTACGCGAAATTGGACACGTACTCTCAACCGTCGAAACATCACCAACATCACAACTTTCCGCGTGCATATTGCTGGCACGATGCTGAGAGATATCACGGGCAACCCGTACGCTGCGCGGCAGAAGGTTTTCGGCACCCACGAGCTGGTCGAGCAGATTCTCATCCGCCTCGCATCCCCGACCGCTATCGTCCGACTGAGCCACCTGAACGAGCATCCATACACTCTGATCCACAAGAGTTCGGGAGAGCAGCTCAAGAGGAAGTCCTTCCTGGCGCCTGCGAAGGACGGCGGCACCAAGTGGATCGTGGACCGAGATTCTCAGTTCCCTCGAGTGCTTTCCGTCCCAGCCAGCCATCAAGTCCCGCCACATGTCTTCAACCCTCACAACCCGCAACCACCGCCGCTCGTGCAATACCCTACAATCCTCAATCCCGCCCTCCTCAAAGACAAGTACTACAGCACACGCAAGCTGTTCGACCGGCTGGAGCTCTTCACCGAGTGCGTCAGCTTCATCCCGGACCTGGACATGCTTCTAAGCAACTTGGAGGGAATCCAGCACGATGGAGAGAGCTACAAGTGGACCATCTACAAAGCCATGCTCTCCCAGCCACCCGCCAAGCATGTCTGGATCGACTGGGACAAAAGCTTCGACGGACGGAGCTGGAACTACGAATCCGGAGTCGAACGTCTTCATAATGAGAACGGCATAACTCTTGAGCAGCTGTTGCGAGCCTACAGGTATTTGGCCGTCCAGGGACTCGACATCGTCGACATCCGCATCCCACGGGCCTTCTTCGTCGGCGAGCAAGAGTGGGATTGGGTTGAGGGCAAGTGCATGAAGCCTGGACCAGCTTTGTATCAAGCACCGATCGTAGAAGTCAAGCAACAGCGGACGCGTCAAGATCAAGAGGAACTTGAGGGGAGAGTGTGGTCGAATGAGGACCTCGCTGCTCGCATTTTGTCACAGGTTGAGCCAAAGCTAGTACTGGACCTGGCCGACGCGCACAGAACTTTCAACAACATCGCTCGCACGCTACGCCAGAAGAACATCCGCCAGGCAATGTTTATCGAGCCTGAAAGCCTCGACCTCTCAGCACCTCGCCTTGCCATTTGCCACGCCGAGTCCGCCGTGGAGTACTACGACTCCTCAACCCTCACCTACACTCCACCACCTGCCAGCTTAGAGGAGCTGTACTACAAGCCACACCTTCGAGAAGCAACTCTTGACGGCAAGATGGTCACGATCCTGGACATCCAGCGTCTGAACGAATCACTCTTCAAACGCAAAACTGATCTCGTCGGGCCCGAGGCTTTCTTAGTGTCTGGAGCACACGGGAGCATCATCAAGTTCAAGCGACAGATTCAAGCTACGAGCTTGCCCCAGCGACGTAAGAGACTTCCCTATGACATGACCATTTGCCACACGCCAGTCAAGAGCGTCTGGGTTGACTGGCATACCAAGACGCCGCTGTGGCAGAGGGACCAGAGCGGCATCCGACTCGGCGGCCATATCTTGAAAGCATCCAACGACGCTGTTGGCGTCACCTACCTCGACCTGGTGCAGGACTTCATCAGCTGCCGCCGTCATGAGTCCCAGGAGGTCGACGTCGAGAAGACCACGATCTACGTCCCTGGTGTGTGTTTCCCAACAGAGGGCGAAGTCGTACTCTTTCGCTCAGGCTGGTATGCCAGCACACAGAAGCAATTCAAGGACTGCTTCCAGCGTGAACGCTCACCAATCGACCCCGCCTGTGTTACACCAACTTCCACTGCACAAGCTGCACGCCCTCTCTCGCTATTCGAGACGCAGCTATCGACTGTTCAGACGAGCATGCGGCGATACGAGAGCCAGCAGCTGCAGCAGCAAATGCATTTCCCAAATCCTGCTGGTGATCGAATGGCGACCTTTGGCGTCGACCGCTTCGGCTTGCAAGCCACGAAGATCTCCAACCCCCTCTTCACGACCACTCCTCGATCGTCTCCAGTCAGCCACATGGCTGGAGTCACGCACAACCCACTTCAAGAGAGCAACATCGACGAGGCTCGCGGACCGCTTTCATTCATGGACATGTATCCTGCGCCTGTCACGGAGACCGACAGCAACGTGGACCTCTCAGAGAAAGGAGACTCTGACGGTGACTCCGGGCAGGACTTCGCAGATCCCACGGACCACGACTCCGCCGACGATCTCGACGATGAAATGGCTTTGGTCGAGGACCCAACTCCATTTCTTGATCCCGACTCTCCCTCTCGTCGCAATTCTGCATGGATGATTGACTCCGCCGCGTACGCCGCGCGCGCCAGCGTCTTCAGGGAGGATAGAAAGAAAAAGAAAGCGAGCCACGGCGGGATCATCCTCTCGCAGAACACCCATCAGGACATTGTTCGGCGCTTCGAGCGTCGATATAGGCGCAATCTAGCCCATGTCGACCTGTTCGCGACTGCTTTGAGAAAGGAGCCACCAGCCACGAAAGAGATTATGAGAGAGAATATGAGGCAGATCAAGCTGAAGATGGACTTTCGGCGGAAGTTCAAGGCAGCGGACGACGAGATGAAGAAGAGAGAGCTGGAGTGGATCCCGCTGCCTGAGGGTACGCCGAGGTCTTACAAGGAGGAGGAGCAGGAGGATGCGGAGATGATGTCTTTGTTGAAGGAGTTCGCTGCTGGAGAAGAGCAGCAGTAGATATTACTGCATCTGCCGAGCTAGCCAGCGAGCAGCATGTATCACTTCTGAAGCCATTCTGCGATGAACCCATGATTTTTCTCCCCGTTGAGTCGCCAGCTTCATATGCAACCACTACTTACCCACTCTACAGACTCCCCGCTCCCATCTTCCTACGAATCCTCTCCGCAAATGTGTATAGCACCATGCTGCCAGCACGAACACCGTGCGACGAGTCCTCTTCGTCGGCGCCAAAGAATGCGGCGCTAGATTGCATTTGTAGCATGGTAGAGCCGTGCCATGAAACCTCGTGCGAGGCCGTCTTCGAGTCCTGTATCAACTGGGTCCTCTGACATATCGGCCGTCAGGCAAACCCTCTTCGACTTCATCACGAGCTGTATTTTGCTCGAATCCTCTCTGAGCCCTTCTGCATGTTCCAGGGAACTTATAATTAAGGCCAGACGTTGAGAACGCTCTTATAAGAACTTGGATCAGAAGAGTATAAGATGGAGTTGGGCTTGGGTGACGGTTCTACAAAGCGATACAGGCCTGCAGCATGGGATAGTAGGAGTCTATGGTTGCAAATTGAGGTGATCATGTCTAGGATGCTTTTTGATTTCATGGTCTTGACCGCCTATCGAGTCTGTCTAAGAGCGAAACAATGCACAGACTTTGTCCTCTCTCTTTCTGCCAGGTCTTCCCACATTCGTTACCTCTCTCAGCAGCTTTATGATACACAAAGGCTTCCTCATGATGCTGCGACTGTCGGCTGCCCTCTTAGCCGTTGAGAATGGTGTCTCTTCCCTTGACGCTCTCAAACCCCCAATCGCTCTCTCTGCCCATCGCTCAGACGACCCAGCACCTCCGTGTACTTCTCCAATCTCAACCGCTGCCCGTACGGGAAGCGCGCTTCCATCGTCACGCTATCCGTACCCCTCGCCCCCTGCCGTCTGCACTCCCTCACCGCCTGGCGCAGCAGATCGCCGTACTTGACGCCGTTGGCATTGGTAACCGTAATGCGCGCGATCCAAGTGATAGGAGGAGGGGCCGGATACGCGACTTGAGGAGGTACAGGCCGATGTCCACGCATATCGACCGTGAGCATCGTCTGGCTTGGCCGCGTGAGGACCGCCTCCTTGCCCTTCCAGCGGCTGTGCTCCAGCAGCCACTCCTGGCTGAGGCTGGTCTCCAAGGTGGAACTGGTAGAATTGGCCGGGGTGCTCGTAGAATTGAAAGCGGTCTTTCTTGAACCACTTATACGACCGGGCGAACAGCAGGGGGTTGAGCTCCAGCGTCGTCGGCAGTGGAGGGGGGATGACGGGCAGGACGGCGGTGAAGAAGAGCTTCTGTTGCGCGGGGACGGCGGTGTCGATGATGTTCTTAATGGGGGAGGATAGGCGACGCAAGGTGAGGGTTTCGCGGAGCGTGAGATGGGAGAGGAGGGTCTCGAGGGAAGCGATTGGGACCAAGATACCGTGGCGGGTTGTGTTCGACATGATGTGCGATTTTGGCTGGGATACCTGTTAGCGTCGCGCTCTGGGTGAGGATACTGTATGGCTTACTTTGTGGTATGTCGATGTCGTTGCAGGTCAGAAGAAAGGAGGCGCGTAACTTCCAAATTTGGCGTGGGTAATTGTCCGGGCTTGCGATGCACGGGCCACCAAAACACGCATCACTCGCTTGCCGGACCTCGACTTCCATCTACAACACCACTTCACTCCAGACCATCATCCATCTCCGGTAGGACTCGCTGAACAGACTCGTCGACACCTGCACCATGCCTACAGACAAAGCGAAAGTCCTGGAGAAGGACGACATGATAATGAGGATGATCAAGAAACCAGCCAGAACCCTCGTCTACGAGACCACCGAGCTGCTGGAGCTGATCATCGGCCATCTCCCACCACTCGACATCATGAGCGGCAAGCGCATCAGCAATCGCATCGAGTCCGTCATCAACACCAACGCCATCAAAGACAAGATCAACTTCCGCGACGTCCTCACTCCGGCATGCTGCGTCGCCATCAACCCTGTCATCTTCGGCAAGGCACGCACGTCGAGCGGTCAGAGCTGTGGCCCTCCATCTGGTCTCGCGTGGTTCGACGACACCCTCAAGATCGAAAAGAACATCCTCTCCGGCACGATGCATCGTCGTCCTATCCACGCCAACAGCGCTTTCCGAAAGATGGCCATCTGCAGCCGCATCCGCGAGTATACCTCGATCAAGTTCGTCATGGAGACTATCACGACAGCTACGGTTCTAGCCGTGATGGATTTCTCTTACGGCTGGGGCGTCGGCAGCGTGATCACCGTGGAGGACATTTTGGAGAAGGTCGGATACATCGAGCGGATGCAGGTTCCCCTTGGCGACCTGGGCACGCTGGAGTTGAAGGGAAAGGTTGAGATCAACTTCGGGCCTGACATGGTGGTCTACATGGAGGGAAGGAAGGAGGGCCTTAGGTATGAGGAGGTCTGTGCCTCGGTCTTCGCAGAGGGTCAATGCTCCGCTCTCAAGCACCCGATGCGCAGGACATGCACCGGAAGTTTGCATCTGGAGACTAAGGGAAGGAGAGCAGAAGGCAAAAGCCCTGTTTGACGGCTGCGTGGCTGCTGGATCTCCTAGTAAGTGATAATTGGCTGCTACGTTTTTGTTTCTCTAAACAGCACACTAACCAAATGCAAACTAGTACGGATAAACCACGTTTCTTCATTGTCATACATCCTCAGGGTTCTTTGTCTCTGCGCACAAGTCTTATTTCCAGGTCTTTTGTTAAGACAAAGGACGTATATAGGTAGCACAGCACAGAACTATTGCTGACTCCATAACCATCTCAAATCGCTTCATCTGCACCTCGTGAGACGCCCACAGAACGGATGCTTTGAATCTCCTCGGAGACCATCTACTGAACTGCAGAAATGTTCAGGATCGGACTGACGATCCCCTGTGTACGTCCCTACTTCATATAACAATATTCCTTCCGCTATACCTATACAGACACCCTATGCACTCGACTAGCATACAGAATGTGATCAACGTAATATCTGGGCAGCAGCAAGGAGCGAAGTTCAGTCACATGCCAAACGCGTCGCGTTGGTGAATGTTCAGCATGAACCGTGCGTCTCGGCAGCGGCCGCACACCTGACGGCAGCTCTTAAAGTTCACAACTTCGAGTCTCAAACTTCCAACGACCATCATCATGGCTTCTGCGCTTTTGACGTCGCTCTGCGAACGCGCCAAAGCGGCCGAGACACTGGAGGACACCACTATTGTTTCCAAAGACTACTCCTGCAACAAGAACTGGCGGTGCTGCCGCTTCGAAGACGGCGATGTGGTCGTGAAGTTAACTCGACATCCCTCAGGCTGGCTTCTGCTCAGCAGCAGTGCTTTGGCTGAGGCCAGTCCAGTCCTCGCGAAAAGCTTTAGCAAGGAGTGGAATCGTGCGAAGACCGTGGTGTACCCACGAACTGGAGAGACTGTCAGAATCTTCACCCTGTCGTTGGTGTACGACTTCTATGCGGGAACTTGGTTCCTCGACTCGGAGGTACCAACAAGACCACATTCGCCTTCAACACCAGAGCTGACGCATCACAGACATCACCTCGCGGTATCTTTCAGGAGGAACTAGACAGACTGCACGTTCCCTTAGGACCCTATGACGATGACGAGGAGCTGCTGGAAGAGCTACGGGCCAAACATGGAAGGCTCCTCTCGAGTACCCATCACGCTCCATTCATATTCCCGTTCCCTGACGAAGTCTGGCCAGAGGACGAATTCAAACTAGTTACCAGCGATCCAGACTGTGATCGACCTGCAGTCTTTCTTTGCCATCCTGTGCGGCGAATCTCCGCAGCTTGCAGACCTGCTCGGACCAGATGCTGAAGAGTCCTACTCTATGTACCCGATCAACGGCGAGCCGAGAATCTACATGGCCCGGCACATGTTCAAGCACATCAACAACATCCTGTGCTATGCGAACTTCTATCAGTGCTTCGCCTTGGTCGCAGCATACTTGAAAAGCCTCCTAATGGACGATCCGGACATCTGGGAAGCGTGTGAGCAGTACTCTTGGCTCATCATCAAGACTGCTGAGGCCCTGCGCTGGCAAGAGCTCTACGACGACTGCCTGCGTCACATCTTTCGGCATCATTCGACTTTTGGTCCAGGATCCCCAATACGCTTCGCCACACTTGGACTCACCGTGGACTCATTCCAAGACAACTTCTATCGTGCGATGGCGTGGCATGAGCAAGTTATCCAGGAGATTCGGCATGCATTGGCCACCGTGCACTTGCCGGCCATTGGTGATCCCAAGTACAAGACCTGGGGCGGATGGGATGGGGAGGTCTACGACGAGGAGAGCTTTTCAGATCGGGATGAGCTGGCCGCTCTGATTGCGTCGGGCATCTACTCGAACTCTCCTCTCGCACGTTGTGGGCATGTGGCGCAACCTGGCTGCTACTCAGACACCGATATCTGGCCCGGTAAGCACGTAATAGCAGTGGTTACGTAGTACGTATTTCCTACACCGTATCCAAGACACGGTTCCGCTGACAGCACCTGAAAGAGATCTCCCCGGCATCTATGACATGGTCATGACCGCCAGTCGCTCGCAGAACCCAGCCAAGATCCTCGATGGCATGAAGCCAGAAGAGGCAGCCCTCAAAATGAAGCTCGCCGCTATCTGCGACACTATTGCGATGACGACGGCGATCAGGAAAAACCTGTCATTGTTGGTGATCGATGCATCCCAAGTCTTGCAGAACGCCTTCGAGGCGAACTATCACACAGGTCGACCCAAACTGACGCCAGCCCATCATCCGAGCACCGAGTACTTCACCAACTACGACATTACCGAGGAGGATCGTCCGTGGCAAGAGCCATACGAGTGGGAAGGCGAGCCGTTCGACATGGTGCATGGCCCTCACCAGCCAGCCAGCGGCGAGTGGCTTGATGCCTTGGAATTCTTCGAGCTGGACGTGACAGTGGACTGAACTGTGGAGATTTTTTTTCTGGTCCAGTCAGAATGCGCGGCGGAGACAGGGTTGTTTTGCGACGGGAGAAGGAAGAAGGCAAAGTCGACGGTTGTAGGTCGGAACACTGTTCTCTCGAGCGCCGCCCGCGTACCGTCGAATCCTTGAAGACCATCAAGTCCATCATTCAAGAGCACACGGATAGCCCCTTCTCGTGTGTGTGTCTGTTGATTGACTAGTGATGATGATTTCGGTATCAGCATGGGAAGGCAAGCTGCGCGAAGAATGATTATTAAACCAGCGGAAAGATGAGGTATAGAGGAGGACAGTGGCGGTAGTAGAAGCTCTAAGATTAGAATGAGGATCCTCGGGAGCAGATGAGGAGGAAGAGGAATAGAGGTTCAACACAAGTCGACGACCGGGTGATCGTATAGGAGATGGAACAATGAACTCCCAACTCCTCATCAGCAGACGAGGTGCATTACGACCTTCATGACATTCCTTTTTGCTGGTGTTCCGCCTCGCCACCTCATGTTTCCCGGCCACGTTTGCCTCAGCAAAGTATCCACTGCATCCCTAGCCACCATGCCACTTCCCTCCTGTACTCGTCATCCGTCGTTCGTGTTTGCTCTCGCCTTGAACCTCCAGGACCATCCTCATAGCATCTCAAATGAAAAGCTCCGTGCGCCAGTAGTCGATCACCCACTCCTCTCCTCGCTGCACCATCAACATCTGTGCCGTCTTCTCGAAATCCGCATATCGCACCACGCCGTCCTCCCCAGGTTGGACCTCCAAGACTTTCGATCTTCCATGGTATAGCTCTCCCGTCTCGCTGTCGTGCTTGGCCAGTTTGAAGCGTACAGTCATGGCAGTATGCACCTTCTCCGAGAACAGCATCAGCAGCCGGATGTCGTTGGGATGAAGCGGGGTTGTTGGGTTGACGATGGATCTCAGCAAGCCGTACCCAGACGTGACTTGGCGGAGGAGGATAGGGTTGCAGATGGGATGCTCAGTCTCTGCATCGACGCTTGGGAGGAGGAAGAGGCGTTTCTTGAGGGCGATGGAGGTGTCGATGAGGTGGCGAAACCGCTTTTCGGTGCGGCGGAGGCGGACGATGTCGGTGGGAGGGAGTTGTCCCAGGATCATTTCGAGGAGCTCCGGGGTGTTGATGGCCTTCTCACACCCACGGAGCAAGTGGAGGTCTTTGGGCGGCGGGAGCATGTTCGCCTCGTAGGCGTATTCGAGCATGCGCGGGGGCATGCGTTGAGCGGAAGAACCAGACATCTTTCTCGCTGTTTTGCCTAGGGTCTACGATGCTATGAGGGATGATGATGGCGCGGGAGGTGTCGTAGAGGTTGGGATGCCGGCGAGAAGAGAGCGTATGGCTTGGGTGAAGCAGATTTGAGACGGCGGTGGGCGCGCCGTGCCAATGACGCCGGTCACGTGGGAGACTTCTCCTGAATTTGCGCATCTATCCCCACGAATCCACGAGACGTCTACACCAGTAGTATTAAGCGCTGGCATGGTGCGTTCTACAGTTACGGGGAAGACTGGTAATTGTTTGTGGTGCGAAACTCATTTGCCTTGTCTATACCACAGCGTACGAGGTCCTAGTTTACCTTCCCCTGCGCGGAACTACAACCGTCTCCTCCGAGATTGAACGACTCCCAACTTATTCAACTCGTCCAAGATCTCGACCTCGACCCGGTGAATATCCAACGTCCAGCCCTTCCCGTGCTTCTTGAACGAGGCCTAAATGACCGCCTGCAAGTGTGCCACTAGTACGCCCTGACGAGTAAACAGGGTCTCCTGCTCACTTCTGTGCTCAGTCCACGCCTTCCGGAATGCCGTGGGCGGATGATGTCGGTAAAGCACCCAACTAATCTCGACAATCTTGGCTGGTTGCTGTGCGAGGTACATGAGGATGCGGGAGTCGTAGTCTGAGAGAGGCGTAGACAGGTCGACTTTGAAGTAGCCGAAGTAGCTTGGCACGCTACAGTCGAAGAGGACTGGGTTGAGGAATGGTCCGAGGCAGGCCTTGGGCGCAGTCTTGTCTTTGACCAGGAACATCTTCGTCTTGATGGAGACCGAGCCGTCGATGAAGTCGCGGAACCACTTGCTCACGCGGCGCATGGTGACAATCTGCTTCAGATCGAGGAGGCAAGTAATCATTTCGAAGAGTTCGTTCGCATCGAAGATGCCATTGCAGCCACGCAAGCTGTGGAGGCGCTCATGGATGGGCAGGTCACGGTTGGGAGCCTCGTCATTGCCGTTGATCTGAGCTGAAGCCATCTTCGAGTCTTGTGTTGTCAAAGTAGCGCAAAGAGGTTGGGTGCTGCGAAGTGTCAGTTGCATCTCCTTGCTGTTCACGATGCGCCAACGATCACCTTGTATGAAGTCGAACGAGAAGGCTGTTTGACTGCCGTGCTGAGATTTATCTTGCGAGGCGAATCAGGTCGATGTTGTCTGGAACTTTGCGAGGAGCTGATCAGCAGAGTGCGCTGCGATATTTGTCAGTCGCGTAGTATCAGTCTTGAATATATGGTTTCGAACTTTCTGGGATTGAAATCGCGTGAAGTAGGCGCAGAATGTTCCTCTTGATCGAAGGAAGTTGTGGTGGTGGTGGAAGTGTTTGCACGACGATGGCTTTGAAAGGCGGACGTCCATACGCCGTCACGTGGCTCGAGCACCGGCGAGTCACTCGGCCGCCTGCCAAGTGGGAGAGGGCGTTGTATTCCGTCAATATCAGTGTGTTCAAGAGTTAGATATTCCCTGTCGTCGTGGATAGATTGTGCTTCTCCCCGGTGAAGTATGCCTCTAAACCCAAGCAGGAAGAAGGCCAATCAGCAGCAAGAACTGGGAGGACAAGAGTATCGTAGAATGTATACATATATGCCTTACGGGGTCCTCGATTTGCGGCGCATAGCGCTACCGCCACGCTCCGAGTTGGGATGGTTCTTTGTTTCTGGAAGGCGGACTGCCTCGTTAAGCACGTGGGAGACATGGCACAACGATCAATCCTACCTGGAAGTTCGTGGTTCCCGGAAAGTAGCCTCACCTCACAAAGCGCTGGAATAGCAGATTGCGTGCACTTTCTCGATTGTCTCCCCATATCTACTCGCGGCCACGCCATTACGTCTCTGCCCCTCCTACCAGTCCAACCCCCTTTCTCGGGGATACATCTGCAGTTTCGTCGCGCACTTCTTTCCCTTACACCCATTACCCTGGCTCACACAGCCCGCATCATAATACCCTACTCATCTTCCTTCCCCTCTTCCTGGCCCCCCCACTCCATATCGATCTCCACAATCGACTCGGCACAGTCCACCTTGTAGCCCTTAGGTACCCATTCTAGACATTCTCCCACCAGATCCTCCAGGTCTGTGTACCTCGCTCCCTTCTCCATGTACATCGTTGTGATATACCCGTCAAGCGAGCTATCAACATCTTCCCGGGCGAACGTGAGCACGAAATGGAGCTGGCCTGGGGGCTGCACGAGGAGCATGTTGCCGCGGACGTCGTTGGCTGGGAGTGGGGTCGAGGGGTTCATCTTGAGGTTGCGGTTGGCAAAGACGGCGGGATTGAGCTCGGGCGAGGAGGCGTTGATGGTCTTATCCGCCTTCAGCCACAAGTGCTTGCTAATAGCCGTGGATGTGCGGATGGTGTCGAGGAAAAATCTGCTGGTGCGGCAGAGGCGGAAGACGTCGGATGGCTCCATCTCGAGGATGATCATCTCGAGGAGCTCGGGGGTCTCGAGGACACTGTAGAAGCCGCGGAGTCGGAAGAGGGGATGGGATGTTGTACGTTGGGATTTGGTGGAGCGTGTCTCTTGGGAGTGGTAGTCTCGGCCATTGTGAAGGATTTGCTGCTGTGCTGGGCGGGAGTGCAGTTTGACGGCGATTGTGTGACGGGATTGTTCTTGAGGAAGTGGTGTTTAAAGTTTACGAAGCCTAAGACGAGTTTGGCTTCAGCTGTTCCATATTCCTAACGGAGGACACTCTCCCGGCTCGACAGTGCCGAATGGTGAGCGATACGCATTTCTGCGTGCCCATACCAAAGTCCTTCGAATCTCGATCCAATGGTGCAACGGGTGCTCCGGCGTTGTTGTGCATAGGGCAAGCCGACGAGCCTCCATATCTTGCGGTGTCGTTCCCGTTGTTCGAGTGACCCGCTCAACAGGTTGAATACGCTACCTTTCACGCTGAAATGCGACTTTCAATGGCGCTTGTCCGTGGTTCGGAGCGCTGCACGACATGTCCGGCAACAAGCAGTTCCAGCCTAAACGTCAAACCCCACTCGGCGCCGTCCTCATCTGAAACCCCTCATCTTATACTGAGTCGAGTAAGATGGTCGGGACCGGACGACATGGAGCAATTTGCGTTCTTCGTCAGTTGCAGACACTGGCGTCCAGCCTGTTTCGTGCTGGCCCAGTACCCAGTCCTTCTCGCCAGCCGCATGATTTCGTTCCAGAATCTCAGCTACTTTCATCATATCGAGCGCTGTGGCAGGTCCCACTTCAGCGATGGCTGAGACATCCCCACGATGCATTGTACCCCACTGCGAAGTCCACATCTGCTCATTTCCCGTTCGTCTCCGTAGTCGATCTGGGAATGTCAACCTGACGGAAGTTGGTAAGGCTGGCAGCGTCAAGTAGGTGCGGCCTACCGCTGTTTGGAGGCCTTTTAGGGCTACTTGGAGTTCCTGTGGGCTCCCAATCGAAATTGAAAAGGTCGCAGATAGATCGCCACGGATCCAGTAAGTTGCACCCATCGATGGAGCGGCCTTGAACTGGAGAGTGATGGCACTACAGTCTGACTTGGGTGTCTTCCACTTTTCCATGAAGAAGGAGTTGAGCTGCAACGGAGGCTGTAGCTCCCTCCTCAAAACAGCATCCTGGCCAGGCTCGATAACATCTCTGGGATTGGTGAAGGTCACAGACCGAAGCTTGGGCAGATCCTGGATGGCCGAGCGGAATGTGTGCGATACGTCTCGAAGGCTGAACAGCTGTTTCGGTGGGCAAAACGACAAGACTCGTTCCAGAAGCTCGGTAATGCCAAGGACTCGTTGGGAGGCGTTTCGTAGTTGTGACTCCCGCATCACGGCCACTTTTTGCCTCATATCTTCCATCTCGATTGACACATTTTCCAGTCTCAACTCCACTTCGTCCAGCTTTCGTCGCAGAGCTTCGTTTTCTGTAATCAAGGTCGAGTTGTTTGCTTCGAGTTGATCCATCCTCTTGATCAGCCGAGTGAGGATATCGTCGTTGGTGGTTGTGGCATCTCTGGGCTCGCCAGCGAATATCTCGTGCTCAACATTCATACTTCGTCGTCCAGGTCGGCGCATGAAAAGAGAAGGTTGGACTGTTGAGTGTCAACTGTGAAACAGTGGCGAAGCGAGGTTGAAATAGGCTTGTCAACGGTCCGCGCCGATCGTACTACGAGATCCACTTGGCTGACCTCATCGACGCCAGGACCGATATGGCATTTCTGAACTTCATGCCATCCTGTTTTCGTTTGCGGGCCACAAAGTTGGAGGCTTTCTTAGAGAGTATTGGCCATTGATATCCCGTATATTTGCAACCGCTTCCAGAGGATCCAAGGTAGACTCGATCTCTGGCGGGACATCATCGCGCCAAGATCCCCAAGAAACGCCACAGCTATTCTTAGCCTCGTTGCCAAAGATTGTGTAACAGGTTGGCGAATAAGAAATGGGATGTGCGACCTACCTCTACAATAGTCCTTGAGAAAGGTTCTGGGTAGACGATGCATTCATATGTGTGGCAGAACAAAAGGCAATGTTGAGAGCATAGTAAAGCAGAACGATACTAGGACGTGTAGCAGAATCGCATTTCAGTGGTTCGAGGAGTACAGTGATGATGGACCCGCGGTACTCGTATTCTCCTTCGTTTTCTGGTCTTGAAAAGGGTCCCGCGGAATTGCTCCATCATCCCCGATTGTTCTGCCTTGACCAAGCCATGCGAATACAATACCACTTTGTGGCACCCGTAGAGTAGATGGAGATGCCCCCTTGTTCTTGTATGAATCGTTTCTGACGTATGTCAGTCAGTGTTTCCATTCAGGCAATGCTGATCTTCTCATCATGTTCAATCTCTCAACCCAGCGAACGTCACAAGAACCTCAATGCCATCAAGATCCATCCCAGAAACCTCGTTCTGCACCCACTCCTGAACGGCCGATCGAGTGATGGTGAACCACTTCGGGAACTCAAGCTGCAAAGGCAGCTGCGAGGCTTTCCAGTAGATAACGACCTCCAGATTTTGGACCTCAACAAATCCCAAAGCCCTGAAGGCTCGAAGAGGATGCAACCAGTCGAGCTAACCGCCTCCGAAGATATCTTCGTAGAAAACGTCGCTCACGAGCAGGCTGATGGGTAGGGGAACGAACATGCGGACATGGCGGATGGAGGACCTGGTGGCGGTATGGGGAAGGTGTAACCCTTTGAACTTGCCGAACTCGTTCATGTCGTATGCGATGTAGGTATCTTTGGTGAAGTAGGAGCGGATCTCGGTCAGGGTGCGGCGGGCCAGCAGCCGATCGGTGAAGATCTCGGCATCTGATGGCCTCTTGTCGCAAAGGAGCATGATCTGTCTGGCTACGGAAGTGGGCTTGGCACAAAGGCCGAAGCGATTGTTGCCATTGAAGAGGGCGCTGAGTTCATGGAAGAGTTGCTTGTTGATGTAGAAGCTTCGAAAGAGTACTTTGAGGCTGGATTCTGCGTAGGGAAAGTTGACGTCGTTCCGATCGCCGTCCGGATTGAATGCGGCGCTGGTTGCGACGTCGAGGAGGATACGATTGCGTAGTTCCCCTGGGAGGCCGAGAAGGCAGGCTTTTGGATTGCGAGGGCTGGCTGCCATGGTGCGTACTTGACGTCGGGGTATTGGGGTGTATATGGAGGAGCGTATGCCTTTGGTATCGAGATGCGTATAGAGGAGGACACGATTGTGAGGTTGTCGAAAAACAGGTGGGTGGTCGACGTGTTGCAGGGTCTGTTTGTTTACAGCGACGAACAGTCTAAATCCCGCAGCGGGGGAGACAATCTCGGCCGCAGGCGAGTCCATCGTGACGTCGCGGGAGAGGGCGAGGAGGCTTTGCTGATGGCTATAGTTCAAAGATCGACCGCATTCCGTTCGAAGGTGCTACAATAGCAGCGTACTACGAAAAATTAGGTAAGTGGCCAACAACGGCGATACAGAACTGCATGTGTACCGGGATATGCACCATATGTCATTACCATGTACTCATCGCAAGAGGTATATAGCAACGAACACAAGTATGGCCTTGCCCCAGGGTATGTAATTATTACTTGGAATAGATGTAGAAGGTAAGCACCACAGTGTTTCAAAACAACGGCATGTCGTATTGATGTCTAGTCTACGGCCCATGTTCAATCTCTGAGATCATACATCTGAAGAAAACAAAAAAGACTAATCTCGTCCTTGGAGTTATAGGATTGCTGTTGTGTGAACAAAGAAGCAAAACCAAGGCCCCAAGAAGGAAAGACGCATGATGAGACGACCTAGCCCGCTCCGATTTCATGCCCAAGTCTTTCATCAACTCTCTTCGCGCCCAGCATCGCCTTGAACGGTATCCAGCAGACCAATCCTCCCCTCTTTCTGCCAGCGATCCCAAAACATGACTCCATTCCTTCCACTGTCCTGTTGAGTAGGAGGCAAAGGCCCGAAACCCGCACTCAACGCACCCTAGCGTCCAAGGCATCATAGCTGTGATCATCCGTCCTAGACAACCGCCCCTCACAGAAGCTGCGTTCACCGTGTCTCGCCATACACAATCTCGAGACTGTACTCGATACCCTCCAAATCCATTCCCGTCACGTGCTCTTGTATCCACTCTTCCACACTGCGGCTCGTACTCGTTCCTTGGGACTCGCTGTCTCCCGCGACAGTGACCTTCTTGGTGTCTTTAACCATGATTTGGGTGCTGAAGTACTTGACCACGACATGCAGCTTCTTCAATTTCACGAACCCAATCTTCTTGATTTCACGAAGCGGGTAAAGCCAGTCCGTACCGTCGGCGCCACAGGTGTAGGAGTACTGCAGGCTGCTACCGTCGATGAATCGTGGGGCCAGAAGATGAAGCTGTAGGAACCGGATGCTTTGGCGGACGGCAGGATGGGGCATGAGCATGGTCATCACGGCCGTTCTCTCGATATTCTTGGGGTGGGTAATGAAGTAGGCGATGCGAGTTCTGTGCGTCTGGAAAGTCGAGATCTTCTTGGCCTCCGTGATCTTCTGGAGTCTGCCAGACCTCCATTTTGCAGTGGCCATGTCGAAGTTGCCATTGGGGTGGCCGTACAGCGGTAGGTGGCTCTTCATCATCTCCTCAGTGGATAGAGACAGGGTTATGTGTCCGAAGAAAAGCGTGCGCAGCTCCCGCAGCATTTGCTTGTTGGCGCGGAATGGGCGGAAGATGATGTTCTTGCCCATAGTGAGGGACTGCAGGGTGAACACTTGCTTCTCTCCGTTCGCCTTGAAGATATGATGCATGGCGACGTCGAGGAAGATGCGGTTGCGAATCTCAGGAGGGCTGCCAAGGAGGCTGGCGCGTCGGTATTCGACTTGCTGAGCCATGGTGATGCAGGTGTTTGTCTAGGTCGAAACAGTTCATTGGATGGCGTGACTGTAGTGGGTTTGGCGGTGGGAGTCTTACATGCCTCGCGCTGTCACTCTAGAGGGATCGGTGATGCGAGTGTGTTTGCGACACGGGAATGTGTTCAATCCTCAAATTTCGGGAAAAGCCCGCGACGCCCGACTATTCACGCCCTTCAGGGGACCGGTCGAGGAGGCCTCGCGAACGTGAACACCAAGTCACTTGTTCAGTAGTCGATGATCACGAAAAAAACATCAGTGGCTCCCCGCCCCGTTCTCATCTTCTATGCTCTCGGTGCCATCAACAGCATGTAGTACAATAGCTTTGGAACAGAATGACAGTGTGCGAGAGATAACACGTTCAGCGCTGCTTTGGGTATCTGTTTTGTGACCACTCTCGCTCTCGCAGCCCTCCCACCGAGCTCCTATTCTTCCTGCTTGTCTGGGAGGCTCGCCACATTCTCCCTCGTCTTCACCGGGATCCTGATGCCTCGGTTCGCCAGGGAGCTGTACGTAGGAGTGGGATAGTAGGGTGTGTCGTTACCCTCATCTCCGCCCGCGGCCTGCTCTGGGACGACATCAGTGGCCGACTCGAGACCAGCGCTTCCCTCCTCTCCCTCCTCTCCCTCCTCTCCCTCGTTCACAGACACCTCGGTGTCGTAAGCCAACCCCTCATCTCCCTCCCGCCAGACTAATTGGTCTTCGGGCTGATCGTCGCCCACATCAGTCTCCTCGCCTCCCTCCACTTCCACTTCTGCCTCCTCATTCTTCTCCGATTCTTCGTCATCTTCCGGGGCACTGGCACTCTTCTTCGTCTGCTTCTTCAACCGCTTGCTGGCGGGACGAGAGCCAGACGAGGGAGCAGAGCGCTTCTTGGTAGTGGGCTGCGCCCCAGATGATGGCGCCGGTGCCTCAATGCACTCGGCGGCGGTGAGACCGCGCTTTGCACACCGCTCGCAAGGGCGCTGCCGGTCGCAGCCCTTCTTGTCGGCTCTGCAACGCGTGCAGCTGCGTGCGAGCATGATGCTGAGAAAGGTCAGAACGCGTGCACGCGAGAGGAGAGACAAAGCTTACGCGGCGGAGTATGGAGAGTCGGTGTGTGAAAGAGCCTGGAAAAAGGAGGCAGCGCTGAACTTCTATGTGAGGGATCTGTTGAGCGTCAGCATCTGCAATGTATCTCAAGCATTATTGGTATCGACCGAGCCGACTTACAGAAGTTTGTGGTGTTTGTGTCTGGTGGAGAGAAGGAGAGAGAGAGGTGCGACCGTGGCAGAAGATGTTGGCAGTCTGAACGTGTTCCGTTTGGTCAGTGCGTCCCGCTTTGCGTCATCGAATTCACTCATGTGAAGCTTGGCGGGGTTCAGCGACGGGCAAGGGTGGAGGATTTGCTTACCATGGATACTGCCGCATATACGTGTTTACGTGGGGCGATTGAAGCGCTGATCTGTAAGGTGTATACTGAGGTGAGCACGTAGTGTATAGCTGAAGACTTTCGCATAGGAGGGATGGAGAAGAGGATGGTGTGGGAAGGTCCGATTTTGGGCTTGGATGATTGTCTATATACTCTGGTAGTTGCTTGCTACTTTCAAGCCAGAGGGAATTAGTACGTTCTCGCATTATTCTCATTGAAAGAGCCATCAAAGAAGCAGTAATTGGAGAAGGCCATCACCGAAGCTTCTACCAAATTGGCGCAAAGAGAAACGTCTCCAATCTTCCCGGCCGTCGTGCTCCAACAGGTATTCGCTGTACTTCTCTAAGTTCACTTTTCGTGCATTTCTGTGCCAGATCTTTCGTACGGCAGGAGACATGGAGAACAGAGCCTCCCTAGCCAAAGACGCTCAACGTGTGGCTCAAGGACCTTTCCCAGAATCGCCAATTCCAGGAAGATGAATATCGTTAATGTGGGTCGATGATGCACTCAACAAATCTGGTTCTTTCGTTTGGACACGCAGCTCATTGAGATGTTGGTATCGCTCAGACATGTGGATGATATAAATGCTCGGGTCGTTGACCGCAATCGCGGCTGCATGTGTCATATTCATTGCAGCGTAAGACTTTGATAATCACGGCCAGTGAGTATCTGTTTGTCAGGCAACTCTGCTCTCAAGACTTGACAGACTGATCTACACTATTCATGATGGAAGATACCTCTGCTGCTCCGGCGCTGCCCTGAGCCCGCCCCCCCGGGGACCTGCTCCGACTTCTCCGACCCCCGCCGGTGGCCCTGAGTCCCTGAGAAGCAAGCATCGCCTTCTAGCACCTTCTGCCGCCGTCAGAAACGCGTCATAGGTGAGCTCTCTCATCATGCCACGCGTTCTTTACAGTCTAGGCGGGCACGGGCCACCCCGCCAAAACATAAATACTTTCGAAATCCCCTCCAACTTCCTCTTCTTTCCTCTCCAGTCCAAGTGGTAAGCAACATCCCCATCCCCTACCTCCCCATCCATCATCCATCGTCATGTACTGACTTTCTCATAGCAAGGGCATACGCATACCAGTGAAGATTCGTCTGAGGTTGTGTTATTGCTGATTGAAAACTATCGATCGACCGCTCTTGTTGGCTTGCGGGTCGGCAAGGAATTTTTGGCACCTTCCAAAGCTTTTTTTTCATCATGTAGTTGCTGTTGCAGATGCCTGAAGAAGAATCAAATTGCCTGTCATTAATCGTCTCACCGTTTCCATCGTCTTCGTCGTCTTCAAGTTTGCCGTGATTTGGTTGCTGCCGCCTGATAAGGATGATATCTCCTCGAAGCCACGTAGAGGTAGCAGATTGCACCCGTGTTAATATAGTGCCAAAACGCCTCGCTGTCGCGTCTCTCACCAACACCGAGACAGGCGCCAGTGTTCGCCTTTGAGTGCTCTCATTGCTGGGAAAGAGAGAGGACCGCATTTGACGACGTTGCTCGCCTTTGCCAGCGCCCAAAGTCGAGCCACTCTTTGTTATCCCTGTCGCCGCGCCCTTCTCCAAAGGTAAGTAGTCAGCGACGTGCCGTTTGATTCTCCGACTGCACGACGCGCGAGCGTATGTGTACGAGCCGACGTGCTGTTCCCTGTCTTCGGAATACTAAAGTGCTTACTTACAGCACCCAGACGAGCGCGTACCGCCACGACGAAGGTCCTGGTGTCTTTGCGTACGAACGCCTATCCACAAACACATCCGCCCTCACGATCTCGATCCCTCCCGCCGTCGCAATATCATATGCCAGCTAACTCGATAGACGCACCACGATGACAAGAGTATGCACAGAAGAAGGAGACATGTCTACAAGAAAGACAATCGATGAAGTCTGAAAGAGCAGAGACCAGGATCGACAAAAGACTACATGTTATTCCCAAATCTTCTCCTACGAGTCTTTATATTCATGATGCACATTGACTCGACAATCAAGACAGGGCGCAGAACAGACACGCACCAGCTACTGGTTTGAGGACACACCGAACATCATAGCGTACATCCATCGTTTCTCGCGAATTCGTGGGAAGCGGAGCACAAAGTCTTGGCATCCGCAAACGCGAGCTGGGCGGCGACGACACCACAACGGTGTCGGTGAAAGAACATTGTAGACGTAGAAGCCTCGCATGAAATCAATGAGATGGTGCGCAGGGTATTGTATGACGATGGCTGGACTTCTGGCGGCGGCAAACGTCGACGAGGGGAAGAGATCAGGTTTGGCATTCGGCGTCTTTTGGAGGCTCCCCTACATTGAACAGAAGCAGTGCCATAGAGCCCACAGACGAGGCGTCAGCTATGACACGACAGCATACACAAGCAATGCGGGGAGTCGTCTGCGCCCCATGATCGCCACGAGTCTCCCGGAAGCTCGAGCAGGCGACGTAGAACGGCAGCCAACGCGGATGACAATGAAAGATCAGGATCAATACATGCCAGGTCGCTACCGAAGGGTATCTCAAGAGACGGATGGCATGATTCCGATGTGGTGATGGACACGTCTATGGCTGGCAGAAACAATACTGTTGTAGATCCTCCATCTGGCAGAGCAGCATTGTTCGCAGCCCGGGACTGGTGAGCAGATGGAAGAGCTGGCTTGAATCACGGAAAAGCATGGCATCGGGGAAGGAGTAAGCAGTACAGGCACGACTACTGGACACGCACAGCTCGTACTCGAATACAGCTCATCCTGGCACACCAACCCCAGCATGCCGCTGGGACCTGCAGAGGGCGTGATAAATCATCCCAAATGTGCCTTCCCACATCCGTGAATGCAGTTCCTGATCTCCATATCCTTACGTGGCGAGAGAAAACAGTGTACAGCCCATGGCGCCCTGCCAGGGGGCGACACATCCAACTGCAGGCACTGCGGCACGCCAAAGAATACTGGCATCGACCAATACTGAGAGATCCTTACCGCCGCCGCAACAGTCCGTCCGAACCGCCGTTCAGGTCCACCGACAAGTTAGTGATGGGCCTGAGCAGTCCACTCGCTCGACACGAGATCCATCAATCGCCCTCTCACGGGAGCTCTTCGACTGGCGCGGCCCCTTCTGCGAAGAGCAACAAGATCATGGACACCTCGACTAGAATATAGGAACAATACCGAGAAGCAACACACATAACCAGAAGGCTATATCACCCAGCCAACCGAGTACCTTCCCATACTTTGCACAGCACCATATCAAAGGGCCTGAATAGGTTTTTAAAGACCCCAAGGGACACATAGAACGTGACAGTAGAGAAAACATCAAGACCCAGAATCCGAAATCGGACAGAGCACGGAGGAGGAGGCATTCAACGTTGGACGCGTCGCCCTCTTTCTGCGCTCCCCTCGTCATTGCGTTCATTCCTGGGCCTTCTGGTCCCTGCTTCCTGATCAATCAGGACTATCTCTTCGTCGACCTTGGCCGGTATGGACTTTTTCGTGGCTGAGTCAGGGTCTCTTCCAGTCAGGACCGCTGCACCGTCATTGCTCTCAAGTAGATCTGCCCTCCATGGAATCCTGTGACCGGTCCAGCCTCACACTTCCAAAGACGTAACATTCCCGGAGCACGCAATCGTTAGAACAACGGCGATGACAGTCTTGTATTCTTCAGAACTCTCATTCAGGCCGGATACAAACTTGACCATTCTCATCCAACAGGTATGCCTCGACAGCACTAGTCCACTGCGTCTGGAAAATCAAGCAGGGTCTGTATTCAGTTCACCAGGGCTCCTTGTCGGGACAGGCCTCGTTCGCAAGCAGAGAGAATAAACATCCAAAGCTATGTTGATGAGTTGCAGGAGAATCGGTCCAGACACCGTTGGCGCCCTCGACCGGAGACCCCAGAGCAACTGTTCTGAAGACCTTTGGGATTCGCAGGACAGCAGGAGTCGAGTTCAAGCTAACACAATACTGCTGTGTCCCATCCAACCAATGTCGAGCCACTGACAAGTAGAGTTTCGAGTTGCCCCTGAATGTGAAGGGGTATGCTCTGCGACCATCCACTAAGCATCTTTTCAACATCTCTTGCTTCAGGGGAAAAGCACTCTTCGAGGACGGATTCTAGAATTGACCTCTTCGATGAAAGGGGCTCTTTTAGGAATAAGGAAGTGGAACAAAGAGATGTCTTTCGGACCGAGGACATCTGCTGTTCCCGATCTTGAGAGGAGATGACCGAACAAAGAAGAACGATACTTGATGCGTCAGTTACCCGGTGCTATTGTGATTACTACCTCGCTTTTTACCCTTTTCTACTTTTACTTAGCGTTGGGGTGAGAAAGAACATGTCCTGGTCCACATTCGCGATCCAGTACTTCGCATCTTCGCCTCTTTTCCTGCTATACACACCCGCTTGTTCTCTGATCTCCAGCCCTCAGTCCTAGCCTCTGCATACACCCACAGCAATCCAGCTCAATCCACTTCTCCCTGATGCTTCGTGATAGCATCTTCTTCGACGTATGCCTGGATGGCACTGCCCCATGCGTCGCCACCGAAGATCTCCTCGGCCAGCGCCTTTACCAGATCGGCGGACGTGTAGTCGTCCACCAGCTCAAAGTAGTCCCAGGCTTGTAGCATGCAGCGCAAGGCCTGCTGGTTGGTGCTGTTGGGAATCTCGGCAGTAGTGGTAGTGGTAGTGGTGGAGGTGGTGTTGTTGGCGCGCATGAGGGGGGTGATGTCGAAGATGCGCTTCATGGCGGCCTCGACCTTGCGAACGAAGACGCTTTCCTCAGACTCGAGGAGGGTTTTGCGAGCGCGAGTCAAGCACTCTCTGGCGCGGCGCTTGTTCTCGTCCTTGGGAGTTGTTACGCCTATGCGAAGTGCTGAATCTGTGCGCGAGGACTTACCATCTTGCTGATATCGTTGAGCGTTTGAATGGAAAAGGCGGGAGTGATGTATGGCTGCTAGGGGGGTAAGCATAGCTCAGTGGAGAAGATGGTGGTGGACGCACATAGGAGGTGGGCAACAATCCTTCTCTGGTGCTGGCGGCGTGAGTAGCAGCAAGTGCTATTATTGTTGCTGTTGTTGTTGAAAAGGAAGAGAGCTGTTTTGACAAGAAGGGCGGTAGTTGTAGGTCGAGGCGAAGTGGTGCAGATCGGTTGCATTCAGATGCAGTCTATTCACCTGGCACAATTCAAACAAACGCGCATGCTTCTTGCTTCTGAACTGCGAGAACCGGGTCAATCCGAAGAGCCGACAAAAGCCTCTTGTTCTCTCAAGCAGACGGCCCGAGAAGATGTTTTGGTCTTTTCAGATGCTCTTCATGGGGCAAAGTGGCAGTGGTATACCTACTACCCATAATTTCCCATGCTCGTCTTAGTATCTTCTTTCACATCTTCGCAGAGCCCAGCACCAAAGATCATCCGCCCAAGCGCCTCCAAACTTGATCGCCAGCAAGCGCTAAAAGCTCGTACGCAGTGAGCACGTCCAAGCAGGCGGCGGTGGTCACACTCTGCTGTTACCTGCTCGTGGAAAAGACGCTCTCCTCAACGTGGGCTCAATGGAGAGCAACAGGGTCTTGCAACTCATCAGATCGATTTGGTGCCGCTCTCGCCTCTCAACGGTATCCTGGAGACCTAGGACTATCGTCCAGTAGCCTGGACTGTCGTTCGTTAGTGGAGATCATCCTACGAGTAGCGAGAGGCACGTACAAGCTGAATGCTGGGAGCTCGAAATGCGGGAGTCCAGACTTCATTTAGTTGATGTTCTTGCTGTGGGGGATGATGTTGAGTGGGAGTTTTGACTACCCCCATCCGTACCCTCTTTTATCGTCCAGTCCACAACTCACGTCACGAGGTGATGTATATACAGGGCCACAAGAACAATATATGTACGCCTCCAAACGAAAACAAGAAAGGAGTCGACATCGCAGCTGGAAAAGAGGAACAAGTGCACAGAAGAGGAGGTTCTCACAGCAACCTTATAGCCTCCTCATCTATGCACCGGCAACTTTGTTTCAACGCAGGAGGAATTGCCGGTGCTTAACTTGAACGAGACACGTGTCCGCGTCTCGCTACAAAACCATCAAGAACACCAAGAGTGGAAAACAGAGACAACAAGTTGCACAAAGCAGTCTTCCCAAAACCCTGGACCATGGATCTTCAGCAAGCGGCAGCTTCTTGGCTGAGCGGATGACCATTCGTTGTGAGCGATAAAGCGACGGTCAACCGCCGGTCTCCGTTGACACATTCCACAGACCTGGTATGGCAACGTACCGAAACCAGAAGGCTTTCGATGGAACCCACCGTGAGCATATCCAAAGGACTTGATGTCCTCATCGACGTCGAAAACAGCATCTTAGCAATCGCATGCCAACCCAATATGCCCTTGCCGGATGCTAATACTTCGTGGCTCAGCTTCTAATTAGAATCTTGTAACAAACTATTATGAGCAAACGCTCACCTATTGCAGTTGTGTCCAACGTCTGGCCAGGTCGATGGTTACGTAAACCCAATCCGAGGAACGTAGGACGTTTCGCATTTGACAGCCTAGTCGAATTCCAATCCCCGTCCCTCGCCAAAGCGGGCTCCAACCTTCGCACTTATCTCCCACCGCATACCCGGCACCTATCCAACACATCTGCAAAGACTTATACAAGAAACACGCCCGCTTCTCCATCCTTTCTCAAAGTCCACACCGCCGCAGTGCCACCGAGCCCATCCCATGTTCCCGAAATTCCGCCGCCGCCGCCTCAAACCACGACCCACAAGGCAAACTCTTCAAGATCAACCGTCTTATACCAATACATCTTTCCCTCCTTCATCAATGCAACCAATCAGAGTCCGTCGTGGTCTAGTGAGCAATTCGCCATCACCGTTCTATAGCCTTAGTTGCTAACAATTCGTTGCAGGTGGCTAGGATTTGCCGCTCTCATAGATGAGCGATTCGTCGATAAGGCGCCGGCAAGGCCCGGGGTGAGTACAACATACATACGGAGAGACATGTTCAGAGTTCTGACAAAATGAACAGTTCAATTCCCGGCGACGGAAGATTGTCATTCTTTTTATTCATTTCTGGATCTTCTTCCTTTTGGCTTTCATTTTGCCTTGCCGGTACTCAATACCAGGACTCCAAACGATGTTGAAGACCGTGTAATTACAAAATATTGTTGTAGATGGTCGAAGGTCGGCTACCCAGCTCCTTCCATTTGACCTAGTGAAGTATTTTGGGAGCGAGGTTCCTTCATCACCGTAGTGACACAACATTCTTGGACAGAACGTTGTATAGTTTGGTCACTCCCACTTCGATGAACTCTGTTCAATCCAGTGGTTGAATCGATACAACACTTCATTCATTTCCTGAACGTCGGCCAAGGATGTGTGAGCTGAGGAGCACACTCGTGTAGTTCGAAAAGATGTGGCCATTGGGGAACTCTTCACAGCCAAGCGGGACTGAGGGAGTACGAGAGTTGGCGATTGTAACTGGAGTGAGTCTTGATTCATTACCACATTGCATGACATAAGAAACGTCTAGTCGTACATAGCATTCATGAAATCATCAGCAACGCCCATCAGTCATCCGTCTCTCGTCAAGTCGTCGCCCATTCTTCGTGGTATCCAGCATATTCCCACGCATTATCATCCTCATTGTTCGTTATCGCATCCATTCTAGTTGTGTTATGGCTTTTCGATCTACTTCGAGATCGGCCTCGGCGGAGGATAGAAGCTCTTCCTCACAGCCCGTCGCAATGGCACAGCCTTTGCGACTTGAACTTCCTCCACAGTATCAATCGAAAGTCCAGAGTCCCGCCTCTTCTGCTTGAATATCTCGGAGATGTCGAGTCTCTCCGCATTCAAGTCAAAGCTTCGTCGTTCTTCAGCACTCCGCTGACTCTCCATCGAGAAGCGCTTGTCGACTTCAGCCAGCTTGACGGCCACTTCGGATGGAAGGCTCTTGTAACCATCCATCGCGGGATCGTATTGGGGAAAGAAGCGCGCAAGGCGATGTTGAGCCTTCAGGTCGTCGTCGCTCCATTCATTGCTCTGTCTCTTGCGGAAGGCTGGGTGGATGGCCTCCGATGGCGACATGCTGTCCGCTGACGGTCGAGAGGTCGACATTGCCGACCCATTGGCGATTTCGCCGCCCGATGGCAACGGCATTGGCGCAGAGTTGACAAGTCCCGTCAGCAAGGCGTGGTAGATTCGTACAAGAGCCTTGCGAGCTGGCTGGATGACGACGCTGCGAACGGACTTCTTGGAGCGAATTGAACAGTCGGACTTTTGCTCAACCGGTATATGGGCGCAGGCGACGGAGTAATTGGTATTCATGATGGGGCCGCTGATAGTGGCCGTACTGTGCTTGAAGGATGAGGAACGGAAGACTGCAGGAAGCGTCTCACCTCAGCTTCATGTACCTGCATATTCTCACAGTTGGTCCGCCTTCTCATCCAGGCACGATTCCGTACTTGCCGACAGATCATCCGGCGCAGCCGTGACGTAGGTATGCCCATGTGGTCGCAACGATCCAGGCGTCGATCGCAACGAATGGCATGCCGGACGTACGGCAGTTGGAAGTTTGTGGCAGGCATCGTCCCGGTAGATCGGTGTTGTTTGGGACTAAATTTGGGCAGCGTTCCGCATCTGGCATGACAGGCTGGGGTGGGTCCAGGATGCCAGCCGCGCTCAACCTTATTTTGACCTCGTGCATCCTGTTTTCGCCCAACTCCGCTTCGTCCGTGCCGTTTCTTTTGGAGAGCGATGTTTCGTGCTCAGCCATTTTGACATCGAAAGCGTCCTGGTTTCGGTCAGCTCTGCAAGGCGTTTTGATGTCTTTGAAGTTGGTAGGAAGGCATTGTAGGTGCCATGCTTTCTTCTCTTCAAGCCTCCAACGAAACCTTTCGCATTCGTCACGCCGGAAGCCACCTCGGACAATGCCAACGTTGCTCTCGACGGGCCAACGGTGGGGCTTGATAAAATTGAGTATTCGTTGCGACGTCGGTGTATAGCAGCAGCAACAACAGCAGCTGGGATTCAGCGAACTCGAAAAATTTCACATGATCGCCACGAACCAACACACTCCTGTGCCGTGCGTTTCAGAAGAGTTTTTGCTGTGTCTGACCTCTCCTCTCCACTCTGCGTGGCAGTCTTGTCTTGGCCAATTCACATAATCAAGTCCAAGGTCTTCGAGATCGTCCTGATTATCCTGGGGGGGGGTTTCCGGGCCTAAACCTACAGTTTATGTTGACGGATGGCAATGAGTCCATGAGGTACGTCCGGGAGACATGAAGAAGTCTAGCCTGCTGAAACTACGTTTCGTGGTTATCGGCTGGACGATCAACATTCTTCCCTCATAATGTTGCCCTGCTTATTCCTTTCGCTAGTCTCATCCTATCCAATGCCTTTGGGGTGATGGGATTATATGTTGCAGACCGAAGGGTAACTAGTTAGTAGGTGTCGCTGTCCCGTCGAAGAGTCAGGTCGACCTCCAATCCTCCCCAACGGAGATGCGAAACTCAGAGGCTCTGCAGTGCATCTGTTTGCTTCATTTCCGACGACAGATAATTTGTTGCTCGCGCAGACTGGTTTTCAGGACCTTTGGGCCTGCAGTGCCGTCAATACAGAGTCTCTGAGGCTTGGAAACGTTCCAGCACGCCCGCCCGCTGCAAGACCCTGACGCCACAATCTCACACTCTTCCCCTACGCCACTCCTGGACAACTACATCACCGTCGCCTCACAGTAGCCCTCAGAACGTGTGCTGCCTGAAGACTGCGTCTGCCTGAGGCCACCACGCTAGGCTCGCACGTGACACCCTCCGGGCTTAAATATTTTCTCGATCTCCTTCCAACAACCTTTCCTTTCTTCTCCAGGTAGGAGGCGGCGGCGTGACCGGCGGCTCCTGGCGATTAGTTGGGTGGGGTGGCTCCTGAATCACCTTCACCTGTCTGTTGATCGGTTAAAGGCCTTCGGGCCCGTACCATCACTGGCAATGGCACTTCAACCTCGACTGTAATTTTTGATATCCCCCATTCTTTTTCATCAGTATGATCCAGCCTTCGCTGGCATCTGGAGAAGAAGCTCCTTGTATTGGATTGTAGTGATTGTGTTTGACTTGTTCTGTCGCGTGGTCTTTGGTGATGTTGAGATGTTGAGATGTTGTGACGTTGTGATGTGCTGACGTGTTGATGCTATGATGTGGTGGTGTGGTGATGTTGTGGCCGTGTGACGGAGCGATGGTATGTGAGGGCGGACGTGTCGCTGATACGGTGTGGAAGGATGTGATGGCAATGTCGTGAGATGGATACCAGTGGCGGCAGGTATGTTGGCAATGGGAACGTCTTTCTTGTGGTTCATAGCACGTTATGATGTCCTTACGGCCCCTCTTATGGTTTGTCAGTCGCTGGGGTATGGCGAACGTACGGCCTGGCAGCCCGCGTTTGCATGGAGCAAAACGCGACCGGCGAGGGGCTGTCGGACGGCAGTTAGATGAGAAGACCTCATTGCTCTTTATATAATCTCGGTGCGATCTCATATCAGATTGGAAGGCTGTTTGGTCGCTCGAGTCCGCTCTTCATCTTCCACGGTATCAACGCAGTCTGCCTGAGAAGACGCCAAACGAGGAACACTCTACAGGGCCGGTGATGGCACCGCTTTTCCCACGAAGATGCTAGCGACCCACTCAGAAGCTTCATCATCCGGCCTATCACAACTGAGAACAGGATCGAAAATCAGGCGAATCGTGGCAGACTTCTCGCGGTAGATATTGGAGAGTTGCTTGGCTCGAGCAGGTACCTTAATATTTCGCCGCCATGGACGAAGTCGCAGAAGCTCGTTGAGACGTCAACGACAGGGTGGAGCTTCAGGAGCGAGTTCTTGTACGGAAGCTCCCAAATTGACTGGCACCAGTGCTGACAACTAGCAGACCAGTAGATTCGTCTTCACCAACTTGCAACGTATCACCGCTAACCCCCGACACAACATCAACTCTGACATACGATCACGATCCGCGCAAAGTTTCACGCTTCAAGCCGGCCACGAAACACTGCCTGCCAGGACGTGATCAAGTGAGACAAAATGAAGGCGGCAAGTGGCCTTGGCATGGAAAACGAGAAGAAACGCAAGATCCGCGAGGCAGCCGAGGCAGCGAATGTAGACAAGTCGAAGTCTCCAAAAATATGTGGAATACACAGTAGCTGAAAGAAATTGCAAGTCAACGGCAGCACTGTTCAGCCGGAGGGCAGTAAGATATCTCGAAAATGGGTGAAAACGGTTCGGGAATACCTCTCGGGAATGTCACACGAGACTCGGCGATCAAAATGCTAGGAAAAGGTGAAGATGAGGTTCTGGCGAAAAAAGATGTGAAAACACAATCCCCGGCCAAGATATGCATTTTCGTGAGATCAGATCACGAGCAAGCTCCTCACACCTTCCATTTCATCAACTTCCTCATGGTCGGCAAGGGAGCGGAGCAGCCAAAGGCGAGACCATCATGAAGCTGCGGAGGCGATGAACTCCATACGGACAGCCTATTTGCTCGCTCCATGCCCTTTTCTGCTACCGCGGAGACCTCCGACCTCGTTTCCGCCCACCGACGGTCAATGCTGGAGCTCCTCGTTAGTTCAGTCGAAGTACACGAGCAGCCCGCACAAGCAGGCCTCGGCACTGTCCACTCAGGCCGCGAAGTTCGCATCTTTGCTTCATTAGCCTACCGAATGTAGCTTAAAATTACATCCACAGCTCAAGACAGGGAAGGACGTTGAAGCACAGGAATTAGAGGACCTCATTCTCCAACCGTGTTGCACCGTGGCCAGTTTGTCTCTGCTCGAGCCTTACGCTGGGTAATAGGATTGCAGTGCAGGCTATTTGGTTGTTTCCCAAGACGCAGAAGCTTTTTGAGTGCGTCAGTGGCCTGGCTCGAGAACTGGCTTGTAGTCGTGACTGGCACCTGGCGTGAGCGACCAATGGAGGCGTACTTGACGACTGAACCGGAACAGGAAATTCAAATCATCACCCGACTTGGGCAATCGCACACTCACAGTGAGAGTACATGAGTCAAGAGAAGAGAGAAGATTCTGTTCATCCACATTCGTTTTCTCATTGCTTATATACATCCAACCCCAAGGATCCACAGCAAAGGAGACAACACCAGAAAAGAGATATCTTGTACATGCCGCGTACGAACCATGCCTTGCCCTCCGCGAAAGGGCACAAAAAAGACAACAGTCCCCGCATAAAGCATCCCATCAAGCCGCAGGCGCCAGCTCAACGTCTCTTGTCATTGCCAGTCGAGGTCGCAGTCGCTTAGTTGCTGAACTGGATGGCGCACACGCCACCGGTCACGGGGGAAGCACGCTGGACGGTGCAGACACCGCCGGTAACTGGGGAGGCACGCTGGAGGACGCACACGCCGCCGGTGACAGGGCTGGCGCGTTGGATGGTGCACACACCGCCGGTGACGGGCGAGGCACGCTGGATGGCGCAGACACCTCCGGTGACTGGGGAGGCCCGCTGGATAAGGCACACGCCACCGGTGACGGGGCTGGCACGCTCGTTGATTGGGGAGATCATCTTGATTGAGTGGGTTGGTGCTGGTGCGTAAAGCCTGAGGAGGAGGGTTAGTGGGTTTGGTTTGGGAGTTTGGTGGTTGTGATGGCGTACTTAGCGAGTGTCTTGAGATCTGTTGGATTGAAGCGGGGTGAGGAGAGAGGAGGTGTTGATGGTGGTTGAGTTGAAGGTTTATGTATGTTGGGTTGTGGTGTGTTCGGTGCCGACAGGGCTCTGGAATATCTCTCTTGGCTTTGATACTGACCGCAAGAAAGGGCTCGTGGCGATCGTTGGTGACGAATCAGCTCCTTCGACTGGCCAAGACTCCACGTGTGCTTAGTATTGTACTCTATGATAGACCGCCCAGACCGGCCTCGTGGCTCGGTGCCAGTCGTCTTGATATTGTACTTCGAGACAAAGAAATCTCCCTGACACTGACCATGAACACTTGTGAGGGTGACCATTTCTTCTCAGCACTCTTTGCCTGGTGGAGATTAGACCTAGGTGATTCTTTCAGAGGCTGGGAAGGGCGTTGAGATACAAGGCGTCCACCAATAAGCCGTGAAAGCCAGATCTTCCAGAATGTAGGCCCTCCAAGGACACGCATTGCCTGGTCACGATGTACGTTCATGCTTCACATGCGTTCGGCAGGCCCGTTGTCCTTGATATTGGGTCAAAGGTCAATGGCGATCAATACACGCTATCCCCGTGGCTCCTAGCCTGTCCATGGTATCCATGATCGCATCTGGGGGCGGGAATCTTGTTTGACCCTGGGGATTTCTCTTCTTGGGTAAGGTATTCTCTTATCGAGACAGCGCCTGTAGCTGGTAGATACTCACAGGTGCTTCATGTGAGGATTGACGATCGTAGCTGTCCCGAACATGAGCCGATATGGCCGCCACGTTGACCCTCACGTCCGCGTCGCTCAAACGCTGGACAGCTTCACATACGCCCACAACCTCTTGCTTTCTCCAGTTCTCGAGAGCCTTCCCTGGGATCAGCCTCTTCTTCGAACCCATTCTCCGTCCCTTGGTCGCGGGGAGCGACCGAAGTTATCATGGCGAATGCGGCTTGGGAGGTAGAGTGGGCGGCGGCAATTCACGCAGAACAGCAGCGCCTCGGGAGCGAGTATCGCCAGCTCAAGCGGAGGGAGTTTGAAGACAAATTCATCATCATGGACAACGCGATCGTACGCCTCGCGCGTCAACCACATCTGGGAGTCGCGTCGAGAAGCCAGGCACTGCGCGAGGTGAAGGAGACGGGTGACTGGTATCGGTCTGCGCAAGCACACATCAAGTCCCTAATATACGAAGATTACAAGCACGAGGTTAGCGAGGAGCACCCTGAAATGCGGCAAGTCGCGCGGGACCGAGTCAGGTGTAGAGTTCACGCCGTGCTCCTCACAGAGCTCATCAGCCAGCGACGCGACGGCGACGACGAGGGAGCAGATCCACATCGAGCAGCAGAAGACCTCGGTTGGACGGACAGCCTAGTGGGACGATTTCTCCACATTTTCTTCCCAGCAACACGCTTGGCCATGGTGGCCACAGCAGCTACAGCAGACCAGTCCAGCAAGCTGGAACGACAAGTTCTGGGGAACCAGTGTCCTGTTTGCTGGGGTCCCTACCAGCAGCTTACGCGCTTGGGGGCTTGCGGTCACCTGTTCTGCTTTAGCTGCATCATGCAATCGCTGTGCTCGAATATGTCGTGCCCAGTGTGTCGGGACCAAGTACATTTGTTAGACGTGGAGACTTTAGATATCGAGTGGGTCAGGGAGGACAACGGCGATGAAGTGGAGGATGACGAGGAGATGATAGATGGAGCATGAGAGGTGATGGACAGGAGGGAAGATGAGATTTGGAGATACAGTGGACCGGGAACATTCCCCTCGGCAATACGAACGACCATAGGTCTAGTATACGGCACGGCACATCAGCCTGGGACACATCCTTGGAGGTAGATGATACTGCCATCCCTAATCATTGCCTTTAATGCACAAGCGGGCAGCTGAGACATGGTTTTCGGTAACTTGCTGACTTCTCGCTTTTTCCCTTTCAAGAAGTTCCTAATACCTCCTTTATCCAACTTGTCACCTCAAAAAGATCATTGCTGCTGCAATCATATCGCACAGCACTCCTTTCCCATCAAACGGTACTTTAGATTTCGTAACCCCTTCATTTTCGCCCTACTTTTTCCAGCTTCATCGTCTTGGACCCCGTCTCTCATTGAATGGTACCGCTTTTCATTGTGGTTCTACATCAACCATGCATCATATAAGCTCGTATGTCCTCTCGCCTATATACACATAATGCCCCAAGCACGAGTTCAGTTCAACACAGCAAGCCCAGACTGGTGGCTGCCGCGAATTATGACGTCAAGCGCGCTTTGGGAAATCTACTCTCTTCTCAACTTCGCTCCCAGAATTTCGGATGCAACACCCACTCGTCCACCCAAACCCGCACCTCGATTTTTCAGAGGCCTCACCAACCCTCGACCAATAAACTCCGTTTACACGCCCTGGATGTCTTCGTCAAACTGTGGTCGCGTTCCCGCCTGCTCAGGCAGTGCACCATCCAACGCCCCCACGAACACCGCCTCTGCCAATCGAGCCGACGACGAAACTGTTTCACCTGCACCATATTCGTCGTCGCATACCGGCTCAGCAGATCAAGACGAGTCTGCTGACGCGGTCCTTTCTCGCCAACTTGCCCAGCTCGATTTGCAGAGCTCCACCAACCACACCGCCGAGGTCTCAGGGGTGCAGAGATGGAAGGACTTCGTGGCCGCAGCTTCGAACGAGTGCTCAGAAAGTGAGGCCTCTGCTGCTGAGCCTCACACATCTGGCGCACCGATTGCACCTCATCGGCGGCGCCAACACGCCGATGAAGAACCCTCGACTCCAGCTTCTTGTTACCACTCCGACCCTATGCGCTCCACCTCGACTCCACAGAGCGCAACTTCAGCGTCAGTGCCACAAACCGCTACAGGTGCAACATCCCCATCTCTTCAGGTCGAGCCATACGCCGCCATGTACGTCGGACCAGGTCGATACGAGTTCACATACATCTACGACCCAACTGCCTGCCTCTCCACACCTTCGCCCTCGGTCCCCGCACCAGACCTCAACGAGCACGGCACTGTCGCGGCCGCAACCGGTCTGGTCGCCCCTATTCGCACCGAGACCGTCTTTCTGAAGGACTTCCCTCGGGAAATCGTCAAGGAGAAGAGGACAGGAAGGACCGACGCCGCGCAAAAGCTGGACCAACTCATCGAAAACGAGTGCGCGGCTTGCTGGCTCGAGTACTCGGCGCCGGTGTCGACACGCTGTGGCCACATCTTCTGCTTGATCAATATCGTACCCTGGGTGGAGGCAAAGGGCTGGTGTCCAAAGTGCCGGAGGGCGCTGTGGAAGAGGGACCTGACAAACCTCGTGGTGGATAGGCGCGGGGTGTGAGGACGAAGCAGTGGATCTACAAGAGATCGAAGTCTGGGGAGGATTTTCTTTGTTATCAGGAGAGTTGTGCTGGTTCTGTCTTCGGGCATTGCTCCAATCTGGATTGCTGGGAGGTGCAGGGCGAGTGATAAACAAGGCGATTGGTTATGGAAGCATTGCTGTTGTCGAACACATAGTTGTCGTTTTCTGTTTGGCTTCGCGCGTAACATGCACAGCTATCTGTATCACTGAAAATTCGCACTGAAATCCATCGAATCAATATCGAACCAATCGTCAAGTGCCCAGGTCTCGAGACCCCTTGCTCTTCCAGGCGACATTATCAGACTCTCACATTGATCGCCTACTTTCAAGTGGTCGGTCCCTGGACTTTTCGGGCTTCCTAAAAGGCCCAACCCGGCCAATGTCTCCAAACATCGATCGACTGCTGCTCGCAGACCTTCTTCCTCGGTGGTGAGGCCATGCCCGATGTTTACCAGGGCCTGCGCGGCAAGAGCTGTCCAGAGCTGTCTCTGATCGCCGGTGAAACGAGTGACCCTAAGCTGTATCAACTCGATGGCCTTGTTGAGCAGACCTTGGACTTCGTTCTGTAGGAATGATCGAAGCAGGTGGTCACTGCTACCAATGCTGGTAAGACATACACGGACAACAGCCAATGCCGCCCGAATCTGGTGGCCAGCCAAGAACTCCAAGGTAGGGTCTCCAGCTTGCCAAAAGCTGTGACCGATTTCGACCATCGAGCTTGCGTGTTGGACGAGTGCTGTTCTGTGAAGACTACTCTCAAATGATGAGGTGCTGTGCTGCAGCTGGCGGTGATGGAGTGCAAGCAGGTACTGGCGAATCGTTAGCGTAGCAGCAGCTTCTGGCACGCTTTCGGAGCGTGAGCTTTTCGTTGTCAGGCCTTCCGCTTTTGTCTTTGCTTCTGAGAATGTGAGGGTGGCCGTAGTACTGTTCAGCCGTAGGAAAAGTTGATGCCGGATGCAGAAGCTGGCATGGAGAGTCGTCAGGGTCGGCTGGTCGTTTAACACTTTCTGAGAGTCTGCAGACCTCTCGGTATCTGTACCAGGTACAGGACTTCCAGCCACAACACCAACGTTGGGAGTTGGAAAGACAGTTGGCGGCATACCCTGCTCGAACGCTGCTTGAAGTTCGAACTCCAGAGCAGCCATCCAGATCTTTCTGCGCAGCTCTTTCTCCGAGCTCGGGAGATCTCGACCTCTCTGACTGTTCAGATACTTGGGCAAGCCAGCACACATGAAGGTTCGCAGCAGCTTTCCCGCATTGGCGTACGTCTGCTTGTACCTTCGAGCATTCAGCTGCTCGGCCCACAACAGCAAGCACTGTGCTTGAAACTCCTCGATGTTGTATCGTCTGCTGAGAGTCTCTTCGACGTAGAGTCGACAAGCTGTGATGATGGTTGTCGCGCGGTCTCGATAGCACGTTCTTTCATCAACAGGCTGTACCGCTGACGTCGACTGCAGGCACATGGCTATGGAGATTACCAGAAGCATGACCACAGTCGAGTATCCATTCTGGGCGGGCTCTTCGTTCCACATGGCGGTATACCTTTCTTCAAATGTCGATCGATCGAGGATGTTGTAGATTCCACCTAGCCTTGCAAAGTAGATCTTCACAAGATTGTCTGCTTCCTCTTTTGGAGGCAGGTAGGTCCTCAGGTCTGCGTCTTTGGGAAGGTGTCGAGTTTGATGGAGTTGATAGCTCTCGATCTCGGCCTTGTGCATGTTGAGGCGAAGCTGTCCCATGACTGCATACTCTCTGAAAGCTTCCTTCGTAAGATCTTGCAGGCCAGGGATACTGTCGACCATAGAACCGACACATGTACTATCAGAGGCATCCTTCCAGGCCTGCTGCTTTGATCGCTGCTCCAGTGGCAGCGCCGTGGATTCTGGAGTGGCGAGATGGACGGCCGGTATGCTTGTCATGAAACAATTTGAAGAGGTCGGGAGATCGACGTGATTGAAGTGCATCGACTGAGACGACATGCCATCAACTTCACCCAGTCCCTTCGCGATGCCATCGAAAGAGATGCTGTCTTGTCCGAGCACGTTCTGGCTCTGTACCACCAAAGTGCTACTGACACCTGGTGGTTCGACTGCCCGATTTTTCATGCTCACTTCGTCCTGGGGCGGAGAATGCTCTTCGTTATGCAAGTACTGACACTTCTCAGGCTTCTTCGATTTCGAACAGCGTCCGCATACTGGTGTGACTCGATCGCAGTGCAGCCGCCGCCGCCGGCATTCCAGGCAGGACCAGATCTTTCGAAGTCGTTTCCGGCCGGCAGCCTTGGTCGCAGAATGCGTGTTTTGGACCAGATTCATTATCGATAGGATATTGCAAGTCGCACTCGAGAGAAGTCGTAGATACGAGGATGAAGACTAGCAAGTTTCGTATGTAAGAGCGCCTGCGAAGCTGTCAGCTCGGAGCTGAAGATCGCTTTAGCCGACGCAGGGTCTTGTATGTACGAGCTGTCGGTCAACAGCAATCCTCGAGTGTACTGGTGTCGTAAATACGAGACCTTGGCAGACATAAATAGGCAGAGCCTCATGCGAACAATGTGAGATCAAACACCCATCGTACTCGGGACCACATGGCATCTCAAGACTTCGAGAAAGACAACCACAGCGGCGACGAAGAAGTCGCAAACGCTGCCCAAGACCAGTCTTCAGAAGAACCTCCACAAGAGCCCATCTACGACAAAGGTACCACAGCCTGGCTGCATGTTCTCGGCTCCTTCTTCCTCGTCTTCAACACTTGGGGTATCTTGAATGCGTTCGGCGAATACCAGACATACTACGCCTCGTCCTTCCTCTCCCACGAATCCTCCTCCTCAATCTCCCTCATCGGCTCCCTCGAGACTTTCATCCTCCTCTTCACCAGCTGTCTCACTGGCCCGGTCTTCGACAAGGGACACTTGAGGTTGCTGGTCGTGGTGGGGACGTTCCTGATTGTGTTTGGACATACGATGTTGAGTCTGTGCAAAACGTATTGGCAGGTTGTGTTGGCGTAGGGTGTTACAATTGGGCTGGGCACGGGGTGTTTGTTTGTGCCTTGCGTGGCGATTCTGCCGCAGTACTTTCGAAAGAGGTTAGGTCTGGCATCTGGGTTGGCGATTGGAGGGTCGTCGGTTGGAGATATGTTGAGCCTGTTGTGGTGCTGCAGGTGGCAAGACACTGACGTCTTGCTGTCCAGGCATCATGTACCCAATCGCTCTCTACCGCCTCATCAATGAAGTGAGCTTCCCATGGGCTGTTCGCATTCTCGGCTTCATCGCTCTGGCCACTCTCCTCGTTCCTATATTCATCCTTCGAATGCGTACTTCACCAGCCAAAGCGCGCAGTCTGATTGACTGGACGGCTTTCCACGACTTCGACTACATCTTCCTCGTCTTCACTAGCTTTCTGGCGTACATGGGCCTCTTCGTCCTGCTTTTCTATCTGTCCTTCTACGCTGCAAACGCGAAGCTCACGGATACCTCGTTGGCATTCTATCTGGTGCCCATCTTCAACGCGGGGTCGTGCATTGGTCGTACGGTTCCGAACGCGTTGGCGGATAAGACTGGGCCGTTTGATATCATTGCACCTGGCGCGCTGATCGTTGGACTGCTCGAGTTCTGTATGATCGCAGCCAGCAATAGCAAGGGAATGATAGCCCTGGCAGTGATCTCTGGCATCTTCAGCGGCATTCTGATCGGTGTGCTGCCTTTGTGTTTCATCGCTCTGACGAATGATAAGTCGAAACTGGGAACGAGAATGGGCATGGGCTTTGCGTTCTTGGGGCTTGGTGTTCTTTGCGCCGGCCCTGGAGCTGGAGCAATACTCGGCGAGAACGAACCGCTGCATTGGCGGTCTGCTTGGATCTTTGGAGGAGTTGCTACCTGTTCCTCTGGCGTTGGCTTCTCCCTTCTACGATTCAAGAAGTGGGGAACAAGATCGATATTGAAGGCGTAGCATACAACTATATAGACGAGATATCAACCACAATGTGAGCTCCAGCCGCCTCCCTTAGAAGAGCGGACCGATGCCCCTCCATCTTGCCAGCGTCAAGCGCCGCACCGGCGGCCAACCCCGCGAGAACCCCCTTTCATCTATCTAACTGCCTAACGCCCAAAAGACAAAAAGAAAAACCACCTCTCCTCCAGCCGCCGAAGCAGCTCCTCTCTTCCCTCCTCGCTCAGCTGCACCCCGTTGACGAAGACTCTCTCCGCCGCGCGAATGCGCTCCAGCTGTGCGTAAGCGTGGCGGCGCCAAAACGCTTCGAGGATTTCTGACAGACGCGGTGCCGCCACACCTTGCGCGCCGACGCCAGTTGGTGGTGTTGATGGTGGTGGTGGAGGTGGTGGTGGTGGCGAAGACATTTTTGTTTTGTCTGTTGTTGAGAGAGAAAGGTTGAGAGAGCGTGGAGCGCGGTTTTGAAGGGGAGACTTGCAGTGAGACGCACGCATGTGAGTGAAGCTGAAGTGAGTGAAAGGCATGTGTGAGTGAGGTTTCGTTTAGTGAAGTGGAAGGCGGCAGCGTTTGCGTGAAGACGGCCTCGATATTGCTGTGAAGGAGAGCGTTTGGTACTTCACTTGAACTGTCTCTCTCCAGAGATGCTGCAACAACCACGAGATTGAACGTTGGAACGATAGATTTGGAACAGCTGAGTTGTTGGGGGGATAGAGCGGCGATATATCAATGGACTCTCACGGTTCGCCTGCAGGATGGGGGGCGATATTGGGAGGCTATGGGGCTATGAAGGCCACACAGGGCGAGCTGGCAGAGACAATCCCCCATCTGCAAACTCTCCATATTTCCAAAGACTGACATATAGACCATGCAAAAGGAGGGAAAGGAAGCTGATTTGAGACAGCTAATCTATTGGAGATAGCCGAGCAAAGATTTGGCTCTCTTCTCCAGCATGAGTTCTAGCTTGCCGGCAGGCAATCCCACATATCCTTGAAGTCCTCCCCGTTCTCCCATCAGTCAATACACTTCTCCTCCGCATTGAGTTCCACCCATACACAGCCCAGGTTCTTCTAGAGCATTTTGATGCACCCCTTCTCCTCACTTGGTCGGGTCAGGCATGTTGCGTGCAGGTTCCTGGTCGCTGACTTGCCTGTTCGTGCTCAGTCCCTTCATCCTCGACCGTGCGGTCTACGCGCGTCACATCAACTCGCCGCAAATCGACAAGATCGATAGCCTTTCGACACATTGGGCACGTCTCCTTCTCGTCAGCCCACGTAACGATGCACTCGAAGCAGAAGCTGTGGAAGCACGGGTCCTCTCCAGCAACATAGGTCGCGTCCTCGTAGGGGTCCAGGCACACCGAGCACTCGTTCCGCAACAGGTCATCGTAGAGGAGAGACACCTTGTCCGACTCGCAGATGATGACTTCGTTGAGGTTGATCGATTCTGGGGCTCTCATCATCTTGCGAAGGATGTCGAACATGGAGGCTGTCCAGTTGGACGGGTCGCGTGAGTTGGCTGGCTTCTTCTCGATCACGCGGAGCAGGACGAAGACATACTCGTCAATGGAGATCTGGAGATTGCTGGCGCCTTGGTTTTCCGGGTGTTCGGCGACCAGTTGCGATCTGACCCTGCCCTTGGGGCAGTTCCACAAGATATTCTTCTCCTCCTGAAGTCCATCCAGGCTGTTGATGTAGTTTTCGATGATGCCGTGTGCCCTGGTTACAAGCTCCTGGTTGCCACGAGGTTGGTCTGGGTCGACAGCGGCTACCATCTCTTGAACGTCCACCCAATAGTGCTCGAGGGTTTCCTTAAGCTTGGCTCTCCACTCCCCCACTTGGCCCAGCTCTCTCTCGTACTCGGCTGTGCTCTCTTGCAATCTCCGCTCCACCTCCTCGCGACGGTTCAGAGTCGTGATCATGCCCTCTGCTACGCGCATCAGTCGTCCCGTCTCCTTCCACTCCCCAGACTCCTAGACCTCCTTCTTATATGCCATCGGAAGCTCCTTCATGCAAGCTGTCAATTGCGGCATGGCGCCCTGGACCGAAGCGATGTTGCGGTGGTGGCGGTAGCAGAGAGCACGGAGGTGCTCGTGCACAGGTAGAGTGACTGGCCAGACTGTGGCCTCCTCGAATGCGGCTTCTGTCTGCTTGTAGAAGTCGGAGACATTGGCCAGGACCTCGCGCTTGATGATTTTGACGAGTCTTGAGGCGCGACTGTGATCTTCAGGCGAAGTGGCGGGAGGTGTACTGGGGGTTTTGGCGTGGCCGATTAGTGACCGTAACTTGCAGTAGTCGAAGACGTGACGCTGAGTCGAAGGCATGGCGAGAGTTGTTTCTGGCCGCAATGGTTTCGTTGGCGTGGTGGAGTTTGGGGGGAAAACGCGAGCGCCGCAATTGAGGAATTTGATTAAGAGGATCTGGACGGCGCTAGCGGGGCCTGAACGTGCCGGGCCTCTCGAGGCCTTGGGCCGGTACCTTCCTATTCAGGCGACACCAGAGCAAGGGTCTATATACACAATTTTCGGTAGAGTTTTCAGCAAGGTTATATAGAGAACTATACTAGGTGGTATCTCATTACTTGTACATGGCATGTGGTGGAGGATTGGCTCAAGCTGGGGTATGAATACAAGCTTAGTAAGCTTGCTCTATGATGAAACCTGGCATTGTCTCATTTGTTTGACAATTTATGTGCCGTTTTACTTCCTAGAATGCCTTCTGGACAATCCTACTCGGAGAGTCTTGAATGAATCTTACCGACTCTTACATGGGGTTTCCTCTTGAAAGTTGGCAGAGAGAGACAGGATGACCAAAAGAACGAGGACATGTATGATAGCACTGATGCAAGTAATACACGAGGTATACGACAAACGTCCTCCAGCTGCTCTGAACAATAACTCAGCTCTTCCTCCCAATGCATTATATCCTGTGCGTTCTCGCTCCATTCCAGGTCTCTCACCAAATCCATCACATCGTCAAGTCCACCAGGTGCTGCCTCACTGCTGTCCTTCAGTCGCGCGCGCCAGTTTTCTATCCCTCACTGGATTCCTCATCCGTCTGCTCGACCTCGACAGCCTCGCATGCAGGCTGGCCGTCCACACGCTCCACATCGAGCCGCTGCACTTTGTCCAACTCGGCCGGCTCACGACACATCGGGCAGTCACTATGCTCATCAACCCAGGAGACGAGGTCGTTGAAGCTGAAGATGTGATCACACCCGAGGGAGGCGGGATTCTCATACTCGACCAAGAAGATGGGGCACTCATTTCTTGACAGCTTTCCTAGACGAGGCTAGCTGCTTTGTCGTCGATTGGAGGAGGAGCAGTAGAGTCGATGACGATCTTCTTGGGCGCTTTGAGGATTTCGAGGAGTATTTCGAGACGGGAGGGAGTCCATACGGCCTGAAAATCCAGCGGGGTATTCGGGTTGAGAACCGAGTGTAGAAGAACAAAGAGGTGGTCTGTGATCTTCCACTCGAGTCTTTGATCTCGCGCATACCGGGTTCTTGATTGCCCTCCAACACCGGTCTCAATCTTCCATGCACCGACTGTCGCAAGACGGACAGTTCTGCCTCTCTCACTTCAAGCCCCTCGCTGAAGTTGTCGCGACCCTGGGTCACGATAGCAATGCGTTTATCGACAGCTGGAGTTGGATCTTCTTTGAATTTCGCCATCACCTCGAGCGTTTCTTGCCAGTAGCCATCCAGCGCCCCCTTACGTCGGACCTTCCAGCTCGCGACTTGCTGAAGGCCTTCCTCGTACGCTGGCCGACTCTCGCTCAACCTGTTCTCGACGCTGGTAGGGAAGTTGAGAGTGTTCACCATCCGATCTGCTTCAAGTACTAGGCACTTGGATTCCTGCCAGTCGTCTGACGCCGCGAGTTCTTGTTTGTACTCGATTGGCAGTAAGGACAACTTGTGAAGCAATTGGGGCAAGATAGCCTGCGCAAATGCGACATTGTTGGTGTGGTCATCGCGGACGGTCTGGAGATGCTGGTGGAATGGAGCAGGCATCGGCCAGGTTGTCGCCTCTGTCAGCGCTTCGAGGGAGTAGTCGCGAAACTCGGAGGCGGCGGCCACAAAGTCGCGCTGGAGTCATCCATGATTCTCGATGCCTCCCGGTGCGCTCTCGGTGTGGTGATGGACGGGACAGTAATGGCGGTGACTTGATGAAACAACTGGCTGAGCGGGCAGAAGTTGAATCTCGTCAGGTTGCGCGCATTCGCGCGATCTCGTCTCGACACCATTGCGACAGGTCTCGACAGTGGTGAAGTGGTCGGAGTGCTGTGTCTGCTGTTTGCGAGTGTTGAGAAGAAAGTGGAAGCCGAAATTTGAAGATGGAAGATTTGGCCGGCGCTAGCGTGCGCGCACGTGACCACGGCTACGCTCCTTCCTATCTGGGCGCCAGCACATCAGGGCACAGTATATATCCAGCTGGAGACCGAAAAAGAATGACGATATAGAAAGCATGATAGGTAGTATACATAAACTTTAGTTCACATACACTCCTTATAGGTCAGCCCACGTAGATATACACAGCCTGAGCGATTTGCTTGCCTGCGCGACATGGACTATCGAAAACCATCGTCTAATCTGCCAACTTCTGCGTTTCTTGTCTAATCATTATCGACAAAGCCGTTGGCACAGCCCATGTTGTTCTATGGAAAGCTTTCATTGTTCGAGTTGAGACAGCGTTGTTCTCCATCACGGCTTTGTGCACAACCTAACCTCCACAGCTGCCACCTTTGTTTGTTCGCGTGTTCCAATATCTGAATGCACGTATGTTGACGCCTCGGCCTCCATCACACCACGTCTGATATCTCTTCCACCACGTTGGTGCCAGGGGCCTTCGCGTGCTCGTCAGCATGCTCCGCGTCCTTCTTGACTGCTTCACCATCTTCGGTCTTCGAGTCGCCATCTCCTCCCTCAGCTCCCTTCAGGCCCACACGGTTGATCTTGTAAATCTTCAAGTCATGCAAGTCCGCAGGTCCACGGCACTTCGGACACTTCTTATACGCGTCGACACAAGGGACGATGCACTTGAAGCAGAAGAGATGATGACAGCGAACCAACTCCGTCGGCTCCTTGAACTCCAGCAGGCACACCGAACACTCGTTGTCCAGGAGCTGGGTTTGAAAGATGGTGGGCTCCTCGACGTTGGAGAGCTGAGCGACGTCCACAGTGATGTTGGTGGGCGACGACATCTGGTCTCGCAGTTCCTTGAAGTCTCGAGGTAGCCAAGTGACGTCGACGCCATCGTCTTCTTCCTCGCTCATCCAGTCTTCGTGGAACTCTTGGTCTTCCTCGTCGAACTCCTCGGGGAACCACTCCATACGGAGGTCGTAGAGCGCCTGTTCTATGTCCTCTTCCATGATCTTGATGCCGATGTACTCTGCATGGCACATCCACAAGTCGCTGAGGAACTGCTCTCCCACAACCGTCTCGATGACCGACTCCCTCTCTTTCAAGTGTCCGATGTCCTCGTCCCAGTCGTCCGAAAGTTGATTGACCTTCTCCTCGTCCAGCTCCTCATCATCCTCGTTGCTCTGGGCGTTTTCCAACTTCCTGTGCCACTGCTCTGCACTGCGTTGCCGAGCAACACGATGACCATCCACCAGGGTAGCATGCACTGGGTTCTCCGCTCGCGCACGCATGACTCGATACGGCAGGTTGAGTTCGTCAACAAGCATATTCGCCATCTGAATTTTGGCTTCTGCGTACTGGTAGTTGACGTGCTTGTCGACCAAGCGCTCCTTCGACTCGCCAGTGAGAGCTGCATCACAGAATGCCAGACGGACCGCGCACTTCTCGATGTTGCCGATCGCTTGGGTGTACTCATGCCAGATCTCATCGAGCGCTTCTTGCGACAAGGAGGGATTAGCAGAGCGCTCTCCGAGTGCGTGGGAGGCGGCCGTCTTGTATGAAATGATGCTGTTGTAGAAGGTATCCCCCAGCTCTTGTGCAATCTGCTCCTCGTTGTGTGGTCCGGGGTTGGCGTCCTGGATGCTGTCCAGGTCTGCTTGATGATGTTCTGTCATCTCGAGGTCGAGCCGCCGAAACTCCTGCTCAACAAGAGGAGCTGCGGTGTCGGAAGACATGTTGGTATTCTGGTGCAGTCGCTGTGTTTAGGGATGATATGGGTCTTGATTGACGTGTGTGTGTAGGGAGTGTAGGCGGATATGTGGGTGTGTTAGGGCGGGTGCAAGTGAGAATATGAAGTCGGGGGTTTGAAGCTTTAAAAGGGTCACAACACACGACGCCAGTCACTCGCCTGTATCAAGTCGCCAACGCACGCCGCTGACAGCGTAATTCACTGCTCACACCTCTGTGGCCTGAGGTTGAGGCGTTGGAATAATATAGTGTCAAGGAAAGATCTACTTCAACCCTGATGGCTCTGGTTCTGGACTATGATCTAAGGATGGGCAATGTCTCTTGGTACCACATGACAGGCTATCTCATAGTCTGTCGCATCAATGGCTTGGATACCACGGAATTCAAGGGGTTTGTGCGCAAACGCGAGTCCAGGCCGATCCTGGTACCATATGGTTTCCATCTCCCTTGCTGTATCTACGTCCTACCCCTTTCGCACAGTCCTTCGAAGGTGCGCCTGCTCAATCCGATATCTTCAACTTCGCCATCATCTAGACGAAGTCATCCATGTCTTTTGCCTTCTTCGCCAACTCCTCCAACATGGCGTCAAACTCGGCGTCCTCGTCATCCTCCTGTCTCACCTCATCCCCATCCTCCTCTCTCTCATCTCCCTCCTCGTTCCTCTCGCCCCTCTCCTCCTTTCCATCCAACTTCTCCTGCTTCCCATCCGTATCCGTACCCTCGCTGCCGTTCGACTCGGTTGCCTTCTTGATCGTAACATCCCAGAGGGTAAGCTCGCTCGTCGCCGCCTTGCGACGGCACGTTGGACAGTGCTCGCGTGCATCGACCCACGGCACAGTGCAAGAGAAGCAGAAGACGTGGTGGCAGTCGTTGAGTTCGCACGGAGTGGTATAGCCCTTCTTGCAAGCCCCACAGACGTTGTCCAGGAGCTGCTTCTCGAGGACGAGTTCGGGCTCAGCAGCTCGCACTTGGGCGGCGTCGATGATGATAGCACGAGATGGGCCCAACTCCGCCTTGAGCTGTTCCAATTCATCCTCATCCCACTCAACCACTTCTTCCGCTTCTTCTCCGTCTTCGACTTGGAACTGTCCCTCACGTAGGTCAGAAAATAGACCCTCGATAAAAGCTTCCTGCTCGACAATAGGAGCCATCATTGGGTGGTCATCGTCGAAGAAGGGTCGAAGCGACTCAATGACCTGTTCGACATACTCTTCGCGCCGTGCTGCTAACTCTTCCTTGATCTCATACCAGCGGTCAATGTGCTCATGAATAGCTTCATTGCTGGTGTTGGTGTCGTCATCCCGTACGATGCGTATTGCTGTGAGGTGCCAAATACGAGCACGACTGTGGCGAAGTCTCCGATAGCACTCGACGAGGTATACTTGCTTTGGAGGTTGCGTTCGGTATTCTTCGTCGACATGCGTGTGGTTCAGTATCCCGACGATCGCGTTCGCTTCGTGGAAGTTCGCCCACGCCTCCTGATACTTCCTTTCCGAGTCCAACAACTCCCACTGCTGGTTCAATGGTACCACGCTGAGGCAGTAGTGAATCCGCGGCAGCTTCTGATGAAATTGCTCCACCACTGCGCAGTGCGACGACCAGATGGGTAGAGTGTCAAAGTCAGACCTAGAAGGCGCCACTATAGCGTAGTCGTTCAGAGCCTTCTTGCACCCGTCCAGGGAAGCAGCGACAGCGGCGTGAAATGCGTTGATGGCTTCCTGCGCGCGAGCCGCAATATCCGGATTCGGATTGCGGTTGTGCCAGACCTGCCATTCCCTGCTGTCTTCGTCGACGCCCGAAAAGATGTCTGCCAGCAAAAAGGTCCGCATTCTATCCCAAGTCAATTCGCTACTTCCGGGCCATGGCTGTCGCAGTGACTTACATGGTTCTTGTCCTTCGTTGGGGGATGAATGGCTGATGTTGTGTGTTTTAAGTGTGTCTGTTTGACAAAGTTGGGAGTTGTTGGGGTGAAGAGATGTCGGAACGGTGACAGCTGCAAAGTCCAAGCTTTGGCACGGCGCACGGGCCCGCCAGGTGAAGAATCGCGCCTCAGGCAGATCAGAACGCCGATAATCAGACAGGCGAGTCTGATTTCTGGTATGAATGCCAATTAGCTACTTCTGGAAGATGTAGCCACTTTACCGGTCAAAAACGGCAACCAGGCAATGAACGAGTAGAACGAATCTCATCGTACTCGTTACCCCTGAGCCGGCAATGACCAAGAATATGCACATAATCGCACATCTAACAGATGGTGACAGGGCTGCACACACGTACACACTACTCTGCAATCACTGAAGTCCCGCGTTCCTTGCGCAGAGCATGTCTGAGACGTGGTATGAGAGTCACAAAAAGTCGAGTCGCCGGTGCATGCAGCTGGATCAATGATCTCGATACAAGTAAACCCATGCGTCTGCCACCAGCCTTTTAGCAGTCCAACCAGATGTACCTTCGAACTTCCGCACACCCCGGATCAGCTTCTTGTCGTCTTATTCGAGGCTTTTTGGGGTTATTCGAACCTTCCCGCTCTTGAGCTTGGACTGCACGCTGTATTCGATGCGCTACTCTCCATACTTCAAGTCGCTGCCACTGCCACTGCCATGTTCCTCGCGCCATGCATCACGTCGCATGCTCTCCTTGAGGATCGTCACCTCGAGCGGCTGAATGTGGTCCCACTCTGCTGGCAGTCGACACTTCGGTCACCTGTGGCGTACATCAAGCTCCTCTACAATGTGCTTGGAGCAGAAGACGTGCTCGCCAGTATTGAATATGCACGGATCGCTGATGCTGTCCATGCACACACCGCAAATGTTGTCGAGAAGCTCGCGGTCGAGGAACGGCAGGCCTTCGCCATCCCTTGTGGTTGTCCGGATTACGATTGGAAAAGTGCCATCGAACTGTCGCTTGAGCTCGCGAAGTGCCTCTTCGCTATACTCTTCCACGTCAGACGTCATGTCTTCAGCCGGCTCGTACTCCTCGTACTCCCACTCGTCGCATGGCCCTGTTCTTGCTCGTCGTCTTCGTCTTCCTCCACTTCTTCTTTCGACTTTGTAGGTAGAGCAGCCTCATCAGACACGCCGTCGAGGGTTTCGCCACTCTCTTGCTGGAGGTTCGTGCCGACCGCTATGTCTGGATCTGCTTCGAGAGTTTGACGTGGGCGAAACGGCTGTGTTGCGACGCTGGGCTGGTGACGGCGAGTTAGATTGTGTGGAAAGTGTCAACATCAACATACGAGATTTACCTGGATGGAAGACGTGGGCTCTTCATCGCTCGACTGAGCGACAACACGAAAAGGGGCATCGCTACGGTTGTTGGACATCTCGAATCGTGAGGTTGCGGTGAGAGGCGATGGAATCAGAACGCTGTCTTTGATGCTCGTGACAGGGTTTCAGTTTGTGTGTGTTGGTGCGAGAGTTTGGTGGACGCCGCCTCGAAACATGAAGTGGCTGTCACATGCTTGCTGAATTAAGGTTTGGCGCTAACACTAGAAATGCTAGCCAAAATTGACAACCATCCTCGCGGCACGACAGAGTGGCACCCTCCCTATTGAATGCGTATACCAAGTCACTCACCAGCTAGCCTACTGGATTCATGGTTCAGCCTCTCCTCCTTCTCCTCCTCTGTCTTTGGCGTGACTCCATCTTCGATACCTTTCATCCTATCGCGAACTCAGTGAACTCAGTCTTCTGCAGCAGACGCGCCAGCAGAAGTCTCGTCTTCCACTGGAGAGGACCGATACTGATTAGGCACTGTCACGTCTAGGAGCTGCAGGTTGTGGACATCCGCCTTCCCGCGACACTTTGCGCACTTGTTCGCTGAGTTGATCCAAGGCACGACGTAGCCGTACGAGAAAACGTGTTGACAAGTCTTGAGCATGCACGGATCCTCAATCTCGCCCATGGTGAACGAGCAAATGTTCTCCAGCAACTGATCTTCCAGAGGCGACAGAGCCGGTGAGCCTTTCTTGGAGGTGTCGATGACCACAGAAACAGCTGAACCGAGCTGAGTCTTCAGTTTCTCGAGCTCGTGCTCACTCCATGCCACCACCTTGACTAGACCTTCCTCCTGGTCTGGCTCGTACTCGACGGCCTCGTACATGGTGTAGTACATGCCTTCCATCAAGTCGTCGATCTCATCTTCCACTGCCGTGATGGCAGACATGCCAGGATTCTCTGGATCCAGATCAGCGCGCAGGGATGGCTTGAGGTCGCGCTTCGTCTCTTGCAGCTGAGAGTACATCTGGGCCTTCATCGTCCACCATCGAGTTGCCTCATTCCAGGCGCGATCAGCGCGAGCGTCCTCGGTGTCGTCTACGGTGTTGAATAGAGTCACTGCTCTGCGAGCATCTTCGAGCCAAGTTGCAATGACTTCTTCTCGATACTTGCGATACGCAATGATGATGCTCATCTGGCTCGGAGTCTCTTCTTTAAGGCGCTGAATCCGCGCTGGGCTGTTCAGTAAGTCCACGAGCTTGTCCGCAGCTCTGAGCAGTGCCCATGCTTCCCTTGCCTCTTGGGTAGAATCTACGAGCGCGTAGAGTAGGTCAGGTACCATGGTGCTCCTGCTCGCGTGAAGGTGGTGTATGAGGCCTTGGATCCTGTCCACAATCGTGGAATGGCCAATCCATACTTCGTCGACTTCATGTTTGCTCAGAGTGGAGTGAGCTGTGAGGCTGTTAAGTGCTCTTTGGCTGGCGTTCCGGTAGACCGTGGCAGCATCAGAGAGCCCCTTCGTGATCTCTTGTACATGAGCAAGAAGTGCTTGGGTAGGCTGCGAAGTCTGAATCTGAGCAATATCGTGTGCAGTCTGAGCGAATGGAAGATAAAGCTTCTGGAACGGCCGCAGTTGGACTTGATCTGCCATGGTACCCCTGAATACCAACGATTTCAGCCTGAGTCTGGATAATCCCGCGGACTGTGGGAGACTCCTTACCTTAACAGTCGCAGGTGCTTCGAAGAGGAGACAGCTCGCTGGATGTCGACGAATGCCTTGCCTGTCTTGCAGAGTATCGCGTCAGAGTGGCGGCCGTGATATGTCGCGCTCGTTTCTTCTTTGATACTGTGTATAGCGGGTCGTGGCGTTGGTATGTTCGTGTTGTCGGTCGAACAGGGGAAGATGTGTCGTTTCAAAGAAGAGCGTCTCTCACATGCGAGTGTTTTAAGGTTGCGCCGCCATGCAGGGCTGGCATGGGGGAGGTTGGCGGCGACCCTCAGCGCGACAAACGGCCATTCACTTGCCAGTAACTCGCTCCCCGTCACGCCGAGTTGCCAAGACAACAGCGCAACAGGCACCTCTTCAGCGTCCACGATGCACATTGAGCTGCTCGTTGCTTGTTTGACTTGAACGCCGGCACCATAACCACATGGCTCCATTCTTCCATCCTCCCGAAACAGCAACTCGTCAGGTCCACTTCTTCATCCGGCGGTCTTTGAATGGTTTCTCACATCCAGAGCAGGTCATCCACAGTCTCTTCCTCCAGTCAACCCGTCGTGCATCGCAGTCATGGCGGCATACCACTACAGCGAGTTCGCCAACTTCGAGATCCCAGAGTTCGAAAAGCTCGAATACGACTCCATGCCGGCAGCACAGTCCACCGCCTCATCCAACGAGAACGTCGACGTCTTGAGCAGCATGTTCTGGCTCTGCGCCGGCTCCTTCTACGAGGCGTCTGCGTCCGCTCACCGCGAATACTCAGAGCTGTCGCCCAGCAAGACCTCACCAGAATATCTGCTCGATGCATTCGAACAACATGACAACGTCCGCAAGGAAGCTAAGAACGCCATTCCACCCGGCGCGCTCGCAAAGCTTGATCCAGAGGACGCGAAAGTCAAGCAGGCGCTGCTCCTTTTGAGGCACGGCAATTGCCACGTCGCTGGGCTGCAAGATATGCGCTTCATCGTCGACGATCAGAAGCGATGTAAAGCTGCGGAGGCCGAGTACTTCCGTCAAGAGCAACTCGCGCTCGCCAAGGAGTATCGCGAAATCAAGCGCGAGATGTACTTCCACGAAGCGGACGTCACGGCCAACGCTATCGCCGACTTCTTCACCTATCCAGACGAGTGGGAGAGGGTTCTAGCTCGTATGCAGCGCGACTTCGTCTTCGCCGAAGACTACTTCAGGATCAAGAACTTTCGGACTCGTCTGGCCAGCATTATCGGGCAAATCACACCAGAAACCCAGAAGACGATCTCACTTGCTCATCCAGACATGAAGGAGGTCGTCGAGGTCAAGGAACAAGCTGATGTTGGCCTGGACGCCGTTTGGGACATCGTGCCACAGTTGCGCAAGAGAGAGGAGCATCGGAGGGAGCGTGGTCGCCGTCATTTGGAGATCTTGATCCGGAAGCATGAGGAGCTGAATTTGCGACTGCTTCTGGAGCAGACGACGCTTTGAACTCGCGTTCCACATCTCATGGCAACAGGCGCAATACACTTTGTTCGGCGAGCTGGGCAGGTCTCTGTCGAGGATTGGCAGAAGATAGGACGCTGACTGAGGTCTAAAGATTGCAGGCGTCGATTTCGGAATTGTGTCTTCCAGGCAGCCGTTGGATGCCTCGAGTTGACATATTTGATGCCGGCTCGAATGGTTGTTCGACAGTGAGGGTTGCCTCCTGGCCTGGGACTGTTGAATGCGTGCTGGGCATGGTTTTGGGATCTTACCCTGGAGCGTGATCCAGGAGCTTGGGATGGGGTTGCCATGGCATACGTTGAAGAGTTGGTTGTGGAACGGTTCGCGCTGGTTTCTTTCTTCATGAGCGATTGGTGGTGTTGAAGTCTTTGTCTTTTTCAATATCCCTCGGAGCGAATGAAAGCATGTGCACATCTCAATTCCGAACAAAGCGGTATCATTCGAGTATACCAGATCCGGCGGGCGTGATGGAGAGTCAGAACGCTTCTTCTGTCCTTCTTTGTTCATTGATCGGCAAACTCCTTGTTATACCTTACTCCTCGCCCAAGCTGTGAATTTCAATCCCGAGCATACGCACGACGAATGATGTGGCTGTATGCAGTCCCTTCTAGCAGGATATACAGGCCGGTCCACGTTCGGCCCTCTCTTTCGTCCTGGAGCTGATCGAGCTTCCGTGTTGCACAATCTTTCCGCTTTGAGAGTATGTGAAGCTGGAGTGTTGTCGTTGGCATCGTCTGATCCCGGTGTGATCAGAGCCGGAAATCGGGAGGTGGAGCCGCGCATTCGAGGGTGGGAAGCGGAAAGAGGTCAGGGCCGGCATAGTTTCGGGATTGCTTGACGTCAGGTCATGGGCATCAGGAGGCGCACGAATCATCTTCAGAGTATATTGTAGTTGTGTAAGAAGTAGTGTGTATCAAATGGGTGAAACGACGTAACGGACTTGTAGCATTGAACACGAAAGAAGCAACGGCATAGCACAGTTTTATATCCGCCGAGGAAATGGGATACTACGTTTGCTTCGGTCATCTGCATGCAGAGATATAAAGCTGGTAACGACGCAAGACAGGCAATGCAGGCATATCGTGCAAACAACAAGATAGCAGACCTCTCTTGCGCATGCCAGGCAGTCAACACCCCGAACGGTCATTGTTTCTTCATCCGACTTTACGAGGAATAATGCGACTTTTGAAACATCGCCTGAAACATGAAGATGAATACTGCCATTGCGCGTAATACTAGTTGTGGAGACTCGAGTCGCGGTGGATTTCTGCGACTATCTGTATCCTTGTAAAGACCTTGCACAGCTTTACGAAAAAGGGATGAAGAACTCCATGCCGCCCTGGATGTAGCATTCTCGCTTGGTATACGCCAAGAGAAGATTATAACCAAGGCTCACGCCCAAACACTCAACTCGCTTTTCACTCCGCCGAATTGGCCGTTGTATCCTTCCAAACACTGATCAAACTCCCATTGTTCCCGTACAGGCCGCTAGCCTGCATTTGATTCTTGGATCACTGAGACTATATTAGCGGGCGACTTTCTCCATCAGAGCGCAAGGCGACATACCTCGACAATCAAGATGCTTCGTGCTCGATCTTAGTGAGCTCGCGCAGACGATGAGGCTTCAGGCAGAAGGGACACTCGTTGCGCGACTGCATGACAGGAACCACGCAGTCCTTGCAAAAGACGTGACCGCATGTGGTGAAGACGAGCGGTGGGGTGTACTTCTCATGGCACATTGGACACTCGTCCGCGTTTAACTTCTCCAGCACCCGCTTGGCTTCTGAGCTGGTGTTGGAGCTCGCAGCAATTTCATCCACCGTCTGAGAGCGCTCCAGGTCGAAGTCGTCCGCTTGGTTTGGAGCAAAGTAGCTGCTAGGAACCGTGCGAGTGAAGGTCTCCCGAATGCGTATCGTCTCCCAATGTTGTGCGGGAACAGCGGTGTGGACGGGCGAAGTAGGACGAGGAGAGGCATCTTGCATGGCTCGTTGGCGGTTGAGTCCTCTAGTAGGCTGGCGAGCCAAAGAAAGCTCTCGTAGGGTGTGGAGTAGAGGCATGCCATCCCCGTGATCCGTAGGGGCTGGAACATCAGATGCGGTGCTTTCGGCGCTTGGTTCGTTGGGGTGGGCTCGAGAGTCGATGAGGTCAGGAAGGTGATCAGGATGCGTGGCGATTGCGGTGACTGGCTGACGGGTCACAAAGGTCCGCTCGAGCATGTCTTCGTGAGACTCCTGTACCAGACGTGCGCTGAGTGCATTCCAGCGATTGGCATTGGCAGCCATGACGTCTGCTGTAGTGTTTTGATGGGCTGTAGCGGATGGTTGCGAGGGGGCGAGACAAAGTGGCGATGGACGTGTGCCTCGATATCCCTGTGGTAGCAGCCTCTCGGGGATGGTCGTCTCGTTGCAAATCACGCCGTGGAGGAGGGCGGAGGCCACCGCCTGACGCTTGAGCTCCACCAACATCTTGCGCTCCACGGAGGTTTGTGGCGCCATCGTCGTGTACCGAACTGTTGACGCGATGTTTGTGAGATTTTGTGTGCGTGCTCGGCTGTGGTGTGGTGTGGGTGGGAAGAGAAGCGAAGATAGAGTGGTGCCAAGTCGAGCAGCGGGAAGCGCCGAAAATTCAAACTTTATCCACGGCTAGCGTCTTGGTTTCATTCACCTCTCTTGCGTCGCTGCCAGCCAGGGGAACTTCATTTCCATTTCAGGACACCAAGCCATATCCACATTCCGAGCAAAAGGCATGAAGGAAGAAGAGGCGCCTCTTCGTGTATAGGTATGAAAGGATTTGTATAGAAAGACAAGGACTAAGAAAGAGTCACCACAGCACTCTTCACCAACTACCTCTGCAGCAGACCAGGTTGGTTGACGACATGTTGTGCTTGGTCCTTACTTATACGATGAGAAGACTGCTTAGGGGAACACACTGGCTGAAAAGGCTTCACGAAGCTGTGCAGGAGCAGCTGCCTATTGCGCCAGTTCCAAGACATCCCGGACTAAAGGACAGTAATTGTCAAGTGGTCTATACAAGCTACATGGTCCATTTCTGGCGATTTTCGTAGAACAGACCTACTACAACTAGGCTCCACATGTCTTGGATGCTACTGAACTCTGGTTCGCGCTTCAGTGGGCAGCAGCAGCCCCTGTGTATCGCCCAAGCACAAAGCTACCTAGAAAGACACCCCCAAGAACCGACATGAAGTATCCAACGTTCATTGTCATCACCGCGAGCATACTGCGACGGTGTCAGCAAGAACCCATGAACAGAGATGGCCGGACTCACAGAAGGTAGCTGAAGCCAGCAATAACAGTATCCAAAACCGCCCTGAACAGCTCCTCGTTTACACTCCATCGAGCAGCACGAACCTCGCCCTCTGGCACCTTGACCTGATCTTTCTCGAAACCATACTTCCTCAAGACCTTCGTATCATGGCGATAGACCATCCAAGAATATATCTTGTCGAAGTGCATCCGCACACCAAGCAGGCCTCGGAAGATCACCGCGAGTGCGATGAGGAAGATGCAAGTTCCGGCATATTGTCCAGTCGTCAACGGCCACCAGGACTCGGACCAGAGAGCTGTCTGCGTTGATGTGAAGAAGACCATCAGCATCTCGTCCATCGGCATGAGCTGTTTCAGCAGGTATTGCTTTAGGGCTGTCGAGTTGCCGCTCGGCGGCATCCCGCCCATGGTCATGTTGTCCATGATGAGTGTTGTTGCAAGGGCAATACCGCTGTCTCGATGTCAGAGCTGTCTCAAGGAGTGTCGGGATAAAAGTTTCTTTGTGATTGGGGTGCCTCTGCGAAAGAAATCGAAGCTCGACGGAAACCTGGCTAGTACTTCTCTTCCAGACAAATGAGCCCTTGAGCGCATCGAGTTGACTCATCAACTTGCTCAACCCGATCTACTAGAAGGCATACGTCCCGCGTGGCACCCGAAAGCTGCCATGATTGAGTGAAGTGGAGTCGGCGTACAGCTCGCGGAATGCTCCCAAGTCGAACAACCATACAGTACAAGGGTCCGGGACTCACAACTTCATTGGATGTGAACTTGCTCAATGGCTTCGTATCGACGCCATTTGGCATGATCAACCCTTTTTGAAGACATTTTGTCAAGCAGAAGTGGTCAGCAGAAAGGTCTCGACACTCCGACGGCATCCAACTCAACAGTCTCAATGAGCAGAATGGGAAACTCGGATCGGAGTGTCAGGCCGACGAGCCTGGTGGCTGAGCAAGTTTCTGCAGGCTGATCAATGGAACGCCTCGAGTACGGGCAATGGTCAAGAGGAGAAATGGTCGTACATCAACACGCCAAGGCAGTCTTGTTGTGTCAAGCCTTTGAGGAGAAGTGCTTGGTACTGTCTTGTCTGACAACTTCTTCTCTTGGAGTTTTTCAACGACATCATAAACATGGGTGTTCCATGGCTAGATCAACCGCTCTCGCTCGCATGGCATCCGCCGAACGAATGTTCGCTGAACAATACCGCTCAATGCGAGTACCAGCTGGGATACTGGAGAAACTGGCAAGTCACTATCGAGTACTTTGCGATCTCGCGCTGATGATCTGGCCAGGAACATCGCAGACTACCACTATGCGCTCCCAGCTGTGGCATTCTTTCTGGTCGCCATCGTACTCTTCGCCATCGCCAACATTGCCGAAGAGTTCCTGCCAAAAGTTGCATCGCAGTCAGGTCTCGCACGGAGAGTCAAACGCGTTGCTCGATATCTGTCGTATCGTAACTTTCGCATCAGTTTCTTGGACTGGAACTCTGCGCCGCTCGGTCTGCTGCTGTTGGGATCAGTCGGGCTCATCTACTTTCTATGCATGACCCTCGTTCCTCAGCCGTACTACGTGAGAGCTTCCATAATCACAGACTTCCCAGTGATAGTCTAATAGCTGACGTCTGAACTTCATAGTGGCCAAACACCCCAACAGTCGACCACGGCGACCAACCGCCCATCGTCACAAGATCAGGCTGGCTCTCAATCGCCTGCCTGCCATTCGTCTTTGCAACGGCCGGGAAGAGTAACCTGATCACCGGCATCACAGGCGTCTCCCACGAGAAGCTGCAGGTCTTCCATCGATGGATCTCATACGCTTTCTTCGTCACTGCTCTTGTGCATACATTCCCGTTCATCATCTACCATATCTCGATTGGTGATATGGTGGACCAGTGGAATACGCAGATCTACTACTGGACCGGGGTCATTGCTATTATTGCCCAGGCTTGGTATGCTTCTTCATGCATACGATCAGGAACGGTGTGAGATGCTGATGCTAACTTTGCTGGCAGGTTGACCTTCGCTTCATTTGGCCCTCTTCGGTATGATAACTTTCCGTTCAGCAACACCGACGAACTGACCGTACGACAGCGAATGGTGCTACGAGTGGTTCAAATTCTCACACTTCGCCGCCGCCCTGATTTTCATGATCTTTCTCTTCTTCCACTGTGACGGCGAGTTCTCAGCATGGTATGTCTCTCACACGCACTCGATCTGCACAGCTGCTAACCAGGCCCAGAGACTACTTCGTAGCAACCGGCGTTCTGTTCTCAGTCTCCTGGCTTCACCGGCAGATCAGGATATACTTTGAGCACGGCTTCGGCCACAAGGCTGAGCTGCGTCTCGAGGCAAATGGCTTCATCAGAGCCAGCATACCCACGTCAGCTACGTGGAGAGTCGGCCAACACTTCTTCGTCCGCTTCTTGACACCTGATCTACATGCTCTCACGACACATCCGTTCACGGCATGCTCGTTGCCTGAGCCAGCAGATATGCACGATTCGAAAGCGAATGAGCTGGTTTTCTACATCAGACCCCGTGGCGGTATGACCGCCAGACTTGCTCGTTCTCTCGAAGCCAGTGGCCAGAGGTCTTTGCGAGTGCTGCTGGATGGTCCATATGGCGGAGTTGATATGCGCAAGCTTGAGAGCAGCCACCGGACAGTCATCATTGCCGGAGGCTCAGGGGCTGGTTGGACTCTGCCAATTGTAGCTGCTCATCTCAGGAAGCTGGGGTTTCTCACTTCGTCTGGCCAAGGCGACGTCTTTCCCAATCTGAGACTCATCCTAGCAACTCGGAACATTGACACCAAGCAGTGGTTTGAGGATGCGGTCCGCGATCTGATTTCCACCTTCGACCCCGAGAAACGACACAGCCTCGCTGAGGTTGACATCTTCTACACGGGGAACGAGCCAAGCTTCGAACGACCACAGCTACGACAGCGCTCATCCGAGAAAGTGGTATCAGATGAAGACTCAGTGTCCAAGGCCATCGCAGCCAAGGAGACCATCAGCAGCACGAGCTCTACCTCCTCTTCGAACCGGAACATCGAGGTCCGCCATCACACCGCTAGACCAGACCTCCTCTCAATGCTCAACGAACAAGGCGCATCGCTGAATTCTGGCACACAGCTTGGTGTTTACGTCTGTGGCCCGTTGTCCATGCAAGCGTATGTGGCGAATGCAGTCGCTGCTCAGCAGCTGTCGACGATGAAAGATGGGGCGAGGGATATCTATCTCCACATGGAGCACTTTTCGTGGGCGTAGTCAAATCGGAGCATTGGTCGCTGGAGGTTGCATGAGTTCTTTCGTCGTCCGCCATTGCTACTCAAAACGGCACTAAATCTCAAAGGGAGTACTATCGGCGCAGACATTGTTACACACGGCTTCCACAGGATCTCTATCCCTTCATCAAAATACGCTGCCCGCAGATCGGTGGAGTAGTCCCAAGTCGAGACTCCTAACATAGAAAGGAAATGTCTCAACTTCGAGGCACAGGTACACGGGATCTTCAGCACAAGGGACATTACTAGCATCCTCGATGGGTGCGCCACATCTGCAGAAACATGCTCCTGGAATCTTGCAACGCCATGTTTCCTCATTGAGGTCAGTGCAGTTGTGCGCCAACGCACCACAGGAAAATCCCCCCATCTGCACCCTCAAGCCCCAAGCAGAGAATATATTAAAGCCTCGCAGCCCATCTAAACTCCGCTGTCTTAGGTTAATTTCGCCTCCTTTCACTCCTACAATCTTCTTACAACCCTCAAAGCCATGTTATTATCCCTCTTCCCCCTCATTTCAACCCTCCTCACCGCCACCACAGCCACGCCCTCTCCCATCGCCCAAAGCCCACTCGCATCCTCGCAAGGCCGCTTCTCATGGACAGACCTCGGCCTTCCGGAGGACATCCTCCAAATCTCAAAACTCACCATCGATCCAGATGCCCTCGAAACGTAAGCCCCCTGCCCCCTGGCCCCAAGTCCCACAACCGCACACATCTCACACCTCAGCCAGTGGAACCAACTACACCATAACCCACACTGGGACTTTATCCGCCGACCTCGAAGAAGGCGCAACGGTAGACCTGACGATCAAGCTCGGGCTGATCAAGTTGCTTGCCACGACGATCGATCTCTGCGATAACGAGTATTTGAAGCTGGAGTGTCCTGTTGCGAAGGGGGAGGTCAGTTGGACCACGGAGTCGGCTATGCTGCCGAGGGAGGTGCCGAAGGCGAAGTTTAAGATTCAGGCTGTTGGGTTGACGGCGGAGGACGAGGATTTGTTTAGTGTGGAGGCGGAGGTGGATTTTAGGGGGTGAGTGGGTTGGTTGGTGAGGGGTGAGGGGGTTGGTGGGATAGGTGGATGGGAGGAGAAGGATGCTTGGGTGTGAGGTTGTCGAGGTGTTGATTCTCAGATCATTGCACATGCTCGTTCATTCCATAAAATGCACTACTGAAACCATGCTATCGAGATAAACAACTCCATCTCCATTCCGGCCTCATTTCCATAATATCCTCATCATCCATGCATTCCCTCTAGGTCAAGGGGATCGGGCATCCCAAGTTATCAAACTCAGGCGCAACCCTCGTCAAAAGGAACGAGATAGCCTCCACAGTCGGCGTAACAATCCCGTTCAGCGTGCTCGGCACACTCTGCGTAGCAAGTTGGTACAGCAAACAGCTAACCGCCGCAGGCTGGATATCCTTCTCAATCGTTCCATTGCTGATAAGATCTCTCCAATCCAGCGGCGCAAAGGTGTTATCGCCGACATTGCCACCAAACGGACGTGGGTTGAGGAGGTACATCTTCAGAATCTCCTGGGTGACGAGACGGTTGCTGTAGGGTTCCACGCGGTTGATCCAGTTGTTCGGCAGACGCTCCTCGATGAAGAAAGAGTTCATGGTCGCCTGGTCGGGGATGTAGTCTGGGCCGGAGGGGAAGAGCTCGTAGAGGAAGGAGGCGGCGCCGAAGAGGAGGAGTGACAGGGGGCCGAAGAAGAAGTTGGGGTTCTCCTGCACGGATTGGTCCCAGCGCTCGCCGCGGTAGATGGCGAGGTTTTCGACGTTGTGGAGGCCGCCGGTGGTGGCGGACATCATGTCGAAGAGGGTGCGGTTGAATTTGAAGTTGTCGCCCTTGCCGGTGAAGAAGTCGTTGCGGGTGAGCGAGGTGTCGGCTTCGAACTTGTTGTGGCCCGCGAGACCTGGCTGGCTGCCGGTCAGGAGGGGGTTGAAGGAGGTGCGGGTGGTGGCTTCGCAGCCGATGGAGAGTTTGGTGGTGACGAGGTCACCGTCGGCTTGGAGGCCGAGGAAGGCGAGGAGGTTGGCGAGGTCGTAGCCGACGTTGTAGACGTTCTGTTGGGCGTCGACGAGTTCGTTGTAGGTGACGATGCCGTCGCGGGCGAGGAAGCCGTGGTTGGCGGCGGTGTTGAGGCCGGGGCAGCTAAGTCAGGAATCAGTCTTGGGCTATTTGAGGGAGATTTGGAGTGCTTACGGTCCGCGAATATCCCTCGAAGTAGGCGCAATGAAGCGATGGGCAGCATCACCAGGAGCAGGCACCTGGTAACCACCAACGCCATTTCCGGCCCTGCCGTTGATGGCGTTGTTGTACTGGCCTGGCTGGATGGGGACAGCATTAACGTGGTTGGGGTTGAAAGGGCATTGTGCGGCACTGCCAGGGCCTTCTGGGACCTGTTGACGCTTGAACAAGTCCCTGTTGGGGAGCATGGAGGAGTCGACGCCTGGTCCGTTGACAACCCATGGGAAGGCATAGGCCGCCTCAGCGGCGAGGATGGTGTAGGCAGCGTAGGATCTCATTGTTGGAGACGTGACGAGACTGAGGGGGGTGTCAATGGAGGAAAGTGCCTCTGTCTTATAGAAGGCCTCTGAGTCGCTGCTGAATCAAGTTGACAACTGCAGATCTCATGCTCTATTTGTAATTTTTCGAACTTCGAATCTTCAAACACTCGTATAGCCACGCAGTCATTACGAACTGAACTTCCACCGAGGAACCTGACGATGTTCGTTACAACCTCCGCATTTTGTTGTGTAGAGTTCGACACGGTCGCTTGCCATGCAAATGCCATGACCTGTGTAAGAGGCCGCAGTAGTGAAGCAAGTATCCACGTTGTGTGACCACGCTCACGATCTAGTGCAGAAATCTGGGCGCTTCGAAATGGGAATGTCGTGGTTGGTTGGGCGTTGCAGCCACCGCGGTCAGAGGGTCTTGCTGTCACACACTCTCCGCGAAGGCTTGCGCATTTGGCGGAGGCGGCGTTCAAGGCGTGGTCTTGTTCGAAGGCGAATGCGGGCTTGGACGCTTGGAATTCGCATTGCCGTCTTGGCTGTAAGGCCAGCTGGGGTCAGTCGGAGAACCGTTGGGGAAATGCTTCGGTCTAAATGCTTTAGAATAGTTCCAGAACCCAGTAGTGTTGATCTAGTATCTCGACGGCGACGTTGCAATCGTCTCGTTAGCTTGTTCACCCACACAATAATGGTTGTTGGACCGGGTAAACAGCATAGGCTAAGACGCCCAGCCGGCGATCCGCCCCTAAGCACCTTAAGGTCCTACGCCACATACGATCTTTCTCCTTCCTTTTGCAGACAAAATGCGGGGATGGCGGTGCTTGGAAGCACTATTCGCTGTCGTTGCGCCTCTCCACCGAGGAAGTTGCTGCGTGTGTATTTCTGAGTGAGGCTCTTGGTGGTAAGGACAAGGTGTGGCTGGCTTGGTGTTTTAAAGTTAAAACAACGTCGTCTGTCTGAACTCTGTTGCTGTCGATCTTTTCTCGTGTCTGCACATTGTGTTGCTTGGCGGGTAGGTCGAGGCGTGGAGGTCATGCGGAGTGGTAATCAGGAAGATTCAATGCGGAGATTTTAGGAGCATCTGGCGATGAGGCATGCTTGTGGCGTTGGGGAAGCGACGCTCTGTTGGGTCGTGGCTGCTAGCAAGGACAATACCAGCCGAGCCTCAACGTATTGCCCAAACAGGCTACTGCATGAACCTCTTGGAAGCAGGTAAAAGTTGCTGACTGAGTTACGACCAAACATTCAGAGCGTCAGCTGGGGAAGCCACCTTGTCATTTCTCTTGCTGGAGTCCGAGGTCCATCACCGTTGGGATTGCTAAGGCAGTCTTCTCTGCTCAAGAGAGGGGAACTGTTGTAGATAACCAGTCCCTGTTCTGAGTACGGAGCAAGGTACTACAGTCCCCAGCACAAACGTTAGCAACCCCTACTAGTTTAACTGTCAACACTAGTCCTATATAGATATATGATCATCACTACTACTTTGTATGCCCCCTATTGTTGTTAATAACTGCTTGACACCTTTCCCTTATACTTTAATAGACTCTAGCTATATTAGAGATTAATAGCCTTGCCTATTTAATCTGTACAGCCCTTATAACTTCCTCTCTTATCGTAGGGAAGTACTAGCTAATCCTATACTTTAAAAGACTCTATATGTTACGGGCACGTGTTTGCGATAGTGCTACGTAATATAAGGTAACCGGAGCGCCCGGGATAGCGGCGCTTGTCGGTCGACTTTACCTAACCGATCGAGGCGACGAGGTCGGCTTAACCGGTTACTACGGTTACTACTAGGCGTTAGTGTATATAGAGAACGGCATTAAGCTTATCTTAATAGCGTTTAACTTATTATTTAACCTCAGTAATTGGAATACGATTATACTAGAACCCCTACCCCTCCACATTGTTAGGTACCTTCCCTAGACTACCCTAACTAGACCAAACCCCGTGACGACACTCTTAAAGGTCACCTAACGTAATAGAGTCGAGGCTATAATAACTTTAAACGCCCTAAAAGGATATCTACTACGGGAAGCACTCGAGGAGCACCGGCTCTAAGCGATAGTAGACGTTCTAGTAGACGCCTAGACCTAATAAACATCGACAGCTAATCTCGAGCTATACTCGACGACGATGTTTAGTCCGACTCCGACGAACGTAAAGGAGGATAGAAACCTTCTAAGCTAGACTTGTTTTATAGTGATCGACTAAAGCTCGAAGGATAGCTTAACTAAATAAGAATGTACATAGAACTTCAAGGAGTCCCGAACGATTATAGACGAACATTACTCGCTACGACCTTTTTACGTAGCAATACGGGACACTAGATACAACTACACGTCACGGCCTTTCTTAAGAACCGTAACGATAATACCGAGGGACTCTTCGAAAACTACGGCGTCTTTAAGTCCAAGCTCAAGGAACTGTTTAGCGTTTCGAATAAAGCATCTTAGGCCGCGCGAGTTATCTAAGGATTGAAGCAAACTAAATCGGCCTCGGAGTACACTACTAAGTTTAAGGAGTACGCCTAGTTCCTTTTATAGAACGAGCCGGCTAAGATAGTTATATACAGGAAGGGACTGAAAGATTTAGTTAAGGATAAACTCAATCGATTTAAGTTCATAATAGGGCGACCTATCGGTAACCTAACGTCGCTCTACCTCAAAGCTATAGCGGTAGACGATTAGTTATACGAACGACAAATGGAGAAACGCTAGGACACCGGCTACGCGAACGGAATTCCCGACTATCGTCGTTACGGTACTAACAAGTAATAGGGGGCTAGTCGACGAGACCCCGATACTATAGATTAGGAACATATAACGACGAGATAGTTAAACAATATTAACAAAGGGAAACGTAGTCGGAAGGGTAATAATAATCGAAAGAAGGGTTAGGGACCTAAGAAAGAAGGATT